AAAAAGAAATTGAGAAAAAATAATTTTTTTTTTTCGTTTTCCCCCTTTTTTTCCCCGCCGGGCTGTGGGGGGGCGGAGCCCGTCCGTAAAATTAACATGCAAAAGCCCGCGGGTGGTTTTTTTCCCCCCCCCCCCCCCCCCCCCCCATCGGGGCACAAATCTTGGAACCTCAGGCTACCTACTGGGTAGGTAGGTACCCAAGCTCGCGGATGCTCTGCCAGCGGAGCGCCCACGGCGCGGTTGAAGTCCCCAGAAGATCTCTCGCAGATGCACTCATTTCTCACCGGTACAAGTAAAAATAGAAGGTCCCGCCCTCCAGATATGTAGGTTTTGCGTCCATTATTCCAGCGATCAAGTCCTCATTAACATATCGGAAATGATCAATGATTGGGACATCGTCATAAATCAGAGCGGCAGAAGACTTGCCTTCCCATTCCACCAGACGGGGCTAAACGATAGAGCATGGTGAGTATGAGCCCGAAATCTGTTGGCGAACCACCTGATTGTGCAAAGAAATGCTTGGAGCTGGGCAGGAATTCCAACTTACGCGAGCACGTCCATATGTGGGACAATAGACTCGCTTGTCCTCTTCGTCGTAGACCATAATAGGATCAATGTCTTCTGTGGATCGGACGTCTTTTCCAGCCCATCTCAGCGTAGAGAGTATTTCTTCGGCTGGGTGGCCGGTGTTGATAGCTCGTCCCTTCCATGACCCAATTAATTGTTCGGGCTTGATTGGTTGGAGAGTGTCAAAAACCGCTTGAATATCGCTGGCGGTGGCGCCTTCTTTGGCAAGTAATTGCTGATACTGCTGTTCTGGTGAACTTGTGCGTAGAATTGCATTAGTTACCAAGGATATCGGGAAGTTGACGGTGAATACATACAGCGACCTTGTTCTTTTATGACCATACATGAGCTTGCGGAGAAAATCCATGGTTGTCTCGGATTTTGATCGGGCGTTTCCAAAATCGGTAATTCAATTCGAATGGTAGACAACTCAACATGGCTGAGAGGATTCCGAGGTTTATATCTTCCTAGGCTGTCTCATAGGCTGATAGGAGGGTATATCAAAACCCCAAGGTTAAAGGCTTGTTCAAGGTTCAAGGTTACACAAAGTGCATCATGGTGCTCATGTTTGAATCCAACCTTTCTTGATATCTGTGTGTGCCACTTGATATCCCTTCTTGTCACACGTCGATAAAGCACACTGGTTCTTTGATTGGGCCTTGGAGAGATAGACTTGGACGAAGTGTGTAGGGAAATCCGGCAGACCGCGTGTTGCGCATTGAGAAGCAAATACTACAGTGAGTAGGGTGTTTCAATAATTTCGCGGGAAGTGTGCATATTGGTAACTCCATGGGCACAAGTAAACCACCGATGAAAGCTTTCGGACGATGCTACACATGGCTTGAATTGTTCGCATGTCCAAAAACAGATCGGTGAATTTGCGCTTGAAGCTTTCCACACAGATCATTGCTTTTGTGGTAGTTTGATCAAGGGATTGATAGCAGCACGAAGTTGAGCTGGCTTTTTCATTGGATGTTGGGTAAATCCTAGCGTCAGACTTAATCTTGTAATTCGTTCTAAGGCTCATCAAAGTATGCCCGGGCAGCACAACATATGGGGTGCGTCATGGACATGGAGGCTATAGTCCTTTTGCCGACCACTCTTTTGTCATGGCGATCATTCAATAATTGGAATGAAAATTCATCCACATGAATCGTATTCAAAGTGAATATAGACCTTGCCTCCGACGAGGAAAATGCAAGGTTTTCATTATGCATCCTCTCTTGGCTGTTTTCTCAAACCGCTTCAATATCGTGCATTCAATATCGTGCAGCGTGTGTTACCTGAGGATTAGGAGATCCAAAATCTTCCCCGATTCATGCGACTGTTTGCACCAAAAAGCTAGTTCCAGGTTCTCGTTGGCCGTGGGCTTGAGGTGTCTTTGACATCTGGGGTCATCTTAGCTTAGCAGACGAGATGATTTGGCTCCCACTTGAGGGACGGCAAGAGGGATGTTGAGTTATCATTGGGTCGCCTGAAGCATTGTCATCTCGAAAGACCATTCTCCTGCTGTTACCATACTGTGTCAAAACAACCACATTGTCTTTCTTTCGTCGCTGGGGAAAAAGAAGGCAAGACCTCATTCTGACCGATAGAGATTTGCTCTATGCGCAGGCCAAAGGTAGCCTGGAATCTGATTAACCGTCTTGCCAAATATTCATCACGACGCGTCGTTCCTTGTGCAGAAAGTGTTTCAACTTGTTGCGTAGCTGTAGCATGGTTTTCTGTGTCAGTGATGCACCTGCTGTGAATGAAGCTGGGTCATCAGCCTTAGGGTATCAAGATGAGAGCAACGAGAGTGAGTATCAGAAGTCGACAGAAGTCTCAAAGTTGGAAAGATGAATTGGCTTGTCGTGCAAGAGACCTCAGACCTACTGGGTGGGGCACGTGAGGACGATTCCGGATGTAAGCCGCCAATCCATCCGTAGACCCGAGCATTACGATGTGTTTTCGGTCCCCGATGAGAATGGCCCATTCAGACCCGGGTAGAACAGTGGCGGTACAAATTTTATCCTCCGGTGGTAACAGCGAGCCCCATAATGAGCTAACTCCCGCGGATGATCTCCGTTGACCAAGATCCGGGGACAGCACCCGGCAATCGAAGGTGAGGTTCGACTCGACATTCAACGGATTTGTGCAGCTGGCGGGCTTAGCGCCCGTTATTACTCCACTCTTAGGCCAGGGCGGGCCGGGTGGACTGACCATCGTGCATCACGGAGCTGTCACACAGGGGCAACGGGTAACCTGCAGAGCGACCCGGACTCAACTGGTCTAGCCCCATTCCCGGGTTTGAGTATCCCCAGTTAAGGTTGTGATAGGTCTCAGAAAAAGGGAATGCGTCGAGGGAAGAGCCGTCGAGGGCTCCGAGCTGACCAGGATCCCCAGGTCTGTGAGCAGTGAGCTACAGATTCTATAGTACGGCACATGCCTTGTTAGCTTCAAAACTTTGAGATGCAAGTGTTTCATTGAATCTCGGAATCAAAGGTACCATCGGATCTACGACCAAGATCGGAGAGTATCAGGAGATGAGGGCCTCATGCCATACGAAAATTCTTCACCGGCAGCCGAAGTCGAATAATGGTTTCCGAGCAGAAATTAAAAACCAAAAATACGGATTGCCACAGGGGTGGAAATTCTTTGCAGTTTGGCAGCAAGGCTGAGGAAGGAGATGATCCGAGTCACCCCACTGATCCAAAGCGCATGTGACACTTGATTAGGACGGAATCCGAGGTACTCGCGTAACGGGCTTTTACCTGCCCTGCGACTGGCCCGTCGAGGCAGCGCTAGTCCACGTCTATGGTGCATAACTGACACAACTTTGTTTATTGTCCTACCAATCCAAAGTAACCTTATGTAAGGGAGCTTCACGTCGAGCTCTAGGTCTTCGAGATTATTTTAGATGTGTTTTTATTGAGTGAAAACTCTGCCACAAAAGTGGTTCCGATTGTCGACCTGACTGACAAAGGTACGAGTGCACTGACAGGAAACGGATTCGTACACGTGGATGTTGCCCGAAGTGGCAATGTAGAAGATCAGCATTGACAACGCGCGAATTCCTAAATGTTGATGGCATACGTGGTTGGTACAAGGATTTGATCCTATTGTTCGCAATCGATCTAGGGGTATCACCGTAGCTTTGGGCAAGGCAAAGCCACATTTCTGACTTGTCTACGGAGTAAGGGTGAGACTATTGTTACCGGCGAAAAGTCGGTTCTTTAACGTTTCGATAGCTGAGATGCCAATGAAGGTTCTGCAGCCACTGATCATTTTGATTAAGTCGCGTACGTCAAGTGGGATTTCCGGCAAGGTTTCAACTGCCGTATAGAGTGAATGACAGGTGATCGTCAAAGCATGTCCATACCTATTAAGGCAGGCAATCAGTCACTCTGAAACCCAAGAAGCAACAGGGTATAAATTTTACCGCCAGGGGGTAAAGAAAGGCCAGGCGTGAAGCCGAGTACTGCGTGTATATTCGATTCTTACGGATTCATGGGTGATACTGTACATCAAAGTCTTCATACCAATTTCAAGGAGACCGATTGACATATCAGGTGTAGCTTTTCAGATAGGGCTGGCTCTAGATACCTCGTCCAGTCGGTTAAATTCATGATCCTCACATTTACCTTGGTAATGGAGGGACCTCCGGACCTCGGGAGCGATCTCAGATTACGAAGATCGAATGAACGGTAGGCCCAGGAGCTGTCAGACATTTGGCAGTAGATCAATCAATTGATTGAAATCCCAGGCTGAAGGCCTTTCTAAGCGAGGAAAGAGCACCCGTGGATAGAATGACTGCTTTCTGCAATAGGTAGCCCTGGAGCTAACCTGTATGGTTGTTTTCGGAAAATGACATCCATGACCACGGGTGAATCCCTGCGGTTGGGACGATCTGGCTCAATGCATCATATTCAATCCATCTCCATGATTCCGAGTCTATTGGCCATTCTACAGCGGGTAATCAGGACGCTCTGACAACCAGACCTACGGGTTTACCGGCTGTCATCAGAAAGACATCCAATTTGCGGTCTTTCTCTGGTCTCGACGTCAAGCACACCAAGTAAGTAGCGAGGGCCAAAGGTCTCAGTCTCGTGTGAATGTTCTATCACGTCAACTCTAAGATAGATCTGATTTCGTAGGATCAGTAACAGACACAGCATAAAGTGGCGATCGAGGGAGAATAGGAAGTACTCAGCACTAAGGACTAAAGTACTAAAAAAACACGTATAAAACACATACACAATCGGGTCCGGGCTTCGGCCGAAGGGCCTTGGCACCGGTCCAGCCTTCCCGTCGTATCCACATCCGCTGTCGTTCAGTGAAAATCTAACGGTTTCACGCTGGGATCTTGGAAGTATCGGAATAGCATCGGAGCCGGCCGTTAAAGATCTTGACTGGGGTGATCTCGGCTTGAAATGACCGTGTCCGTTTATGGACTTTATGGATCAGGGTCCTGACATCACTGGGTTTTTGACGATTACAGGTAATTGTCCGTTCCGGGTCTACTTCGTACCCCTGTACTCTTCGGGGAAGACTCTGCCTTTATATAAATCCTTGCGGCCGAAGCCCACCTCCTATTCCATACAATTCCCACTGAATTATTTATATCCCACAGCCTTTCGCCACACCTCCTCTTCATCACCCAACTCACTATATAACCCCATACCGCCGATTGCCCTCAAAGGCCAACGTATGATCCTCCAAGATGTGCATCATGGCTTGCAACCGATCCAATGAGATCCCGAATCTCTCACTGGATGAAGAAACCTACCTCAGCCAACAGCTGAGCCCGCAGTCTCGACCGGCCGACTTCTTCAACAGACCCTCTGACCCTACCGACCCTCTAGCTGCCAACTGGAGCTACGATAGTACGATCGACATGTTTGCTCTCAACCCCACGGACATGTCGCCCGTATCATTCGATTTTGCCGACAACCTCACAAACCTTGACTCCAAGGACCTCTTTGCCGACCCATTCACTGGTTCCTCAGGCATCAGTGGCTTCTCCATGCCCATGGCAGAGGATGCTGCCTCACTCTCATCGGTATGTGACTTATGCAACCTAAACCCTGACCATACTAACCAAACCTCGTATAGGAGCTTGACAGCGACGATCAGTCTTGGCAGTCTGTGGCTGCCCGCCAGTCTGTCGACTCAAATGCTTTTGAGATGCAGACCAGTGAGCCAACCAGCCTCGCCCAGACCCGACCAGAGATCAAGACCCGATCATCAACAAGATGGTCATCAAGCCCAGTCTTCAAGCAAGAAGATGTCTCCACTCCTCAACCTTCCAAGACCTCAACCTCCACATCCCGCAAGACCCGCAGTTTCTCCCAAGAGTCCAACCGATCATCCGGTAGTCAGGACCCGCAGATGCGGAATGCCGCCAAGCGTGCCGCCCACAACATCATCGAGAAACGTTACCGCACCAACATGAACGCCAAGTTCGTCTCCCTGGAGCAGGCCATCTCACCATCCCGTGTTCAAAAACACACCAAGGTTGGCGCAGGATCACTCAAGAAATCAGAGATTCTCACCAACGCCCTATCCTACATCGATGGCATCCAACAAGAGAACCAAGCTCTGCACAAGGAGTTAGCGATGCTAAAGCAGAACATGGTACCGGGTGGCATGTGGAGACCCAACAAACATCCCCGGATGTGATCTCAACCGATCACCCTTTGTTCTGACGACCTTGACGAGCGTTGTGTATTCCTAGAATAACCGGTGGAAATCGATACCGGTCGGCGTTGCTTTTTCTTTTCTTCATTCTTGTTAAGTTAGGCGGAGGCGTTCGGAACGGAGTTTCTTGGGCTGGATTCTGGTCCGCTCTCATCTCTCATATGGCTTTCGAGTCGTGGCGACAACAAAAGTGTTTTAAATTTGTCTTGGGATTGCCCCCCACTGGTGGGGATCATCATAGATGGTATCCTAAAGCATTAATATAATTGCCAAGGCTCGGATCATTCATCGTTCAAGTTCTGTCGTGTCAGTATGGTATGACTTTTCCCAATTCGGTAAAGCCCACGCTGGGTACATATACATTGCTTTCTTCCACGTTGCTCTTTCTCACACTTGCATGTTTCTACCAGTGATGCCTAGTGAAACAATGCATGAATGTGTTCGATGACTCTTGTTGCCATGTGTTTGTTGGAAGATTCTGGCGAGGCCTTGTGCTGGTCTGCTCGCGAAGACTTGGCAGGAAATCCAGATACGACCTCGGAGGAGACTCATGAACTCACATCGTTCCAGTGTCCTCAACGACCGACAATCTTCATCTTGAGCCTGCTAGAGAGGTAAATACCTGAAAGGTCTTGGTTGGATAGGAGCATTGTTGGAATTTGGAGCTGTCAACCCCCGGAAGGGTGCCCAGACCAGCGAAATGAGGTTGAGACACACGGGCATCTGGGCACCTGACACCTCCAGCGTTGACCGAAGCAAACCGGACTCTCAAAGGAAGAAAGAGAATCAGTTCGAACTGATCGACCAATCCCCATGACTCCGCGAAAAGGATTTAGGCTCAAAATTCCCAATCGGGGCTAGGAGCCTACACCGTGCCTGAATATCACCCGGATTCCCTAGCTGCACCGCCGAGTTGGAGCAAAAGGCCCTTCATGATGGGATAACTTGGAAGGAAAGCGATTCACCGCGAGTGATTGACGACCACGAGGACATCATCACGAGAAAGAAACGGGCTGACCCCAAACAATGCGGGGAAGCAGCACTCGAGACTCGCGTTTCTCGCAACCAAGACATCGAAGAGATGCGAGGCTCCCCTCAGCCTCCTAACCTCAAGAGGAAAGAGGAGGAGATACCTAGGTACCTTCGCCGAGGCACGGCGATGCAGCCCAATAACGCAGTGACTACCAGATCTGATCTGTGCAGATATCGCCCAATCTCCACGCTGAGACACGATCAGGCCCGACGTACGCTTAAACTCACCCAAGCCTTATCACCTTCGTTCCGAGTTACTGTGATCGAAGTGGACCCCTTGATGCCCCAGGAAGTCGATTGAACACTGCTGCCTGGACTGTGCAGATGCGTCGTTTGCTCTTTCCCTTTTTCTATGGAAGCGACCAGCTTGGACAACGGATCTTCCTTGAGACTTTGACGTGTACCTATGTAAGTTCCAAGAACCATCTGGAGCTCACCAAACGAAGACGGCTCCAGGGCCCCATACGAGAATTTGGCGGACCTTTGTGGATCCGAGGCAATTCAACAGTGAATCTAATAGAATCCACCAAGCCAAGGTTATCTAGGTTATCATCGAAAATGCAGATATCCATGGGTAGGAGTTGTGTTATGTTATTCACACCTGGACAGTGAAGCTAAAGTGACCTCTTATCACGCATGTACCTGCCGTTTTGGGCCATCGCCACTGATGACATCTCGACTATCTGCCGCTCCTTCCCGAGGTCAATGTTATGAATTGCCAGGAATGACCACCTGGGCATGCTTCATATTGCTATCTGTCCTAAGCACATCTTGCGAATGGTCTAACGACAAGGCTCACTCACTCTGCGGACCTTCGCACGGCCGCGACAAAAGAGATCGAGCCCAGCATCTTTCAAGGTTGCACCGGTTGTTTGAATTGAGTTCCGATCGCAAACACCAATCACACCAGCAAGTCAGTTACCCCAGCTCTCGTGTCCACAGGTGGAGCGTGGCCCGCTGCAGGAGGTCCTACCGAGACGAGCCACAATCCCCGCAATCAGAAAAAAAAAAGTGGAAAACCCTGATTAACAACGTCGCCTAATTCCATGACCAATTGTCCTGATTCCTGCCGGAGCTAGTTTTCCACGTCGCACATAATTGGCCCAGCTTCTGGACGCTTTATCTCGAATGCCTGTATCTTCCTGTGAGGGGTGATCACTGTCAACGCGGAACGGGAACGCCAACGGTAGTATATAGCGGGCAGCTCGTGCATCTTCTACTCGGCCAGAAAATGGGCGCAGTGATCATCAGCCTGCCCACACAGTTCACCTATATTGCATCAGGCTGAATATACCAGTGATGGATCTGGAGTCCAACGCACCACCCCTGAAACCGCCACTGACGGATCAAAATGTGCAAGATGCACAGGACCTCGCGGCCCTGGGCCACTCCCAGGCCTTGACGAGGAAATTCGATATGTGGAGTATGCTGGCGCTAGCATTCTGTGTGCTCGGTCCGTATCTTCGCCACTTCGCCCCGGTCAATGATTATTAACGTGCCTTAGGAACATATTCGACATTCGCCCAGGATCTCAGCAGCGGATTGACGAATGGCGGTGCCATCACGATTCTCTGGGGCCTGGTTCTGGTGACTGGGTGTAACCTCTGCGTTGCCCTTTCCCTGGGCGAGCTGACTAGCAGCATGCCTACTGCCCTTGGTCAGGCCTACTGGGTCTACCGACTCTGGAATACACCACTCGGGCGCTTCGTGTCATACATGTGTGCGTGGATCAACACCTTCGGATGGTGGACCTTGACTGCTTCACAGGTCGCCTTCATGACGGAGTTCTTGTTGGGCATGAAGACGATGTTCAATCCCGAGTGGGAGGGGGCCGGGAAAGGCTGGCTGAATTTCGTCGTGTATATCGGTGTCGTCTTTGTACTCACTCTCATCAACGTGGTCAGCTGTCGCAAGGAGAAGATTCTACCCTGGCTCAACAACTTTGTGGGAGTGTGGTTCTTTGGCTTGTTCATCGTGTTGTCGCTTGTGTTGCTTATCTGCGTTGGGGTGAAAAGCGACCTTTCATTCCAGCCTGCTTCGTTCGCTTTTGGTGCCTGGAAGAATGAGACCGGCTGGAGTGACGGTGTGGTGTGGTTTACTGGATTGGTTCAGGCGGCATATGGTTTGACTGCCTTCGATTCAGTTATCCATATGGTGGAGGAAATTCCCGCACCCAGGAAGAATGCACCTCGAGTGATCTGGATGGCCGTCCTCTTTGGTGCTGTCACCGGCTTCATATTCATGGTCGTTTGTCTATTCTGCATCCAGGACGTTGACAAAGTCCTCAACGCTGACCTGCCATTCATGGAACTGATGCTTGAGACGGTGGGCCTGAAAGGTGCCGCCGTATTGATCTCGCTCTTCATTTTCAACGGCCTCGGCCAGGGGATTAGCGTCTTGACCACAGCCTCCCGCCTAAGCTGGGGATTCGCTAGAGACGGCGGTGTCCCATTTGGCCAATACTTCAGCCACGTCGACCCTGTATGGCAGGTCCCCGCCCGCGCCCTCTGGGGCCAGGGCGTCATCATCGGGATAGTTGGCATTCTCTACCTATTTGCCAACACCGTTCTCGAGGCCATTCTAAGCGTCAGCACTATCGCTCTTACTGTCTCCTACGCGATGCCTATCTTGGCTCTCCTCGTTACCGGGCGCGACAAGCTACCCCCTGGGCCATTCCAGCTCGGTCGTATCGGGCCTTGGTTGAACTGGGTCAGTATCGTGTACTGCATCATCACGACCATCTTCTTCCTCTTCCCTGGAACGCCAAATCCCGCGCCGGCTGATATGAACTTTGCAATCGCTGTGTTCGGTGTGATGCTGGTCATTGCCTTCGCGTTCTGGTTCATCCAGGGCAATCGCACATATCTTCAAACTGAAGATTCGATCGCTTCTATGGTCTACGCTCACCATTTGGAGATGAACGAGGCTGGACTAGAGCAGCCTGCAGCAACTCCTGTCCCGGTCAAGGTCGAGGGTCATTGACGACCGGAGTGGACTGAGTCGAAATCGGGGGTTGCCATGGCAATGTATATATTGCTATGCTTGGCCGCAGCTTTGAATGTGCTTCTGAACCCAAACCTATGTATACATATCGACAAGGGCGGAGTACCTACTAGGTATGGATCTTACCGTAATAATTTACAGATGCATGATGTCAATCGTTTCCTACATAGGCAGTACCTAGTAAATAATTCTCGAACGCCTCATTACCGAATTCATTGCACCCCCTACACCACATCGGAGTGTTCCACATATGGGCAACGTAAGGATTACTTCCGACCGAGTGAATTGCTATTCTGTACTCCTCGCTTGGATCATTGTGCTCGAATAGGTGCCGTAAAGTCATTTTTAGCTGGGAGGGCAAGAAAGACATCCATCGATGTACGGAGTACCAAGACAGCAAGGTGGTACGGAAGAACTTCTCTCATTATTTCGTTTTCTGCACGTGTCAGGCACCTGCATATCGAATCAAACATGACATTTCCGCGTGTGAGTGGAGAGTTACGACCTACCCAGGTACCTATTGTAGTACACTGGATAGTTGATCACCATACGTCAATTTATCGTGAATCCCATGGGAATGAAGCTGGTTTACAAGCTGAAGAGAGAGAAAAAGAATATATTAAAGCCAAGTGCATTCTGCACAGGCAACTAATGTCTTCAGTTGAGTATGTAGTTAGCACTTGAGGTGTTGACACTAAGCGAGTTGGACCCGAAGAGTTTGGCCGGGACCTTCGGGAGGGAGGCTGGTCAGTCCAGCCTCCAACACTGCTTAGCCCCAAGACTTAGCAGGACTTAGCACGCCACATTGGCTAAAGTGCTTGACTCGGGTACGGATCTTGGCCAGATCACATTGCATGAGGTTTATCACCTGGGCAACTTTGAAAGACGACGCGATCACTGCCACCCATGTGCCCGAGGGACGAGGCAAAGTGAGGAATATCCATACAATACTCTTTCATGGCGCCACGACTCTTTGTGAAGTGAAGAGTCCGATCGTCTCGAACAACCAGCCACATCTGCCCCTGTCACCCTCGCATGCCTTCAAACACAGTGGGGCGGCCCCCTGCCGATCATCAACGGAACACCGACCAACGTCACAATAATGGGATGAGATTGTCCATACCGATCACATCAGAAACAATCCGACGGGCTGCACAGCAGTCGCCGTTGGTCACGATGCGACGCTATGCACATGCAGTCGAATCGAGTCCCGCGACTCGTCGCGTGAGATTCGAGGCCGTTGTTAACCCGACGGACACCCGCCTCAGGGTCCACAGCAACGGTGGAACTGGTGCAATCGCCAAGGGAGAAAGGGCGGAAACTTGAATTAAAGGTCTCAACCTTGCCAATCTTGGGAGTTATCTGCTCTTCAACCCGCATTCTTCGGCTGCCCCATTCCCCCACCCAAATGCAACAATAAACACCAATTCACGTTTGCTATCCTCTACCCCTCTTTCCGACGGATTCTGCCTCCAGGTATTTATATTTTCGGTCCTCGCTGAGTGGAGAATCTTCCCCTCTACGAAACAACCATTCGTATATACCTTTTGATCATGGTTGCGTCCCTATTGAGCCGCAAGGCCTTGTCATTGGCGGTTGTCTCTCTGCTCGCCTCCTCTGCTGCTGCCGATGTCTTTGAAAGCTTGTCGTCAGTCCCTCAGGGTATGTTTTGTTTATTCCCAATCGGTCCGAGTTGAAATCTAACCAACTACAGGATGGAGATATTCACGCAAGCCGCGTGCCACTCAGCCAATGAGATTGCAGATCGCTCTAACACAGGGTGATACTGCCGGCTTCGAAGAGGCCGTTTTGGATATGTCTACACCGGATCATCCCAGCTATGGAAAGCACTTCGAGACACATGAAGAGATGAAGCGCATGCTGCAGCCAAGCGCCGAAGCCGCGGACTCGATCCGTGATTGGCTTGAGAGTGCCGGTATCACACAGATTGAGCAAGATGCCGATTGGATGACTTTCTATACAAACGTGGAGACTGCGAACCAGCTGCTGGCAGCTAACTTCCAGTACTACATCAACGGTGCCCAGCGCGTGGAGCGTCTTCGTACCTTGGAGTACTCCGTGCCGGACGAGCTCATGTCCCATATCAACATGATCCAGCCCACCACCCGCTTCGGACAGCTCCGCGCCCACCGCGCCACCCTGCACAGTGAATCCAAGGAGACTGATGTGGCGTTCCGCGCCAATGCTCAGTCCGCTACCCCCGACTGCAACAGCGTCATCACCCCTAAATGTCTGAAGGACCTGTACAAAATCGGCGACTACAAGGCCGACCCTAAGAACGGAAACAAGGCTGGCTTCGTCAGCTACCTAGAGCAGTACGCAAGCTACTCTGATCTCGCTTTGTTCGAAAAGAACATCTTCCCTGAAGCCGTTGGTCAGAACTTCTCGGTCGTGCAGTACAATGGAGGAGGCAACGATCAGCACCCCAAGGGTGACATTAGCGAGGCCAACCTCGACCTGCAGTACATTGTCGGAACCAGCTCCCCTGTGCCTGTCACCGAGTTCAGCGTCGGTGGCCGGGGCATCCTTGTTCCTGATCTGGACCAGCCCGACCCCAACGACAACAACAATGAGCCGTACTTGGACTTCCTCCAGAACGTGCTTAAGATGGATAAGAAGGATCTTCCCCAGGTGATCTCTACCTCCTACGGCGAGGACGAGCAGGTATGGCACATCAACCTTCAAAGAGATATCTCCTACTAACACTGATTTAGAGCGTCCCCGAGTCCTACGCCCGTTCCGTGTGCAACATGTACTCGCAGCTCGGCAGCCGAGGTGTTTCGGTCATTTTCTCCTCCGGTGACTCCGGTGTCGGTGCAGCCTGCCAAACCAACGATGGCAAGAACACCACTCACTTCCCTCCCCAGTTCCCCGCCGCCTGCCCCTGGGTGACTTCCGTCGGCGCTACATCCAAGATCTCACCTGAGACCGCCGTGGACTTCTCATCTGGTGGATTCTCCGATCTCTGGGACCGTCCCAAGTGGCAGGAGCATGCTGTCAGTGGCTACCTCGAGAACCTGGGTGACCAGTGGTCTGGTCTGTTCAACGCCAAGGGACGTGCCTTCCCCGATGTTGCTGCCCAGGGTGAGAACTTCGCCGTGTACGTCAAGGGTTCTCTTAGCAGTGTCAGCGGAACTTCTGCCTCTGCACCCGTCTTCGCGGGTGTCATTGCTCTTCTCAACGATGCTCGCGCGAAGAGCAAGCAGTCTCCTATGGGTTTCCTGAACCCATGGCTGTACTCCACTGGTCGCGATGGCCTTAACGATATCACCGAGGGTGGCAGCGTTGGTTGCGATGGAGCCAGCCGCTTCAGCGGACCTAAGAACGGGAGCCCCGTCGTCCCCTATGCGAGCTGGAACTCCACTGAGGGCTGGGACCCTGTGACTGGTCTCGGTACACCCAACTTCGAGGCTATGCGCAAGCTCGCCAATGCGGAGTAGATGCATGATGCGAGTGCTTTTTTCACGTCTTGATTGACGTGCTGGATGGAATATTCCTCGCATGTCAGATTCATACACATAGAGCTTGTTTTACTATATTTGCAAATATAATGTATTTGATCTCACAATATCCCAAAGCACGGGTTCTGTTTAGTCGAAGAATCGAAGGCCCACGAAGTCAGCTCCGTACGTCTGTGATACTTCACCCGAAACATCATTTCCAATGACCACCTCATTAGAGCCATCCTTAAAGCCATCCAACAAGATGCCCAGCTTCGAACTATCCCACCAACCCTTTCCAGGACCGAATAACTCGCTATGCCGACCTGTGAGCGGAACCTCCAGTCGAACAGTATCACCGCCATTCACAGAAATCGTCATGTTTCTAGAACTCGACCCCCAGCCCCAACTCGTCGCCAAGGCAATATCATTATTGATATAGTCAATCTCCAAGTACTTGGAGGCTGTGCCATTCTGTGACTCGTCCACAGTGGCAGGAATCGTGATCTGCACGCTGCTTTCAGCAGCGATGTATCCGATCTTGGATCCGACAGGAGCACAGAAGCCGGCATCACACTCTTCTAGTTTGGAAGATCCACCCAGAGCAAACGAGGTGCATGGGTAATACTCTCCTGATGGGGACTCGATATTGATTGATTTCAGCTTACTGCTCGAGTGAATCACGAACTCGTTCGAAGAGCCCGCGGCCAAGAATATAGTTGCGGATGCTTTCTTTGCAGAACTCGACACGGGGATCTCAACCTTTTGCGAGGATGATTCCAGAGTAAGAGTCGTCTCTGATGCAGCTGATTCCTCGAATTCTATTGTCAGAGTGTGATTCGCACTGGTCGTGTTGGCGTAAACTGAGCGGAATGTTGTCTGATCACTGCGCGCGAATATCAGTTTCATTGACCGCGATGAAAAGAATTTGTGATCCAGCTGGTGACCAACTTACCTGTTTACCGTCGCAAATGCCTTGCTCGTATATGTCCCTGCTGAGGTAGTATCCTGCAGCTCAAGGAGCAACACTCCGTGTGGCTCAACCTTGCCTGTGTAGCTCGTCTTCACGTCCGAGGATGTTTTCTCGTTCCAGATGTCCTTGACGGTGCCAGCAAACTGCAGCCCGATATCTGGCAGATTCAACGTCAACTCTCGAGCCTCATCAGCCCAGTTGATAACTGCTGCCACTGTTCGTCCCCCAGATAAAGGCCCACTCCAGACTTCATATCCTTGGTCAGACCATCGACGTCGGAGACTAGCACTCTGTCCCAGGGAGTCTTGATTGAACGCAATAACGTCCTTGTTGGACAGGATAGACAGAGAAGCATCGCTAATTGCCGTCCACTCATCCTTCAGCGCACCACCAATAACGAGCGGACTCTTCAGAATAGCCCACAGCGAGAAATGAGTCTGTTCTTCTGGTACAGTCAGAATATCATTTCCGACCTCCATCATATCCAGATCTGGCCATTGCCCAGGTCCCGCGAACGAGGTCTGCGGCACGGCTTGGTTGAGGGTTCTGAAGATAGCTCGCCATGCTGGGATAATATCATTGCCAATGCGCCAGGTGTGGCCTAATTCCGGGGCCCAAAGAGCCGGGAAGTCGACTCCCCACTCGCAGATCTGGAAAAGAACCTTTTTGTCTTGCGCTGCGAGAGCCTTGGTCATATTGGCGTATCGCAAGCGCGGGGATGTGCTGGGTGCATAGTCTGTGTTAGGGTATCCCGTCGGCTCCTCGGAGTAACAGTTGTCGTCTGAGTTGTGTCAGTCTTTGATGCAGGGGTAGATGGTATGGCTAGAATTGGGGTCATACATTTGAGCGCATCGATATTCCACGACAAGAAAGTTGCTGCGTCTTGATCCTCGTGAACTGATCAGGGTTAATATGGATATGAGCAGTGAATGGAACGTGGTTGTAGCATACACAAACTGCCCACTTGATCAATTCCGGTATCACAGGTTTTGATGCCTGCGTCCTCGTAGACTCCGAATAGCAAGCCCAAATCATGGATGTACTGGCCGACAGCTGGGAAACCACTGGGAAACAGTGTCTCGTTCCAGGTGAGAGATCCGTTTGACAGTCGATCTGCTACCGTCCATCCGCAGTCGATTCCAACATATCGATATCCGAGGGCGTCCAGCCCTAGATCAACGAGAGCCTTTGCGTTGGAACGGATCGTCGTTTCATTAGGCGAACACGAGTAGTGGTTGTAACTACTCCAACTATCGAAAAGCGGGTTAGCAGGAGTAGACTTTGAAAACTAGGAATGCGTACCCCATTGGTGGTGTCGTTGCAACACCATCATTTAGCCGAGGGCGCAATGCTACACCGTCAACGCCCAAGGCTAATGATGCTAGGATGGCTGCGCTGAATGCCATTTTCGGTGCTTTCCCTGACCTACGTACATTGTTCCTCACGGGGGAATGGTATTTTATAGCTTTCTCTAGTATAGGAGACGAAGTAGGATTCTACTTTGCGGGGAAGGCGAGGGAGTGCATAGAGTAGTGTCTCTAAACAACCGGAAAATTTCCCAATTTGGAACCATACAGATGCAACACGGCTGCAGATCGACGGAGAAATAAGTTTTGATTGGTTTTCATGTTCCCCAAGCTGTAGCCAGGGGTCTGCTTGTGCAGATTTCTACTGGTGCTTATTGCATTGTGTGTCTTAGTGCTATACAAGGTAGCTGGTCAAATGCAACCAAGCCAAAATGTGGGCTGATAGCAATTCGGTCTTGAATTTCGTGAATCCCAATGGATAAGATGACCATCTGAGAAAGTCTAAATGACCAAAATATTCAGTCACCCTTGTCTAGTTCATTATTCCTGGAAAATTGGCTCGGTCTTCTCGATCTGCTCCTTGCTCACACACCACTTGTCCTGCAAGTCAGTGTCGAGACTAGTCTGGTAGACGGCCTTGGGCCACCATTCACCCCAGCTAGTCAGGAAGATTTGCTCGGGGTCTTCGGGGAAATCTTCCGCCTTGACGGCGCGGAGGAGGTTCTCGGCGCCTATGAACGGTTAGTCTCAACACAATGTCACGCTCGGAAATATCTTACCCTCGGACACAGATTTAGCATCAGGCATGTCCATGGTCAGGCCCAAGCTGGGGTGCTGTGCAAGCTTGGTGTTGGGGATGAGGCCGGGTGAGACGGCAACGACCCTGCATGTCGGGAGGTTGCGCCGCCACCAGTGAGCACCCAGAAGCTGGGAGAATTTAGAGCCACTGTATACTACTCTTGCGTTTGCGCCAGAGCCTGCCTTCAGGTCGACATCAAGTGTCTCTGTGGGGTCATCAGTGAATGGCCAACTGGTGTTGATCTCTTCAACTTACTAGGGTCGTTGTCTCTCAGCCCGCGAATCGCACCCGAAGAAACAACCACGATACGGGATTTCGAGGAAGTCAACTTCTCGGTCAGGTGGTGGGTCAGGTAATGTTGGCCTAGACTAGTTAGCCTCCGCTGGTACCAAGGCGATTGTGACGAGCATTCGGATCCGACATACTGAGGTGGTTGGTAACGTATGATTCGCACCATTGCGAGCCGTTGGGACCGGGTCCATCAGCACTGTTCAAAGAGCCAGCAACCAGGAACAACAAGTCCAGGTTCTTCTGGCCAAGCTCGGACAGAGCCTGCGAAGCGAATGACTTGACGCTTTTCAGGTTCAGAAGGTCCAAGGGGAGAATAGAAACATTGTGCTTTGCGGAGTCGTATTTCAGATCATCGTATGCGGCCCGTGCCTTGGTGGTGTCTCGGGCGCCGAGGATGAAGTTGTGTGGTTGGGTCTGTTGCAGCAATTGCTTGATTGCTTCGAATCCCTGCACTTGGATTAGCTCAAGGCAGTTCCGATTGGGGCTCCACATACCAGACCCGAAGAGGTACCTGTCGCAATAACGTTCTTCACAATTCCGGCCATGTTGCTGTACTCCGTGGGAGATGTCGACTTCAACTCGGTGTGAAATGTGCGGTCAGAGAGCTGGCTGACGAATGACGTCACATGGTCTCACCGCTCAGCTTTCTGTCCGAAATGTGGTCTTCGCTCTCTGCGGACTTTGAAGTTTGCAGAGGATGTTGGAAGCTGCATCACACTATCGGAATGCACTGAGGAGAAAGATCCTTTCAGGACCAGCTGCTTGCACATTCTGGGTGAGCTCCGGTCAACATCGTCAGCCGGAAACGCGCCAAGGTGCGTGCCGGCGCGCTGGCAAGCATTCCCCACATTTGGGCGGCGCACCCCTGAGCTGCCTTACCGGGCCACGAAGATCATGAAGATGCAAGGATGAGTGATCGACAGTAAACGACCTCGGTCAATTCACAAGGGTAAAATTCATTATGTATCGATGTGCTATTATACACCAAAAGTCATGTCGACAAGCCAAGAAGCACACGGTCGCTCATTCAGTTTCATATCCAGATTCCAGTCACACATCAATTTTCCAAAAACAGCATTCAAGAGAGAACAGCCATGAAGGCGGAGCTGAACAGGAGCGCGACCAGACCAAGGCCCGACTTCGAGATGGGCTGGTTCACAATGGCGGCGTTGTCGGTTGAGGTTGAAGTACCAGTGCTGCTGGTGCTGGTGCTTGTGCCGGTGGAGGTAGACTTGGTGCCGGTGGAGGTGGCCGTCGCGTTGAGGCCTGCATTGCAGAAAACATCGTTGAAGTTGCCGCTCTTGCTGGTGATGCAGGTCTGAAGCTTGCCAACATCTTGGCCTTGGGCGAGACAGTAGATTGCGCAGTCATTATCGTACTTGTGGGTTGAGGCATCGTCGCAGCATTGGTCCATGACATCGGTGACATTACCGCGGATGACGGCTGCGCAGGCAGCATCCGTCGTAGGGATCTGCCAGACGCCGCTGCCGCAGGCTGTGCTGGTTGCGCTGACGGATGAGGTTGTGGTGGACATTTTGAGTGTGGCTTGGGGGCGTGTTTAGGGTGGGCGGGGCTTTTTTTATAGGAAGAAACACGAGAAAGCAACGGGAAAAGATCCGAAAATGTGAGACGATTCAAAAGTTGGGCAAAGGTATTTAATAACCCCAGGTAAGACAATAGCGCGGGAAAAAGGATCTGACTGGTGTTTCGGTAGGGAGCGAGGCCTCCACTTGGCTTCTATAAAAAGTCATTGGCTGGCATGGGGTTGTTTTTCCTTGGCTCTCCTTGTTGCATGTTTTATTGTCTGACATATCCAACATCCCTTTCCATGTGACAAGTATCATGCATGGGTTCGCGGAGTACTTAAATTCTATCAAGGGGTCAAAGACTAAAGTCACTGCGTGGGAACTGACTTCCATTCGGGTATCGAGAGGTCGACCTGTCAATCATATTCTAGCTTTGCCCGGGCAGCTCTGCCGATCAGGGACCGGCAGTTCCTGTGATCTGCATTCCTGACTTCGGTTTATGGCGCTGCACCCTCATGCTTTGAGTATTCGATCCTGCTTTCCCCGAGATCGGTGTGCTTTTCATCCGCAGGCTCCACACCGACAAGCGCGAGAAGACCAATCTCGCTTTCGATGCGATGCTTCCGCTCATTGTCTGCGGCTGCCATGCCGCCAGATCCGAAAATCTCGTCCATCTCCTCGAGAGTCCGACCCTTGGTCTCGGGAACCAGGAAAATGACATATACGATCGCAATGGTCGTGATGCATCCGAAAAAGATGAATGCACCAAAGTTGCTAGTCTCAAGGAAGGGAGACGTAGCAGTACCGACTGCGAAGTTGTTTAACTTTGAAAGACATGTTTAGCTAGGTTCACCCAAGTCTGCAACACACGGACTCACCCAATTGCTGCTGCCGCCCAGACTCACGCCCTTGGCACGCATGCTAAGAGGGAATACCTCGGAGGTAACAATCCACGCGACTGGGCCTGTTGTGGAATCATGGTCAGCAGTGTTTCACCCCCGCCAACTGTACAACATACCCCAGGAATAGGCAAAGTTGATGACGAAAATCCAAACGAATACAATAGCAACCCAGCCTGCGGCTTTATGTTCATCAAAGGTTCCTTGATAGGCACCAATGATACCTGCGACAATGAAGTGGCAGATTGCCATTCCAGCTGCACCGGCGATCAAGATCTTCTTTCGCCCAATCTGGTCCACCCACAGCACCGCGGGAATTGTGAAAATGAACTCCACAATTCCTACCACTCCAGTTGCAAGGAGCGAGATGGTGTTTCCGCCGAGCTGCATGTCCTTGAAGATGTAAGGTCTATACATAAAGAGTCAGGTCAATGATTGTCGTGCATGCATTGGAGGTATATCCAGAGCTTACGCGTAGTAGTTGATTGCGTTGATGCCTAAAATCGTCATTAGCGATACATTCAGACTGAAAAAGATCATGCCCAGGTGGACTTGGATACTGCTTACCATTCCATTGTTGGAACACCATGATCATGCACTATGTCGTCATCAGATTTGACATGCCAGGACCGGCTGCAAGGATACTTACGGCCGTTGCGGTGCGCTTGAACAGAGACTTGTTGGTGACCAGCGACAGGTAATCATAGAATCCGATCTTGAATCGACTAGAAAACGAGTCATCTTGCCAGTCGGGATACTTCTCCTTGGCTGTCTCCCGTTCGAAGAGATATAGACTCTTCATTTCCAGGAACTCGATGCGGACCAATAAGTCATCAGTGGATGCGTTACGCAGACGAGCCAGGGTGGTCAGACATTCCTCCTCGCGACCGGTGTTCATCAGATGACGCGGGGACTGGGGCATGAACATCATCATTCCCACGGCGAGGACAATTGCGGGCAAGATTTGGATACAGACTGGTACCAGCCACGCGGCGTCCGATTGTGTCTCTCCCGTGCCACCAATATAATTCGTTCCGTAACCGATCTAGGGACGTCAGAGTCGACGTTCAAATCGTGGAGGGGTGACGTACCCAAAAGCTGACCATGATGCCGAATGTGATGGCGAGTTGCTGCACGGCGACAAGGGAACCTCGGATCTCAGGTGGTGCCTTACTTTGTCAGTTCGCACTTGCTTCTGACCTTGCAACACTTACCAACTCGGCATTGTATAGCGGCACCACCATACTCAGACTACCAACACCCAGACCGGTCACAAAACGACCTCCAAAGACATAGTCGGGGCTTTCTGTGCATGCCTGGACAATGACACCGACGCAGAATACCACCACGGCAACCAGGACTGTCAAGCGTCGACCGAGCGCATCCGCCAGGTAGCCATTTGCTAATGTTCCCACCCACGCACCCAGTTCGAGGATAGAGGTCAGCATTCCCTGTTGAATACCCGTCTCCGCAGCATATCCTTGCGTCTATTGGCAGAGAATGGTCAGCGAAGAAGCAAGATGTTGATTAAATCTAGTGACATACCGCTGCTTGAAATGCAGGCATTGTCAAGACCTGAGCGAACATTCCCTGGTTATCTGAACGTCGTCAGATGCGATTCGCCAGCTGAATGCAGCGCCTACTCACATCCATAAACCAAACCACCTAGCGACGCGAACAATCCAATGCATGTTGTCTTCTTGTTGCTCAGCAAGCCCATGAATCCATGCTTGCCGGCGAGCTGGGCACGCTTGGCCGAAATGGCCGTCTCCCCTGGAAGAGCAGCCACCATGATGTGACACTGACAGAGGTACGGATAATGATATAAAATAAGATACCCTGATTATAAACAACAGTACCCAAGGCGTGGAAATTTGAAAAAATAACTGCACATTCCCACTTCTCGACAGGGGATCAGCGAGTATTTATTCGGGGTGCAGCGGGTAATGAGTAGACAGCAAAAGTTTCCCCGGGAACTTAGCCCCCATGGGGAGTGTGATCGGGGTTGAGACCTTCCAAGTTTCCAAGTCGGCCCAATCAGGCCATGCCGACCAAGCTTCGTGGCGTGTGGTTTGCTCTCGAGACATGGAGCCCAGCCCAGCCAAGTCGGCTAAGGATGAGACGGGAAAGGCTACGAAAAAGCTCATCAGTGGCATCCTGGGCCGTGCGCCACGATGCTTGTCGCGCTATTTATCCGGTGTCGAGTCTTTTGAGTCAATTTTCATTAGAGAATGGCCTTTGAATCAACCATATCATATCAAGAAGATGCTTTCCTTTCAGCATACATCCATGGATGTCAAGGAATGCCATTCTGGGACCCTTGGGCGCACTCGGGCGGAAATACCCCGACTTCCCCACACCGACGAAATCCCGGGGACCCCGGATAAGATGAAGCGGACATGACCCTTCAGTGATGATACCTTCGATCCAATGTACGCACAAGACACTACCTAGTACTAAGATGATCTACCCCGTACAAAATACATCAACGCAAGGCATGACTCGTCGCAAGTTCATCCTGAGATCCTGACGGATATAACTGACCGGCTGAATCGCCAGCATTTAGCCTGATGACCCCCTGTCAGCCAACCCGCACGTCACCTCCTCCCCTCCGGCCATCATCCCACGCGCTGAACAAATCGGCTTCGAGCGGAGCCCCTCAAATCCCGCCCTCAGGCAAAACATCACCGTTGCACCCGGGGATTATCCGGCCTGTTCATCGGCACGTGGATAAAAAGGGTGCCTGCTTCGGAGCCTGGATATATCCTTCGATGCCCCGTAACCATTCTATATCCGGGGGATTGTCTCGGCTTCCTATCGGAGGTTGATCGGGTGATGGGGTAAACAGTGTCTTGGCGTCCTGAATGGAGACTTCGGCTTCCATTATTTCGGATTTTGGGTGAGACAATCGTTCCCTTTTGTTATCTGCCTTGATCACGGCAATTTGATACCTACCTACCTAGGTACTCCGGACATAGCTTGATTCCCAGGCGCGCCTACCTACATTTCTCGGCATGGGCATGGGCATCCCAAAGTTCAGATGTCAGAGTATACTAACTCTTTACACAAAACGCTACGAAGGCTGTCTGCGGGTGGATCCTGAGATCTTCCAAGATTGGAATACTCCAAGGTCAATACCTAGGTAGGAGCTTTTTCATTACACCATGGTTGGAATCTTGGAATCGATGGATTGTATATATATTCTTCACTCTGACTACGAAGCACACCCTCGCTTTCCCAAGGTCCAAAGGTCCCTCAAAGATAGTAATCCCACAAAAGGGCAGCACCAGTAACAGCCACCATCGCAGTCTCGAAAACAGCAACCTGACTCCAACCACCACCATTCATGTGGAAGATACCAGCCGCGAAAAGGCGACCCGGCAAAGATGCCAACACGACAGCCAAATTTCGCTGGTACGCCCCAATCGCAAAGAACAACCCAGTGGACATGGAGTTTACCCTGAGTACAGTTGTTAGTCTACTCGTTTCCAAGGTTGACAAAGCTTGATATACATACCCCATGGCTCGGACCGCATGTTCAGGAAGCCCACTCATAGGCGAGTCGGTCAGGTTAGCGGCAGAAGCGGGGCGACAGATCAAGTACACGCCATTCAACAGCAGAAAGCAAGCCTGTGCGCCGAAGACGATGCTCGCCGCATTTGGTCTACGGAGACCAAGGGGTTGTGACATCTTTTGGTGCTTTCTTGCGAAGTCGAGACGGCGATGTTCTGAGATTGTCTGGCGAGTTTGCCAGAGCCTCGTATAGGTAGAGAGTAGATCTGGCAGAACTTGAACGGGCGGCTGGTCATCATATACCGCTGAGGTCGCTGTACGAAGTCCTCGTATTAAGGCCCGGCTTACCCCGAGTCAGCCCCTCCACTTGCAAAGTTGCGCGGTTAGCTGAAATCTCGAGCTGAAAGTAACTAATGATACTTTCGTCGGGCTTAGCGGCTTCTACGCTTTTTGTGCTGAGCCGACAAACTTCACCGAGTATAGCTCTGGAAATGGTCCCCAGTGCCTCAGCTTTGCCATTTTTGGATGTTCCGGGACATCCCGAGCTGACTGTATTGTGTCTCGCCAGCAAAAGTATTTTATATTGCACTCCCCATGGGCAATTATGCCATTCAAGTGGACACAAATAGGGATCTATATGATATCAAACGTTTGCAGGCTGCGCTTGGGCCATATGGGTGACAGCCCGGGCATTTTTCACCGGCCCCCTGGGGCATTGTGATACCAATGTAGGTTTGTCAGGAAGATTTTGTGACGTATTCATGGATGATTCAAACCTTGAAAAGTACAAACCAGAGACCCAATCAAGGGCATAAAAGCGTATGTTCAAAACTTTTAGGCGGGTGCGTGAAGCCACTCAATAGTGCTAATGAAGCTGATTCTGTTAATATATTCCTTCCGCCAGTCGGGAAGGATGAGCATTCCATAAAACAGGATGCCGATGTATGGCGCATGGATAGGGGGGCAATTAACAGGTCCGCAGTCAAAGAGTACATAGGCAAATGTGAAGGGTGATGCCATGATGGTGCTAAAATGTTGACTATCCTACACAAGATGTCATGTTTCAGGTTACCTTACTAGAAAGAAATAGAGCAATACAATTGTATTAGCAATTATGGAACCCTGCGTTGACTAGCAGTAGTTCAAGAAAATTAGCTCGTGATTCATAGATCAGAGGGCGTAAAAAGTCACAAACTCCGCAATGAAACACACTAAGAGCATGGGAAAAACAAAGCAATTGACCAGATCGAAGAACCAGGGCAGCAAATGCGAACATCTCTGCTAAGCGAAGCGAAACCAGAACTGAAGTGACAGGCGAATGAAGATACTCACAATGAATTGGCCCAAATTGAACAAATTCACGAAGTGACAAGTAGGGTATCTTTCAAGCCCAGTCCACTAGAGCGTAACCTAAGCCACGGGGACGGTGGTAGCCACTGCCTCCTCATCCTTGCCCCGAGAGCCGGTGCGAGGGTGAAGAGTCATGGCTGGGCCAGACTCCCCAGAAAGCTCCTCCAGTGACTTTCTCTTGGTCTCCGGAATCAAGAAGGTGGAAAGAAGACCACACAACATGAACAGAGAGAAGATTTCCATAACATGGTTGAGCCAGGGAGAATCATTGGTCTTAGTCGCACCGCGGTGAGCGAGCGGTCCAAAGACACACTGCGCGATGATGGCGCCAATCTTGCCGGCCGCAGCACTGATACCGTGGGAGGTAGAGCGGTACCGAGTTGGGAAGCATTCGCCGGGCACGATGAAAGTGGTAGCATTGGGACCGAAGTTGAAGAAGAACTGTGCAATGACATACAGCGCGAGGAGGCCATTGTGAGTGTGCTTCAGGTTGTGGTAGCCGAATCCGATGGCGATAAACAGGATGGTCAGGATCGCGAAACCCATGAACTGAATTGGCTTCCGCCCCAAGGTATCGACGGTCGCAACGGTCACCCAGTAACCAGGAATAGCACCAGCACAGATCAGGATGATGTTTCCAACCGCGTTGCGATAGAAGATTTCGTACAGGTTACCTCCACCGGTCCAACCGATTGCCGAGAGGATAATGGAATTGTTCAGTCCGAGGCCGTAGAATGCTATCAAAAGACAAGTGTTACAAAGAAGAGCGAAGGAATTAATTCATCATCAGCTAGACTTACCAACGTCGAGAAAGAACCACGAAGCTGCGGTACCCAGCAGCATCTTGGCGTTTTTCCATTCGGAGTAGTAACTGCGGAAGTCGGACCAACTAGCCTTGGGAATCAGCGAGCCATCGGCTTGAGGACGGAGCTCTGTGAGTTGCTGGGAGTCGCCAGATTTGCCGCTGCGACCCTGAAGGTAGGCCTGAACATCAGAGTTGGCTTTGGAGTGATCGCGTGCAACGTCGAAGGTGTAACGAGGAGTCTCGGGGATAGTGAGACGGAAGTACAGAGCCAAACAAGCGGGGACAGCTCCGATTCCAATGATAATTCGCCACATTTTGTCGACGGCAAGCAGGCATTCGTCAGTGCAATGTCCGGCATCCTTAGCACTCTTGAGCGTGTCTTTAAAGCCGGCAGTGACAATTAAGGCCATGATAGCTGCAGCGAATTGACCAATACCTTGCATCGCAAAGACAGCACCCATCATAGCACCGCGCCACTTGGTAGTAGCAAATCTAAATGTCGTATCAGCGACCGTAGACCTGAATCGGAGTCATCAAGCAACTTACTCGGAGGTAATGACGGAGGAAAGGGGGTAGTCACCCCCAATACCAATACCCATGACCACTCGCCAGAAGACCAAGAGACCAGTGATAGAGACAGCAGAGGACCGGGCCGACAAAGCCTGAGCAAGAGTGGCCAGAATGATAATGATCAATTCAAAACCATACATGCGCTTACGACCAATGCGGTCGGCAAACCATCCGAAGAAAAGCTGACCCAGAACAGTACCACCAGAAGTTGCGACCTTGACGGCAGTGTCAACATTGACAGGCAGCTTACCATGTCCAGCCGAACCGTTAGCGAAGAAGACAATACCGAGCATGCTAACAACAAGGTTGATGGCAAAGATGTCATAAGCATCAGTGAAGAATCCAATACCGGCGACGATGATGGCACGCACATGGCGCCAGCCGAATTGGGCGTTGTCAAGGCTGCCTAGGGCATTGCGGCGACGCTCCTCAGCCTCATGAGTGGCGGAGTAGGGCGAGACTTGAACGGAACCATGTCCTCCGCTCAGGTGCGCGAGGGAAACAGCTTCATCCGATCGCTGAGCAAAGGCGTTTCGTAGCGAAGCCCCCCTGGAAGGGAGGGACCCGTGAGAGGACATTATGAAGGTTTTGATCAGGTAACGAAGTTTGTTTACGAACCTGAGGGGTGCGAGAGGAAGAAGAAGAAGAAGAAGAAGAAGAAGAAGAAGGCGAGGAGGAATCAATCGCATCCATTATAAAGGGGAGTGCATTCGACGCTAGTGACGGTTACAACTGATCGTGACAGTTTGGGGCTCATCATGATACCAAAGTACATCAGCCCTACGGCGGCTGGATAGGGCTGAGAAGTACCTGCGATGGAGATGGGGCCAGGGCCTGTCGAGCACAAAGTACCGGGGTTTCTGAATTTGACCAATGAGCGTGAGATGTGGGAATAAGCCCTGGAGGCCTGCATGCACTTAAGTGAGTGGAAGGGCCAATGAGCGTAGTGAATGGGAGCACGTGTGGGGTATGAGCAAAAACAAGCTTTATGTAGTGGGTACCGAGCTTTGACGGGAAGTGAAGCGGGTCACCGAAGTATTTAGACATAAACCTTGGGACTCATCTTAAGCCCACGTCTAGGCTTTCTATCTTCCACGCGTGACCATGAATATTGAAACCCTGCCCCCACCCTCTCTCACACTCCGAGGTCACACTCACATTCACACCTGGGCATAGACAATAAGTGGCCCAACGCACAGTAAACACACACACACATACAGCATAAGTGATAAGATAAGACAGAACGCACGCCTGTGCACAAAGCACACTCTCTGGGGCTCTTTCAGGGATCAAGTGCTCATACACTTCAGACGCCTTGGTGATCCTCTAAGTATAAAGTCGATTGGAGATATTATTTGGATCATTCAATACCTTGGGTTTTCAATGTCCCATTCCTGGATTGCATCACCCAAGATGAATATATGCATGCAGCCTCTGAGAGTAATTCCATTAAGTATACGCCGATGTCTCCAATCAGGATCAGGATCAGGCTCAGATCCCCCGCTTCATTTTCCACCGCATAATATAAGTCGCAAAAGGATAAAGAGCCAGCGACAACCCAATCCAAGCAAACAGCACACCAAAGTCCAGCCCAATGCGTGAATGAGTACCAAACAGGATCGTTCGTAGGGCCTCGACAACTAATTTCGGTTAGCATCGCCCCCAAAAGGACAAAAGAATACATACTCCGGTGTAACGGCCAAGCATAGCCCCATCTGTAGAATCCAGGGGCAAGATCAATGGCATAGAACGCCGTAGCCACATTTGTAATAACCCAGAAGATCAGGAAGAAAGAACTCCACGGGAAGCCTAGGATCATGGCCATATTCTCACAAGGGAATCCCAGTGCGGCCATACCGACCCAGTTCAGCATCCAGAAGACAACGAATGACCCAAGCCCATATGCATTGGCATTGCTTGCTGATACAGTATCGTCTGCAGGAGAATTGCTGAATGGGATCCGGAACGCGAGGGAAACCAGCGAGTAGAAGAATGACAGAAAGAAGTATGCCACTATGCTCGATGCAATGCGCCAGATTAGCCAATGGCTTACCTTGAGAGGTGGATGCCCGTCGGCTTTCATGAATTGTGCATGAATGGGCATTAGGAAGGGGAAGTTGAAGAACGCAATAATGATCAAGTAAATCAGACCGATTGTCACAGCTGGGGCGGCAACGGCTGGTGCGAACGGGCGGAGATCAAGGGTCGTGAATCCGATAGCTGGGTTGATGGCCTGCGGAGGCGCAGATGTGAGATTTTTAGATGAGATCTCCTTGATCCACTGTGGACCGAACTGCGCTAGCACCATTCCTTGTAGAATCGACAGATCGGGAAGGACATAGTTGTAATAGGTTGCTTCATCGCGGGCAGAGATGATCACGATTTGAATGGCGCCAGTTGGATCATAGGTGGCGTTGTTCTTCGAGACGGCATCCCGCAGAAGGGTGGTTGCATTCGGGTTGATGATCACGGCTGCATATGCATGCTCATCATAGATACCCTGACGAACGGCCCGAAGCTCAAAGTCAAAGTCTGCTGGGGATTTTATTGTGTACCCCAAGTGAATGGAGTCGGAGTTGGCCAGACTTTTGGCGACATTTGTGACCGCCGGGCCAACAATGGGATCGGTAGTGCGGTACGGATCGGCTTGGCCATCAAAGTCCACTACCCAGACCTTGAGAGCCGAGTAGTTGGCCTCAGTGCCATATTGGGATCCCCAGAAGAGGGATAACACGCCAAAGACGAAGATGCAAAGAATTGCCACTGAGAAGTGTGAGTATCCCTTGCGTTGCTCGAGGTTGCTTTACTCACATGTGCGAGCCCATTGGAAGTATATCCGCCGGCGAGTCTCCTTCAACGATGAATCAAAAAATGACACCGGTTGACTTCTGTCTATTGACTCGTCTTCTATCCTCATTGTGCAGAACTTTGATTTTCGGAGATGTGAAATTTCCATCTTGATTCTGTTGTCTCATAGCTACGCCATCCGCTTCCGGCGATGTAGTTCTCGGAGCTAGCCCCCTTGGGGAATGCTGCTCTTCAGGGCTACTTTAAAATTTGATTCTTGACACTTTGCACTTTTCAACAGAGCACTGAGTATATCGTTTGGACATTGAAGTGAGTAAATCTGTATTTTTTGCTTTACCAGCATGCAGTGGACCTTAGTCTTGCTCCACTTAGATGAGCACGGAAATTCGATAAGGAGACGTGTAAGGAGTATACTATCCAAATCCGGCGATCAGTCTCAACCATGCGTGATAGGCTGATCGCAGTAAGCTTGTTCGATATATCTCCTTCAGCAGTGTTTCGAGTTTATTAATCCCTGCACCCCGGAAACTAATCGTGTAGCAGGATGCGCCCTTGCGCGTCGTTTCATCGGATCCCTGTCATCTCACAGGGGTCGTGCATGATCCTTCGCCGCTTTAGAGGGATCACGAATCCTACTACCAGTAGCACTGTGTTCCGCGGAGGTGCGACTCAAGAAAAGCGAAGCTCAGAAATCGAGTCCTTAGCCCGCTAGTACCATCCGCTCCTTAAATGGTGTGCCAAGCCCAGACCACCCGAATATCCACACTTGAGTACAAAGTAATGATCGCCGATAAGCCAATGGCGAATAAGAGGCGTAAGAGAGTCAGCGTGCACGGGGATTGACAATTCGTATCTCGTTTGATTTAGTCTATGGGTATCATTAAAAAAAATTCTAGTCTAGTTCTGCTCAGGGGTTATCGAGCCCCGACAAAAGGAAAAAGGTAATTGGGAACCAGCCCAGACCCCGTGCCAGACAGGGTCACAGCAGAAAGTGTACTCCGTAGAAGTATTCACTCGCAGGAGACCTGGTAAGAGCCGTAGCGGCGTCTGGGGCCAGCCATGCGACAGGTATCGGTGGGAGTGATTTGACCCGCGACATCGGAGAGTTCATTCTGGTCGCACATGGTGTTATCGAAGAATTCGATGCGACAGCCTTCCGCGACAGTGTTCAGCGTGTAGGCGGAGGCAACGCTGTGGAGGTCGGCGCGACAGCCCGTGCTGCCGGATCCGGCGTGGGGGTCGCCGATAGTCCCGTTGCAGGAGGGGGACTGGAACAGGGTGAAGGACCACTGGATATCGCGACCGATGAGAGGGAAAGCGGCGGCCAGGTTGAGGAGGAAGGCAGTGGCCAGGATGAGGCGGAGAGTAGAGAACATGGTTGTAGATGGATTGTAGAGCCGGGGTGGAAGTCGGAGAATGTTCCAAGGCTGTCGCAGATGCGAGTTCGGTTTCTTGGAGAGAGGAAAACGGCGAGGCCCAGTATTTAAAGATTCAGGGTTCCTTTTAGTAGAAAAAAAAAAAAAGAAAATGACAGGAGAAGTCTCCAGTTTAATTTATTTGGCTCAGACCCGCAACCCAGATTGAAGATCCCATTTTCCATTTTACTACCTACTAATTACTGTGTCCGAGGCCACTTACGTCTCAAGGCCTACGTATGCAGGATTAAACTCCGAATAGCCATGCGCATCTCCCATGCTCGGAATGTACTAGTAGTACACAGTATAGTACTGTACATACGGAGTAGACAGTGCATGATATCATTCCAGGCCGACGATCAGTTAAACTCGTTTGGGGAAGTGGGGGTCGCTGGGGCTTCTCATCTTACGAAGACGCGTACGTACTCCCCCACGCGGTTCGTGGCCATGCATTTCTCAGGGTCTTCACTGGCCGCTGTGCGAGTACATGCATATGTACACACTGTTTCTATTTCCGTGTTTGCCATCGATTCCCCATGCTCAGGTGGCTGGACATCTCCGTAAGAAAATCAACTGACAGCCCTGGGGGCCGATCGACAGGGCAAAACAGGGAATCTCTCCTTGTCGATCATGGAAATTTCTTCCTTACCCTGAACCGTTAGATCTGGCATTTACCCGCGACGTTTCAACAGCCAACTTCCCGAATGCGGTAACCGGTACCCATGGGTTCGAGGCGCCGAAAAGGCTTGCGACCCGTTGCCCATAATAAATCAGCTACGAACATTTATCAAATGTGAGAGTCTCGACCTCGAAAACCCTCCGACATCCCCAACCTCGCGATAATCCCCAGGAAAATCATGCGGCTGGGGGCTTTATCCCGGTTTCGACGTCATTCGCTGCAGATGCTCGGGCTCTCGGTTCACTCCACTCTCGGCGCACTCCGTATTCCGGTGAAATCACTGCTTATCGCTGCGACCCTACCAGCCCGTGCCTTGGAACATCCTCTTGCGCAATAGTAGAAGGGCAGAGTCTTGGCTGAAAGCGGAAACTGTATCCAATCCCACGGTTCCCGGCCTAAGGCCCAGTAGCCGTAGTATTTGTCTTGGACATGACCTCGGGACGAGGTTTTCAAGCACAGTTTCCCCATGTTGCGACTCGATATGCATTTCCTTGGAACTTGGAAGGTGTGCCAATTCTGCTGCACGACAGGCGCAAAAGATCGGTATGAAGAGGGTGAAGATCGACAGGCTGGGTTGATACACGAGGGGGAAACGCATCCGTGGATCGTGAAAGGCTGGAGGATTGGCTGCCTAAGGCATCAACACAACAAGTTGGACCCAAAAGGGTTGCGGGTAGTGCCCTTCACCGGTTGGGCTATGAACGCATTGGAATGTCTTTCGAGAAGGCTCTTTAGGCTCTTGGGATTTGGGAGGGAATGATTAGAAAGTCACGTCTAAGGTGATGAGCAAAGTGCCTCGTTCTCTCGACGTGAGTCCTTAGCGAAGTATAACCAGAGACACGACGCAAGATGTTTAACTCACCGAAAGGAATAAGTCTGGGTCTGGAGCCGTCGAAACCTTGTTGGGCTGAGGGGCAAAGAAAAGCTAGAGCAAGTCATCATCGCTTCAGCCCGTTGCGTGGTGCACCGAGGCAGCACGCCACGTCTTGACGGTGTTGCAATGGTATATGTAGAAGTAAATTCGAAGTCAAAACAGATCGTAGCATACGGGAATTGCTGAAGATGTCCTGAATCGACCTTGCACAGCGCTATTCTTTGCCATTTCGTCAGATGTGATGTGACAACGAATCAGCATGCGAGATCAATATGCGCTTGCAAGGTGATGTTTCACATTCATGATACTGGTGTACACAACCCAATAGATTATGCAGTACAAGCCTCATTATTGTGTACTGCGGCAGAGACATGCACCGATATTTACCCGCTTGCCATGTGCCTGCCGGTGGATCGACCGGAGGGTGACGCACTGGGCAGATACGATACGATATGCTCAGATCAATTCTTAATTTTGGGCCACATTTTGATTCCAGAAATTCGATAAGTCAAGGAGGAACTGCCCTTTTGAAGAGTTGAAATGCCTAAAATTGGGACCTTTGCTTGTTCCTTAATTGAGATGGACCCACATCGGAGCACGTTTTTGAAGGTTAATGCGTAGAGATCCAGCTATACTCGATGATGTCCGCCGTGGATGTCGGCTTCAGTACGATGGACGGAGTAGGTTGAAACAATTGGACACTTCGGCGTTTCCGAGTCAATTAAGTTTGAGGGCGAGTATATCTTAAAGCTTGTCTCTCTTCAATACCTCGATGTGTCTTACACCTACACACCTCTTAGTCCAAAATGGTACCGCAGAATCCCCCCAGGAAGATCCTACTGCTCACAAATGTCGAACGCGGTGAAGCCAACGTGTTCTTGGCTACATGTGATGCACTGCTGCGACTTGCTCCGAATATCGAGCTCCACTTCGCGACTTTTGGTGGCTTGGAGGATGCCGTTGCGTCCGTTAGCCAACATGTCCGCGAATCCGTTCCCCAATCAAAACCAATCACCTTCCACAAGATCGAAGGGACTTCAATGGAGGATAGCCTAAGGCAATACTTCGTCCGCGAGAAAGTTCCCACTCGAGCGGGCTACCCTCCGAACTCATACCTCGAACGACCAGGGATCTTAAACACAACTAGAGCGGTCCGCGACACTGTCCCTGTATTCGTGCCGTATAATGGACCACAGATGGTGGAGATATTCCGGTCAATTTGTGAAACCATCAAGAAGGTTGATGCAGATCTTGTGGTGGTAAATAGCCTGATGACTGCCGGGTTGACAGCGTGCTACCATCTCAAGATCAAGTTCACATGCTTAAGTCCCAATTCTATCAAGGACTTTGCAGCATCAGTTCAACCAAAAGCAGCGGGACTTTGGAAGGTCCCTGCGTATGTCTCCTCTTCACCTTTCCTGAAACAAACGTTCGTTAACCGTTTTAGATTGTTTTCCGGGTATAAGTTCCCAGTGCCCTGGTATTCACGGCCACTCAACGTATACTTCAATCTCTTCTCTGTATTCGCTTGGAGCAGAGACCGCAACAGAAAGGAAACCGAGAAGTATCTCGCCACACATACTGGCGCCAGGCTGAGAACACCGATGGATCTGATTATGAATCGACCCGATGATCTGAAGATCCTAGTGAGCTCTCTCCCAGAGCTTGACTTTCCGCTACTCATGCCCGACTACATTCTTCCATGTGGACCGATTCTCCGAGATGCCTCAACGATCCAAGAATCAGATCCCGGGCTTGAAGAGTGGTTATCCAAGGGACCGACGATCTACCTGAATCTAGGATCCATCTGTCCTGTCGCTGAAGATCAGGCTCTCGAATTGGCCTTGGCTCTGAAAGTTGTGCTTGACACACTGAGAGTTCAGCCCAAGGCTCAGAATTTCCAGGTGCTTTGGAAGCTAAAAAAGCTGGGTAACTACCCGGTTTCGGAACCGGGGTCTCCAATCGGGAAGGTTTTGGGACAATATATCAAGCTCGACTCCGTGAGAATTGTGGACTGGATTCAAGTTGAGCCAATCGCAATTCTTCAATCAGGACATGCTGTGTGTTCAATTCACCACGGCGGAGCAAATTCTTTCAACGAAGCTGTGAGGTAAGTGACCCGCGGCCTCACATTGAACCGACATGGTGAAGCTGATGATATCTAGAACTGGCGTTCCACAAGTGATCCTCCCACAATGGATCGACTGTTACGACTACGCAGAGCGTGTCGAGATGCTGGGCATCGGTCGAGTGGGTAACAGGAAAGCCAAGCCACAATGGACCGCCCGAGAATTGTCAAAAGAGCTTCTTCGCGTGCTTCAAGGCCAGAGTGCTATTTCGATGCGACAAAGGGCAAGCGATCTGGCGAGCATGTGTGACAAGAATGGAATTGGTGCGGTGGTGGCCGCGCAAACCCTTCTGGGCGAATGTCCTGAGAAATTGATTTGATGATACTACGCTTTGTTAGATTTATGATAATGGTCGCGTGTGGCTGCAAAATTTCACGAAGGCTTTTGTGTCCTCTGGCTCTAGTATGTAAGGATCTTGCAACGCATAAAGCATGCCCGAGAACTCGTTGCGTGTCTCACAAAAGATTGTGAAATAATTGATGAGGTATGAGTATGGCCAGGCCAGCGAAACCAAGACTTGAGTTGACTTCAAAACTCACTCGGGCTAACAGATCATATGAGGCACATGTTAACTGCAAGGTCAACGATCATCATTGATCGACTAGACATGTAACAGCCGAGGCCAGGCTGAAACCCAGATCTCTACGCTTCTCGAAAATTGTCCTTGTGGGCCCTCGCGTGGGATCCCCCATGATCGGCTCTCGGGGTCCAATATTGAGAACACCAAAAGACCGTTATGTGCGATTGATACCCCGGAAAAACATATTTATCTCTGTGTATTGACCCATCATTGCCCATGTCCATTCACTTCTCGCTCAGAATCTTGAGGCTTCTTTCCTGTCTCCTTCACCTCCATTCTCTCCCTCCACTTTGGAATCATCTTCTCAATGGACCCCCCAGGCCTACCTAACGACTTTCTATTCCAGCGTATAGTTCATGTTGCCAATGACCACCTTGAAAGTGATCCGGTCACATTTCATGACCACCAAAGCGACCTAAAATCCAACCATGCAAAGCTTCTGGTCGATGTACTCGAGCTCCAGCCTATTTTGTTCCGAAAACTTTCCCGTGATGCGCGAAAGGCCCTAAATGGCGGGAAAGATGTTTTCATTATGGTTTCCGCACCGGCAGGATACGAGTGGCTCGTCGCGTTTCTGACCATATTGTCACTTGGGGCTGTGGTAGCACCGATATGTCAGTCAAATTCATTCCGAGGTCCCCAAACTACATATCACACCAAATTATACCAAGGCTGACTCTAAACAGCGACTGAACTCAATGAAGCTGAAATGATCGAGCTCGTGAATGAGACAGACGCGGCTGCAATCCTTTTGGGAAGCCATTCATCATTGTCTGCAAAATCACTGGAGAAATCTGTAGCATGCCCCGTGTTAGCGGTCAACGAGTGGCTCCTGGCGCAATCACCGACACCACGAAAGCAATTCCAGATCAACCCCGAGCACATTTTGGACCCTCAGTCTGCCGGGTACTTGTTATTCACCAGTGGCAGCACATCAAGACCCAAAGGCGTCCTGCATTCGCGAAAAACATTCACTACAGTCCTCAGTGGTCTCCTCCACACTGGCATCTTGGGTGAGCAAGATACCATGATCTACACATTTGCCTCCAATCTGGCATCCGGTATTGTGTATTGTCTTTATACCCTGGTAGCAGGGGCGAGGATCGAATTTTCCGCCGGAGTGTGGTCTCCAGGGTGGATGTGGGAGAGAATTCGAGAAGGACGAGCAACAGTGATTGTCGACCAGCCCTCTCGCTACAAAGAGTTGGCCGATCATTATTGGAATCATCTTGATTTTGGTCCAAAAGACGAGAAAGACGCATATCTGACTGGTCTGCGCGCTTTGCGCTGGCCTGCTGTCAGTGGCTCTCAGCCAACTGAGTTCCTACGCAGAGGCTGGAATTCAATCCCTGGTGTTACTCATCTCATCAATAGTTATGGGATGACTGAAGTTTCGGGTATCACAGGACTTCCTCCGACTGGCGAGGACCCTTCTGATGTAGGTGCTTTTCGTTCGACTGTCGCATCTCCGATTCTGATTGGTTGCAGAAATGTACTGGCTATCTACTCCCGGGTGTTGAGGCTAATCTCAAGGATGGGGAGATGGGTGAATTGCTGGTTCGCACTCCAAACATGTTCATGGGGTGGGTTTCGTTGATTTATGTTGACAATCCGAGCCTCTTTCACTGATCACATACTTTCAGCTACTTCAAACGACCTGATCTCACCAAAATTGCCTTTGACAGCAATGGCTTCTTCCGAACTGGTGATATCTTTCACCGAAAGGGCGCCAAATATTACATGTATGGACGAGCAAGCGTTGATGGTGAGTCCACTTGAACAGAAATCGGAATTTGGCCTTCAAATCCACTTAATCGCTAATAGGAATCGAAGTCATCAACAACCAAGGCCACAAGGTTTTTGCTGCTGATGTCGAGGGTCCAATGCTGTCTCTTCCTTACATTCAAGACGCTTATGTAGTGCCAATCGCCCAATCCGATTCGAATGAGAAGAAAGTCGCAGCCGTGATTCGTCCAACAGAGGACGCATCTCTGAATGTTCATATCACGATCGATCGCCTTCGTGCTGACTTGCAGAGATTAGGACTGGAAGCCTACCAAATTCCAGCTATTATTCGGATCACCGTGCCAGACACACCTTTGCCAGTGGGTACTGGTGGCAAAAAAGGCAAGGCTCAGGCGATCAAGCAATATTTCCCAGGTGGGTGGGAGCCATCTTTGGACCGCGAGAAAGCGTGAGGACGACAGTAATTAATTATGTCTGCTATGTTCTTCCCGCGATTAAAATAGAAGACCTGTGTTCACAAATGAACGCGTCACATCATTTTGAAGCCAAATCTGGCTTCTCTTTGGTGTTATTTTGACGCGTTAAATAGCCAAGGCGAAAACGAGCGCAAGGAGGAGGGGAAGCCGGCAGTGCATTACGGAATTATGCGTGTCAATAGCAAATTTAGGCAGTCAGGCGAGGGCAGAAGTGCCAGTGTAGTGTTAATGCGACGCGTGTGGGCAATATGCACGGCATCCGATTTCGTCGTTATCTCTCGGCTCCTCCACTTCGCCAATTCCGTTTCAATGCTGTACAGTAAATATTGAATATGGAGAATCGAGTCGCGGAAAACGTGCTTGGAACATTAGGAGCAGTTGGTTTTTCTCTCTATATTCATCGCATTCATTAATTGACTTGAGCATAGGTTTGCTGGTCGATTCAAGTACGACTCTGTACGAGGCCATGACGCGACAAGAACAGTGAAAGCTAATTGACTCACAGCTTCTTCCACAAATCATCATAAACTACCGAAGACATGACACCGAGGGACTTCAAGGCTCCATGATGCTACTGTGGGCGGCGGCCGGTGTTCCGTTGGGGGTGTACAACATCGTGGAAGAATTTAACATTGCTCTGAGGGTTCAACCTCAAATCCTGACATTTCTCAGTCTCCTCACTTGGGCGCAATGCCTTTACTATGGGAAGGTCTGTTTCAAACAAAAACTCCCATTTTCGACACACTGGCGCTGACCAAATTACCTAGAAATACCCAATCACAAAATGCTGCATCGCAGTCACATCTCTTCTGGTTTTACTTGGTGGCATTGAGGCAGGCTTGATTTTTGGCCTCCAAGCAGCGAAAGGCCATGGTCTTCAATGGCCTCTCATCTTGATGGCCTCGCTCAGTGCCGCTCTCCTTGCTGCAGGTGTCTTGAGACACTATTGGGACATCTATGTCCATAGAACGGTCCGTGGCATCAGCTTCATATTTGTCGGGATCGATGCCGCTGGTGACCTGTTCTCTCTTGTCTCCGTCTGTAAGTCAACCCTCAGTCCACGAGAGGGACCATTGCTGATGTATCGACAGTGTTTGGCACGACCATTGATATTCTGGGGATTGTCATCTATGGGACCGAACTGACGCTATGGATTGGCATCTTTATCTGTGGCGGCATCTTCAACCTCCAACCCTGGCTCAAAGAGCGTTCGAAGCAGCGACACGAGGATGTCCAACAACCAGTTGCTCTGCACCCTATGCCATCGTCAACATCGGTTTTCAGAACCGCGTCAGGGAGTCAGGTGGTCGAAAGAAGGCCATGGAATAACCCATCTTAGGTCTGATGTTCATCAACCGAGGGAGTGAGAACATACATTTCGATTCGATTGAAGATTCAAAAACGACCAATGTGAAATAGCAATTGATTCTCGCCAAGCCATTGTCAAACACCCTCGGCTGTGAGCGATCACTAATCCTCATATCTTACATGTACTATGCACGCCCGGCAAATGGCTAACCTTGGAAGTGAGGGGTAGTCAAAAGAAGTATACTTGGCGTTTCTCGAGCCAAAGGGAAATTTGAGAACCTGCAGAGGCCTTGATTGAAAAATCCAATGTGTGGAAATTCAACTTTGGCGCTCCTAAACTTGGGACATCAATTTCTCCCACGTTTGCCCTGCCCTCCCTGAGGCGTCTCCTCTCATCGCATAAATTATAGCTTGGGCTTGCTTGCCTTCGGCTTTCGCCCAAAATCAATTTCCGACCACCAAGGGAAACTCGGTGGCGCATCATTCTCCAAAGTTGCTTTGAACTTCGGCTGCCGTTTCTCGAAAAAGGCTTTGACGCCTTCCATGGAGTCTCTGATGAGCGCAGAGTCAGCAAACATTCCTCATGGGAAATGGAGATTGAGCTACAGTAGACTCAATGCGTACCTTGCACTAAACATATGATACAGTACAGCAGAGTCAACAAGGTGTGTCTCCTCCGCTGTCCCTGGGTTTCGCCACATAAGCTCCCGAGATAGATAGGATGCCATAGGGCTGACATTCTCGGCGATCTCTTTCGCAAGCTCTAAGGCACGAGAGACCACTTGCTCAGGCTCGGGGTACGTCTCCTGGAACAGTGTCCCAAAATGCGGGGAGTTGGGGGGAAAGGTGCCGCCAGTGGTGAGCAGATAAAGCGCATTCGAAAATCCTATCAATCGAGGGAGAAAGAATGAAGAGCTTGACTCCATTGTCAAGCCTCGCCGGGGAAAAACGAATCCGTATTTCGATTTTTGGCAGCCAACGCGTATGGCGGCTGGCAGGGTCATCGTCATTCCCAGACCAACTGCTGATCCCTGTAGAGCAGCGATCGTAGGCTTGCGACAGCGGTGTATGGCTAGAGTCAGACGACCTCCGCTGAGACGGTGTTAACTTGAGCTCGCGTAGCGTCAAGAATGGATGTTTTTGTATTCTCACCTGTCGCGGTGGTCTTTGTTTCGCTCTTTCTCCAATCCGCTAAATCCTCGCTCCAAATCTGCTCCGGCGCAGAACATTTTACCTGCACCCGTAAGGACAACGACTTTGACCCGCTCATCGACGTCGAACATGGCGTATATCTTCTCAAAGGCATGCATCATCTCGAGAGTAAAGGCATTATTCTTGCCCGGGCGGTTCAAGGTCACCACCACAACCGGCGTGGCCTCAGAAGCTCCGATGGGATAGTGAGATACATTGACATCTGTCAGTGAAACAGTCTCATAGGACTTGGGGATATCGATGGAGTCTGGATCGGAAAGCATAGCGTCGAGTTAGTTCCTATGTTGTATTTAAGCCTTGTAAGTTGCCCTGGAGAGGTAACTGTAGGTGACATGCCAGTCTTTTTATAAGTCATGCTGATGGTTCCTCGGTAAAGCATGTTCACTCATCACAGCCGACTCCGCTTGGAGCGACGCGGCACGACGATTAGATTATCTCGGGGCGTATAAGCGATCACGGTGGCATGTGCGTCGGCTTTGTGCCATCACCAAGTCCGAGTCAAGAAATGGGTTACTCTGAAGTCTTCAATTTGACAGACTCGTGGTACCTCAGCGAGTGCAATGTCCAACCATCCAGACCCGCCTTTTAAGGCCCAAACAGGTCAGTCCCGCGATCAAGTCGGATTCTCTAGGACACGTTACGATGATCGAGACGATGATCGAGGTGTTGTTCATTGATCAATTTACGTTCAAGATACGATGTACCGCTGTGGCTCAATATGTGTGCATGTCATACTGACAAGAAATCAACAACGCCTGTGCACCTGGGCACCAAGTCTCTATCTCACAAAACGTGTAGCAAGTGCCATAGTCATATACTCTGTGGCATGGCTTGGAGGCAGAATGATAGACAGGTAAGCAGCCCAGCCAGGTAGGTCATTGCAAAATTCATATGCCTTCACGGCCTCCCACCACTCAGGATACCATCCTGCATACTCCCAGTCCAAGACCGCAGTAACATGACCTTCTTGGCTCACCAAGATATTTCTAGGGGCGAGATCCCCATGCGTGAAGAACAGGTTGTCTTTCCGGCTTACCGATGAGGACCAGTGGCTATTATCAGGGAACAGTGAGCCCATTCGAAAGAATGAGGGTACTGTGGATTGATAATCGCACTCTGTGCTCAAGCTCGTCATCAGATTCTTAGTTTGCAAGTCTCGAAAACGTTGGCCGCCAGCCTCGGGATCAGATCCATTCGTCAAGTCTCTGAGTTGAAGTATGAACCCATGAAGCTCCTGGGCGATCGAAACCTTTTGGGATGGGATCATGCTCGGCCAAGCCTCTTCCAGAGTACGGTCGTCAATATAGTTCATGAGGATCGACTTGATGCCTCCCGCCTGGACTTCGACACGGTATATCCGTGGGACTGGTATGGTTGTATTCTCGGCGATATATTGCATATTTGCAACCTCGAGGTCGATCTGTGAGGATGGTCCATATTTAAGCAGCTTGTTTCCTCCGAGTCGTACGATCTTCCGATTGCGCTCTAGTGGCCTGGATCAGGAGGGCGCGGGGAACGATTTTGGAGGTACCAACCGTCTACTACAGGGCCAACCATCTCAACGGTTGTATTCTGTTCACCTGAAACATCGGACTGGACAATACCTACCTAGGTAGTCGCCAACAAACAGGCTTATCCTGTCCTTGTCACGTGGGAATGGGTAAGCCCACTGGGCACTGGGCACTATGCAGTGAGCTGAATTGGGCAGTCCAGATGAAAATGACGGCTTTGATCAGAACCATTGGACGGATCGCGCTCTCACGAGGTAGATGAAAGCCCTAAATTCGGAAATGTGAACAGCGATTGTGATAGAGACTCATGCATTTTTCTACTCTATATGGCGTAAATAGTCATGATCAGGAAAACCGGGGCTTCCCCTCATCTAGATAATAGACAAGAAAATTTAAGCGAAGACCTTGGCCTCACCAGCCTTGAGCTTCCCAGCCTCGACAAGGCGCTGGGCCTCGCCAGTCCAGGCAGTCTTGACGGCAGCACCGTCCTTGCCGGCAATGGTAAGCTTCTCAGCAAGGACAGCAAGCTCGTCAACGTCGATCTTGGCCATGATGAGGTCAACATCGGTAAGGACACCGTCGATCTCAGCGGCTGAGGGCTCGCCAGCAGCAGCGAAGTAGTTGACGTCCTTGACGGAACCCTTGAGGATACGCTTGTTCTTCTTGGAAGCGTTCTTGGCGGCCTCCTTGGCCTTCTTGTTCTTCTCGCGGTCAGCCTTAGCGGCCTCCTCAGCGTCCTTCTTGGCCTTCTCCTCGGCGGCCTTAGCGTTCTCCTTGGCCTCCTTTGCCTTGCGGAGCTCCTCCTCCTTAGCGAGACGCTTAGCGTCCTTACCAGCACGGGCTTGCTGGCGGAACTTCTTGATACGCTCATCGGAGGCGAGACACTCGTCAACAAGCTCACGCAGACGGACGACATCCTCGGTCTTGCGCTTGCGGCGAGCGTTGGCGTTCTTCTTCTCAACGTGACGCTTCTGGTCACGGCTCACATCATCATCGGGAACATCCTCATCGAGGTACTCGAAGGTCCTCCAGCTGTCAACGTTGTACCAGAAGTTGTAGAAAGTCTCAACGTGGTCCTGGGTGCTGTTCTCGTCACCGAGAGTGGGCACGGGCTGCTTGTTGGAGAAACGACCCTCAGCAACGAAGACAGGGCCCCAGCCCTTGTAGAACTTGCTGCCGGTGAGCTTCTTGGTAGGGGGGTCGACATCGGCGTTCTCGTCGACGGAGTCGAACTGGCGACGGCGGGTGGGGTCCAGGAGAAGGTCGGTGGCCTTCTGGATACACTTGAAGAAGCTGTCGTTCTCATCACCCTTGCCCTGAGCGGCCTTCTTGTCGGGGTGGTGACGCAGGACCTTCTTACGGTGAGCCCGCTTGATCTGCTCGGGGGTCGCGCGCCAGCGGTACTTCTTGAGACCGAGAACGGCGTAGTGATCTTGGCCCTGTTGAGAGTTAGAGATGAAACGAGCAGGTATTCCGAGATTCACTGACCTTCCAGTCCTTGGCCTCACGGTTGAGCATCATAGGATCCTCATCCTCGGAGATATCATCATCCTCCTCAACCTCGGTCTTCTTGACGCTGTTCTGGGCCTGGAGACGCTCATCCTCAGAGAAGGTACGGTTGTGGCGAGACTGATATCAATGTTAGCTGAGGTCACATTTGGACTTGCGTGGTAATTGAGGATACTTACACGGCGGGCGTGAGCCAGGAAGTGCGGGCCAACGGGCTCCACGTTGCGCTTGGTGGCACCGGAGAGAGCACCGACGATCTTGAAATCCTTCTCACCAGCCCAGCCCTGAGGCAGGGAAGGGAGGGAGATGTTGACAACTTGAGGGGTGGCCATTATCAAATGGGTTGGTGATAGTACCAAGTTGTGTGTGGAGTGCGTTTGGTCCCGCGATGATTTTTTTGCATACCTTTTTTTCTGCCCAGATTCCCCGATCGCCCAGCCAATCAGCGACCGGGCGTTCCAGAAAGTCGAGACTGGTGATGGCGCCAGAACTTCGTTCTATTGACTTTGTAACACCGCAATTTTTTTGGACTTCTCGGATAATCTCCTCTATCACAGCATTGGAATCTGTGGCCCATCTTTGTGTCATCGCGACAACATCCGTTCATCTACCACCTCCTAATCCGTGCCGATCATCCGCATCAATTTGCACCAAAACTCGACCTCTTCTCCAAACACCGCTCCCAGTCCTTTGTCTTTGAACTATATTGTTCAAAATGGCTTCTTCCACTGCTGCCGCCGCTAAGAGCGCATATCGTCAAGTACTCCGGTCCACCCGGGTGGTCTTCCACAGTACGAGTGCTCAAACAAACATCAGTGAAATGCACCCCGACCTAACAATGCCCGCTAGATGATCTCCCAGTCCTACTCGCTGCTCGTCAGGAGGCTCGCCAAAACTTCGAGAAGAACCGCCGTCCTGCTGTCGACACCGGCATGCAAATCAACCATGCGATCGAGGTCGCAAACATCCTTCGCCACAACATTGTGCAGGGTTCCAGGGAACAGGGCGACGATACTGCCAAATGGGGTATGTTCCAATACAACGCCATAACTATTACGGGACTCTATGTCTTTTAAGACCATTGACTAATGCATTGCGGCTACAGAGCTTAACATTCACGACCAGATCGAGCGCGGTGACAACGACTCCATCAAGGTCGGTGACAAGGATGTGAAGATTCACAAGTCTTGCTCTTCCTAAGCGCGTGTCTCTCGCCATGTTCAACTGCATCCGAGCGAATATCCGAGTCCATCAACGCCCCAAGCGATCGGCACCAAACAAGCGCATCTGTATAAAATGGGTCTCAGAAATGTTCAGGCTCTCGTTTGGTGACTACACGAAAGTTTACCCCAAGCCTTCTTTGTGTGAGTGAACTTGTTGAAGGCTCTGCCCTTTCGAATAAGTCCATTCTTTTACAAACAACCTTGGAAGACCAGGGCAGTGTGACTGGGCATGTATTATACGATACCCAACTCTTCTTTAATTATCATCGGCGTCCCGGGTATTTTATTTTGAAGTACATAGATCTGCATGGAATAAACCCTATCCATAACGCCCGCTTCATAATTAAGTTACATGCCTTTTTGGTTCAATATTTTGCAAGTTTTGTTCAATCACCATTCATACTGGCGTACTGCACCTCACCAGATCCGGGGGGCGGTGCAACAACGTGTGTCTGAGCCTTGGGCTGTCCACTTTCCTCGGAAGTGATTGCGCCATGGTCAGCTTGCTTGCCCTTGCCCATTGGTCCAACAGCCTGGCGGCCCTCTCGGGCGTTCTTGATTCTCTCTTCACGGTCGAGACTATCTAGTGACTTGGGCTTGCCCCAGCGGACGCGCAGAGGGCAACCTTGAATGATAGCCTTACCTTGACAGTGGTGTGCGGCCTTCTCGGCATCCGCACGGTTGACAAAGTTGATGAACGCGCAGTGAGAGCGGTGGGAGCAGACCAGCGAGCGGAGCTGACCAAACTGGCTGAAGAATGTGCGAAGGGTATGTTCAGGAAGGTCATCTTCGACACCAGTGACGAATAGAGAGAGGACGTTGGGGTCCGCGGGAGGGAGAATGTCCGCGGGCGAGGGTGGCAGCTGAGCAGTGCCGGGGAATGGCCGACCTCCACGGCCCCCACCTCGTCCCCCGCGGCCAGGTAGGTTGTTTCCGACACGACTTTGGGTAGTGCGGACGGGTCCTGGTCCATTTCCGTACCGACTGGTGGTTCGTGGCTCGTCCGTCGCGGGTTGCGCGCCTTCCTCGCCTTCGGCAGCGCCCTCGGTCCGGCGAGGTCTGCGGTAGTACGGTTCACTGTTTGCGAGACGACGCAGCAGTTCACGTGCTTTGTCATCTGTCTTTTCATATTCTTCGATCGCACCGCGACCCTCTTCGATTTCCTTCTCGTTGTTCTGCGCGTAGTATTCCCGGTTGATTCCACTCTCCGGGCCAGGTGCGACCATCTTGAGGGCAGCATCTCGAACGACGATCGGGAGACCGAATGAAAGATCGAGCATGCAGCATTGACAACAATTTTTCAGACGCGCGCATGTCAAGCAGATAATCGATCGCTTTTGGCGGGAGGTTCGATCGGCCTTCCATCGGAAGATGGTGAAGGGGCGCGTGCACTATGCAAAGTCAGTATGGCTTCGTGGGGCAGCTACACGCATCTGGAGCAACACTTACGATCTTGCATTCTGCGCCATGGTCTTCTTTGATCATCTGCACATAAGGGTTCTCGGGCAGACAACTCTCACAAACAGAGGGGAAGTCCGTGGACTCCCATCCGGAGCGGTTCAAGTCATGTTTGATCTGGGGAGGCATGACGGTGGGCTGTATCCGAGAGAGTGGACTGAGAGAGCTTGGATTATCAAGATCCTAAGACGGTGGCGTCTCCTGTGGCTGGTGCGGTCACGTGCCCGGGTACAGCCAACTCCGACTCAGCCACAGGCCGGATCGCGCAGGTCCCGCGGACAAACAAAAGTGGCCACACTTTCTGCCCAGGCATCTGGCCGTTCGTCTGACCCCTGATTGGCTCTCCACTCTTGATTGTCAAAAAGTTGCTTGGGATTTGACCTTATTTATTTCCCCTTTCTTCTCCCCCAGTCGCAATCTCCATTCTCTCGCTCTCCTTTAACTTCAATTCTTCGGTGCTTCCCAGTTTGTTGTTTCGCCTCCTCGGGAATTGACCGCTATCTTTTTTTTGTCTCTCCAAATACCCCTTTTTAATCTTTCAACATGGCTCCCTCTGCATTGGAACGTGAGGACAAGGCTCGCGATGCTGCCTTCAACAAGGCACTCCACGGAAAGTCTGCTAAGGCCCAGGGTGGCTTTGCTGCTATGCGCGGAAAGGATGCCGCTGCCCAGAAGGCTGCGGTTGACGAGTACTTCAAGCACTGGGACAACAAGGACGCTGCTGACGAGACCCCTGAGATCCGTGAGGTAAGGCAATGTGCAATGCGGAGGAATCTACAGATAGCTAACAATTGATCTATCACAGGCCCGCAAGGCGGAATATGCCACTCTCACCCGACAGTAAGTTGTGCCTCCAGCACCTCAATCGATCGCCACTTTTCATACTAACGATTGTTTGACAGCTACTACAACCTTGCTACCGACTTCTACGAGTACGGATGGGGTTCTTCCTTCCACTTCTGCCGTTTCGCCTACGGTGAGCCTTTCCACCAGGCTATTGCCCGCCACGAGCACTACCTCGCCCACATGGCCGGTATCACCGAAGACATGAAGGTTCTGGATGTCGGCTGTGGTGTCGGTGGTCCCGCTCGTGAGATGGTCAAGTTCACCGGTGCCCACGTCACCGGTCTGAACAACAACGACTACCAGATTGACCGCGCCACCCACTACGCCCACAAGCAGGGTCTTGCCGACAAGATGGCCTTCGTCAAGGGCGACTTCATGCAAATGAACTTCCCCGACAACAGCTTCGACGCTGTCTACGCCATTGAGGCTACTGTGCACGCCCCTGAGCTGGTTGGTGTGTACAGCGAAATCTTCCGTGTCCTGAAGCCCGGCGGTACCTTCGCTGTTTACGAGTGGCTCATGACTGACGATTACAACAACGACGATCCCGAGCACCGTCGCATCCGCCTCGGTATCGAACAGGGTGACGGTATCTCTAACATGGTCCGCATCTCCGAGGGTGTGGAGGCCATGAAGAACGCCGGCTTCGACCTGAAGCACCACGAGGATCTGGCTGCTCGTCCCGACCCCATTCCTTGGTACTACCCGCTGGCGGGCTCCTTCAAGCACATGGGCTCCGCCTGGGACTTCTTTACCATTGCCCGCATGACCTGGTGGGGACGTGGTATTGCTCACCGCTTCGTTGGTGCCGGTGAGAGCATCGGTCTCTTCCCCAAGGGTTCCCAGAAGACCGCTGACAGCCTGGCCCTGGCCGGTGACTGTCTGGTTGAGGGTGCTCAGAAGAACCTCTTCACTCCCATGTACCTCATGGTTGGCAAGAAGCCCGAGTAATCGTTGTTGATCTTTGACTTGTATAAAAATTTCCTCTCGGCGTGCACGTCTATCCCTGGTGCCACTCATACTCCTCCTACCTGCTCCCACCCTCCACCGCGGTCCCCCTCTCGTCACCAGGGCAAACTTGGCTTACCAGAGCCATGTCAGTCGAGAATGAGCCATGTGTCGCTTTCTTCTGAGTATCCGCCTTTTTAATTACTTTTATTTTTCCTTCTCCTGTTTGTTTTACCCATCGAGATCACTATGTAATAGTCATTGAGTCAAGAATAACGAGCGAAGATCAGTGTTCTATACTCCTCTGTGTCTGATACTCAGCATGTCCGTTCAAGTTGATGAACAGGCAGTCGCAATGTACACAATTTCAATTGCCATCTAGTCGTTGGATAATCATAATAACTTCATCAACCGTAGGAACTATGTGCTCATGTTTCTCGCGGATTCCGGTGTACAATCAATCGTGCCGCATGCTCTCTCCATCGCCACCCACTCTCGAACGCCAACCGATGCAAGAACTCACTTATCCTCGTTAATTTCACTGTGGCTCTCGGCCTTTGGCGCAAGACGCCAATGTCCCGCTGATGCAATTGGCTTTGCTCCCCAGCCAAGCAGCAACGCCATCAAATCCTTATTGCCGCGCCAGACGGCAATGTCGAACGCCGTCTTACCGCGAAAGGTCTCGTTCACATCAACGCCTTTTTCGAGTAATTTCTGGACAAGAGAACACGACCCGAAGGTGGCAGCCTTAACTAAACAAGTCTCTTTCTTCCAATGCAAGGCATGAGGATCTGCACCAAAATCAAGGAGGACTTCTGCATCCTCGAAACGGCCAGATTTCATACAGTTCGCCAAAGGCGAGAGTGGCAGACCGCGGTGGTAAGTTTTCGTTTCATTGAAACCGCTGCCGTAGTCATTTGGGTCAACGCCACGCTCAAGAAGTAGCTTGATAGTATCGCTGCTATGGTTCCGTCCAGCAGCCCACAGAGTCGACCGACCTCTTTGCGCCAATTTGACATCTGCACCGTGCTCAAGCAATGCTCGCACCTTTTCCTCGTGGACTGCCGGGTCGGATCTAGCCTTGAGCGCAAGCCAGAGAGGGGATATCCCGTACGTCGGATCACAAAAGTTCGGATCGGCTCCGTTCTCCAAAAGGAACTCCACGAGAGTGTTTGTATAGGGCCGGCCGGCGCGTTTGGGTGAATTTATATTTCGCCTGCGCGTGAAAGGACGATCATGGTCAGCCACCGCTCGCCAAAGTGGTGTCTGGACGATTCCGCATCTGGTTGAAGTAGCGTTGAGATCAGCGCCGTGACTCAAAAGCACTTCCATGACACCCAAAGATCGTGAAAGGGTTGCCAAAAAGAATGGTGATTGGTCCTTGTTGTTCCTGGCATTTATATTTGCGCCTAGATCTAGAAGCCGGGCTGCAACGTCGGGGCCACCCTCTAGTGCTGCCAGACATAGCGGGGTGTGGCCTCCTCGAAAACGTGTTTCGATAGAAACACCCAATTCTATCATGAAATCGAGTAGGTCCACATGCCCACTCATTACTCCCAGGTAGAGAAGCATATCTGCGTAAAGCTCGAAATTCCCGGGTCTTTGGAGTGTCTCCCTGAGTTTATCGGGGCTTTTGTAGATCGCAAACGCAGCGTCCGCAATGCACCGACAGAAGTCTCTCTTTTCGGTGAGTTGACTCTGTTTGAGAAGATATAATGCAGACTCGAATGGGTCGTGTTTCACTTCTGTTGGTGGGCTCACGGTCCCCGGGATAATCAGGGCGATTCTATGCACATAGTCTTTGCGCTGGAATTCCCTATACGGCCCATTATCGAGAATGAAATCAATGCACTGCTTGTGGCCGTTTTCAGCTGCCATGCGCAGCGGCGTGACATAGCGTCTCTCGGGTCTTTGGTGCTTGACCTCCCTCCGACTTTCAATCTTCAGCCCCATCGCAATAAGATCTTTCATTGTTTGCAAGTGACCATTCTTTGCCGCTTGGCCCAAAAGCCCTGTTTCACACTCGCATCTGCCAATTTCCAGCACATCGGGCTGCAACTTAGCTCCTGAGTCGCGGAGAAATTGGATCATGGCTGTCTGGCCACCCTGGGCAGCCCAGCATATTGGCTCGTGGGTGGTATTTGGATTCCGTGACCAACTCCAGCTTGGTATCGATAATGAAAGCTTCGACTTGTCGATGCCTAAAGTCTTTTCGGCGATGGTTCTATTGCCGTGGTATGCGCTGAATGCAAGCGCTGTCTGTCTTTGGTATCTGACGTTTAGTTCGTAGAGCTCGTCTTGGAAAAGATTATATAGCCGTTTGTTTGTCTGGAGAAGGGAGTTCAAATCGCGCTGTGGGCCGACGAAGCTGCCCTCGACTTTTTCATGACATAGCAAGGAACCGGCAATCAGAAGTATGATTTCAACCGGAAGATCGAGGAGTGCGACCATTCCGATCGATGTGGAATAGAAGTGTCCCAGGGTTATATAGATAGTGTTGGTCTCTCAAAGAAAGGAGTGACGGTGCCAAAGAGCTAGCGGTGCCTCGATCTGAGCGGGGAAGGATCTACAGAGGCTCAAGCTCGGGCTGACATGGCACGACCTCGGGAGACTTAAATTCGGAATAGATTCCACTGCAGTCAAGCGGGATAAGCAAATCGATATATTGATGAATGTAATACAGGACTCACCTGGGCAATTTCACTGTATCAGGGTGCGGGGTCGCCTTGCACCTGAGCCTTGGAACCTGCGACCCTGCCCAGGTGACTCAGGCCAAAACTGGTGACAACTTCATGCATATTGGGTATCAATAGCATGTGAGGTAAGCCTACAAGATGTGAGAGTGCCTGGGTTGGCCACCAATCTTGTTTGGTTATACTTGTTGATGGGTGTTTCAAACATGTGGGGAAATCTTGGACGTTTGGCGAGCCAGATGTATATTTTGGCTATGCTATCTACTCAGTAACCCTCGAGGTCAAATTCAAAATGCCATTCGCCTATGAGGCCATCAAATTCCCAGGTACTTATATTCTAGAGAGCCTCAAACAACATTGGAAGCATCGTGGAAGTGCAGCAAGTCCTCATTTTCGCGTGAAAGCTACCTAGATCAACCCTCACACCAGGTTGCTCGTACTCCGTGTGCATCAGCGGGACACAAAATATTCCCCCAAGCATGTCTATAGCAGTCAAGAATTTCCTAGATGCTCAAATAACCCAAGGCAACTCAATCAATTATTCACAGTTTCTAAGTCCAAGTACCTCCCTAGGTATCATTGAGTCGCCCTTCGCCCCTACTGTGTTGAACAAACGATCAAACATGAAGATTTCAATCTAAACCATCACGGGATTGCTCCAACTTGAATACCTACAACAAATCCTCTTGAGCCATACAGGCTAGCAACTAGCGGTTTTGGCCCTTTCAAGGATGTGAGCAAGTGTGAAGTCGAACAATCCATGTTCCGCTGCAGCGTCGCTGCCTCAGGCACATAGTCCCCCCGAATTCCCCTCACGGACGTGGACTTCCTGAAAGCTTGAGTGCGCCCCGCCTGGGCACACCTTTTGCTTTGGTAAAGCATCGCGAATGAATGGTCCGACGACCTTGGGAGAGGGACGTCCAGCCAGTGAGGACATCGCGGGGAGCAACGTGCGGCGCAGGGGCCAAGTATTGCCGACCCACTGCGCATGTCCACCCAATCAGGTTGGGGTGATAGATGGACCTTGGACGAACGACTGCGATGTCCGGCTTCACCTCTCATCCTTGGCTCCATCGGGCTAGCAATGCTTGGAGCTGCAGCCAGTCAGCCCTGCGCCGATCGAAACGTGGGATCGGTTAGAAGGACGCGTGCCTGGATGGCGGATATGGCCGAACCCTCCCAGCCGACGTCAGGAATTCCACAGGTATAAGATCGCGTGTCTCGCTCGATCTTCTCGTTTCTTTCCCTTCTCATCACACTCACATTCCTAAGTTTCTCGAGATGTTCACCAAGCAGACTCTCCTCGCGTTTGTGGGCGCACTGGCCCTCGGTGCGGCCAAGACCATCACCGAGAAGAACCCAACTCAAGCAGAGATCGATGCTGCCCGGGCTACTGTCCTGCCTTACTCGCCGGTCTCGAATGTGAAGGGTCTGGCTTTCGACCGCTTCGTAGACATCTGGCTCGAGAACCAGGACTTTGATGTTGTCGCTGCGGACGAGAACATGGCTAAGTTGGCCAAGGAAGGAATCCTCCTGACAAACTACTTTGCCGTGACACATCCCTCGGAGCCCAACTACTGTGCTTCCGCTGCCGGTGACAACTTTGGCATGGATAATGACGACTTCCACCAGATCCCTGCCAATGTCTCCACCATTGCGGATCTCTTCGACACCAAGCACATTGCCTGGGGCGAGTACCAGGAGGATATGCCCCATGCCGGCTACCAGGGTTACCGGTACCCTCTCAGCGGCCCGAACCAGTATGTGCGCAAGCACAACCCACTGATTCTGTTCGACTCCGTCACCAACGACGCCGTCCGTCCGCGCCAGATCAAGAACTTCACTTCCTTCTACGATGATCTTGAGCACCACCGTCTTCCCCAGCACATGTTCATCACCCCCAACATGACCAACGACGCCCACGACACCAACATCACCGTTGCGGGCGAGTGGTCTGCCAAGTTCCTCTCCCCCCTGCTCCAGAACGAGTACTTCACCAAGGATACCCTTGTTCTCTTGACCTTCGATGAAGTCGACACCTACCCTAACCCCAACCGCGTCTACAGTATCCTACTTGGTGGAGCAGTCCCCGAGCACTTGAAGGGTACCACCGACGACACTTTCTACACCCACTACTCCATCATCGCATCTCTCTCCGCAAACTGGGGCCTGCCCTCCCTCGGCCGCTGGGACTGCGGTGCCAACCTGCTGAAGCAGGTCGCCGAGAAGACTGGCTACGTCAACTGGGAAGTTGACACCACCAACGCCTACCTTAACGAAACATACCCCGGTCCTCTGTCCGACTCCGACTACTCCGAGTACTCCTCCAAGTGGGCTGTTCCTGCCACCAAGGGCAAGTGCTCTGCTGGCCACGGCATCGCGGAGGTCGTGAAGAAGACCTACCACGGCCTTGAGCCTACTTATGATTACGAGAGCCCTGTCCCCTATGACTCCACCAGTGGAATCAACCTTGGTATCAAGTACCACCGCAAGCAGGTATGTTCACCTCTTTTAATATCCCTAGGCGAGGAAAACATACTAACGATCACCAAGAAGCACGGAAGAGAGGAGCATGGCATCACCCAGTAGACATTATGTCTATATACCCGATATATTGGCATCATCACTCTGTGAGATTCAAGATTGCGAAAAATGTGTTTATAAAATTAATTTCATAGAAGCTGTCAGATAATTTCATCCATTTGGGAGAACACTTCATATAACGTTTAAACAGATTCACTACCTAGGGATTGAACATACCCGGAAGACATGAGGGACATTCTTGGGGCTCCAAGGCACGAAGAGGAGAGGCCGTTTGACATCGAATGCCCAAGAAAAAATCAGTTGCCTGACAAACAATAGGGTAACCGCAGCAAACAGCCTTGGAAAGTATCTGCAACTACTAGTATTTATCTACGCATGATTCAAGCCCGGGTCTAGGATTTGCATCCTCATTTCAATTTTCTCCCTTCAGTTTTCTACAAGGTAGTGACTGACCATGTGAGTACTTCCATGATCATGGATGTTCGATCTCAGCGTCATGTTGCTAGTATCTCCCTGTGAGGTAAGTTGTCCGAGACACGGATCTCGAGGCCTATGAACGTCATTAAATTCAATGAACCCAGAGAGACCAAGACCATTTCCATTTCACCTTCGCAGGCAGCACAGACCGAAGCTTACGCCAAGATCCCCCACATTGCGCTTCGACGCACACGAGCAAGGCTAATCCATCACTCTAGCCCCGGCATGTTGGGAGATTACCCCAATAGGGCAGCCGAGCTTCTCCACGCTATTGAATCTAGTAATGTTCGCTTGCGTTGGGCGATTCGACGAGCATCGACCTCGGCAGATAGACCCGGGGTTCGGATCGCAGAAAGGGGATACAATGAGCTTAGAAACCACGCACGGCTAGGAAAGTAGCGCGGGCCAGTAGGAAAGTATAATGAAGCTTTCCGTGAAATTGGCTCCACTTCCTGCGGACCTGGCAATGTGCGTTTTGGATTAGATTGGCTGTTTGAGATGCGCGTGCCGATGTTTGATGTCGGGTGAGTCTTGCTCCGTACTGGAATCGCGGACGTGAGCATGCAATGCTCACCTGGAATAAGCCGAGAGTGATTCAGATGACCGGGGATTTCATGCAGATGCGAACCTTGACCGGTCTATCACATGCCAAACATGTTCTGTCTGGTCTACGGGGTATAACTACTGTGGCTACGAGTGCGAGTAGTAGGGTACAGGGATCTAGCAAACTCATTCTGATGCGCGTCTAGATGTGAAACTGCAAATCCCTGTTGCATTCGACATCTGATCGGCTTTCTCCTTGGGTCTCAGGATCCTCCTAGAACACAAACGGGAAGGATCTGAATATGCTTTCCACGTCAACGCGGGACATGCATATTGCCGAAGTTCTGAACTCTCGAAGCACAGAAGCCTCCAACGTATGAGGTTAACCAAGGCTCTCAGCAGTGGCGGAACGCCGTTTCCACACAAGGCGGCGCCAAGGGCCTAAGCAACGCCACGCGGTCTTCCGTAAGGGCGTTGCGACGTTGAAATGACGTTTGGTGAGACCCGGGGATGCCTCGTGGCAGAGTAATAAACATCCATTTCCGGCGTCTTCTGTTTTTTTTTTTTTTTTTTTTTTTTTCTCTTTTCCGTTGAAAATTCCGATTTCCATTACCCGAGAAATCGGCGTCAGGCCCATTTCCGAAAAGAATCGTGGAGCGTCGAAATAACCGAAAAACGGACAAATCCCGTGTCGAACCATTGGAGCAACACGGTCTTGGCATTCGCCCCTCCCTCACTCAACGAACAGGCCGTTGAAAAGAGCCATGGGTTCACCTGGGCAGGACCGTGTCCTTGGTCCTTTTCGCTCAGGGCCGGTGACGAGGTGGACAATGTGCAATGCCGTGCCAAGAACCCTTTTGTTTAGCCGGAAACGGACTAAGATGGATGGACTGTGCCCTCCCCCGGCTCCCCCGACTCTGCCCCGGGCCCGAGAGCTTTTTTTCTTTTGTCAGATGCTCCGTATTCTGTTTTCCGCTAGTGTCTTTTTCCTGTTTTGACTTTTTCACGTCTTATTTTTTCACTGTTTCGGTGTTTGAGTCGAAACAATCATTTCCAGAGTTGTAGTTGCTCCCAAGACTTTTTGCCTAGATACCAAGAGTGCTTAGCATTCATGAAGAAAGCTTAGTCGCGTAGGGGGCCAGGACAAGAGCTCCCAAGAAATACCAAGCCTGGTACCAAGACCGCTAAGATTTATGCGCCATGACTCTTGGCATCCAAAACATCAAATTAAATCTCTCATGAAATCCTGCAATGGGATTGAATCGGCCCAGAGGCGGGAAGAAAATGAAACCAAAGGCGAGAATGTCATTCGGCGATGCGTTTTGGCCCCAGCACTCTCGCAGCGAGGTTCACCAACTAGAGGGCGGTATTTTCGACGTAGCGACAACCCAATAGTCGGATGTCGTCTGTGAATGGCCGGCAATAGAGAGAATCCGCCCCTGACCCACACAAATCTCCCTATTTTCCCCGTGGAGGGTCGGTTGAGATTCCTCTTCCGGACAACCGCACGCCAATTGCAACGCCAACCGCAATCCATCCGCCATCCGCAATCCCACGCCGGATCGAGTCCACCCCCACAGGATATCCTCGACAGATCTCAGGGCTGCAGACATGTACGTGGCTGCGAGGACTCGGCTGCGGGCATCGTGATAGATCAGAAGGGACTATAGAAATTCATCCGGTAGATACCCAGTCTCCCTTGGGCCTCACTCAACCGGGACACTTGCCTCTACCACCCCGCAACCCCACCGAAAGGGCCATGGTCTCCACGGCGGGTCGCAAAAGTTGCCTCTAGGGCGCCGCCGATGTCACTTCAGACTTTTTCAGCTTGGCGCTACCACCCATGCACCAAGTATGGGGTCCGCCCTGAGGTCCCCAAATAATACATAAGATGTGGCATCCCTGTCAGAGCGAAGCTTCTCTTTTCTCATGTCGTTTTAGGTCCTCTCCTGATACATACTAGGAGGCTCTTTCATCATGTGGACCTCAACATCCGGATTCCGGGGCAAGTCGCTCCATCTTGCCATCACCTTTACCTCCGTCATTGGTTTCTCCCTCTTCGGTTATGATCAGGGTTTGATGTCCGGTATCATCAACGGTGATCAGTTCATCAAGGAATTCCCCCCTCTCGATCCCTCCAAGGGTGACCCCGAGCATGTCTCCGTTCTGCAGGGTGCCGTCACGGCCTGTTACGAACTCGGTTGTTTCTTCGGTGCCATCTTCACTCTCATGTACGGTCAGAGGATCGGCCGTACCCCTATCCTCGTTGCCGGTGGTCTCCTGATGGTCCTCGGTACTGTTCTCTCTACTGCTTCATTCGGCGACAAATGGGGTCTGGGTCAATTCGTTATTGGACGTGTCATCTCCGGTCTTGGAAACGGTATGGATACCGCGACCATTCCTGTGTGGCAGTCTGAATGTTCCAAGGCACACAACCGTGGTTTCCTCGTTTGCTTCGAGGGTGCCATTATTGCCGTCGGAACTTTCATCGCTTACTGGATTGATTTCGGTCTCTCCTACGTCGACTCCTCCGTCCAGTGGCGTTTCCCCGTCGCCTTCCAGATTCTCTTCGCTATCCTGGTCACCGTTGGTGGTCTGATGCTTCCCGAGTCACCCCGTTGGTTCGTCATGCAGGGCCACGACGAACAGGCTCTCGAAGTGTTGGCTGCTCTGAACGACAGCACTCCGGATGCCGAGGACGTTCTCACCGATTTCAACCTGATGAAGGCTGATCTTAAGTCTCTTGAGGGTGCTCAGGCCAGCAGCTGGAAGGTCCTCTTCACTGGTGGTAAGACCCAGAACTTCCAGCGTATGATGATTGGTTGCTCTGGTCAATTCTTCCAGCAATTCACTGGTTGTAACGCTGCCATCTACTACTCTACCCTCCTTTTCAAGAACAACTTGCACATGACTGGCAAGCTTCCTCTCGTCCTCGGTGGTGTCTTCGCCACTGTCTACGCTCTCGCCACCATCCCCTCATTCTTCATGATTGAGAAGGTCGGTCGTCGCAATCTGTTCCTCATCGGTTTCCTCGGCCAGGGTCTCAGTTTCATCATCACCATGGGCTGCCTGATCGACTCCACCGTCCAGAACTCCAAGGGTGCCGTCGTCGGTATCTTCTTGTTCATCTGCTTCTTCGCCTTTACCACGCTGCCTCTCCCCTGGATCTACCCCCCGGAGATCAACCCCCTCCGCACCCGTACCAAGGCCGCTTCCGCCTCCACCTGCATGAACTGGATCACCAACTTCGCCGTCGTCATGTTCACTCCCGTGTTCTCCGAGCGCTCCGACTGGGGTATCTACCTGTTCTTCGCCCTTGTCAACTTCTGCGCCATTCCCTTCGCATGGTTCTTCTACGCCGAGACCGCCGGTCGTGACCTCGAGGAAGTTGACATTATCTTCGCCAAGGCCCACGTCGAGAAGAAGTGGCCCTACCGCGTTGCACAGGAGCTTCCCAAGCTCACTGTCGAGCAGATCACTCAGATGCAGGCCGAGCTTGGCCTCGACACCTCTGATGATGTCCGCCGTGCCTCTGAGGCCGAGAAGGCCGAGACCGGCATGAGCAGCGGTGACAGCGACACCAACGCTAACACCCACTCCAAGCACGAAGAGTAAATTTTACTCGGCTCTTCGTCTTAACTTCCGTCTATTGACGATGTGGACTCCGATCGATCGGAGTAATGACTGGATCTTGAATCTCTGATACCCTCATGTGTATACCCTCATGTGACCTTATATATACCCCGTTCTGCGGGACAGCTGCAGACCTCTAGACGGTTATCTCGGCTTTCTCATTTCCTTTCTCGCATATTTCATTTGGATCTATGTCTATTTCATAAATACAATTTCTTTATTCAAGATATCTTCCCATCGTAATTCATTGTAGTCGTGCAGAAACCCTAATCCATGTGCCCCTTGCATGATCACGTCGCACAAGGGTGTCCACCTCCCCTTTCGCGGCCCTCCAATTGACACCTTACGATCCAGGCCCTAAACCTTTCAAGGGAACCTTGGAAGGCTGGGTGAAGCCTCATGCTTCCGGGCCTTCTACGGTTCTTCTCTACGATCACTGCAGCCAAGCCTTGCCGATCCGATATAGTTGATCCTGTCTCTTTCTTCAGGTCTACCGCCCTCGACCCTTGCATCTTCCAGCTTTGGCAACCAAAGCGAAACAAAAAGTATACATGCATGAACTTTCTTCAGCGATATATTGCCCATTATTAAATATCTTCCCGTCAATTGCCGTCTCTCGATCTATACCCCATTTGCCCCGTAGGGCAACATTTGACTTGTCCACCCGTGACCCAGCTACATACTAGTAGATATCACTATACGAAATACTTGGTCGATCATTTGCGCCAGTACGGAATACAATAGTCGGAAGCCAATTTGTTCACAGGTCTGACGATACGGAGTACCTAGTACCTAGGTACCGGTGAGATAGGCGGAGGACATTGACAGCTCAGACTTCGACAACGTGCTGAGAGGTACGAAGGACTTCGTATTCCGTTGTAGTATACACGTCTCCCCTTTTGTCAGGCTAACCCGATTTGGAACATGGTCGTTTTTGACATATCGAGTCCGTGTTCCGGCGAAGACACCAAACATTCATTACACCGTGGACTCACTATACGGAGTAGGTGTTCCAAGCAGATGGGAATATCGCATTCCAGACAATGATACACTCAAAAGCTTCGCTCGCAGGTCGGCGCACAGCTAGTGATCACGGGGGCATACGGAAGCCCTGGAGGATGAAATGGTAATGTGATGGGTTAAACATGTCGTGGCTGTTGGTGCAATGACCTTGCGAACTCAACAAGCCTTACTTATTACTAGGTAGAGGCTGAAGGAAGTATGGCTTCATCCCGAATGCAAACTTCAAAGGTTAGAACCTTGAAACTAACTGCAGCTGAGAAGACAGAAGTCCAGGATCAAGTTCCAAGGTTTTCATCAATGACTTCAACGTTGGATATCTACAATCGAAGCTGAACGAGAGAACTCGATATTAGCAAGGACATTGTATTGTTTATCTTTGTATAGATATCACATAGCGATGTTGCATAAATCAGATGGCATTTGCAGCAGTCATGGTTAAACACCTCAACAGATAATCGTATTACTTAGTTATGCTTCTTTGTTGGCGTAAAGTGACAGCACTAGGCGCGACCCGAGTGGTGTGAGCCATGTTTCCCAAAGTAATGGTGATGACGCGCTTGCTTCGCGGAAAGCCTGAGTGCAGGATCGTACTCGAGAAGAGCCTCCAGGAGTTCGAGGCCATCTGGCTCTAAGCCCGGGACCAGAGGGCCATCGGGACGCTTCCACCTTGGGAAACTAGACTTGTAATCAGGGAAAGAGGTGACGCCAGGCCATGTTTCTTCGTCGGGGGTGCCGAGCAGTCTGTGTAATAGTAATGAGTACGGGTTTCGATGTACAGGTCAGGACCAAGACTCACCGGAAGATCTTGAAGATCTCGTCAATCTCCGAATCGCCGGGGAAGAGTGGCTTGCGCGTGCACATCTCGGCGAAGATCGCGCCTATGGACCACATGTCGACTCCGGTGGAGTATTGGCGTCCACCGAGCAGGATTTCTGGAGAGCGATACCACAAAGTGACCACCTGTAAGAGTAAACGAACATTAGTATGCAGCACCGAGAAACCTTTGCTATTGCCGAGTATTTACCTCGTGGGTATACGTCCGCAAGGGGACACCGAAGGCTCGTGCGAGGCCGAAATCACCCAGTTTCAAGTTACCATCACGGTCGATAAGTAGGTTCTGTGGCTTCAGATCACGATGCAGGATGCGGTGGCTGTGGCAGTAGTAGATTCCCTCGACTAATTGGGCCATGAATTTCTTCACCATGGAGTCTCCCAGACCAAGGTTGGCGCTATTCTTCGATCCGCCTGGGAAGGCTTTTCCTCGACCACCCTCGGCGACAGGGAGGGCCTCCATGTATTTCTTCAGGTCGAGGTCTAGGAACTCCATGACGAGATAGAGCTTATGGTCATCAACGTGTACGATGTTGAGCAGCTGGACGATGTTCTGGTGCTTCGCCTCCTTGAGGAGGGAGATTTCTCGAATCGCGGTACTGGGCACACCCTCATCCTCGCCCTCCAGCCGGATCTTCTTCAGTGCGACAATGCGGCTCGGATAGTTTACCTCCTGGGCCTTGTAGACGACGCCGTACGTTCCTGGTGAGCAACGACGCGTCAGCTAGGGTCCCAAGTCATCAATTAACCGTGCACACATCACCTTCTCCGACCTTCTCGATTTTCTGGTAATTCTCCATTGTGAATGGGCGTTGCGGGCGCGTTCGTTTCCGTCGGAGGGGGAGTCGGAGAACTGTGAGATCGCAGGGTTGCGGAAAGGGAGAGAGAAGCGAGTCCGAGAAGCGAGGGACGTGACAGAAGATGTCAGGTCAGCGCAGTTGCTAGGCGACCCTCTTGGCGCGTTTCCCACAAATTTCGCGAAGACGTGAAGTTTTGCGGAAAGTCTACTCGGAGGCTTAAGTCCCCCCTAACTTCTCGTATTTTCTTTCTTTGTCCTTCCCCGTGATGTGAGGGGAAGAGCCGAATTTTGATCCCCAAATCGAAAATATCCTCTTCCGTGTAAAATGAATTCCAGAGCTAATTCTTCTTCGATTCCATCGACAATCACTGGGATATTCGTGAGGGGCACAGAATCGAAAGTCACTAGGGAATCCCACTATCTCCGCTTAACTCCGAACCAGACCGATATCCCCAAACGCGATGCTTCCCCTTACTTGAGCCCTGCTTTATACCTAGGTATTCGCCAAAAGAAAAGGATGACAGATGCAGCTCGAGAGCTACAGTGTACGGGCAGTAGAGTTACTTTCGAATAGGCAGAATTAGATGTCGCTTGTATGCTCTATGTAGTCAATATAAGACAAGTCATGCAACTAGCCAGCTGCGAATGGACTCTTCTTCCGGAGCTTCTCGCCAAACTTCCAAAGAAACACAGGAGCGGGTACTCCGATGACAATAGCCACGAAAGCCAACAAGCTATTGCCCCATCCATAATGCAACGCATTGTACATGTATGGTGCAAATAGAGGGAACCCAAACCCAGCAAGTGAGCGCAAGCATGCACTGGCTGCCAATGCGCTAGCAGCAAAACGCGCATACGTATCGACCATATAAGTCTGAATACACTGGAACGCGATGATGTTACCCGTGCCGAAAAGGACCGCGCCGATATTGGGTGCGATCCAATGGCAGTGGTACTGCGCAGTCCATCCGTAGATAAAGAGTCCAGTGGGTATGAAGAATGCACCGAGGAACAGCAGCGGGACACGGAACTCGGGTTTTCCAACGCCGTTGTTTCGTGCTTTCAAACGACGGTAGATGCGGTCATTGAGAGGAGCACAGATTTGTGAGCCGAGCCAGAATCCCAACCCGAGAGAGATGTAGTTGAGCCCGCCGATGCCAACTGACTCATTATAGTATTGCGGGCTGGTCCAGAGAGACGGGAAAGTCGAGAGGACCAGATACATGATGCCGTAGATATATGCCATGAAAAGAGCAAGAACTTGCACGATGGGTTGGGTGAGAAGAAGTCGAAAGGGGCGGATGAGGGCGATGCGCATGGTTTCTGACAATGGCTTCTTTTGGCGTTCAATTTCTGTTTGATAGGATTCATCGCCTGATTCTTTGCGTAGACGCATGGCGCGATCACGCAGGATTTTGGGGCCGTAGCTCTCACGAAGGAAAAACAGACCCATCACTTGGATCAGAGCGTCTACTATAGAAGTTGAGTAGAAGACCCATCGCCATGTTGTGTTTTCGGCAATAAAGCCTCCCGCCACAGGACCTAAGGCAGGACCCAGTAGGGGAGCGAGACTGTAGATCGCGATTCCTTTGCCGCGCTCTTCTGGGCGAAAGCAATCTGAGAGGACTCCACCACCGATCTACATGAAGTCAGTATGTGGTCTTTTCGGTTTGAAATATTTCAAGGTCGAGGCGGACTTACAGCTAGTGGGGCGCTACCTCCAAGTCCAGCGAAAAAGCGACAAACAATCATCTGTACCTTGGTTTTCGATACGGCACAGCCGATATTGAACACCAAGAAGAAAAGATTCGCCAGCTGAAGAACGATAGTCCTTCCGTAGATCTCGGATAACGGGCCAAGGAATAATGGGCCAACTGCGTAAGCCAAGACGAAGACAGAAAGCATGAGTTGCGAGACCACTTCATCCGTGACATTGAACTCGGTGGCGATGGATGAGAGTGCGGGAGCAACCATGGACGAGGAGACCGGGGAAATGAAGGTAAACAGAGAGACCGTGATGGTTGCAGCCCATTTCTTCTTCATGGTCCAGTTCTTGGGGTTCCCGGGGTCATCATCGCCGTCCCACGTAACCTGTTGTTGTTACTTTAAGGCTCGAAGTTGGGAGAATCACGCATGCTTACCAGCTTTGGGTCATTTCGAGACTTGTTTGACTTCGCTGTGCGTATCTTTTCGAGTTCCGGATTCTGAGACTTCTCTAAATCAATATCGCGTTCGTTCACTATCCCATTCCGAACTTCTTGGATCGTGTCGGTGTCTCTGCCTTCGAAGGATACATCGTCGTCATTTCCTTCATCACTGTGGTACACAGATTGGTCGTTGATGTGTCGCCCAGAATGGATGCGGTCTACTTTACTCATTCCTGGGTTTGAGAGTGAGCGTAGCCTTGACTTCAAAGATCCGGTTAGGCTTCGAGATCGTGAGTTCGCCCTCGACCTGGATCCGCGAGACTCGGAGTCGCTGCTGGATATAAATGTCGATCGCGACCTTGCCAGGCCATTTTCTTTGGCGGATTCGGACATTTTACTTGACTTCGGCGAGGTATCCAGATGCACCGAGTCAAATACGCTGAGCTCCCGAGTGTGAATTTACCACCACTCCGACCACTTTGGTGTATAATGTGATTGACCTAGAAGAAAACGAAGTAACCCTCCAAAGCGGGGATCATATTTATATCAAATGACAGAACGGAAGAGATCTCCCCGGTTCAGGAAAACAGGCGCATAACCAACGGCAATAACGAAGGACCTTAGGACCGTTGGTCCACACTTGCTATGTGCGATTTGAGGCATAGCGATTGGTTGGATAGCAAAGCTTGACACCAGGGTGAATCATCGTTTGGCCCCGTTGGCCCCGTTCGCCCCTCCGTTGGCTTGAAAATTTCACGAGATGGCGGCCTGGGCCGTCATAAAGGCAGGTTTATGCAAAGCAGACAGCCTGAAACGCATCCGATTGACTCCTGAGGCATCACACCTCCGGGTTATCGGCACACGGCAGGTCACGTGTGGATAGGATCGGCATTTGTCTTTCCCAAATCAATGCCGGTACAGGGTTGATGCCGGTTCCGGGATGGATTCTCAGCCTACACCTTCATTATGATGGGAATCTTTCGAATTCTTACAATGAACTATGCTAATCATGGAGAGTACTGGTGAAATTTTTAATTTCTAGCGATAATATCACCCGATATCCCTGACCTCGGAACAATCATTGGTCCAATATTTTGACCCCAAGCTGCTGTACTCCGTACCAAAGTGTACAGTATGTACTACGGAGCAGTACTTTACCTTCGATCGAAGATGCACAGATCAATTCTGCTGGATGACAGGGGATCATCGAATCTTGGCTAGATTGCGGGTTGAGATAGGAGCCATTGCAATTCAGGTTTCCTAGACCAAGCAGGTAGCCCAACCCTGCAGGTGCCCATTCTCAAATGATGCCGTTGGAGAGTCTCCCAGGCTTTTTGTGGGGATTTATTTTAACACCTACCCCACATTTTCTACTTGCAAAGCAGTGCCATAGGTCCAATTTACCATGAGCTCAAGATACGCTGTGTGTACATATGCTTTTCCATGGTCTAAGGCTGTACCATGTGGATGAGGCTAACGAGGTTCGTTGAGCAGAGTATGTTCTACTGTAGTTCAACAAGCACCAAGGCCCTTCCAAAATTGGTATGCACGTTTTTATTCAGGTGTTCCGAGAGAATCGCGGACGACGTTCCCTAAGCGATTGGGCAATTCTAACGAATGCTGGAACTTTTTCTGAGAAAATGCCATGACTTTGTCACTTTTTTTAAAAGAAAAAACAGGGACACTCTGGCTCTCTGTCTCCCGTGGTACCTGTTTGGTTCTCTCTTCCCTTCCTCTCTTCGTCTTCATCCAAGCAGCTGTTTATTGAATAATGGATGCTCCACATCCTTAAATGTAAATGGTCACGGTCCCACAGTGTGACAACCTGCCCGTAGGGCTGACCGTCTCCCTTGGATGATTGTGACATTGGAATTATCCGTCCGGACATCACCACGAAGACTTTCTACCAGTTCTGTAGTCTTAAGTTCATTTTGAACTATCAGTTTACTATTTAGTGAATACGGAGCACTCGGATAATATAGTATTCGCATGCCCCACTCTAGTTGCAGAAACTTCTCTGGGCGCCGAGTACTCCGTACTCCGTACTGTAAGTACTAGTACTTAGTGAGCGTTGAGAGCTTGGGGGTACTTATTGCCCTATGAAGCGCAAGGACAAAGCAAAATCCCGGTGATTCGAACCCGTGGACCTTATACAATAATTAGCCATCAGGAACTCTGTGGAACGTTTTCCTTTAAAACAGCCACTCTGTACCCCGTACGGCACGACCTCGGGGCTCAGCTGAAGTGGCACAAAAGTCGTTCTCCACTCAAGCCAATAGATTCTCACGTTATCGTTTATTGGGCTACAACATCCAATCAGAGTCCAGCATAAGCCGACTAGCGCCAGCTGAAAATCCGGCGTGCCCCATTCTTCTGTATGGGTGAGACATCCTCGGAGAAATGAAGAAGGAGAAAGGAAAAAAGGGTCTTGGCTAGTGATGAGGATAAATCCTCACCATGGGCTTCCGAAGTTTTCAGATGTACAGTACATCCAACAGTCATACACATGTATAGACCAACCACGAGAAATGAATGGCAGTTGTGTGGCGTGCTGCTCACGCAGGCTATCGTGACAATTGCCCTTGAGGTGTGAGTCTTGTACCTCTTCGAGGTATCCCCATGTCGTGATCTAACTATACCAGCTACATATTCGTTGAATGGCAGTTATGGGTAACCCCAACTATCACTCAAGTTCCGATCTCATATTTGATTCCAATCAACTTGGCGATTTTGATTTTTGCTGGTGTCTATATGTTTGCTCTTGCATTGGATGCCATCAATGCCAAGAATAACATTCTACTCTTTGCAATCTGCATCTCGAATGCCTGCAGTTTTGCATATGCCGTCATGCAGTATCATCTGATGGAGTCCAACACTCTCAGGCTATACGAGGAACGGTATGGGTATCCAACCCTAGTAGACACTACCCGCAGTCTATGGCCGTCAATCCAGCCTGCCGAGATTGTCGTATGCATCATCGCGGGCTTGGGGTCATTGGCCATGATTCCCTGTGTCTACTTCCTGCACAAGGAGTACTCGTGGGCCATATACAAATGTGTCAATGGTAACCGCAAAACCAGAATGCGCTATCTCTTCTACGAGGTAAGATATTTCCCACCCGCAAGAACTTGAAAGCAAGCTCGAAACTTATGCTAACAACCTTTGACCAAAAGATCTTCCTCGTGTTGATCAAAATCAACTTTTATTTTCTGATTGGCTTCATTGTCCAATACAACTTCATCTTCGTTCACTTCCATAACCTTGAATATACCCTGACCATGTGTCTAATCCCTGCTTCATTGATTACAATGTTGCTTGGTATATACTTCGTCCAGCATGAACGGACATGGGGGGTTATTCCGATCATAGTAAGTACTGCCATCCCGAAAGATATCCCAATGAGGGTCATGGCACGCCCACGGATTTATCACTCACACACAGACAGATCTGCTACTTGGGTGTACTCGCATACCTAATCAGCCGAATCATTATCTTAATTGGAGATGTGACTTTAGGGAAGGACATGATGCTTCTTTTCGCTCTTGTTTCCCTAGTCCTCACTATTGCAACGGTTGTCTGTGCAATCGTGTGCATCACAAATTTTGATCGTGGTTTCAAGGTCATCAACAGATCCAAGAATGGTTCTGGGCGAAGTTCGAACTATTTACACCCTGGGGCCCTCCCTCTTTCGCATCCTGACTCGCGTCCATCATCTCGGCTGACGCTGGAATAAAATGGAGTCGGGTTGGAGTTCTAATGTTCGATTTTTTAAAAAAAATAATAATTTCCTCGCGTTGATTCAGCGCACACATACAACAAGAATCTAATTCACAACCGAATCACATTTCTGGGTCTTTTCATCCACCATTATATCCCACCTGGTACTGCAGGTTCCTACTGGTATCCATGCCCAGGTGTAGCACAAGTCTCCCTCGGGGCATATGGATACACCTGTGGACCTCGGGACCCTTCCCGGGGTCCATGGTCATGTTGTCTTGTCAAAGCAATACAGATATGCATGATTTGAAATATTGGAGACAAACAATCCTAACCTTAATATGCCTAGGTGAGGACGCCAGCTCATCATCCATGGATTATAGCTAGATATGAGAGCGATTTTTAGCCGGGAACTCGGCTGCTGAACCCTTAAAGGATTTGATAGTATATAAGCTGCATAAATGCATAAGAGAACTCCATCGGTCGTCATTTACATCATAATATTACACAATTTCAATATACCGCTTGACTTCCCTGCGTGTGTGTTAGTTTCAAGCACTTAAAAGCATCTGAGATGTTGTCTTGAACTTACCAATCAGTCACAGCCTCTCTCCAAAGTCCCAGCTCATGCTGTCTCGTCGCAGTGAAGAAGTCCACAAACTCGCCACTCAATAGTTCCCTTGCGATACTGTTAGGGGCTGAGAATCGATCCAAGGCTTTGTCCAGGGTATTGGGCAATAGTTCTGGGCGTTCACCCTCTTTGCGCGCTGACATGGGTGGAACCTTGATCTCGAGCTTCTTCTGCACACCCCTCCAGCCAGCTGCAAGGATGACACTCAAAGCGTAGTGAGGGTGGAGATCAGCACCAGGGATACGGACTTCGAAGCGAGTCGCACCGGGCTTGCAAACAGGTGGTGTGATCAGACGAATTGAAGCAATGCGGTCTTCAAGTCCCCAACTAATGTGTACAGGTGCCCAGTAATTCTCGACCAGGCGTTTGTATGAGTTGACTGTTGGTGCAAAGAGGGGCATGATATCGGGGAGAGCTTCGAGAAGACCAGCAAGGAAGTGTCGTCCGGTGTCGGAGAGGTGTGCAATGTCCGACCATTGAGGATTCGCCTCGGGAGTCTCTCTCGCGAAAAGGTTCTTGCCATTCTTGTCCGCAAGAGAGACGTGGATGTGACCGGAGCTTCCAGGCATGCCCTGCATGGGCTTCGCCATGAAGCACGGGGTGACGCCGTGGTCCATTCCCAAGGACTTGGTCAGGAGCCTATTGACTCATTAGACTGAGCGACGACTCGTGTACAGTATATCTCACTCACTTGAACATCGCGACCTTATCGGCCATCTCGCTGATTTCACAAACCTTGAGGGCCTGTAAAACTCTCATTAGACAGGTTCAGTCGCGTTAAGAGGAATACATACTGCTTCATACACACCAGGCCCGCCCTCGGTGTGCCATCCCTCAATGCCGCAGTTGATCTTAGCAGCGGTGTTGAAGATATCATAAAAGTATTTCTTGTTGGCCACAGGCCGCGTTGAGCTGTAGCAGAACATGCCGGCAGTGATAGGACGAAGAGCACCAGGGGAGTTCTTTTCGAGGAATGTAGCGAGGTTAGGGTGTCGCGAGCCTGCGCTGCCGTATCCGTCTTCGGAGGGAGTCTGGAAGTTCATGAATTCAAGCTCAACTGTCAAAGGTTAGCATCTCGATTTACTTAAGATCATAGCCGTCCTAGTCTTACCTCCAGCCAGAGCATGGAGTCCCTCTCCTGCAAGCTTGTCGCACAGACTCTTCAACAGACTTCTTCCGTCTGCTGAGACCGGAGTAGTGTCATCGAGGAATCGCACGAGGAAGAAAGGAATGTTGTCTTCCCATGGGAGACGGCGGAAGGAGTTGAGGTCAGGAATAGCGAGGAAATCAGCATATCCTGACTCTGGGGGTGCAACTCGCGCATCGGTTGTCCAAAGCATATCGTGCATGTCCCAACCGAAAAGGGCTGAGCTAAAGCCGAAGCCTTTCTCTGCAATCCCCAGGAACTTCTCCTTGGCCATCACTTTGCCACGCAGCACCCCATCGCTGTCAATGCCAGCGACCTTGACCATAATGTCATCGGCCAGAAGTTGAGGAAGAGATTCAACAGTAATCATGGTGGGCGTAATCATGGCAATGAATTCGATCAGGGGGAGTGATCGAACTACTTCAATTGGGGGAAATGGGAGTCAAGAGAAATGCTCGTGGACGGCCACAGCTTTATACAATTTGCTCAATTGCGTGAATTGTGGGCCACTGAGGATACAGCGGGTTGACCTTCTGGTCATCATTAATCCCGCGCCGCATCTTTTCCAGTCAGCCCCGCGCGGTTTTCAGAGCGCGCATTGTGATACGCAAGCTAAGTGCCTAGTTGAGATCTGAAGTGAAGCTATAGCTCCAGGGCAGTCCGCAGCCCGCGGTCCGCGCTGCGGGGCGCGCTTATCGGCGCGCTATCTTATCGCGTTATCGCGTTATCGGGGAGTCGGCGGTGTGCCGAGGTCGGAATTCATAACTTGGAAAACAACTGCTCATTTCCCATTACACATCAGCACACGAAGTTGAGAAAGATGTCCAATATTCAGCTCAAAATTGCCATTCTGTCTTGCGACACGCCTGTGGAGTCTGTCCTCAAGAGGTATGGCGACTACTTCGTGATCTACAAGGATATCCTGAGTCGGGCTTTCAACGAGTTCAATCAGTGTCAGGAGGCCTTTGACAATGTCAGCGTGACGTTTACCGAACACGATATGGTTAAGATGGAAGCGTTCCCTGATCCCAGCAGTGTTGATGCGGTGATTATGACTGGAAGCAGTAAGTTGCCACATGCATGATGGAAACTGGGGGTGTCCGAGCTAACATGGGCGACGCAGAACACGATGCCTGGGCTGACGACCCCTGGATTCTGAGTCTCACAAATCATATTCACGAGGCCGTAACGATACATAATCTACCGGTCATTGGATTCTGCTTCGGACATCAAATCCTTGCTCGAGCACTCGGGGCAAAAGTGGGGAGAGGCAATGGCTGGGAGATTTCGGTCGGGGAGGTCAATTTGAATGAGACTGGAAAGGCACTCTTTGGCAAAGAAACCATAGTGAGAAAATCCCCGGCGAGAGAACATTACCTCTCCAGCGTACTAATTAGAATCCGCAGAGCATCCAGCAAATGCACCGCGATATCGTCTTTGAGGTCCCAGAAGGCTGCGTGAATATTGGAACGAGCCCAATTTGTGAAGTACAAGGTCTATACTCGCCTAACAAACTCATCTCGGTACAGGGCCATCCTGAATACAACCAAGGTATGATGGAATGCATCGTGGAAACTCGGCATGGCAACGGAATCTTCGACAGTGGGCTGTACAAGGATGGCATGTCCCGAGCGGGCAATTCGCAGGATGGGCTATTGATTGCACGTACCGTGGCCAAATTTGTTTTGGATGCAAAGGTGGCGAAATCGCAGTCATAATAGATATCATCGAGAAACTTGAAGCTGGCGTGAATCAGAAAATGCGATATGCGATACAAAGTACACAACATCTGAACAGAATGGAATAAGATTTCCTTAGGGATAGCCTGTTATTTGCAAAGAGGACCCAATTCGAAAATAAATGCAAAAAGAATTGCTATTTGTAAAACACGAGGAACGCGAGGAAAGTGGAACACCTGCGATAGCGCCTCTGCAACCGCGGCCCCGCACTATAAAGCCCTCCCTCTCCCACCTCTCCCCAGATCAGATTCTCAAACTTCACAAAAATGTCTAACCAAATCCGCACAATCAACCCTGCGACCAATGAGGTCATTTTCGAGCAGGCTGGCACTTCGCTCGAAGAAGCCATCAAAGTGGCTGCCACTTCAAAGAAGGCCTTCGAGTCATACCGGACCACCTCCCTTGAGGAGAGAAAGACAATTGTGAAGCGAGTCCTTGACATTGTCGAGAAAAACCGCGATGAGCTTGCCAATGAGCTCACACTCCAGATGGGCCGTCCAATCCGCTACTGCGCTGGCGAGATCAACACCATGCGTCTGCGCGCCGAGTATTTGATGGATATTGCCGACGAGAGCCTGTCGGATTTGCCTGGTCGGGCTGAGGCTGGATTCCGCCGCTCCGTCAAGCGAGTCCCTCTCGGTCCAGTACTCATTGCTGGCGCCTGGAACGTTAGTATTCACCAAACCTCAGAAGGCTGCTCTTGAGCTAACGTGCAACCAAGTACCCCTACTTGACCACCGTCAACGCCCTGGTCCCAGCTCTTCTAGCTGGTAACAGTGTTATCCTGCGCCCTTCACCACAGACCCCGCTATTTGGAAACAAGATGCTGCAGTTCTTCACCGAGGCTGGGCTTCCATCGGACGTTCTTCAGATTGTTCACATCGGAAGCCTTGATGTGCTTGACCAGGTTGCGCAGATCCCTGAGATCCAGTCTGTCTCTTTCACTGGATCGACTGCCGGTGGTATCAGATTGAGAGAGGCGACCGCTCGCCACATCAAGCCAGTCAATCTCGAGCTTGGTGGTAATGACCCTGCCTATGTCCGCCCAGACGTTGACGTCAAGCATGTTGCCGAACAGCTTGTGGATGGCGCCGTCTTCAACTCTGGACAGAGCTGCTGTTCCATCGAGCGCGTCTACGTGCACGAGAAAGTATACGATGACTTTTTGCGTGCAGTGCAGGAAGTGTTAGCCTCGTAAGTGGATTGAGCTTTATTTACTATGCAATTCTGACACACCGCAGTTACAAGCTTGGAGACCCCAAGGACCAAAGCACAACCACCGGTCCTGTCATTTCAGCACAAGCCGTTGAGAAGATCAACTCCCATGTTAAGGATGCACTAGCCAAGGGTGCAGTTATTTCTACACCTAGCAACTCCAGCTTCCAGGTTGAGAGTAACCCTCAGACTCAGAAGGGGAACTTTGTGGCTCCTATTGTTTTGACCAATGTCAACCACACCATGGCCACCATGAAGGAAGAGACCTTTGGTCCTGTGATGCCTATTATGAAAGTTTCCAGCGATGATGAAGCCGTGGCCTTGATGAATGACAGTGACTTTGGCTTGACTGCCAGTGTTTGGACCCAGGATATTTCGCGGGGAGAGGAATTGATTGACCGGATTGAAGCCGGTACGGTGTTCATCAACCGCTGTGATTATCCCAGCCCAGTGAGTGTTCCTTCTTTACGGCCTACCCCTTGATTATAGTTCTTGAATTGCTAATGTCACAAACCAGGATCTCGCATGGATTGGCTGGAAGTCTTCAGGCTTGGGCTGCACCCTTGGTCCACGAGGCTACGATGGATTCACCAAGCTCAAGAGCTACCACATCAAGCATACTTCATCATGAATACGGAACTCGAAGGGACAATGTATATAGCTATGAATCAGAATCAAGGAATTTCACATATCATACTAGCGTTCGAAGGTTTCAATCTATATGAAAATTGTCAAATTTACAGTACCGTAGTCTATACTCCGTACGAGCATTTCTAAATGTTATGCTCCAGCTGTATCCCTGCTCAGGTGATTCTCCATGAAAGCATCTACAGTACTTACTCATGTTCGCATGATACCGACTACTAGTGCTACCTAGGTAGGTATGACCGTCGCGCTACGAGGGCCCCACAGCGCGGTCCCGGACCGCGCTGCCCCAAGCCGAGAGCGCGGGCAAAGATACCACCAAAACAGTCCAACGGGTTCATGCAGCTCAGATCTTCAAATTTTACCTAAAAGCTACCCCTCATGCCCCGCAGTGCGAGCTCACCGCGCCGTCGCATGGCGGGGTAAACAGGAGCGCGATGGAGCTTCCGAGACCGCGGCTGTGGATCGCGATACGAGTCGCAGATTCCCAGGGCCACGTGAACTGGAGATTATCGGGGGTTGGGCATTGGAGCTATAAATTAAAGAAAGTAGGAGACAAGCACCGTTGTCATATCAATTACTCCCAAGTGTTGAACTCAACCCAATACCATTTCATTTCCTCACCCTTAACACGCACATTTCAATCAACATGGTTGGCAGACTTGAAGGCAAGAATGCCATTATCACTGGCGCAGCTGGGTATGTTCTATTGACTTAGAGATGTGAACGAAGACTCATGATCCAACAGCGGTATTGGTCTCGAAACCACGATTCTCATGCTCCGCGAGGGCGCCTCGGTCTTGATGACCGACATCAGCGACGAGGGTCTCGCCAAAGCCCTTGCCAAGGTCAACGATATCGTCCCTGCCTCATCCCGCTCCGGAAAGGTCGAAACAAAGGCCGTCGATGTCTCCAACGAGTCCCAGGTCGAAGCTGCAGTCGCCCACCTCGACTCCTGGGGTGGCCTGGACGTCATCTTCAATAATGCCGGTATCATGCACCCCAAGGATGGAGATTCGGAGGAATGCCCCGAGGATATCTGGGACCGCACAATGAATATTAATGTGAAGGGTGTTTGGTTTGGATCAAAGCATGCGGTGCGTGCTTTCAGGAAGCATGGCAAGAAGCGCGCTAGCGTCATCAACACCGCTTCGATGGTCGCCTTGGTGGGAGCTGCAACACCGCAGCTGGCATACACTGCCAGTAAGGGTGCTGTGCTTGCCATGACCAGAGAATTGGCGATTGTTCATGCCCGCGAGGGATTCAGATTCAACTCACTTTGCCCTGCTCCTCTCAAGTAAGTCTTTCGGCTGCAGATTCAGTCGTTGATGAGTGCAAAGCTAACATGATGCAAAGCACCCCTCTTTTGCAGGACTGGCTGGGTGATGACAAGGAGAAGCGCTTCCGTCGTGAGGTTCACTTCCCATCTGGTCGCTTTGGTGAGGCGGTTGAGCAGGCTCACGCCGTCATTTTCCTGGCTAGCGATGAGAGCAGCTTCGTCAATGCCACCGACTTCGTCGTAGATGGTGGCTTGACAAAGGCCTATGTTACCCCCGAGGGACCAGCAACAGAAGCCCCCAAGAACCAGGCAGCATAAAGGGAAATATTTTTTTAAAAAATTAATTGTACATAATATGAGTTACAGAATGACGATCAACATCACGCGAATGAAATCCATATTTGATTTTGCTGCATCGCCCGACAGATATTCCACGGCCCAGCTTCAGACATGGGCAACTGCCACATTGCTTCAAGCAAAAGTAGAGTTCGGTGCATATTTCCCAGTCCGAACTTCTCGATCATTGCATTCAAGCGTCTTCGTAACCGTTCTTGTTGATCAGTGTTCAGGAGACAGGATCCGACCAACGCAATTGGCCAACATAGACCCGAATTGATGCGCGCACTGGGTGAAAGGTCGTGGAGGTATGTCATGGCTTCTGTGACAGCGTTGTCCACAAGACCTCTGTACATCCCATCTGCGGTGTATTGGAATCCTCCCAGAGAGGTGTATAGATAGATGAGGATAGCCTGTTGAAATATCAACCCGGCAAGGTGGACATCCGTCGGGACATTGGGGTATGGCGACCAGCGCAAGACCTGTGCTTGGATGGATGCAAACATGGCGAGGTCATCGGCTGTTGGAACGACCGCCTGCGTATCGTCCATAATCCACTGCCGACCGAGATCGAAAATGCACGGGATCAGCAGCAGAAGTTCCAGCCAACAGCCGCACAAATTGCCTACGTACTGAGTGCGCAGCAGTTCGCGCGACCGTTCCTCAAGGTCAAGATTCAGGAATAATTGCCCACTAAACCGGGCATCGATCGAAATCATGCTTACGGTTGCGGTGTATGTGTAGTACTCGATGACAAAATCTTTCAGATCACGCGGTACCGCCGTATCGCTTTGGGCGAGCAGCTTGACTAAAAGCGAGTTTGCTGCTGATAAGTGGTCGAATATTGTGCCGTTCATATCGCCTTTTGCAGTCTGAGTTTGGTGAGTTTAGCCCACACACGTTTCGGTCCGATTCCTTACCTCTGTAAAACACATTAAAAGTGCACCAACCAGGAGCATGAGAGGATTAGTCTCCTTTCCATCTATGAAATCCGTCACACCGCGACGAAAATGTAGCAAGGCTTTGGAATAATGACTGTGGGCAATTGTATCGGAATCATCGCGCGACCGGAAGGCGCGGTGAGCTGCACTTTGAGTAATGACCAACTGTAGCAGCAGGTCACTAGAAAAGGCCAAGGGCACAATCTGTACAAGAAACGGATTGACTGGCGTGGAGCCATTTGCCATAACATCAGCTGTTGTGGCAAGGTAATGACTGAGAAGCTGATAAGACTCTGCATCGTAGCCAGGCAACATGGACAGGCTGCGCGGCAGCACATCCGCCGTTGAAATGGATGCGATCAGAGCATCACTTGTACTGGTCATCGGAGTCGCTGTTGATACCCGTCGTGCATGGCTTTCAGGCAACACATCTTCAAGCGGATCACCGATCTCGGAGTGTGCATTCGACAGTACAGAGGGCGCCCGTTGCGATAAGGGGCTTCCGGCGAGCAAAGGCTCACCAAATGGCTCGATGCTTTCCAGAAGACTCGGCCGGCGCTCTTCGGGGACAGCTGACTGGAGATTTTCATCTTGCCCTGAATCTCTCCTCGACAGATCGGGCCACTGGCAGCTCAGGCGGTTGCGCTGACAACCCCCGCATATAGGTCGCGTTTCATCGCACTTCTTCTTCCGCCGCCTGCATGACCAGCATCCTGTGCGTACCCGGACTATTCGCTGTACTCGTCGATCGGGTGGCATCTTGGGAAGTGCAGGACGTTGGAACTTCCGAGAACCGCTATCCACTGATAAGCAACTTGTGGGGTAAAACCTTCGGCTGGAAGAGCCCGAACAGTCCTCTCGCTTTACTGCTGTTCTCTCTACCCGGAATGTCTTCGGCAGGAGTCTACGTCGCCATCTTCAATGAAAGCGTCAACCAGGGCATCTATAAACACTGGGCCATGTTTGTTGATGGGCCAACCAAAACCGTCCTTGGGCTCATCGACCAGATATTACTTCGATACGAGCACCGCAGACCCGAGAGCATCACCAGATCTACTCGAGCTGATACATATGTCCGATGTGTCTATTCGAAACATTTCTACCATCCAGCAAATTGCAGAAAGTTTACCAATCCGCAATGAATACCCAGGATATAACTGCCAAGACTACGTGCTCGAACTTCTCGATGAGTTGGAAGTGAAACAGATCATTGATGGCACCAACATGATATACAAGGGGAAGAAAATGGAGCTGGCCAAACAACAAGGTGGCCTGGCCTAGACAAGCCTGGGCAAATGTACTCACTGGAACATAGCTCATCGGCTCGCACAGAGACCAACGTATTTTCAAGTATGCATAGACAGCTACCTCGTAGCCTATCTCGTTTCGAGGCTGATCAAACGATCATTATACCCCAGAGCCGTAGAAGTACTAGAGAATCGCTCCGTGTTGAGCTGAACCCCGGTCACCAGGCTCCAGGTTGCAAAACGTCGTATGTTCCCTTCGAAGGATCCAACCTGACTCCCTCTTTTGGGTTGATTTGAGAATATTACACGAACACCAGTTTCGTGGTCATCAAAGGTACAAAATCGCAGTGTCGGAATTCAAGATCGAGCCCACTCACAGTATGGAGCCAGATCTCCGTGGGAACGCGCTAGTCAAGGTTGCCGCAAGGTGGATTTTAAGTACCTTGAGGCCGCCCACGTGACGGGGCAGAAACAACGGGGTTCGCCTGCTTCATACGCCCAACTCATCGCTCTCAGGTGTACATAGGTCTCAATTCCCGGAATCCTGTTCGCATAGCCAGCGCGATGGCTTCGAACCTCCCTCTTCCCATCCCACCGCGCACCCCCACCCCGCCCGCGGATGACGATCAGCATGCCTCCACGATCAACTCAGGGATGCCCATTAGTCGCGATTCACTATCGCCGCTGAAGGCCTCCTTCCCAAAGGGTGTCATGGATATGGAGAGCAGAGACCGATTGAGCCCTACCAAGGCATCCTTTGGTCTGGGGACTTCCCCAGTTCAGAATGGATCGGGCGACAACCCCGCGGGGCCATTCAACTTCGATACTGCTGTGATGGCGAAGAGCCCGGTCGTTAAATCGGTGAGCGAAGTATATCATTAAGCGCTGTAATGTGTTTCTAACAGATCCCTGTTGCAGAACATTGGACAGCGTCGTGGCCACAAGTACAAGCACAGTAGTATATCGCACCAGATCTTCCTCGAGCCCCCTCCACGCGCGCCTCTTGCCCTCCCGAACTCTCTTCCCATACCAACATTGAAAGAATGCCGATCTAGCATGTCGAAAGATCAGAAGACTCGCTTCTGGTGGAGTTTGTGCCACATGTCCATCGCGGCGTACACACTCTGGACCGCGCATGGGTCTCTAGCCATGACATCGTTGTCGCATTTGATTCTCTTTGATTCATTGGGCGCTCTCTTATGTGTTGCGGTGGACGTGCTGAGCAATTTCGAGGTATGGAAAAGATCGAGCATTCGCCACCCGTTCGGTCTCGAACGAGCCGAGGTTTTGGCCGGGTTTGCAATGGCCGTGCTTCTTCTATTTATGGGGCTGGACCTCATCTCACATAATCTGCAACATTTCCTCGAAAAGTCCGGGCATGAGCCTCATCGTCCGCATGAGCACGACCGCGTCTCACTGGGTAGTGTGGATGTGACGGCCGTCCTTGCTATATCTTCGACGCTGGTCTCGGCCATCGGACTCAAGAATCATGCCCGTATTGGAAAGGCAATGCGGTTCGGATACATCCAGTCCCTCCCGTCCGTGCTGAGCAACCCATCTCACTTCCTCACGCTCTCGTGCTCCGCTCTGCTGCTGTTGCTACCCCTCGTCTCCATTCGAATCTATGATTGGCTCGATAAGCTGCTGTCTGGGACCATTGCGTTCTCCATGTGTTTCCTTGGGATGCGACTGGTGAAGACGCTTGGCTCGATGCTTCTCATGTCTTACTCAGGGCCGGGGGTGTCTGATGTCCTCAAAGATATAGAAGCCGATCCATCTGTGATCGGCATTGACGACGCCCGATTCTGGCAGGTCCATTACGGGCTGTGCATGGCCAATCTCAAGCTACGGGTTGGGGGTACCGAAGACAACCTCCTTCGGTTGCGAGAAAAGATCACTAGCTTGGTTCGCAACAGATTGGGTGGAGGCTACGGTGGAGGCGGCCAGAAGTGGGAAGTCTCTTTACAATTCACGATTGAGCGAACATGATGAGTGAGTTCTTGATCGCTGTATTTATTCTCACGCCTGCACTTATTACCATTAACTTTGTAGCATACATTGTACAAATGAACATCTACTTTGGAATGTCTTCAATGGTCTTCATGTTGAATAGCTTGTGATTAAAGGGTATATAGATGAAGAGTGGCTGCGGTCATTAAACGCGTGTCCGACGCGTAAGCTATTTTTCGATTTTGAGCTCAGGCACTTGCTTCTGCCAGATGGGCCTCCAGCCCCGACTCGTCCCTCTGGTATCGGTAGTGACAAGCCCAGCAATGCAGACGACACAGGCCAAAAACATGAAAACGGTGGCAGCGGTGGCAGCGGCACATCTCGACTTCAGGTGGTCGCTGTCGTACCAACAATTTGAACGAGTCCCTAGGTCCTCGTAGTCGCAACCGCCGCTGAGTAAAACATTTTGATAGGTGGTGAGCCAGCTTGAGCATTTTGTTCCATGCAGTCGCACAGCGAAGATCTTCGGGCCGAGTTAGCTAGATCGCGTATCTGTGATCACGTCGCGTGTACTTACAACACCACCGGTGAACATGGCGAGGGCAGTGACGCCGTCCACGATCCAAAGCAGGGGCCCGTTCAACGAGCTATCGGTAATGGCAGCATTGCCAAGTAGCGCGGCTACAACGCCGAGGGCACCGGCAAAAACCGCGTAGATCGTTTCAGATGGCACAGATTCAATGACTTGCCCCTTGGCCAGACTGAAGGAGAGACTGAAGATTACGATGCCGAAGAGCAACTGTGGTCATGTTAGGGGGTGATCCTCGATCCTGACTAGCACGGCGTGGAGTGTACCTGAACGACGCGAACGCCAGCAATATATGAGATCATGATCATCTTGAATCTTGGAGCTCAGGTAAACCTAGAGCAAAGTGAATCGGGTTGCTAAAAAGTTGAAATAACATAGCAGCCCCTGAAGGGGGTGGCAGGGGATTTATCCACAACCCCAGATCTACAAATCCACACTCACAGCCCTGCTCGCACAGCCTTTTTGCAACTCGTTGCGTAGGCTTTAAGCCGCAAATCCACATTTTACGCGCGACCGGGGGGGCCATCCTTCAGGGTCCAATGTGCTGTAGGGGCCAGAAATAACATTGGTTCGTGAAAGATCGGATGTCGATCTTAGCCGTTCATGAAGCGTTTGCTCGCGATCTCTGCGCTGATAATCCTATGACTCGTTGCGTATGGAGCCTTGGGGGCCATGTTTCCCTGGTAAGCAGGCCCTGGTGGATTTTCAGAATGAAAAATCGGGTTTTCAATAAATTACTCTTGTCTCCTGCGTGTGGCATGTGTCAAACACCTGGGTTTTTACCTGGACACGCGAAATGCCAAGCTGTCGCGTTGGTATGAAACGGAAGACAAGGATAACCTCGTGTTCTCAGATTGCCCCACGGCGATGAAACGGCGTAAAAACGCCCGAGAAATTTACGTATCTGCCTTGGAAAAGGGCTCCAGAGGGCGATGACGCACCGTCAGAACGAATATTTTTAGTCACTTTTCTGTAGATCGGTGGGTCCCCGATTTCAAGACTCTGTCTTGTTCAACGTTATCCTCCAGGGCTACCTAGTACATACCTAGGTACTCCACGGTGTCCTGCTGGCCATATTAGATGCACGGCGACCTTTCCTCTGAATGAAAGAGTTGAATGCCAAGGTGGTCATGACAATCTGCAGGAGTGTCAGATGTTTAGGTATACTGCATGATTTAGTGAAAGCCGTCTCAAGGTGGCGGATATGTAGCAGAGCGAAACATATACAGTGTGATCTTCTAAGGTTCCAAGGTCACTCTTACAATAGTACTATGTACTACCCAGAATACGTATCGATAGGCATACGTGGACATGCCAAAGTGTCACCTGGGCATATGCTTGTGCCTAGGTGTATTTCGAGGTCTGAGACCCTGGGAGTTGACTTGGGGTTTGATTTGGGGGTTATTTCTTGTCGCACGCCCATGTGAAAGCAACTACCTACAGAAGACATATTTTGGGGCACCATGCAAACATTGCATTTCAGGAGTTTCCGCTTCGGATAACCGAAAGGGCCTGGTGAGTCCGCGCCAAGGTCCAAATAGATGCTATTGGGGGGACCGCGGGAAGCTGCTAATACTGCACAGAGGGACATTGGGGTTTCTTGATAGGTATGGTCTTTTATGAATAAATGATAGTGTTTAAATTACTCGGTACATGAAGGGAACAGCCGTGATTAAAATCAAGTAGACAGACATAAGAGATCCGAATATCAACGGAAGGTATATGTCTGATGCCAATCCAAAGCCTTCACAGAATCCACATAGCGACCCGACTATTGATCGTATACACGTCAGATTTATGCGTCAAAGGGGAAACCGTCGCAAGCAAGCTTGAAGGAAACGTAGCCAGGGTCCAGGTGGTCGGGGAGACATTGGCCCTCGGCGATGGGAGAGTGGTCGAAGGGAAGGAAGTGCACGGGCTTGCCGGTGCAGTCCTCGTTGTTCCAGACAACGACACCTTGGCAGAGCAGGGCGTCCTTAGTGTCAAGGTGGGCCTTGAAGGAGTAGTTGTTAATGCTCCAGTCACGGTTCAGGGTGGTCTTGTCGCAAGTGAGTGGAGTGACAGCAACATCAGCGCTGAACTTGGGTTCACCCAGGGCAGGGTGGCCAACGTCACACTGCTCCCAGGACTGGAGCTGGACGCTGGCGACAGGAACGGCAGCGTAGGCGGTCATAGAGAGTGCGGCCACGGAGGCGAGGGTCTTGAGTATGTTAGTACTTTTCTTTAATTTCTGATGTGGGTATGTACCTTAGTGAAGTGCATCTTGATTAATGATTGTGGGTTGTCCTGAAAAGAAGGTGGTTCTCCGGCTTGGATTTGGCTTGAAAGAAAGTGATTTAGTGGAGGATGCTTTCAACGGGCCGCGCCTCATGGTAGTTAAGTAGCCATCGAGCAAGGGCATGTATATGTTGTTTGTAAACCAGATTTTGGCCATAACAAAGCCTCTGGGGCATGTGGAATGTGGGAAGCTTGGTGAAGATCTGGCACTTGTTGGGAGAAGGGTTTGGAGGGGTGGAATCGGAAAGGGTTGGAATGCGATGATCTAGGAACACAACACAGCTTTGTTGGATGGCACATACTGATATTTCAAGAGAATGGTGCTGATCATTGTAGAGACACACAGGGATTTTGCTTCTAGCATATCGGCTCCGGGGCAACGCCATGGTATTGCACAGGTTGTACTCTGCACATGCTACATACGTATGGTTGATCAATTTCCCCCAAGGGGTAGCAAAAGGAGAGCAGCTCACCGGACTTTGTATGTATTATGGCCATGGATTTTCTGATGTCTTCTCTATGTATCTACAATGCTAGGCCGGCATTCGCAACTCTGTATTGCATTGTAAAAACCAATTATCAAGATGCAGGAAATAGTATTGCCAGGCCTCACGCTCAGTGTAAATCGCTAGTCTCCTGTACCTACTGTCTTTGTTATTTCTCCCCGAGAAATCATTTATTCCACTTGATACTCCATGGTTCTCTGTTTCACCGCGCGAACACATAGCGCCCATGGGCCGTTGGCAATGATCAACTTAGGCTGATGCGCCCTAGGGACCGGCCTCGGGAAAGCCCGACCCATCTTGAAATACTAGAGACCAATGTGCCTAATGTTTACGCGAACTTCCAGAGATCAATCACAAGCGCGCAGTCAAAGTGAATGGGGCCAGGCCTGACACAGATGCAGTTCAGGTAAGCTTTGCCCGGGGCTTGCAGTAGCGCCCGTACATGAGAGCGTCCCAGCGCCCAAGTGCCCTAGGGGCCAATAAGTGTGGTATCCCTTCATAGCCCTTAATCAAACACAGGTCTCGCGTTCATGTTCCGAAACCCCGCTGCCTGGTGGCGTCACGAGGGCCGATACAATAGATTTTCTACCTCAATTGGATCCAAGGGCACTGAGCAGTTGGAGATTATTTGATCTCAATGTTAACTCCCCGTCATACTGCAAGTCAGATGTGCCTGAGCCGTTGATCTCAGCGGAGAACCCTTGGAAGACATCCATTGATGGAAGGCACGCGAATGATATCAAGCTTTTATATACAATGGCAAACACCAAGTCCCTCTGTTTTATACATTCCTTCAAATACATGAGAACAGATTAGCTCAACCTGAGAGTCATACCAAACACTCCGAGCGAGCCAAGTGTGACAAAGACAGGTCCCCAGATCGAAGGGATGTAGCGTCCCGCTAGTAAGTTTCTTCGAGTAGAGGTATACCGGGCCAGCGAGTACCCGAAGGACCAAATACTGATGGCCTGACACACACGACTAGCGACGTGGTCGTTCGCGTACTGAAGAAGGAATGCCGAGTTCTCTGCCTGTTTGTTTGGAACAACGGCCGTCTCATCGCGTTGCTTCCGGTTGAATATGTTGTCAATAATATCAAGCCGAGCGAGAGCAAGTGACATGGCCGCAAAAGCTAGTCCAAAACGATTCCAAGACAGAAAGGTTCGCTCGTTAGCCTGGTGATCGCGTAGCTCTGATCCTTTATTGGCTACCGGCTGAGGCAATAAGCGGCGGAATATGTGACGGTTCATTTTGACTGGTTGGTGTTCAAGGGGAAATTTCCAAGAGCCGAAGCCAGCGAATTGCAGATTTTCCTCTTCTGTCTCGAAAAGACCGCGAGGAAATTTCCGAAGAAGCCTCGAAAGCTGGATTCCGGGTAATCTAGGGAGTTAGTCAGTGAGAAGCTCTGAAGATCCACTCTCAACGCGTGAGTTCCCATATTCGCGTCTGTTCCGTGTGGGTCCCGAGGTCGGGAGGTTCGGTCTCCAGTTGCGGTATGTCTTTTGAAGATATCGAGCTACACGAGCATATTTAACTTTGAGCAGTAGTTCGGCGGAGCTGAGGTCCAGTTATGGGATGTACAATACAATCGTGGAGGTGCGACAGGGGTTTGGCTGTGGAGCCAATGAACACTCGACTTCGCCGATGCAGGCTCCGAAGTATATTTGACTGGCGAAGCCCTCGTTGTTCGCCGAGTCGGTGACTCCAAGGTTGTCTATACGAGCTCAATACTAGGCATTTCTAGAAACATGGCATGAATTGTAATTTGAAAGTGAAATAGTATTTAAAACCGGTTCCCAAAGATTTGCGATTCATCTGACCTTCCAAGATTCACTCAATATCTTTGATGTTGTACAAATGGCTATGAATACCTCTACTCAAATCCCCTTGTGGCTTGACTGTGACCCAGGTACGTGTGAAAGCCAAATCTTCAGCCTTGACTCCTCTGAGTTGCCCAGATGGAACAAATCACTGACAATTTCAGGCCATGATGTGGGTTGACCGATCAAGATATCTACCTACCCTAGGGTAGCCCTCACGGTTTGCTAATAATGTTTCCAGGACGCCTGTGCAATGTTGCTATCCATCTACCACCCCGCCCTTCGAATTCTCGGAATCAGCACCGTCAATGGAAACGCACCCTTAGACAACGTGACCGAAAACGGATTGAGCGTCTTAGAAGCCATCGGTGCGACTGAGGTTCCCCTCTACGCTGGCGCCAGACGCCCCTTCTGTCGAGATATCAGATCAGCATCCGAGATTCACGGAGGCAGTGGTCTGGCAGGGACTGATCTCCTTCCAAAAGCGACATGCAAGCCTCGATCTGGCAACACCATTGAAGCCATGCGTGAAGCGCTGCTCTCCTGTCCCGCTCAAACGGCATGGCTTGTGGCTGTGGGGCCGTTGACCAATGTTGCTCTCCTTTTCGCCGTATACCCTGAAGTGGCGACTCACATCAAAGGCATCAGCATCATGGGCGGAGGTATCGGCGATGGGTTTGCACCACATGTCTCCATGGGGCCCGGGTATGTAGACGAAGAAGGAAAGGATCGTGCCCGACATGGGAACTATACCGAGTTTGCTGAATTCAACGTCTGGGCTGATGTGGAGTCGGCACGCAGTGTATTCTTGAACCCTGTGCTCCGGTCCAAGACCTTCCTGATTCCCTTGGATGTGTCGCACCAAGCGTACACGACCAAAGAAGTCAGAGATACGCTTTTAAATGGCAAAAATGGTCCAACAAGACTGAGGACTATGTTCCATGAATTGCTTGTTTACTTCGCGGATACTTACGAGACGGCCTGGGGAATGGACCAGGGCCCGCCTCTGCATGATCCGCTTGCTGTGGCCATCTTGTTAGCTGACCATCCTGACCCGGATGTGCGCATCAACTTCAACGACAATGGCGGCGAAAGATGGAAACTGGATGTTGTATTAAGCGGCTTGCAAGAGGGTCGCACAATTGCTACCAAAGTCGAAAATGGCAAGCCTGGAGTCATGATCCCGAGATCACTGGATATGGACAAGTTCTGGGAAGTCCTGGAGTCGTGCATGGCCAGAGCAGATGCGAAGACTGGGTATGATCAGCTGTAGGCATATTCAACTGCGAGGAATGTTGATCAGCTCGACTTCTGAAAAGAGATACATAGTTGACAATACAATTCTGGTCAATGTTTTCATTTTCATATTGGATTCGACCTTGGTGTAGTTCATCGAGGGTCATAGTTCACCTCTCCCATCAACAAAAAGCTCTCTACAGGAATACCTCTCCACTCCTTCTTCCCATCCACCAACTTGAAAAACTCAGGTTCAAAGTCCAGGACTCCCTTCCATTCCCGTATCAGACGGCGCCAATAGCACATTTCCGCAGCAGAAGTGAGATATCGCTCACGAAATGTCCTGACACTGTTGTCTGCAATATTCTTGGCTTCATCATCGTGAGAGAGGAAATGCTCCATGGTCTCCTCCAAATCGGACCAGTCACGCCTCACCTCGACAAAATTTTGTTCTGGCCCAGACGACTTCATCAAATGATAATGATGCTGAATCCAATCCAGCTTATGCGAGACAATAACACTCCTGCAGCTCTGCAGGTACTTCAAACGACCAGAGTATGTATTGCCCTCGGTCTGAGCAACATACTGATACTCGCAATGCTGCGGCATGGTCTTATAATCATTCTGCAGGCTGTCCTTATCATCCCACACCAAAGCCTTGACGTCCGCCCATGGCTTGTCTTTCGTTACCTGCATGAGCTTGTCCCGAACCTTTGGTCCCATTTTCGGCACTCCGCGCCAGAGGAGCTTTGCCGTCTTATTTCCCCAGGTCAGTCCCTCTTCCTCTGCCCACTCGGCTTTCGCCTGCACCTCGCGAGTGGACCCGGCTTTGGTTTCGGGCCATGACCAAAACCCGAAATCTGGGATAAGCCATATGGCCTTGTCTTTGGCGCGGCGAGCATATCCCCATAGCGGAAGCCTATCCACGGAGTCGTCGGTGTTGAATGCGAATTCAATATTGGGCAAGGGCTCTGGTGATGACAGAATGGCGCGATTGATCGCAGACAGGGTCGCTCGTTCCCGGGACCATATAGAGCCTTGTTTGTCGAGAACATATAACTTGGTCTGTTAGGTGATGTTCTCAGGCAGCAATGACTGCACGGGAGAGTGGCATCCATGATGACTTACTTGCTGATCATATATCATAGCACGAATATAGCCATTTCTGGCCGGGATATTATCAAGCTCTTTCAGGCTGACCAGTCGCGATTTGCGATCATCTCTAGCACGATCAATCTCAGAGTACAGGTCGGGGAATGCCTGGCTGCATTGATCCTGGGTGAGCATCAGGTTGTCCCTGTCTCGTTGATAGTCCCAATTCCCATCGAACAAATGCTTTCGGTTTGACTTCTTCGCCGGAAATGTATCTTGCACTCCATTATGAGTGATCGGCCGTGGTGGCTGTGGGTTGTAAAAGAGCCCAATTGAGAAGATTCCCAGCACCAACAAGATGATTGGAAAAATCCGTGCCAGCTGTCTGGTTACAGCCGGCATTTCCGGAAGTGCTCAGTGCAATGCAAGAGCAAGGCTTCAAAAACTTGCAAGCCTCCGAAGTAAGTGATTTAGGGGATTTATAACCTTGGCGTCCCAGGTTTCCACTCTATGTTTTACAGTCTACCGAACTATGGCTTTGATGTCATTTTGCCCATTGTTTTTGTGCGAAACTCCAACGAAAAGGGGCTCAACCGAGTGGGTCAGACCGAAGGCTAAAATATCCGTGAAGACACACTTCCAAGGCACTTGGTTCGATTGGTGGATTTTCAGAAATTATCGTTGCGCATCTCTCGTACTCCAATTGGTCCGTAGGCTACTAGTATACACCAGTAGGCTGCCTAGGTGCTTGGCTCTCATCTAGAAGATTGCCATGCAATTGGGCGGGCTGGAGACGCCCCGAGAGCAATTCAACGGACTGCTCGAGATAAAGAAACTCCAACGTCCAAGTCTCTGGCATGTTGCCGCCAACTCCTCCAAATCAAACATTTCACCAATAGGAACACCCCACCCAGCAAGCAGGTGGTGATGCAAGTCAAACTCGGGATTCAGAGCTGGGTAAACCTCAAAGCTAACCGCGTCGGACGCAACGGCCGCGAAGTGATTGTCCCACAAAAACCGCAACACTCGCTCGCTCTGCTCAATGCCGGCGTGTTGCGGCATCGCCTGTTGGCTATAGGTCACACGCTGCTCAGTAGACATCCCCTCCCATGTTCCCGGCAGACCAACGCGTAGGAAAAAGATATCGCCACGTTGAAACTCAATGTTGCACTCCCGAGCGATTTCGAGCACCTCGTCCAGCGAGATCATCTGCCTGCTGAGTGCGTTCACACTGATTCCCTTCTTGGCGGCGTAGGAGACAAAGTCGATCAACACTCCACGACCGGCAATGCCTTTCTTTGCCCAAAACCCAATCCCAATGCGAGAGCAGCTCTCATCTTGAATCTCCTCTGCCGTGGTTCCACCATAGAATACCCGTCTCTCCTTGTTCTCTGGGGTTGGAGCTGGCGCATTGTGGTGTCGTAGTCCATCCCACTGGGATGATTGCTGTGGATTGAAATGATATTCGTCGTCGAAGGCAACGCCCTCAGCGACCCATTTGACGCGATGCTCGAACGGCTTTCGACCGAATCCTGTTGATGGAGGTAAGTTGTAACTCTGCATTGAATCCGAGCTGCTTGATGATGATTACCTGGCGGGCTCAGATTCTCCATGTCCCAGTTCAGACATACTCGCTCGCCTGTTTGAATTTCAGTCCGCGCAGCTTGCGCAACGACTTCCGGGGTTAATAGACGGAGCATTCCTAGTCCCTCCTCCTCAGATCCAGCTGCTCCAGGCCAGAATCGGCGCTTGTCGGGGAGATCGTCGAATGTCTCTGGAAGATCAGGGATTCCGGACATGGCGAAGAGCTAAAAGGTTGATTTGAAGGAGACTAGGAAGAATAGCAAAGATGCAAAGCTCTTGATGTTGGAAGAGACAACGGTCATATACCCCTCACTGGAGTCGGAGTATCTCCGGCCCCGCAGAAGCTGATTGCCTATTTCGCTTCACTTCAGGCCCAAGTGGTGATTCCATGTTGGCACGATTTGCGGGCAGCTCTGGGTGTGCAGAGGCCGAAGATAGGCATTTAGATCAAAAGGCAGCATTAACATGAGTGAGGGGTGCACACGTGCCCATGTGCCCAGGTGTGATAATTGGATGAAGTCATATTCAAAAGCTCGTGTCGTATGCATATAGGAGCTACTCGGAAAGTAAAGTACAGGGTGATTGTCAGGAGAGCAATAATCGATACAGTGAGATTTACATGTCGTCCAAGTCATCCTTGGCCTTCGAGCCACCCTTCTGCATATCCGACATCTCATACTCTTCCTTGCGGCGAGAGCCAGCTCCCTCGCCGGCAGACATAGCAATTGCCTGGCGGCCGGTGTCGGAAGATTCAAGGAACTCACGCAAGCGACGCTTGCCTTCGATCAGCGCCTGGGAAGATGCAGCCTCGGTCATCTTCAACATCGGGCCCCATAGATTGAGGGTGTAAGTTATGTACGCTCCGATGGCGAGCACAAAGAGCAGGAAGAAGTAGGCTGGGTTGCGAAGGACTAGATAGCGGGTTAGTGTTGTTTCAATAGGCATCGAGTGGAGACTTACCAGCCCAGATCTCATTCCAGCCAAGAGCCAGCAGTAGACCATAGAAATACAATGGCACCTGAGTAATACCACCAATGGCGCTTCGCTTGGCTTCGACATAGACGCCGTCAGCAGCCTTCTTGAACCGCACAGTGAGCTCCTGGCGCTTGGAATCGCTGAGGATCGTCATCTCCTCCTCAAGGCTCTTGCCTTCATCTTCATCCACGCCGCCGATGGGCACCAAATCTTCCTCATCGGCAGATGTCGCGGTGCTTGGAGTGTGTCCAACCCAGCGATCCAGCGGGGGTGGTGCAGTGGTCTTTTCAAGGCGGAACCGAGAAAGAAGAGGAATGACAGTCAAAGTAGATTCACGCGCTTTGGTGTAAATGCCCTCGATATCGTCCGTTGGGCGCCAGATGCGTGGCACACCGTCATCATCGTAACGGAACTTGTCCTCAAAGTTCTCCCGCAATTTGAGAAGCAGATTACCCTCGATCATTTCCTCGTCGATCTTGGCACGGAGGACGCCCCATGACTTGCGACGCAGACGCCACAGTCCAACATCAACCTCATCAAGGCTGGCGTCGAAGCTGCTCGCGCGGTCTGTGAACCTACGTTCGGCATCCAGCACGGTGTCTTCGAACAGGTTCCAGATTCGGTCCCAGAAGTCTTTCTCCGCGGGCTTATCTCCATTCTCGGGGGCACCAGCGCCAGCTCTCCCAGAGCCGAGCGCATTAAATTCAATGCCAACTGATTCACCCAGGCGAGATTGCACCCATCGCTCAACACGGGTGGCTAAACGTCTCATTTCATCGCGACGCAGTCGGGCACTGACTTCGGCCAATTCTTTTTGGTACAACGATAGCTCTTGCTTATAGTTACTCCAAGAAGCACCATCCACTACTGTGGAGCGTGCAACTTGCTCGAACTTCTCGGTCGCAGCCTGAGCTTGCGATGTGACAATCTCGGCGAAATCGTAGCTACCACCCTTCTTCTGACCGTCCTTCACAGCAGCCGAAACGGCATCACTGAAATCACGAACTCCGGACTTGTGAGCAGCAGAAAGCTGACCCAAGAAGAGAGCCTTGAGGCGAGTATCGACCTTGCCCTGGAGCTCGGCGGTCTTGCGCTGATACACACCCTTGTGGTATCTGCTGGCTTCCGTCTCGAAGCTCTTCAGGCACTTAGAGCGCGCGCCACGCATAGCAACACCAAGGCCGCCAAGAACTTCAGGTGCGCCTAGACGCACCGCCTCAGTTTGCTTGTCTTCGAAAGCCACAATGACCTCATCGAAGCCAACCATCACTTCGCGCAGAATCTCATCGCAACGGAATTGCGCAAGCAACTCCTGTTGCGTGGGCAAGTCCAAGTCCTTGTTGTTGACAATTTGGTCCCAAATACTCTCGGCGTAGTGAGAAAATCCATCAGCTGGAATACGGCGGTGATATTCGGGCAAGAAGACACCACCCTCCGAGAACTCGCCCTTGAGCGCATCTCTCTTGGGGTCACGGTGTCCATCACGGAACCGCATGCCAAGTTTATTGGTCTCGGCCACAAACTGGTCGGGTTGGTAGCCCTTGTGGGGAAGGCCATAGAATTGGAAATCGAAATAGTCGTGAATCGACGCTTTTTCAAAGCCAGCAGGCTTCGATATAGTATCCCAAAGGCGGCCCAGGTCTTCCAGTAATGTCTTTTGCAGGTTCTGAAGTGGTGTTGTGCCGATGAAATCACGAATGACGAAGAAGAGCAGGGAACGGTGGGAAGTGCTATCAGTCAGTTAGCGCGCAGTTCCCGTATGAAAGAAACGAAGGGAGACGCACTGCTTATCCTTCAAGAACAGTTGCAGGTTGACCTCAAAGACGGTCTTCAGCAGCCCCATGTTGGCTCCCTGGTACAACCCCACCTGGTGCTCCCAGATGTTCACGATAAGGACCTCACTCGTCGCAAGGGCAAAGAGAGCACTTTTGCGCTCAAAGTCCTGATCCTCACCTCTCTCACGACCGTCAGTGCCCTCAACGTCCATGACCAGGATGTTATCCGCCATGCGCTCCGCTGCGCCAACTTCGCCCTGCTTCTTATTCTTCGATAGCCAAATACCCTTGGTCGTTTGTCTTCTTTCCCGATCAGACATGACCGTGAAATCCGTGCCGAAGAGGTTGTTGAGCAGTGTCGACTTTCCGGTGGATTGCGAACCGAAGACAGAGATGAGATGGTAGTTGAATCCCGCCGGCGTGACATTCTCGAGGGACAGGTACTTGGATAGATTAGGACTAGAGTGGTGCAATTAGCATTGATGCGGTGCTATGATGAAGATAGTCGCCAGGCGCAACGAGAGGCACTGAGGAGGGTGGGCGTACTTGAACTCCTTATCCCCATCGATCACCTGCACACCATGTTCGTAGGAGGCAGCATCGCCCTCGGCCCCAACGGAAGCAAAGTGGCCATTTGAGAGAATCGACGGCGCAGTCGGACTCCTTTCCAGCCCTGAGGGGCGTCGTTCGGTCATATTGATCTGTGCCGTGCTGTGTATGTGGGGTGTGGCAAGAACGAGTCGGAAGAACAAAGATGGGTTCAAGCGACCATGCAAAAGGGGGTTAATAAGGAAGGAAAATTTAAAGGGAGATTTGAAGGAGACAGGGATCACACGGTCGTTTCACGGGTTCAATGTCATGGAGGCGATCCCGAGGTCAGCGAGCCCCCATGCCAATGGCCCCAAACATTACATAACCCCCTATCGGGGCCCGTGGACGTCACATCTATAGACTGTGGAGTTCACTCTCTCGATATTTCAACATTTCGCTAACATATGGGACTTCGTGTGTCAGTTATTGGTTTTATAGTCTATAGTGAACTGCCCAATACTTTCCAATACATAAGTTCCTTGGTTTTTGCCCTAAGTTTATTCTTCGCGGGATCTTGTTCGATAGTGAGACGGTCCCATCCCGACGGCGCCAGCGCTTTGCCTGATTTAAAGATTGGTGAATTATCGAAGTCGTGCGTGTCGGCTCTGAAATTTCGATTGAGGAGTGGCTCTTTCTTCAGGGAAAAAAATTGATTTCGGTTCTAGAGTAGAGGTGTATTTGTAGATCACGCTATATATTAATACAATTTCGTTGGAGCAAACAATAAGGGTATCAAAGGTCAGGATGGCGGAACTCCTCATGATGGTACTCCACCGAGCCAATTCAAGTCCCAGCCTTGATCGAGTCCAAGATCAACGTCAGGGTTCGGCCACATGTACTGACCAAAGTCATCAAACAGCCCACTGAATGCATTCAATTCTTGCCCAACGTGTGCATTTTCACCCGGGAGCATGTCTCCTCGCGGTAGCCAAGACTCATCGTGATATTCGGGGCACATGGTTGGGGTGAGGGAAGGCTCATTCGTGCCATCGGGGTTTGAGATTGATGAGACCTCTTGGTCAGACATCGGCGGGGTATAGAGTTGGCCGGAGCATTGCCCTGTGGAGGGTGCCTCTGTCGCGGGCGTGGTTGACGTGTTCGGTGGCTGTTCTTTTGTTTTGAGGCCCTTGGAGAACTTCGACCCAGCCCCTACTGCGATAGTACCGAAGTATGGCACGGTAATCTTGCAGGCTGAGATGGTGCACCAGTCTTTTTTGCAGTTCCTGGAGTCGAATATAGCACCCAGTATGTTGGCTGATTCGGCTGCGACGGAGCCTCCGACTTCTTTCGCTGCCTGGCGTAGCGTGTCGAGAACGTCCTTGACCATGACCCAGTCTTTCTCGTCCTGCTCTTTGCTGTAATCGGGTGTCTCATCGGAATAGCCTTCCAGATGAATGATCAAAAGCAAACAGAGAGTGAAAGCCATGAAATCGAGCATTTTGCACATGAAGTGCTTGTTAGTGGCCCGAAGAACTTTGTATAATACCAAGCCTTCTCTTGCGGACTGAAGTGCAATGACGTGGCTAGGGTAGAATTGAGGATCGAGTGGAGATTTCAACATCAGTGGAAGATGAAGAAAGGCGCGCAAAAGTTTGAGCAAGAATTGTAGTGGGACCCTCTCGATATAATGCTCCCACTTCTCGTCTGGAAAAGGCTCTGCGGCCTTGAAGCGATCTGGCATGGAGTTCCAAGAGTTCTGTAATTCCTGATCCAGTTTGAATGTTTTTGTAAGCGTCATTTTAGATGGGTCTTGGTTGCGGTCCACCATGCGTCCGCTTATAATGCCGATGCGCAGCAGGTATTGCTCCGGGGCCGTCAGGTTTGAACGGAGGCGCTGCTCTATTTGCGGCCTGATGAAGGATTCGGCTACCCCGTAAGGTAGACCGAGAATAAGACTCAGTGTCCGATCTGAGATAGCCAGCGCACACCAGATCTTGATACGTCGTTCGAACAAGGTATCTCCTGGTCTCTTTGTCTTGGTTGACAGATGCATTCCGGCCAGGTGGGCAAATTCAATTGCCCGACGGTTCACCAGCCAGCCTTTTCTCAGCCGACCTTCGGCCTGATATACCTTGGAAAGCAGCATTTGAGTCTCTATGCCGGGCAAAGTGGCTGCAAATTCATCATCGCGAACGATCGTCCTGTCAACGGCGTCGATGCATTTATGATGAAATTCTTCCGGGTCCCAAGGCGCACTCAAATTCTGCCAGTCAAAGTCTGGTGGTGCATGGGCCGCGCTGATACAAAGACACATCAGGGCTTTGGCAACTTCGGCGGGGGCCACCAATGAATCGCAACAGCCTTCGCTGAGGACGAGCTTGCCTTCACGCGTACGGAAGATGTCTGGGAAGTGATCCTGCCAGACATGCCAATGGAACGAGGCATTGATGATCATGTTGATGTCTTCCCTGGGAGGAAGGAGAGCGATAAGCTCTGCCCGCACAGCTTGCGCCTTGAGTGACATGTCTTTGATGCCAGCAAACTTATCATTGTTGGATGGGTCCTCCCGGCGGCTCACGAGGTAATTGTCGAACAACTGCAGGACAGGCGCATTCTGTATCTGGTCACTGCATGGACCTAATTCGTCTGACTCGGCCACCGGGGGCTTTGGCTGGGCTGCCAAACACGGTGGTGGGCGAATAGCCTCATGGCGCTCCTCAGGCGGGGTAGTCGTACTCTGTAGGTCTAATCGTTTGGTCAAGGAGTCTACGATATTCTCCAACTGAGTCACTCGCTCTCGGAGGCTATATGGCTGTTCAACATGCTGGGAGCCTGATCCCGATAGTGGAGGGGTTATGACAGTGTGTTCTTGGTCAACACAATGCATACCTCTGGATCGGCATTCATTGCAAGTGTTCGGTCGATCAGGGTGGAAAGTACATCGAATCTTGCGCCGTCGACCTGTAGCCAATTCATATCAGCACTAGATGCGGAGACCGTCCCTCTCAACATACACTCTGTGCAGCTCTTGGTTCCTTTCCTCATCTTCTTCCGTGCCGGTCCCTGGGAGTCGGCCCAATAATCCATCTTGGCTGTCTCTTGCAAACAATAATGGCAAGCCCTTAATCATGTACCCTAATGCACCGATCAGATAAGAGATAGCTTCGGTATGCGGGTCGTCAACGGAGCATCGTTGTGGCGAGCAGCAAATTTCGGAATGAGATGACGAGAACAAGTGTTACGAGGAAAGAAAGGGGGCTCGTGCAAATAAAGTAATCCCACGTAATCAGGCAAGCTGTTCCAGGGTGTTCCAGGGTCATCAAAAGCTCGCTCCAAGGCTGCCAACCATGTCTGTTGGTGCTTTCATACATGCTCGTCCGTCGGGTTCGGCCGAAGGGATTGCGGTCGAATTTTCGCCCGGGCCAATCATATGCAGCAGAGTGTATACCTAGGTAGGGGACTTCCAAAGTTACTCCGTCAAGTCTACTCCGTATAGAGTATACTATAGTAAGAGGCACCTGGCAAGACTTCGCTAACCTCATAAGATTTCAAGGTTGGAAAGTGTAATAAGTACTGGATGCCACCTGGGCAACACTATGCAAACCTCGGGAACATGCCAAATTTACAATTTGGGGTCAAGAATTCTAGACTGGGATTATATATGAAATTGGAGGAATTTATTTGAATACATTTTCACGGGGAGTGGAGAAAAGCAGATCTGAACTAGTTCATTGACAAGATTCAAAAGATCCAAGTCGAGACTCCGGAATACCCCCGGGTTCCTCGTGATCGATGATTTCCACGCTTCAAGAAATAGGGTGCCAAACAAACAAGATGGAAGGAAAGGGGTTCATAATACAAGGGTCAGGCGGTGCGCCTGGCCATGGGAGGGTAATTTGGAGCGTTTACTCAACGACACGGGTGATCAGACCAGTGGCGACGGTACGGCCACCCTCACGGATGTTGAAACGCTGACCGGGCTCAGCAGCAACGGGGTGGTGGGTCTTGAGGATCATCTCAACGTTGTCACCGGGTTGGACGCGGCGAGAGAGATCGCCATCGGGGAAGCTCAGGTCACCGGCCTCATCGGCAGTGCGGATGTAGACCTGGGGGCGGTAGTTGGCGCCGAAACCAGTACGGCGACCACCTTCAGCCTCGGTCAGGACGTACATGGAGACAAGGAACTTGTTGTTGGCCTTGGTGCTGGCAGGGGCAGCAACGACCATACCGCGGCGGATGTCCTCACGGCGGATACCACGGAGAAGGAGACCAGAGTTGTCACCAGCGCGAGACTCGTCGCAAGACTTCTTGAAGGTCTCAATGTCGGTAACCTTGGTCTTGATGGGGTTGCCAGAGTCGGTGGCACCGACAATCTCAACCTCGGTATCCTTCTTCAGTTGACCACGCTCGACACGGCCAGAAACGACGGTTCCACGGCCGGGAATGGAGAAGACTTCCTCAATGGACATGAGGAAAGGCTTGTCAAGGTCACGCTCAGGGGTGGGAATCCAAGTATCAACAGCCTTCATGAGCTTGTCAATCTGCTCGGTACCAATCTCGGGGCGGCGGTCCTCAAGGGCGCAAAGGGCAGAGCCGAAGACAATGGGAGTCTCCTCACCCTCGAAGTCGTAAGAGGAGAGCAGCTCACGCATCTCGAGCTCGACGAGCTCAAGCATCTCAGGGTCCTCAACGGCGTCGACTTTGTTCACGAAAACAACGATCTTCTGGACACCGACCTGACGGGCGAGGAGCAAGTGCTCACGGGTCTGGGGCCTAAAGGATATGCGCGTCAGCACTCTGGATACAATATATGGGGGTTCAGATCGGAGACATACATCTGACCGTCGGAGGCAGCAACGACGACAATGGCACCGTCCATGTTGGCGGCACCAGTAATCATGTTCTTAATGTAATCGGCGTGACCGGGGCAGTCGACGTGGGCGTAGTGACGGTCCTCAGTCGCGAACTCGACGTGGGCAGTCGAGATGGTGATACCACGCTTACGCTCCTCAGGAGCCTTATCGATGGCGGCATAGTTGAGGAAGTTGGCAAGACCCTTGGAGGCTTGGTGCTTGGTGATGGCGGCAGTCAAAGTGGTCTATTGTAAACGTGTTAGATTCAATTGATCGGAGGAAATCGCGGATAGCTGCTTACCTTGCCGTGATCGACGTGGCCAATGGTACCTAGAAAAGAGTTTGAGCATTGGGTCTTGGTTATGCGCAATCAAGACAGTCATACCGATGTTAACGTGAGGCTTGTTGCGCTCGAAAGCAGTGGCCAAGCCACGACCAGCAACCTTGTTGCTGAAGACATGGTGGACGGGGTTGATGGCAGTGGGACGCAGCAGGGAAGACCGGCTGGTGCGCGCCACGAGGTTCAATGAACGAGAAATGCTCGACATCTTTGCTCAATTAGACCAAAAATGATGGAACAAGAAAAGAAGGAAAGATTAAACCGATGGATTAAGGATGGGGGAAGTCCAGATCAACACCAAATTTTTTACTAAGATGCGCCGGAAGGTTCAGGGAGGCTGACTAAGTCGCTCTGTCCAATCACACCTCTTGAATTGCGGACAAGGATGGGCCAACATCGTCACTTCCAAGGTGGGCCGGCTTTGCATAGAGCTATCGGCAGTCTTTCGCATCAAAATGCCTCTTGAAGTTCGTTAATTATGCCGAATACGATCATTTCAGTCATCCCGTAGCCGAGACCGGAGTCAAATTACGCCCAAGGTTGTCAATCGTCCAGTATTGATGGTGTACAATAGATACAATAGATCAAATGCTATACTCGGTGCAGGTGATTTATATAGAGTATATCCAGAACTTAGTTCTCCCCTTCCTGCTTGGCCTCCGTGTTTTCCTCTGCCTTCGCGTCAATGTCAGTCTTGGCCTGCTCGCCGGTCTTCTGCTGGCCTGGAACCTGCTTCGTCCTCTTGGCAACGAATTTCAATTGTTTCCCCAGTTCCCCTTCTGGCTCCTTAGTCTGCCGGGCCCCAGCTGCTTGGATTGTGTCGAGCACACTCTGGACGACGTGCTTGATCTCTGGCACGGTGGGGTTGCGCTTGCGTCTCTTGGTGGTAAGGACAATCTCCACCTTATGATCCTTTTCCAAGAATTTCTGGAGCTGTTTAAGGCGATGCGAAAGATCATGCGCATCAATGGCCCAGTTCAGTTCCACTTGCTTGGTGGAACTCTTGTTTGCACGGGCTGCCTTTTCAAAGAGCTTTTGCGCTTTCTGATGCTCCTTCTTATTGTGGATTTTACAGATAGGTGGCATATCTTCGGTTGCTGCTCGCACTTGCACGAGGAAAGATTCATTTCGGTCAAAGGTGTCCAGGGCATCCAACAAGGGAATCTTGGGACCGAGAGAGCCTTCTTCATTAACGATGTGGATGAATGGAGCCCCAATAGCTTCATTTCTGGGGGCCTGTACGATAGGCGGCCGATACTCTTTGAGCTGCAGGCGATGGGACTGCTGGAAGGAGCGGAATTGAACGTCGTTTCGAAGCGATTTGAGAGGAAGGATGCCAACTCTGGAGGTGCGAGTGGGTGCGATAAAAACCTGGCGGAGAACCTGGGCACAGGATGCGAAGCTCCTTGTGTGGTTCATGTTGTCAAAGTGGTGGCAAGAGCCAGCAAGAGTACTGTGGTCGCCAAGAGATAGAGCTGGAGGATAGCTTAGCGGACCAGGTGGTGACGGGAAATATGGGGAAGTCAACCGCATGCAAACAGAGCAAAACGTTAGTCATCCTGAGCCATGGAACGAAGTGCAAATGTAGATCGTCTGTTATTTTCCCGAACATCTATCGTTGGGGGAATAAAATACATTGAATGCAGATAGAATGCAGTATCTTATGATGCAAGTAGTTGGACGGAGGCAATATATCAATGCACAGTCGCGCGGATGCATACAATCCCCCCACTACGCCGTTGTCTGTACTCCGTACTTCGTATACGAGTCGATGCAAAAGCAAAAAGTACACGCATTCAGAACGCCACATCTGCGCCACAACCCTGAAACCCTTAATCTCCTTTCTCTCCTGACATTTTTCCCTTTCCATCCATTTCTTGTTCTGGACCGGGTCTCGAGGCGCTCAATCTCTCAATGGTTGCTTGCGTATTGTCATATCATTAACGTTTACGCTCATTCCCTCTCGCGGTGACTGTTGACACTTGTCACTGTTTCTTATAATTCGAACATTGCTCGCATGTCGACTGGAGTCGACGAACAAGCCCACAACCCCAACGTCGATTCAAACTCGGTCGCTCGCCATCGCTCTTTCTCTCGGAGCAACGGATCGCTTCCCTCGCAGTCGATTGACCCCGACCGATCGTCCGACAAACAACCCGCCAAAATGGCTCAGACTCAAAGAACGAGATATGTGAAGACGGGGGCAATCATTGTCTTCGTCTTCATGGTTCTCATGTGGCTCTCCCCCTCCAAGCCCGCTGTCTCGAGTTTCAGTCACGGTATGTCTCCTGCGCGCGCTGGCAGCGTCGATAACTGACTCTTTGCGCAGAGAAACCCCCATCTGGCAGTGGTGTCGCAACTTCGCAAAAGTGCACCAAGCCTTTCGATTCGTCCAAGCCTCTTATCCAGTATGCCCTCATGATTGATGCCGGCAGCACCGGCTCCCGCATCCACGTTTACCGTTTCAACAACTGCGGCTCCACCCCCGAACTTGAGAATGAAGTGTTCGAGCAAACCAAGCCGAAGGAAGGCGGCTCTGGTCTCAGCTCCTACAAGGAAGATGCCGAGGGCGCTGCCCAGAGTCTTGACCCTCTCATGGAAGTTGCCATCAAGTCGGTTCCCGAGGAGTACCGGTCTTGCTCTCCGCTCGCCGTCAAGGCCACTGCCGGACTCCGTCTTCTGGGCCCCGAGATGAGTGACAAGATCCTGGTTGCAGTGCGTAACCGCTTGGAGACTGTCTATCCCTTCCCCGTGGTTTCCAAGGAGAAGGGCGGCATCCAGATCATGGACGGATCCGATGAAGGTGTCTACGCTTGGATCACCACCAACTACCTCCTGGGTAAGATCGGTGGTCCTGATGAGACTCCCACTGCTGCCGTCTTTGACTTGGGTGGTGGATCCACCCAGATCGTCTTCCAGCCTACCTTCGAAAAGAGCAAGGCTGGTGGTATGCCCGAGCACCTCGCCGCCGGTGACCACAAGTATGACCTGAAGTTCGGCGGACGCGAGTTCGAGCTCTACCAACACTCCCATCTTGGCTACGGGCTGATGTCTGCCCGCGAATCGATGAACAATGTGGTCGTGGATAACATGCTCGCTCAGCACGCCGATGATCTTTCCTGGGTGAAGGAACCCGTTCCCAACCCCTGTATTGGACCTGGCATGGAGAAGAAGATCAAGATGAAGTTCCCCGCCGGACATCCCTTGAGCCCCAGTGCCGAGATCTTGATGGTCGGTCCCAAGGACAAGTCCATGGCTCCCCAGTGCCGTGCTATTGCTGAGAAGATCCTGAAGAAGACCGGAGAGTGCAAGCTTGCGCCCTGCTCTTTCAACGGAGTCCACCAGCCTTCTCTCGCGAAGACATTCGCCCGGGAGGACGTCTACATCTTCTCATACTTCTATGACCGCACCGCTCCTCTCGGCATGCCCGAGAGCTTCACTTTGGAGGAGCTTCACCAGCTGACTTCCACCGTCTGCGCTGGTGAGACCCAATGGAAGGGTTTCGAGGGTGTTGAGAATGCCATGACGGAGCTCCGCGGCCGTCCCGAATGGTGTGGTGATCTCAGCTTCATGGTGGCTCTGCTGCACACCGGTTACGAAATGCCCTTGTCCCGCGAAGTCAAGATTGCCAAGAAGATCAAGAACAATGAGCTGGGCTGGTGCCTTGGTGCTAGGTAAGTCATCCAAGTCATCCTCTGTCGCATTACTTTACTAACCCGTCTCTAGCTTGCCCCTTCTGAGCCAGGAATCCGGCTGGACTTGCCGCATCAAGCAAGTGTCATAAAATAGACGCCGAAACGCCCAACATACCCATTCTAATAACGACATCCGGCAACAGTGTATGATGGGTTCATGCATATATAGAGCTCCGAGATACGTCCCTTGTTTATCTATTTCTTCAATGTTTTCTACCTAGACCTGATTTGTTGGCGCATTGCATAGGAAATGTATGACTGTTTCATGTTCAAGCTATCTAATATTTCCATAAAGTTGAAAACTGAAACAGCACCACACCTATGACAGGATAATAGAGGCTAGGCAAAACGGGTTGATGCCCGTGATATGCAATTGAGGAAGTGTATGCTAAGCTAGTGAATCGTCAACGTCAAATCCGTCAAACCCGTCAAATCGAAGTATTAGAATCCCGTGCCCCAGAGCGACCACGGGGCTTTGGCGGCCATGAACACAAACAGTTTAGTCCGTCATCTCTTGGATAGATGGCTTATCACTTTCCGCCTTATTCTTCTTTCCGCCCATAAGTTTTCCAATGATATCAGAATCGTCCTCCGCATCTTTACCCCCTTCGGTCTCACTCTCCTCATTGGACGAATCACCATCACGCTTCTCTTCCAAAACTCCAAGACCGAGATCCTGAACCTCATTAGCCAATCGTCATCAATCTGATACTCTCACCAACATACCATTTCAATGTATCGCTCCCCATTACCCTCCGCATTATCAAGCACAAGATCTTCGGCCTGGCCGGCCTCGATCTGTCGCTGCAAGTCTTCATTGGCGGTTTTCATTTGCGGCAAGAAAGCATTGAGCCTTGACATGAGTCCCGAGTCACCATTGAAGCGATGTATTTGTGGCTTTCGGCGTCCGCCAATATGAGGTAAAGAGTCGTTTGCTGGTTGTGTAGTTGGATTTCCTGTCCCATTCATTTCTTGGTCTGAGTGCTGTTCATCTTCGCTTTCGCTTTCGCTGTCTTCAGACGATGAGCCGGAGGATGAGGTTGGGTCGGAGTCGGATTGGACAGAGGAGGCACGTTGACGACGTGCGGTGCGGTCTGTGAGGTTCATTGTTTGAGGGGTAGTTTCCTTGGCCACTGCCTCTGATTGTGTTGTTGGCTGTGTCATGTTTTCGGATTTCTTGGAGAAACAATTTGCGGTGATCACAGAGATTTTTGGGGTATTATGATGGGTGTCGGTATTCTCTTGGTGGTAAGTGGGAGTTATGGTGTAATAGGATACTTTCTTTTGGCAAAAAAGGACTCTGCTGGCCCAAATTCAAGCTGACTGTCTGTTCGAAGAGAAATCGATCAGGTGAAGGTTTGGGATTCCAACTTTTTTGGGTGGAGTTCCGATAACAGATAACCTTATCGCCCGCATGTGATCTCCAGGCCCGGGGCTCAACTTCCAGTAGATGCCCGGGTGCTTCTAGACTAGGATTGGATATTGAATATTCAAGGTCTCACTGGATTTAATTATTCTCATCCCATATGATATAGTCATACATGAAGGGATTGAGCTGGACAATAGTGCTTTTATCCTTGCTTCCTTGCAGCATACAGAGTATACAGAGTTCGATCAGCTCCGGTTCCTTCTCCGACTGCGACTGCGACGACGACTCGGGCTCCTTCGTCGACTGCGACTTCTTCTTCGGCTGCGACTCCTGCGCCGGCTAGGGCTTCTGCGTCGAATGGGGCTTCTGCGCCGGCTTGGGCTTCTCCGTCGGCTGCGACTTCTGCGACGACTAGGACTTCTCCGCCGGACCGGACTCGATCGACGGGGCCGGCGCTCATCCATTTCTTTGGGCTTTTCCTTTTCCTTGTCTTTTTCGGTGCCGATGTCGGGTGATTCCTCTGTAATCTGACCCGGCTCTTTGTCCTTGTCTCGTTCAGATAGTTCAGACACAGGCTTGTACCGGTCGATATCAGTTCCTCGTCCTCGTTGGTCTCTGTCTCGCTCTGGGGATCGCACACGTCGCCGTGGTGACTTGCTTCTATTACTGGTAGATGGAACGTAGCGATCGATATCCAAAGTAGGCGAGGGCGAGCGACGTCGAGAACGAGAGCGAGGGCGGTCACGATCACGTCCCCGAGTAGAGCGCGAGCGGCTTCTTGAGCGACGAGAGCGCGATGTTCGGCGCACGGGTGAGCGAGATAGTCGGGTGCGCTGGGGACGGTAATTGTCATGCTCCCTCGCTCGATCCCGACTGCGGTCACGGCGACGATCATGATCTCGGTCCTTTGACCGCGATCGATCTCGTGACCTGTCTCGACCACCCGCAGTACTACGATCACGGTCACGGTCACGAGCTCGGTCTCGAGTACGGTCAGTAGATCGGCTGCGGCTGCGACGAGCCGGTCTATAGCTTCTATCACCGGCTCGGTCGTCGCGGAAGTCGCGGTAGCCACGGCGGGCATCCATGTCACGATCTCGGGATCTCACAGAGTCCCGGGAACGATCTCGACGACGATCTGAATCATATCGGGATGTGCGTCTTCGTCGGGAACGGCTGCGACTTCGATCTCGTGTCAGATGTCGTGACCGATCACGTCGCTCTGCCATTGAGCCGCGCCTCGAGTCTCGGGACGGGCTGGCTGCTCGCGTGGAATGATTAGAGTACTTTGCATCGGCGTGGCTTTTGGACGAGGTTGCAATTGGAGGTTTCAGTCCATTTTCAATGGCCTCAGCCTGCTCGAAATCAAATTCAGGCTTCTGTCGAGCCTTTGCTTTGCGTTCCTCGCCTTCTTTGAGAAGCATCTCCAATGCAGCTTCCTCCAATGATTTGTCGTCCACGGGAACAGCCACCGTGGATTTCGATTCATTTGACTTTTCAGTCCTTGAATCCCGGGGCCGAGGAGACAGGTCACGATCAGAGCGATAGGCTGGTGAGCGATCGCGGAAACGGTCTCGAGTTCGGCTGCGGTCGCGACTCCACCCTCGATAGCGGTCTCGATCTTCGCGCCTCCGTCGTTCATATCTTTCGTCGCGCTCGCGCTCGCGCTGTTCATCCAAGGCCCTCTGCTCTTCGCGCAGACGCTCCCGCTCGGTCCGTCTCTGCTCGTCGATCTCTTTCCTTCTGGCCCGGTCCTCTTCATCCTTCTGGCGTTCCAATTCACGCTTCTTCCGGCGCTCTTCATCCTTGATGCGCTGCTTTTCATCTTCCAACTCTTTCTGTTTCCGCTCTTCCTCGCGCCACACTTTCTCTCGCTCCTCGTGTTTGGCCTTGACATGGGCTTCGTAGTCTGCATCCGTCTTGCTTCCTAGCTCGAATTCACGGGTAGCGGCTTCGTCACCGACTTCTTCGCGCCGAATGTCGCGAACGGCGTTGAAGATGAAATCCAGGTGTTTAGACGCGAGCTGGTCAATAGAGTCCTCCACGCTCTTGTAAACATCGCCGCGGTCGACAGCACCCTCAATGAGCGTTGCTGCTTTGCCTCTCTCGCGGGAAAGGAGTGCCGGTTCTCGATCAATTTCTGACTCGGCGAGCGCAATCAGCTGGTCGGTAAAATCGGACCGGGGTTTCTTTTAGCATAGGTCAGCCACTGTGAGGCACAAGAATGAAGACTCGCGCGCGCGAGAACTCCAGCATTATCATACCCCATCGTTGAACTCAGCCCAGATTTGCTTGCGCACGCTGTCGAAGCCACCCTTCTTTTTGAACGAATGTAGGAGTTTGTCAATGACTGCATGCTGCGTCGAGGATAAGGGAAGGTCATCGGTCTTGAACTTCTTGCGCGTTATGCTGTCGATGTCAATGGGCCGTTTCGCTGGGGACTTAGCACCCTCTGGACCTTGAGAGTCGTCCATTGCTTCGTCAAAATCCATCGTAACTCAGCGAGATCCGAAGTCGTGTGAGCGATAACGATAACAGGGCGAGGTGGAAAATAGTTGTTCCTTGCTTTGGAACTGCGGCCCGCTAATTTGCTCGCACCTCACCTCTCCTGGGCTATCGCGACGGCAACACCACCAACTTCGCCTATACTCCGGTCGCTTAGTGTTGAACTACCCAATCAACACTCTCTCCTATTGATCCATTCTATTGGATTCTTTCCGGCACACCAATTCCAACTACAACCCCGCGATCGACCGCGATCATGGTTCACAAGGTGCTCTTCTGGAGCGGTTTCGGTGCGTGATACATCCCTTCATGGCATTCTCCCTTTATCAATGTGCAACAATGCCAAAGCTCAATTTTCTCCATTCGCATCGGTCAAAATCGGAACTAACCGCGTTTCCCACAGGCATTGCCGTCCGCCTCTGGCAACTCGGCATTGAGATGCGTCCCATCCTCGCCAAGGAATCCCTCTGGGTTTACCCTCTTTTCGCCAGTGTTGGTGGAAGCTTTGGCTACTGGCTCCAGGGTGTTGAGAGCAGACAATTGAAGATGCTTGCACAGCGCCGCGAGGCCATCCTTGAGAAGCGCCGGCGGCGGGATCAGCGGGAAGAGAAGCCCGAGGGCGGTGTTCTGGCCGCTGCGTCATAAACCAGGCTTCTGTGATGATGGAGATGGTCGATTTGTCTATGCGTTTTCTTATTTGTACCAAAATTCAACCGGTTTGATATCTGCATTCGGGTCTTAGCATCTACAGGTCAATTCCGGCCCCAGGTGCACAGTCATTGTCTTCAATTTTCCACCTCTTCCCAAAAAAATGTAGGAATTTCGCCTCCGAGCGCTGAAATTCCATGTGCCCGGGGTAGAAACCCGGGGTAGTTGTGCGCCATAGAACGTTCTTAGGTCGTATGTTCCGGAACCTGAGGCGTGAGTAATGTAGTCAGCAGGGGTGGGCGCCCGCCCGGCCAGGCTCCCCGTCCCGGGTCGAGTACATCATCAACTCTCCTACTCTCGGGGGCACTGCTACTGCGCTCGTCATTCATTTGTGATTTTTCACTCATCTTTGTGACTTAGTCCAAAACCCTGGCCCTCTTTAGATCATCTTTTCTCTTCTCGCGATGCTTATCGTTGCTTGTCTGGTCAGGTAGAGGTCCACGCAGAGACCCTGTGGCATAGATGGATAACCGCGGCTCTTTTTTCTTGTTCCTGTTGGCTTTCTACCTCCTTCTTAGCCATCAGTCACGTCCGCCATTACTCGAAGAAGATCGGGAGCATCAGCGCGAGCTTGTGCGTGAGCGACATGCTCTCCAATTGATGAACGGGTCACATCATGGCGACCTCGACCCACTTGCAGATAAATGGCTCCCATTTGCAGGGCTTCGGAAGAACGATAGCTATGCATGGGATCTGTTGCCACAGGTCCAAGGACTTGCACGTCACCAGTTGCAATCGGCTCTATCAAACGCTGGGCTTGAGCCTCCACATGGGCTAGAGGACCCCACTGTGTCGCCGACCTTGAACCTGACGAAGCTACTGCTTCCAGTCTATCGAAACTCGACAGGAAAGCTTCGGGGCGATTGGGTACGACGGTCTGACGGCTCCGATCGCCGTGAGCCTCTCAATACGACTGCCATCGCCGAGGAACATGAATACTTTACCCACGAGTTTAGCCACAACATCACTGGCACCCAGGGTACCTTCTACTTTGAACTCGAAGAAGGGGGCGGCGAAGAGCTTCAAATGGGTAATGGACTTGTCAGGGAAATGCGAGCGAGCTTGAGGGTCGAGAGCGACGATTTCTGGGGCAGTACTTGGGGCCTTCCTCTATTCGGTGTACATTTCCCGGAGACAGGAAGTATCATTCTCAGTACATCCAGCGAGAAGTACGGAGGAATATTCGCGTTGCCACAGTTGATGCTTTCTCGCGACACCTACGAATTATCCCATGGACTTCTTATGCAGTCACTTTCGGATACCATCTCGGAAAAGCAGGACCGGCCCCCAACTCTATTCCCCTGGTCCAGTTTCGCAGGCACCTCGCAGCTCGAGTTTCCTGCTCCGAATTGTGAACATATTATCTATCTCCAGCAGCACCCTGTCATGTTAGGAGACTCGCCCGCTGACAGACTGCTATTGGAGCGTATGGAACAAGAACTCAGATACCCCATGGGGGCTCCACTACCGGATTCTCCTCTTATGGTTATGTCTGCTGTGGTCTTCTCCCCAGACTGCGGGTATATACTTGAAACAAAGGGTACACCCGAGTTTCCTCCTTCTGACACCTTGTATGTCACCGGGCCAAAGCAAGAAGAGTACGCCAAATATGCCTCGCGTCTCATCTTCGTGGTCTCCGGCGTGTTCGTCGCTCAGATCATGTTACTTTTGCGCCAGATCAAAGAGGCTTCAACGCCTTCTACCCGGAGTCGGGTAAGCTTCTATACAATCGCATTGATGGCGCTCGGCGACGCATTTGTTTTGACATTCATCATCTTGGAATTGTACGCATCAGTCTCTCTTCTTGTTTTGGCCACCGCATTGTTTTTGGCGTTCCTCTCAGTGAGCTACATCGGAATGAAGTTCATGATGGAAATTTGGGCGGTGCAAGAGCCGGAAAGACGAGATCAAGACCGTTCCTCGAACCCTCCACCTCCAGCCACACGCCCTGGAACATTACCTTTACCCGCGACTGCCCCAACAGTGAGAGACTCTGGGGCCACCCCAATCATCTTGCCACCTGATCAAGATGCTCCTGCTGATGAGATGGATGCTCCGGCCCCGGCCGCCCGAACCACGCCTCCAACCCCGAGCCAAATTCGAAGCGACGTGGGAGCGATGTATGCACGGTTCTATCTTGCATTATTCTCAATGCTCATCCTCTCCATCTGGGCCTTCCTATTGCCTAGGCGTCTTGGCTCAATTTATACCCGTGTCCTGACATCGGTCTATCTTTCCTTTTGGGCCCCCCAGATTTACCGGAACGTGATGCGAAATTGCCGGAAAGCACTCCGATGGGATTTCGTTGTTGGCCAGAGTGTTCTTCGACTTTTCCCATTCGTATATTTCCTCACAGCCCGCGGAAACGTACTTTTCATCCGGCCTGACTACACGACTGCGCTCGTCGCGGTAGGATGGGTCTGGATCCAAGCCTGGGTCTTGGCTAGTCAAGATATTCTTGGTCCGCGCTTCTTTGTACCCCGTGGATGGGCACCTCCTGCATATGACTACCATCCCACGCTACGCGACCTGTCCGGAGCGGATGATGACCTTGAGGCCGGTTGTGGTGATTTGTCTATTGCATCACTCCGGGCTGATGAGCGAGATCTGGTCAGCGATGCTAAGGATGATGACAAGCAGCGCAAAGACCGTAAAAAGGCCATGTTTGATTGTGCCATTTGTATGCAAGATATTGAGGTGCCGGTCCTTCCCGCGCCGTCTGCTTCGGGTGGAAGTAGCGTCACCGATGGTGCCTCTAGCATCTTGAGTCGCCGGCTGTATATGGTTACGCCCTGCCGTCATATTTTCCACACGGCTTGTTTGGAAAGCTGGATGAGACTCCGGCTTCAGTGTCCGATTTGTCGTGAATCTATCCCCCCTGTGTAATTTATTGTAACCTTCCCTTCCCCCATGCGAATACACCATAATGAATACGATCATGAATACTTTACAGTGAGAATGTTACTTTCAAAATCATCGTGTTGAACAGTATATCAGCTCCGCCACCCGTGGGCAGACGGGCCGATAAATCTAAGCGCTTTCGTTGAAGGAGAATCGGTCACCATTGGGTGTACACGACAAGATAACATCAGAAACATGGAGAGACACTTCCACCATCCAGTATAAGAAGGCCTTTATACCTACTCATTACAATATAATTCAATAGCGTCTTTATTCCACAAGTTTAAGCATCGATAGTCTGCTTGTAGGCAGCCTCGTCGAGGAGGGCACCGAGCTCAGCGGCATCGGCGACCTCAATCTCGGCAATCCAGCCCTCACCCTCTGGGCTCTCGTTGATGGTCTTGGCCTTGTCCTCGAGCAAGCTGTTGCCGCCAATGACCTTACCGGCGACGGGGGAAAGGACATCGGAAGCAGACTTGACAGACTCGACGGCTCCGACAGGCTCACCGGCAGCGACATCGAGGCCCTCCTCGGGGAGCTCGACGTAGACAACGTCACCCAGAGACTGGGCGGCGTAGTCAGTGATACCGATCTTGGCTGCAAGGTGTGTTAGCTACCCCGCTGCGTAGATATAGCAGCAAACCGGCCCAGATGGGTCGTCTGCGATTGTGTTGGGATCAATTGACCCGGGTTGGAGTGACTAACCGGTCTTTCCGCCGTCGGCCAGCTCAATCCATTCGTGTGACTCGGTGTACTTCTTCAGCTGGGCTATAATTGCAAATTGGGACGCGGTTAGTGATTTGTGACATCATAGAGCTCTGGAGAGCATTTTCTGGGCAATGGAATGCTTCATTGCCAGTCGCAATGACTTGAAGAGTCTTCCAGGCAGCTGGGAATAGCATTTTGGGCACTGGGTACTCACCCAGAGGGCTTTGGGAGAAGCTCCTGGTTCCCCGCGGGAAACGGAAAGCGGGCGAAGCCTGGCAGATGGGAGCAATGGGCTTCTGGGCAAGGACCCGAGAGGCAAAAGGACGGATGGCGCGAGCGACGGAGGACATTTTGGAGTGTGGACGAAGGGAATTGAAAGCGTGAGGAGGAAATGGGAAGAGGAGAGAGTTTAAGTAGGAGGGAAAGGTGATGCCCTTCCCCGGCGGAGTTTCGTTGACGCATGGTCCCGATAACGACTTTGCCAAGACCCCGATAAGGAGCGCGCTAACCTCGTCGGATTTTGCTGGCCTCATAGGGTCATCGCCTGATATTTGTTTAAAGGGTTTGCGCGCCACCCCTCCATGCCATGTTGTACGAGCTGATTGCCATTGTATGTACACCGACCATTGACCTTGGAACGACTGCGAAATTGTTCGAATTTGCTAACCTGCGCTGTTAACAGGTCCGCCCGGGCAGCCTTAACGAGGTGCGAGAGTACGTCTCAACCAACATCGCTGCGGTCGTCACTTTCTTCTGCGTCGGATACTGACTCTTTTGTCTCAGGATCGCCCGTAATGCCGGTACCCAAGTGATCCGCTCCGGCGGCGTCGTCCGCGGATACACCAACTGGGGTGCCTTCCGCCTCCCCAAGGTCACCACAAAGCACCAGGCCCGATACACCGACGGCCACCATTTCATCATGCGTTTCGATTCCTCCGGTGCCGTTCAGTCATCCATCCGCCGCACTCTCGGTCTCGACCCTCGTATGATCAACTTCTCCGTCGTCAAACTCGGAGATAAACTTGATGAGATCAAGAATGTCGAGGGCCACGTTAAGTGGAACAACGTTCCTACTATCATGGATCAGGTTCAAGCATCTGACAGTGCTTAGCGGGATTTTCCCCGATTGATGATCTCAGAATCAGGAGCGCGTGAACTTGGATTGGAGCAATTTTCTTTTTGTTTGTATTATTATGGCACGGTATTGCCACTCGAAACCATCAGCACAACTGGCGCACATTGTACAAAATACCAATTTGATCGAAAGAGATTTCCGATATCTAATCTTGTTTTTCTTTGGAGTGGGTTCTGCGAAGAATGAAGCATCTGTCCATGCCGTGGTCAGGATCGTGCTTCATGGCATACTACAACGTATTTAATGGGCTGTTTGGCTCGGGGTACATCTTTGCATGATTCATTCGAACGGAACACCTGGTCTATATCCCGGCAGGTCATCGGGTCATAGTTCATCTCAGAACGTACCGAGCATCATACTCCATTATCCGGAAAGCCGTTACTCCATGAGCTTTGTCTACTAATGGGGGCAAAACTGCCTGGGCAGCGTGTGCTATTCGCAGAAAAAGTACTCCGTGTGGATGAAGTGAACAGTTGTATAAGTCAAGTAACCGAACACGCTTAAGAAGGCCCCGAGCGTGTGACTATTGAGAGCCGAGGCACCGGCCGGTCCCGTCACTCTTTGCCGGGGTACAGCTAAGCTTCATAGACCCTTCATCTTCTAATCTTTACATTTTCAATCGACTCGGTCAACGATAGAAGGATATTCGCCGTACAAAAGCCTTGGGACTAGCGCTTCCGCCTCGGAGTTTGCGGGGAGGATCAACCAACCCCGGAGACTGCTATTCTTCATCGGACAGGTACCATCGGCCCGCCAACCTGCTGGGTACATTGTCGAACCACTTTTCTAAAGGAGCTTCGAGAGGCACTGAAATACCAGAAGAGGAAGATTTAACCGTCTGTTACACACCATGTCTCCGCAACGCGGGGCCCCAGACGACGGGGAAGGACTGACGTCCCCGCATTCATTCGTTGAGTTGATGAAACTAGAGAGACTGCAAGAAATCTTGATTACACATCCGGATACCGCAGAGCCAGAAAGAATTGAACGATTCCGCTCCGTGGCAGTACCCTATCCTCCTGGTCAGGGGACGCGCGCCTTCGGCGGCCATGTCTACGCGCAATCTGCATATGCAGCGTCCAAAACCGTCAGTCCGGGATTTGTTATCCATGTAAGTATCCGACAAAGCGTCAATTTGGCGAAGCCTAAGCTCATCTCTGATAGGATATGACGGGTAGCTTCGTCCTTGGGGGTCGTCTCGACACGCCTTATGTGTTCACAGTGCGACACGTGCGTGACGGTTTCATGTACAGCACACGCGCCGTTGATGCACGACAAGAAGGCAAGGTCTGCTTCTCGTGTATATGTTCTTTCAAGCGAGATGAGCGACAAAATCTCTTTGGTCACCAGCCAGTATCAGCGCAGGAGCGCTTCGACTCCATCCTTTCGGCAAAGCGGCCAGAAGAGCAGGAAATAAGTCCAAGTGTTGACGCAGACTGGTGGATTGAGAATGTGCGAAAAGGCAACATTGCCGAGATCGAGTTCCCAGGTCTAGATGTGCGCAAAGTCGACATGCAGGACTATAATCAAGCCGAGGATATCAAACAGCATCCTGAGAAGTATCGCCAGCTCACGCAATACCGACTCAAGGGATCGCCAGATGAAGACCCCAACGCTACTCTGGAGCAGATTCGGGAAAGAGAAGAGGCGGGCAAATATGATAATCTATATGCGTGTGCCCATATGTATTCCAGTGACAGGAACTCGCTTCTTTTGATCCCTCGTGCCCTAGGGATCAAGAATTGGACGGAAATGGGGAGTCTCACACTGACTGTCATCTTACATCGACATGCAGGAGCCTTGCGCATGATCGATTGGGCAAGCGTTAGCGAGGGACAGACCGAGTTGCCAAAGAAGTGGTTTGTGCAGGAGGGTTGGACACCTCAAAGTGCGGAGAATCGGGGGGTGCACGAAAGTCATCTTTGGAGCCCTGAGGGTGCGCTGCTTGGTACTTCTTTACAGGACAGCATGCTTAGACTGAGAAAGCTAGGGAAACCCTCTAAGCTGTGATTGGAGTATTCTTGTATATATAGCCTCCAGATGTTGTGACAGACAGTATAGATCTATAATTTCCAAGTTGTACCACCTGGACTCGTACTAGGTAGACACGATGCGCTTACTAGGTAGCAAAAAACACTACCTAAGTAGGTTGTGTTGCCCAGGTACTTTTCCTCCAATACTTCGATGCAAATAGGTACCTAGGTAGCATTCCAAGTTGGAGGGTTCAATCGCTTATATATACCTAGGTCCACGGTGTACCTAGTACCTACATAGTTAACGGGCACTTCCAAGGTTCTGGTCAGGAAGAGAAAGTTGATGCATCGCTCAAAACAAGGGTATTAAAAATTTATTATATACGACCTCTGGGAGGAGTCAGATATCCTCCCCAGATATATTAGCATGCTTAAAGTACTTCATCCCAACCCATGCAACAACAACCCAAACCCACGACATAACAGCCGTGAGAATGATCAGAGCAGGATAATATCCAACGATTGGTAGCGTAGGATCATCTTCCAGCTCTGGCGGCGCATAGGGCGTCTCCCCAACATCCCAAGCCCAGCTCCAAACTTCGAAACAACTTCCAATCCCCACAACAAACACCAACCACGTCACCATCAGAATGATCCAGCCCCACCACTCTGTCTCCGAGTAGTCCCAGTCTACCTCGGGACTGCTCTTCATTTCGACGGAGTGTGTAGCTAGCGGCGAGGACTTGGGCCGATGAACGGGTCTGTACGTTGTTTCCGGGGATAGGTAGAAATTGTCCGGAGGAGGGGGCGAGAGATGGAAGTTCGCAGCGGTGTTTGGAGGACTAGAGCCCTGGCCTTGGGGATTCATATTCAGACGCGGAAGGGTAACAAGATCCTCCTCATCGGTGGCTGTTTCCTCGGCATGTAGTGTGTGTTGCGCGACACCCTGGCGACGACGCGTGATAGAGGGGCGGACAGGTTTCTGAGTTTTTGCGCGAAACCAGGTAGGCTGGTCATCGTCGAAAGATTGGCGCAGAGGCTGCGGGGGTTGTGTAGGAGCATCAGGGGAGAGTTGAGTCTTGAGAGGGGATGATGTTTGTGGGTCGTCGAGGGTGAAATCTGGGCGCAGAGCTTCGGCTGCCTTGGAGGCTCTTCGCTCTCGGGATTCGAGTCGGGTTCCTAGCAATGCGGTCTTGCGGAGGGAGCCGCGGCGCCGTCTTGTTCGGCGCTGCGCTATCGCGGCGGACATTGCGCGGCTGGTTGATCCTTCGCCTGGATTGTGTGGCATCGAACGGAGATCGGCGTCATCGTGTGGCATATCTCGGTTCGAGGCGTTTGCTTGGCTCATTCGTAGGAAGGATAGTCTTGAGAAGAGAGAGCCGGAGAGGCTTCGCTTGTGGCTGCTTGTACTGCCGGACCGCGCGCGAGGTGATATTTGGACCTCGAAGTCCGTGGTACGTTCGTCATCCTCCATTGGCGCGAGTGGAACCGAAGACGTCAGCTCGGAAATTGATCCACCAGCATGGAACAGTTCCACTGTTGATTTCCCCTGGCTGTGGCATATTCTCCCCGAGTGTCGAGGTGCTGCAACGGGGAAAGGAGTGGCGCTGCAGCCTGTGATCTCAGGCCAACATTCCATGCCGTACATCACTAACTGGACATCGGATGCCCGGGTGCAGTTACAGTGTAAGGTGTTTAGTATATGACATTATGGGGTCAATTGATGTATCCAAGCTCTTCAAGTTTGAAGTAAATACTGTGGCATAACAGCAGACGATACCTTACTGGATGTTGTATGGTCCTCCGCCAGCACCTCACAGGTGAAGATCGTACACATGTAAAAGTATTTCGAATGGAAAGTGAACTCTGGCATATCGTCCGACCCTGTGCATCGTATTATATCTGAATACCACATGCAATCATCACAATGATATCGACAGACCATTTCAAGAAACGCAGAAGAACGGCAAATTGGTATATGATATATGAGCTAGAACGCCGGAAGGCAAATAGAACACAAGGGAATTCATCACATATACTGATACTGAACAGTCCAAATGGTGTCAAACCGAGAAATCCATGGCAGCCCCATGAGAAGATAATTGAATGAAAAAGACCTCGAGGATAGCGCAGGCCTAGAACAAGGCCAAACTTCATACAACACAAGCTAGAAGCGAAGAAAAGAAAAAGCCAAAGATACGCGAAGGAGTAGGGAGGTCGCTTTTATTTGTGACGTCGCCAAAAGTCCAAGGAACCCTTGATCGCAAGACACGCTTAAAGAGAAAAAGAACAAGAGAAAACGATCGCATCAACACGGTAGGGGCAGGGGTATTGGTGCGCAACACACAAATTCCGTTTCAACAAAAGCAGCTTGCTCGCTTGAAAATCCACATCGAGGCAATTTAAATCAGAAAAGAAAATATCAACGGTGATGGGGAATTGTAGAGGGTGCTATGGAGAGAGAAACACAGAAGGAATGCATGAAAACTAGGTTCTGTGAGCCGGCGCCGACACGCCGATGTATGGTCAAGTCGACGAACCTTTAAGAACCGAGCTACGCCTGGTAGCCTCCGTTGAAGTTGTTGGACTGGTCCCAGTTGCCGGACGGGGACATAGGCTGACCACGGCCATAGCCTCCAGCGTTACCTGCCTGGGCGTAGGCTTGACCGGCCATGGCAGCTCCGTTGAAGTTGTTTGCTTGTTGATCCCAGCCTCGACCAGCAGGGGCAGGACCTGATGCGCTGATTAGCAAATGAAGAAGCTCGGAGGAATTGTGCAACTTACCTTGGTTCATGGGGTTGGCTGCGCCACCGTATTGGGGGAAGAAGCCTGCCGGGCCGTTACCAAAAGCGGCAGCATTTCCCTGGGGCGCAGCGAAGTTGTCAAATTGACCGGTAGGAGGGCGATCCTTGCCCCACTGTAGATTTGCATTAGACACATCGGAGTAATTAATAGCAAACATGACTCACGCTGCACTTCAAAGGACGGCCGTTGACTTGGTAGCCGTTCAGCTGGCAGATTGAGGAAGCGGCATTCTCGTGAGAATCCATCTTCACGAAGGCGAAGCCACGATCAGCTTGAAGGCGAGTCTCTAGGACGTAACCAAAGTTCTGGAACAAGGGGACCAGATCATTCTGGGTGGTGTAAGGTGTGAGGTTGCCGACATAGCAAGTAGTCTGCCACTGGGGAGTCTGCTGGGCGACCATGTCGTAGCTCTGGATGCCGTGAGTGGGGAAGTGGTGGTGGCCGAATGGGGTGGTGGGAGTCATTCCCATGGCGACCAGGGCCTGCTGCTGGGAGATCGAAGGTTGTCCCTTCTGGTTGGCCCAGTTGCAACGGATAGCACGAGAGCCGAGCCATTCACCATCCATCGAGTTGAGCGCCTTGTCTGCTTCGGCGCGATCGCGGAAAGCGACGAAGCCATATCCACGGGAGCGACCGGTCTTCATATCCCACATAACACGTGCTTCTGAGACTGAACCAAAAGCCGAGAATGCTTGGGTCAGCACCTCGTCATTAACCTCATTGCTCAAGTCACCAACGAAGATGTGGAAGTGGTTGGAAGTATCCTCCTTGTTGGTGTTGTTGGACTGGTAAGCCCAGTTGACACGGATTTCCTGACAAGGTTAGGACAAGATCACAGGTAAAATGCAATTGGAAACCTACCGATTGGTGAATCCGACGGCCGTTGAGAGTTTGCATGGCCCTCTCAGCGGCACCGGGGTCATCAAACTCAACGAAACCATAGTTGTGGCCCTTGGTAGTGAACTGTCCCTAATTAAGTAGACCCATTAGAACGCGCTCTTTTTCGGAGAATGATCTCAACATGGCCATGAAAATGGGGGAAATGCCCATTGTAATGATGCAGCCCGCCCAGCAAATCAGGGGGGAGGGGCAATATGCAGGGGGGTGTCAGGAGAACTTACATTCTTGTCAGGGATGATCTTCACACTGAGCACGTGGCCGCTGGTCTCGAAAATCTGCTTGAGGATGTCCTCAGTCACTCTAGGATCCAGTCCTCCAACGTAGAGAGCTCTCTTGTTGGGCTCTGGAGCCGCTCGGCGGACATATCCTCCGGCGCTGGTGGGGGACAACATGGCGCCCCCTGACATGGGCGAGGTGATAGCCGTCGGAATCGGGTTGTTATTCTGGGGAATGATCACAGGGGGGCGCGGGGGCGGGGGCATGTGGGAGGGGTTGCCCTGGCCGTTGCCTTGAGCAGCATCGTACTGTGAATTTCCCACGACGGGCTGAGAAGCTGGAGGCAGAGAGGCGGGCGTCGACGCTTGGGCGTTTTCGGCCATTGTGAAGGTTGATAGGTTGCAGTTGGATGGCAAAGCTGATGAAGAACGAGTGATGTCGGGTTATATGTCAGGCTAAAGGCGATATCGGGCGATCTGTCAAATTCAGGGCTTGAGGCAATGCAAGTCGCTAGAAGTCACAATCGCAAACGAGGCCGGCAATATACGTAATATAAGGCGAGGGGAAATGCGAAGTCCGAGAATATTGTCAGCCGCAAACAAAGAGCGGGTGTAAACAGTGCTCGGGCAGCGAGAGATCTGGAGGTCGATCAGGGTTATCTCCGATGAGATCGTGTATGGTACGATACGGTCGGAGATGTCGAAACAGTTGGGGACAAGCGTCGAAATGGGTCCTGGGCGATACAAAGATAAGTTGAAGCTGAAAGCCCAACGGAGGAAAACAAGGGAAAAGGATAACAGAGAAAGATCAAAGAAAATCCAAGCATGCAAGTCCCAACGGGAATGAAGCTAGAAATCCCAACAGCAAAGAAAAACGAAAAAGAAAAAGAAACTAGGAAATCGAGTCGGAGATAGAAAGAAAAAGAAGTGAAGGACACACGGCGAAGGGAAGTTAACCGCTAGGGGTGGGGTCTTTACTCCAATGGGTTTAGCCGCAACACCTGCGCTACTTCGCTACTTCGCTACTTCGGGACTTGCTTCTCGACCACTTCTGATACATCGCCGTCACCTCCATTCTGACGTCGCCGAAGGTCTTTCTCCTTTCACATACATCGACTCCACCGGATAATGGCGTACACGAATTATTCAAACCCGGAAACGCTCACGGAGCTGTCCAGCATCGTGGAGCGAACGGTAAGCGCTGACTCGACATGTCACTTGGCACATTCTAACCTACCCTGGCAGCTCATTGATACCGGTCGCTTATTCCGCAAGTCTGGTTCGATGCCATCGCGCAGCCATCTCCAGCGATCCATCCCTTTGTATCATGACAGTTTCCAAAATGCACTAGATAACCTATCAGAGCAAATCGTGAGTGCACCTATATCTGCGCGTGACTCCAGTCACTCTTTGCTTTTTCTCTTTTCTCCCTCTTCCCGCTCAGCTCTGACGGTCGGGCAGTTTATCGCAAAAGCTTTCTTGGAGAGAGACTATGAGGCGCTCAAGGCAACCAGTGCGCCCCTTGAGGTCGACGATGTGGTCATGAGCGATGCCAAAGAACAAATCAAGGTTGAAGCTCAACCACCGCTCCCAGAAAAACCCGAAATGGACATCGACCGGGACGGGGCCAAGGTCGAAGAAGTCCCCGTGAGCCAACCAGCTCCTGCAGAGAGCAAACCCGAGCCCCAAGAGGAGCCACCGATCAAACAGGAAGGGGCCGACGCGCTCAACCAAGCATTCCCCGGCACCAATGAAGACCTCACATTTGATTCCGTCCTGAACGATGGCGGTAACACCAATGATTTCGGTCTCAGTTTGGACTTCAACGATGACGACATGGGCAATCAAGCTTTCCTCTCCGGATCGAACTTCACGGGTGGCGCCGACAAGTCAAACACCCCTCAGCCTCCTACCGGTGGCGGTGCGTTCGATATGGAGCTACAGAAGACGGAAGGGGACGACGGGAATTTCCTGGAGCAGGGTAACGGGGAGGACTTCATGGGCCCCGCGGAATCCAATTTCGACGATCTGTTCCTGGATACCGAAAATTTCGAAGAGAACGGTGGGGACTTTAACCAATTGGAAGGGGGCAGTCTGATGAACGTGAATGAGTTGGACGATAATTGGTTCAACTGAGCCCTGAGATGTACCCTAGCTCCTCTGGCAGTCCCGAGCGGCCAATTGCCGGGCCTTGGGGAAATATTATCCTATAGATTTAATGATCTGCATGTACATTCTGCACTAGGATGGAGCCGTGGCACATGTATGGTCTGATCCGATCCGTCTGGCGCGGGATCTCAAACATCTGTTTGTCCCCAGCGTCGGCCGTGGGACACGCGAACCCTCCCGAGGTCGTGCCTAACGTCCAGAGGCCCGACCGACGCTAGGGGCGGAACGTTTCTGAACCCCGTGTCCACTCCTATATGGATGAAAGGAGTGTGATTTTCACTAGTTCGGTCGGGTATGAGACACCTGGGCACGTCCCATATGCCAGTAATCCCGCAGGGCGCAACCAAGACCATATTCCCGTTCTGGTGCCAGAGGTCAAGGTCAAGGTCATAGCGAGAGGTCAAAGAAGCCATGTGAAGAGCTACTACTACTAGTATGTAGTACTTTATAACCATCAGATGACGTATATAAGGCACAACCTTAAGTTGGGATCGGCGTGGAGAAGGAATCAGGGCAGATTGGGGGAAACGTTTCCCGAAATAGCGAGGGTCTAGGCAGTCTGAAGTGTGGCTTGTCCATGAGGTCATTAACGGCACAGACCCGCTTAGCAGTTAGTATAGCCCTATAGAGGACTAGTAGTTGTAGACGGAGTAGATATACACTATCAGCTGGAGAGGATCTGTCGTCATAGTGCCGGAACGTATGCGATGCCGATAGATCGCCCTTTTAGTCCGAGGCTGTCTCTTCCGACCATTCAGGCTGGCACTATGGAGTACGCGGGTCAAGGTCATATCTCTAAATGAAACCGAAATCCTTCTCATTTCCGACCAGTTCATGCCCAACTATACACTTCTGAGATACGGTTTGAGAATCCAAGGAACATGTTTAACCCAGGTAAGGATTGATATGCGCCTCATGTGAGGGCTTGCGCGTCGGTCCCCCGCACTCTCGGCTCTGACAGAACCCTCAACTACAGTAGTACTACATACTAGTATACTATACAGTATGAAAGAACCGAATTATCCGTTGCCCCAGCCGAGCAGCCGGGTGAGACAAGCTAGAAGCCTTGAAGAGGCTCTAGATGGGTTCAGGCCGTCAGATCCGGAGCCTTAATCTTTTTTTTCCCAAGAGTGGATTGGAATGTTTCTCCACAACCTAATTGAAAGACCAATGGAGAGCGAACAGAGAATGCCGAAGAGACCGTCAACCGTTGCCCGGATCGCCGGAGATGAGTCCCCGTGTTTCAATCGTGTTGTCATCGTTTTTTTTTTTTTCTTCGTGGTGGCTTTAAGTACTAGTAGTCTCGTGTTCCCGTCACTGCAACGGACTCTACATATCTTCTCCCAACGCCACATTACGCTCTCAAATAATAGATCAAGGAAAAGCCAAGAACCACAAAAATCTAGCCAATCCCACCCGCTGAAACCTCGATCGGCGCGATGATCATTGGAGTGGAGGAGCCGTGCTTATGAAGTCTACGCCTTAAGAATTCCATTTCCCTCCCTTGCTTAACCACAGGAACGAAGGGATCACAAAAAAAGGGAATACCACACACGGGCGTACCACAGGTTCAAAGGTATGTGTTCCTACATAATATTTCCCGAGCCTTATACTTTCACCATGTTCTATCTTTTGAGATGCACACAAGATGATTGGAGTTAACGTGATTCCGCTGCCGGCGCAGTTTACCTCGCGGTCGCCAGCTAGTAACCCCACTTCGCCCTCCAGCTTTACAGGGCCACCCTCTTTTAGAGACTCAATAGCCACCCTTCTCACCCGGTCGCCTCGGGACGAGTGTCCCGAATCCCCCAAACTCGGTCGCCGCGCCACAGTGCTCAGAAAGCTGGCGGGCCCACGAGAACACGCGAAGCGATTCCTTCGCCTGCGGTCATCGGGTGTCCCTGCACCCACGCTACGTCCGACCCCGCGTCGTAGTGTACGACCTGTTTCGGAGATTATCCTGCCCCGGACGGAATCGATCGATTTTGAATCTGAGATGCGATCCGACTCCTCCTCCGCCACTGAGGTGATGCCTCAGGCGCTGCGGGAAGATCCCGCCACTCCCGATTTGACCTCCTCCTTCACCCCGTTGCACAACGAGAAGATTGTCGCCACCGGCAGTGGGATTTCAGTCGGTGTCGCTCTCACGGAACCCGTGCTGTATCTGCAGGGCTATGACCAGCATGACCCGAGCAGTAAAAAGTCCGCCATCCTCCGAGGACAGATCCATTTAAAGGTCACCAAGTGTATCAAAATCAAGAAGATATCCGTCTGCTTCCGTGGACATGCCCAGACCGACTGGCCCGATGGTATTGTCGCCCTCCCCCTTTCTCGCCGGTTCAAACTGACTCCCGTCAAGGTATCCCACCCAAGAAAATCCATTTCCACGACAAGAAGGATCTCTTCACCCACGGCGTGGTCTACTTCAACCATGGTGTCACAGCGCTCATGCAGAATGAGTACGGCGCACACTACTACCAGCATGCCAAACCCATTTCAGCCGTTCCCGGCAAGGAAGGAGTGACAATGACCACTCGCGAGCTGTTCTCCAATCGCAACTCGGCCACCTCACTCGCCCCGCCCACCTCGCGAGAATCCAAGCGCTTATCCCTGCAGTACAACCGTGGTCACTCGCGCAGCTTCAGCAAGAACGAGCCCCCAACCAACCAGAACACAACCCAGCGCAATTACCGCATGTTCCCGCCAGGCGACTACCTCTACAGTTTTGAGTTCCCCATCGACGGGTCGTTACCAGAGACTATCAAGACCGACCTTGGATCCGTGAAGTATGATCTCGAAGCGATGGTGGAACGATCAGGCGCGTTCCGGCCCAACCTTCTTGGAACCATGGAAATTCCCGTGATCCGCACTCCCGCCGAAGGTTCACTGGAACAGGTCGAACCGATTGCCATTTCGCGGAATTGGGAGGACCAGCTTCATTACGATATTGTCATCTCGGGCAAGTCGTTCCCGCTGGGTTCTCAGATCCCCATTGCCTTCAAGTTGACGCCACTGGCCAAAGTGGAATGTCACCGTATCAAAGTATATGTGACGGAAAATATTCAGCATTGGACGGCCGACAAGAGCGTCCATCGCCTACAGCCTGCCAAGAAGGTCTTGCTGTTTGAGAAGCGAGCGGACTCTTCCAGCGTGAGCACATATCCCGGTAGCTCCATGCGGGTCACCGCCGGAGGTGGCATCGACTGGGACCAGCGCGTCGCGGCCGCCTCGGGCCAGGAGATCGTGGACCGGAACCGGACGAATCTGCTGGGCAACCTGTCCAACGACTCTGGTGTCGGTCCTACCGAGATGGAGTTCAACGTGCAACTGCCAAGCTGTCACGAAATGAAAGGTCGGGATGAGGCCCAGCGCCTCAACTTCGACACCACATACGAAAACATCCAGATCAACCACTGGATCAAGGTACGAATCTTCCTCGCCACGCTATCAGCCCCAAAACTAACAAAGGCAGATTGTCCTCCGCCTGTCTAAGGTCGACGAAAGAGACCCCACCAAGCGAAGACATTTCGAAATCTCCATCGACTCCCCATTCCACATTCTCTCCTGCAAGGCCACCCAGGCCAACATCTACCTTCCAGCCTATAGCCGACCCGTGGAGGAGCCAGCTCCACCAGCCCAGGAATTCGAATGCGGCTGTCCTGGCGCACCACTCGCTCCCCGCGAGCCCACCATCACACCTGCCAGCTCAGACCGCGAAGATAGCAACCCCAACCTTGCCAAGGTGGCGCGTCGCAGCTCAACCGGTCACAACTTTTCGCGCAGCTTCACCAACGGCTCGGGTGGTCTCGCCCGACCCCCACAGGCACACCTTGCAACACACAACGACCGCGCCACACCCAATCCACCCCGTCCTATGCATCTGCTCCGCGCCCCTTCATATGCTCCCCCCGCCTTTGAAGACGTGCCGCCCGCACCACCTCTCATGACCCCACCTCCTGAATACGCAACCATCGTCGGTAGTGACCGCGAGGCCGTCCTGGAGGATTACTTCTCCAGACTCTCATTCTATGAAGAGAATGAAGATGACGACCGGGGTCGAGGTCGTGTCGATGTTCCCCTCACCCCTGGCGGTCGTATCAACCGCAGCATGGACGTTCCCCGCGAATGGGTGCGGATCGAGGACTACTTCCAATAAACGGTTCTATTTCCTTCCTTTTTCATCATTTTCTTTCCCTTTTTCTCTTTTTTCTTTGCCGGAGTCGACCGTCACGATATCTGAATCATGAAGTTACGTTATTGTATCGGATTAAAGGGTTGGTTTGGCATATTTTCCAGCGGTCTTGTTAGATCTGGGGTTTTGGGCTGGGGTTTCTACTGGGCATTTTGCATGACTTACAAGTCTGTATTTCTTTTGTTTATACTGGGATAAAAGGCGAATCTGACATTGATACATTGTACTACCAACCTTGGAAGTTGTGCCTTTAACATCTCGGGGGACTCGTAGCGCCGGAACCCCGATAAGAGATGTGTCACGCATCGAACTGCCTTCATCGGTTTAGCTCTCCCCACATCTCTGAACTTCAAGCTCATCTTTTCTGTTTTCTTCTTCCAATCTTTAATTCGCACCCAAGTCGAAACACCAGATTCAATTGGTTCGACCTCTGCAGGGTCCCCTAGCGTCCGTTGTTCCCCGTCCCGACACCTTGCAAACACCACCGATTGGTCCCGTTTGTACAAAATCGTCGGTGCAGGTGCACAACCCCAAGCAGAACGCATAACATGACCTCTTGATCGAAAACTGACCATTCTGAAGTAAGCCAACCCTGCTGATCCCAGCATTGCCGATCCCAAGAGCCTCGGAACATAACGAGATCCGAGATCCCGCGTTTGCGTTACCAGCACCAAACAAGACCACCCACAATGGCTATCAAAGTAGTTGATCTCACGGAGGCGGACATCCCCGGTGCCATCGAAGTCATCCAGCAAGCATTCGCCGACGATCCATACTTCAAGTGGGTCTTCGATTCCTCCCAGGTAAGTGGAGCATCTGTACGGAGTACTCCGTACATTCTCAAATCAAAACCGAAGTCAAACACCGGAACCAAGCTAACAAACGTCCTCGCACGGTCCTCTGGCCCTCTGCGTCGACATCCAGTTCAACAAGCAAAGAAACTATGACTCCCTAGCCGCGCGCTGCAAGTGGGGAATCAACAACGCCATCTTCCAAGTCGCCAAAGAGTCCGACAATGGTCCTATTCTAGGCGTTTCCTGCTGGATAGCGCCCCACCCGGAAACCCAGCCTGAGAGCTGGTATTCCTGGTTCCAGTCGTGGAGCCTGTCTTTCAGCCAGTTCCTCAATAATGTCCGATACCTGGGTCGTGGGGGGTTGCGGACGAATAGGTATTGGATTTGGAAGGAGAGACAGGCTGAAGCGCAGGCTGCTATTTGGGATGATCCGCAGGGATACTATTTCTGTAATATTGTTGCTGTTAGTCCTGCGGCCCAGGGGAAGGGGATTGGGAAATTGTTGTTCGAGGCTGTGACGCATAAGGCGGATAAGGAGGGCGTGAAGTGTTATCTGGAGAGTTCGAAGAGTGTCCCTAATGTGGCGATTTATGAGCGCTTGGGCTTTGGGATGAGGAAGGAGATGGAGTGTCGGGATGGAGAGGATGCGTGCATGGTATGTTGGATGAGTTGTGGGTGTTCGATGCTCTTTGCTGACTGTTTTTAGTTGTACTGCATGGTGCGGGATCCTAAGCAGAATGAGATCTGAAGGTAAATTGATATTGCTATTGGGATGTGGACTGGGATGGCAGGATGACTGACATGGGTGATGTCTATGCGCAATCCATGAATGAGACATGAACTAGCATAAGCGGGTTAATAGCAACATATCGGATATGACACTGGTATATTCTCCTTTTATTGGAAGGCTTTTGATGCTGTCAGGTTGCAGTCAAGTCCCGAGGCTCAGTCCTGTTTCAAACGAGATTTACTACGCTATGCATGTAACCAAGGCTCGCAAACGGGGATGCGGTTAATAGATCAACTTTGATCTTGAGATGTAATCTAGTCGCGGGATGGAGTAGCAGGGTATGATCACATCGGTTCAATACTCGTTTGTAAAGTCGAATCTGTATTTGATCTACCGTCAAGCAGAGAGCATATATGTCCTCGAGTGAAGATCTCCCAGGCTTACCCCTGGCTGAGTTTCTGCATCTCGACCAGAGAGGCAGCAGTCTCGATATGTACCTTTTTAGCTCTACCAGTCACATCAGTTACAATCTGCCGATGGATCAACGCTTGCCCTTCTAAGAATATGCACATGGGGCTGGGTGTTTCACATCTGGTCGGGTTGGATTCTTTCCAGTCCTGGCTCAGTTGTAAATGTCCCGCCTCAATCCAACCTTGGAAGGCTCTATACAAGACTAGACTCCGGTATAAGATTGATATTTATATAAGTTTCCGAGCTGACTTCGAGTCTCGTGCGAACTATTTACAGTGGAACTCCCGAGGTCACATTTGTTCGTCGCCTTACACATACCAGTCTCAAAACTGTGAGCAGCTCCCTGGAAGAAAGTCGTGGCTGAATCCATGCAGCTAACATTTGATTTGCATGAAGACTTGCATTGCGCGTCGCAATGTTTCTTCTCAAGATGTCATGGTTCCGGCGATCAAGATCTGATACCGGAAAAAGCCCTAGTCCAACACAACCTACCATTGAAAACACACACCAAGCAATCGGCATTGAGGAGAATGCAAGCGTGCCGGACCTCAACTTCTCCAACGCTTCTTTTAACGAAAAAGAGCTGATTGTCAACCAACTTGCCGTCTTGACCGCCACTACAAGCCACACATCGATTAGTACAACGCAATCCAATACAGACTACCAAGAGGAAGAGGAAACGTTTTATCACCTCCGCAGCTGGATAACAACATCACACTTACCCCTACCAAGCCACACCTCAACAACATCCACATCAACACTAGCATCCAACTGCGGACGGCGCGAGAGTCAAGTCTTTGATAGGAAGCGGGATTCTTCCATTCTCAATTTGAACATTGGGGACTTGCCCATTTTGCCCTTCGCGAGACCTGAAAAGGACAAGGTCAAGTCTGGCCCAAGATACAGTCCTCTACCTCCGCCATATGTCCCGAAGCCACTTGCTATGAGACCCGAGGTTCGGTTTTAGGTTACCCAGATAGGGTATGGCATTTGTATTTTGGCACTTGAAGGCTATGTTGGATTTGCGCTTGAGATACCTTTGGTGGATACGCTCTCGTCTGGTCGTCGTTGACTCTGGACTGCTGGGAATTTTATTTAAATCTTGCACCCGGGCAAGATTGCTTTTTTGTTTATGTCTGAAGTAAATGTGAATTGCTTGAATCATCTATACTCCCCCGTGATTATCTTCTAGACTTTGCAAAAATAGGGGAAATACTTAGATACCTACATTGATATCTGTATCCAACCTTCCAAGGTTGGAGGGGGAAGCCACAGTCAATGATCACCTGGGCAAACTCGGACCCGGAGACCAACAACGAGAAATTTTCGTACTCGTGGGAGTACTCGCTCAAGCTGCCCGACTCCACAAAGGCTCCATCTCAAAAGTACATGTTACCGACGTCACTCAATCAAGGATTCCCGAGGCCCTGCTGGCATCAAACATGTTTGTACACGTGAGCATCAACACACCCATGCCTCTTTTCAGCCCCTGTATCCAATCGAACCCCACCGTTTCACGAAGCGAGGCTTTAAAAGAGAAGCAGATCGTCCGATGGGCCGGAACTACTAGCATGTATGGTCCGATGGCCCTCCGATCCCTTGGCTGGGACCACTCTCCAAGAAAAGGTGGGTAGCGTGTTCCTTGAACGGCACTTGAGTGCCTAGCAGTTTCGAGATTAATTAATTTCAGGGTTGCCGAGAGTCCATCGAATGGGAATCGTCCCTTGGGAGGGCCAGTTCACCCTTCAGACCTTACATTAGTGTTGGGCTCAGGCGGATATGTTTAATTAAGACTGATGTGTGATCACCGCGCATTGCAGAGGGATGCAACATGATGTCGACCCGAGGCAATGTGGGGAGATCCAGGAAAATCCGACTCGTTAAATCGTGCAGTCTGTGATATTGATTCGACAGGATCTACAAGTTGTTTCACCAGTTATGGTCGGCTTCGTCGATCTCCGTTCTTATTTCGACAAGTGATAGTCGGCAACCCTGAAACGAGACGTTTAAGCTAGTATCCACCAATCTCGGGATATGCTTTTCATTGCCGATGAGCGCTATTGATGTTACGTACCGCGTCCTTCTTGGGAAGGTGGGTAACGGCTGTGGCTTCACTACTCCACTTGGAAAATTCGATTCCAGGGCTGCACAACCTGTGGCCAATGCCTCTGTACCCGATGTCGGAAACGGGTCTGGGGAATTAGGAACCATCGCAAACAGTAAGCGTAATCCGGATATACGAGCGTCCTGGAGAACATGTCCACGTGGGTGATGGGCCCGGTGGAGTTGGGGCGGAGACGCGGTGTTTATAGATCGCCTCGATAAGTGTCGTCCTTAATAGCCTCGTTTCATCGAGTCTGCTTCTAGGCAAACATGCCCAGGTGATTAAGATGGAACCATCTGAATAACCTTGGGAAAACTAAGTTGCATACACAAGTACTACTGTACGCATATCACGGGTACCCACAAGCCGAGAAGTAAATTAATATTCTACAATTACGGAGACCAACTCGTAGAAACGTATGAGGGCCACGACTGTATATTAAATAAATCGTACGGTCTTGTCCATTCGATCCACTCATACCTAGTACCCTGTAGGCAAACGCGGAGTGCCAAATCAAATCGAATCCGGAGGGCGCCCCTGGGAGTTTTCTCGCAAGAACTAGCCTAGCTGCCATGGTGGGGAGTGGACGGGTTTTCTCAAGGCGACCGACCGGTTTGGAGAGGCCAATTTGTCCGAGTGACGAGGCCCCTGTCCACCGTTCAGCCTTGGAAACGATCGCAGGCAGTATCACAATCAGCACCCAAGTTCCAGATGTTGAGCTCCAGGGACGTACTAATGTACTCTTGGGTTGAAATTGTTGTGAACATGTGAAAGGACCAGACCTCTCTCGTAGCTCAACCAGCACAGCTCAACGTTGTAATTTTAGACGTTCGACGCAGGGACCCTGTCCCTATTCACAAGGAGAATCGCGGTCAGTCGGCATGTATGAATTCTAGCCTCGGGAAAGAAAATAATACCACCGTCAACCCACTGTCCCCGGGTGAGCACTGAGCTATCATCGTCCGTGCAACTTTCCCGATTCGGTCGCTGGCATGGATTCCACTGTCTTCAGGGACGGCACATCCGGACTTCCATTGGCAGAGGCGTTCATGGATCCCAATGCGCGATACCCATATCACGGCCTGTTATTCGTTCGTTCCGATTTTCAACAAGCGCCCGACACGGCACACAAGCTCTACCAAGAATAATTATTACGTTGTTATCCCTGGGAATTAACGAATGATGAGTCCTTGCGAAATTGTGCTAACACAGTAACGCAATGGCCCTGGCCCTTGAGCATTGACTAGAGGCAGCTCATGCCGGAAAATGGAGATTGGGCGCAGCTTTAGCGCCAAGTAACCAAAAAGAAAACTTAGATGGTCGGTCCGGTTCCGATAAATCTTCGAATTGGCGTATCACCATAGAGATAGAAGTGGACACACGCCTGACAGGTTAAAAGCCTGTATAATGTACGTATACGAGTAGCCTAGAGCTTGGTTCCTCTTGCCCAGTGGTTGGGTGCTTTTTCCCCAATGTACGTGTAAGTGCGGAAGACAGAGTACGAAAGACCAGATAATCTCCCGAATAGTCACGATAAACATGATGTGTGGCTCAACCATCCATGGAGTGTCCCTGTCTCAGAGCTCTATCTATCAGCCGTTGATCCACCACGGGCTTTTCGGGTACCAAAGCCCTAACCGGCTGTCCAATGGGTCCTTGTGGTCTGCCTATGTGGTCTTTTCGAGGCCCCAGCACAGTACGGAGTATTGCATCATCACTTTCCCCTCCATCTGCACCGTGCAAATCCGGTGCCTTGAGTACCTTATCCAGGTACATTGAGCTAGAAGGCCATGACCAGGGGCGGCTAAGCGTAATATCCGGATAATAACCTTTTAAGAACCGGGCAAACAGTTGGACTGCAGCGATTCAAGGGAGACGACACTGCAAGCGCGGATGAAAGAGGAAATCCACAGTAGAGGTCTAACACGAGCCAAATCAAGGAAATGTGGACTCTCTGCAGGGGGTGCGCACGGTGTTGAAGCTATACTTGTTCGATTGGTGATTTCGGACCGCTCGAGGGGGTCGGAGATTTCGGCCTGTCACAACCTTGGCCTTCTGGGGAAGATTATATTATCCCGACACACAAGGTACTAGTACTGAATTGTCAACACAGGGACCTGTCAGGAACATTCAATGTTTTTTGCATGCCCGAGCTCCATCGGAGGGAATGCCTTCCTATTGTAAACGGGCTGGCCCAAGATGGCGTTGCAGCGGGCAGCGGATGTGAAGGCAACAGATATCTTGCATGCATGCAATGATCAATACTTTAGGTGCTGAGTATCTTTCAGGTATACCGTGTTCCGAGCTCCGTAGCTTGGTTGTCACCATGCTGGTGCGTCGGGACAAGGCCCCCTTTCCAAGACCCCCCTGAACATGACGGGATCCGATCCAACAACCACCACGTTGTTCATGCGGCCCCTGGAGACCTAGACTGTGTAAATGAATAGCGCAACCGTACAATATCGGGTCCGAACGCCTGTTCAGGGCCAGTCAGAGACGAAGAAATGACATTCGTTCCGCATCAACATTCTAGAACAAACATGTGATTTAGCAATTGTGAAATCAGAAAAAAACAAGAACCCGACAGGTGGTAATTTTCGAAGGCTGGTCGAAGCCATTCACATGGTTATACAGAATCACAATCATCAAGCCAACAGGGCCAATTCTCCGAACCGTGGGATATCCCCGAACCGGGTACGGAGGACGGAGTACTCCAGACCATTCAAACACCCAAACACCGAGACAACGCCATACAGAGTTGACGCTAGAATGAACAAAGAAGCAACCCGGAAACGCAAAAGCGAATAGACGTAAAGCCAATTATACCCCAAACACCCCCAAAATTCAATACTCCGGAGGGATCGGAAAATGCAGTCCACCGCGCAAAGTTTAATTCGGGACGTGTCCCCACAGGAATTTTCGAAGTGTCGATCGTGGTCACTCGGGGGCACATCTAATGATTTGGAATAGAGCCGCGATGGTCGGTTGGACCCGAACAGTTCTTTGGGTCGAGTCCACCCAGAACCACCGACGGGAGAGGAAACCGGGAGAAGCGAGAAGCCCTGATCCGAGTATCTTGTTTGGGGCCCGAGGACGGAGTACTCTGGGAGTCAAGGTTTCAAGGGCATTGGGCTCAACGCCCGGCCGTGCAGAGCATACATTTGCCCACTACCACAATGAAGCGGTCGTGTGGGCTATCCTTGCATGTGCTGTTGTCCTTGGAGCCCTCCATTTCAGAACGAAGGAAGTGTGCGGCGGGGTTGTTGCAGGTGGCATATATGTAGTAGTTCTTGTAGTAGTTGCACATTTCGATCCCATCGGGATGGGGGTGGAAACGGGAGACCAGTTGGAATGGAAAGAGAAGTATAGGACTCAATGGAAGGGTATGACAGATCGAACCTTGAGCGGTGGGATGTGGGGACTCATGTAGCTATCGAGGAGCTTGAAGGATTTAAATGAAATTGAATGATCTGGTAGATTGCAGGTAGAAGGCTCGACAGAAAACATATGAGTAGAGTGGATGCGATGACGCCCGAGGACAGGTGGGAACAGTTTAGAACAAAGTAAAGATAAAACGAGGATGATCATCGAATGATAAAATAAAATAAATACCAAAAAACAAGAAAAATTAAATAAATGCAAAATCTCAGAAGAATTTTACTTTCATATTTCTCAGATTATACTCGTACAGTACTGCACGGTGGTTCTCCCCACTAGCATCCCTAAGAAAAATCCTTGTCAAGAAAGCGGGTCCTGCATGAAGTGTGGCTTTGATCTGTATGACCGTTGACTATTTATTGACCTTTTTTTTTGAATTTCTTTTCCCCCTTCTGCATATGCATCACTCGGGGAAGAGCCCTGCAATGTGACGAGACAGCATCAAACATCGGGTAGATGGGAGATCGACGCGGTTCCTCGCAGCCGTTGATGCTTCTTCAAATCACACGTGGCGCTAGTCGGGATCTTCATGCATATGAACATTACATTCGGCAGTCCTAAAAGTTCCGTCTGGCGAGAAAGATCAGAAATACTAGGCTAGGCAGGTAGCTGCGGAGTACGTATAGTCGGGTCAGGCAAACACGGAGATTCATCAACAGCCGACGATCACTGCAACCTTGTACAGAGGTTAGGTCTTGCCTGATGATCGGAGAACCGACGCGTTGGGCAGTCGGAGCGGGTGACGGGCTCCAATCAAGTTGAAGGTCTTTGATTTATTTTTGAGATGATTAATCGGACATAAGAGAGGAGCTCCACGTCTCAGCCTCCGTGCGACCTCTCGCTCCCGGTTTGGAGGAGCTGAAAGTCAAGCCGAGACTTAGAATTCAGGAGTGTAGGCAAACTTCGTTTGACGTGTTAATCCTCGGTGGAAACTGATCAATATCCCAAGAATGAGATCATCAGTCGAACGTTAGAAAATCGCTTGGCAAATGCAAATTGGGAACCTCTTTGGGAAAGAGATTGACATACTAGGAGTGCTCTTTTGAGCAACGTCGCAGCAGTCGCAATCAAGTTCGCCGATCTGTGTCAAAGGGGCTGAGGTGACGCCGCTATTTGGGACACTCTTGTGACATCTGCCAGGTACATCGCAGAAGTAGATCAAACGATCAGGGGCCAAAATCAACACAAGGTTTGGGCTTCGGGCTACTCCAGGATCGAATTCTCCAGAAGCCCCCACAGGTGAAACTCAGCAGTGGACACCTTTCGTTTTGATCGCTTCCGAAGCGTTTCGGAAGCCGATCACTGGGCAACAATCTTAGTATTGGATCGCTAACCTCGCCAGGCTGAATGCGTGACTGAGCAGCTGGCCTTGCAAATGAATGATGAAAATCAATGCCCGAGCGTAAGTTATGTGGCCTTCCAGCTTAATTGTATCTGGTACAAGTACTACCAGAGGCCCTGGCGCGCTAATTCCGAGTGAAGCAAGCGATGGTGCGACACTGCCCCGGCCATATGTGCACTAGGTGGTGTGGAGACAGGCCAATCCCCATGCAGGGCAAGTCTAATTCGATGCGATATTATGTACATACAGTAGGCACGGGAGCACCTAAGTACTCCGTACAGTACACGCATGTGTGGTTGTGTCTCGGTACCTGAGCAGTTGAGATTCCCGGGATATATCGAAAAACGTCCAATTTGTGCCCAACAGAGCACTGGCAGCAGATCCCGAGGTCGCTTCTCCTAACACTGGAACAGGTTCAAGGCTGTTCATCCAATCAGAATGCTTCACACCATACGCTCAGGTGGGGATGGCGCTCTACTCTTATCGAATCGCAAGTCGATCGGGTTGTGGGGGCAGAAAAGAAGGTAGACTCAATTCGGACACTCTACTTTGCAATACTCCGTGCTCCATAGCTAATGGCTCCGCAATTTCAACGGTACCGACTTGGCCTTCAGAGGCTAGTACCCTGTAGTGTGCCTTGTTTTTCACCACTCGATCGCGGACGGCATTGCACTATCGAACGGCGCAATATTCAATAGTTCGGCTTGGGCCGAGCTCGGACCCGAGCCACGTGACGCGGCTGTTCTCGATTGGGCACTAGCGTTCCCGACTGATTTCCGAATGACTAAGCCGGCTGTTTGGACCGGGGAAAAAAAGTATGGAGCGCCTAGCAACGACGCTAATCCGATTCCGGTAACGGAAAAATAGTCCACCCTTTTTTCTTTGTCCCGTGATCGTGAGACCGATTTCTGAGACACAACCCCCCTCGCATACCAGACTCTCACAGGGGTGAACCCGACCTTCAACACTCGCTTCAAGGGGTCCCGTCAAGAAACCAGCATACAAAGTTGGGGTGCAGACGGAGCCACGCTACTGCCGGGGATTGAAAAAGGAAGGAAAAAAACCGTCATTACCTGTGTCCCACCCCGTCGTTGTGGAGACCAGCCGTCCACTCTTGACCTTTGCGACTAACCCCACCACTCGCAACTCACCTGTTTGTTATCGCTCAACTCAACACCAAGTGACTATACAACATGGGATTCGGTCAATTTGATACAATATGCGAGAAGGCGCTGGTGCCGTTATGCTCTTTGGTAGGCCCGTCGTCTACGATCTCTGGATCATCGTCGGGTCTGATATCCAATTGCTATGCGAGAAACATTGAAGTCGCCAATACTATCATTTTCGAAGGTGCTGCATCATTCATGCATATCTTGGCGCTGAGCATGACTGTTATCATGATCTTGCATGTGCGGTCTAAATTCACCGCAGTCGGTCCGTCATCTGGTCCAGCTACATTCCCTGTCCATTGACTAACCTCTACCAGGCCGCAAAGAGATCATCACTTTCTTCTACATTTACCTAGCTCTGACTATCTTCTCCCTCATCATCGATGCAGGTGTCGTCCCTCCTGGAACGGGACCGTTCCCATACTTCGTGGCCGTCCAGAACGGTCTGATATCAGCGCTATGCACCTGTCTCCTCGTCAATGGATTCGTGGGCTTCCAGCTGTACGAAGATGGCACTGCTCTCTCGGTTTGGTTGATTCGAGTCCCGTCGGCGACCATGTTTGCGCTCTCGTTCGTGATTTCGCTGGCAACTTTCAAATCATGGGGCTCCATGGGCCCTCAGAACACCACTGGTCTTTTCGTTGTGCTCTACATCCTCAACGCAATCTGCATCGCAGTGTATCTGGTCATGCAGCTTCTTCTTGTTGCAAACACATTGGATGACCGCTGGCCGCTCGGGCACATCTCATTCGGTGTGCTGGTTTTCATCATCGGGCAGGTCCTGCTGTACCAATTTAGTGATGTGATCTGCAACAACGTCCAGCATTACCTGGATGGCCTCTTCTTCGCTACATTCTGCAATCTACTGGCTGTCATGATGATCTACAAGGTACGCCAATGTTTCACGCTTTCGCTTAATGTGGGTCTAACGGTTCTTAGTTCTGGGATTCAATTACCAAGGAGGACCTGGAATTCTCTGTCGGGGTCAAACCAAACACTTGGGACATCAAGGAGCAAATGCCCGAAGAGGACCGCCGGGCAACTGCGTATGCAGACAACAACTCGGAGTACGCAGGCAGCATGTACCACCACCGGTCGTCGAACTACGGCCATCACAATTATTAAGCGACTGCATTTTCCAGCACTGGGTTAGCATTTGGTTCATTCCTTTTTGCATTGTACATGTGATCATTGACTTCATGATATCTTATTCACTTTTTTGTCTCATATCTTCCACTGTTTCGGGCATCAACATTACATAATCACTGCACAAACTCAACCTTGGAACCGTAGCCCTTAGCATCGGAGCACGGTTCATAAAGATCTTCCCTTGTTTCTCCGCTCGTCCGATCGAGCGATGAGATGCCCAAGGTGGGAAGTGCTGCGCGCAGTCGAGGCGGCCCCATTTCCCGACCATGTAATTGAGCTTTTGCAAGGCTCGGAAATTGCCCGTTCGCCAATTTGCGTTGGTTTCGTGATATCTGCGTCGCGGATACACATGAGGGCTCTGGTGCTTTTATCCGAGAAATGTACGAGGGGGAAAGAATTTGTGGAAATATACGGAGTAGCCCCAGGGCCAATCAGTCCCGAATGAGTCCCGAATCAGCCCCGGGTCGAGCCAAAACGCTAAAGTTATTGATACATGAACGAATGAGCGGTCTCCATCCTTGATACGATGTACAGTACTAGTACTCGTACCTTCATCAAAGACCACCCGTGGCATATCCACCGGAAGCGGCGGGAATTCATTAAATTTGCAGAAGACCAGGAAGTGTAACCAAGTCTACTTCCCTGTCAAATTTCCAGCCATGGCAGGCGAACCGAGCAAACCCCGAGCCATTCTCTTTCGGGGCCACGTCACGTCAGTTCAAGGCTATAATCACCCGAAAAGGCGATCGACGATGGAGTGAGACATGCGGAAGGATCAGCACTGCCGCGTTCCCCAAGAAAGGAAGAGCCCACGAAGGCGATCTCGGGCTTGGTGCTCAGAATGGCAGAGCAACGCGAACACGACGGCCATGCCGATAGCAAGACGGCTTAAGGGACGAGAAGCGGCTGGCTGAGGGGGGCCGTTGAGGTTTGAAACCACGATTGGTATCACTGGAATCGGTAATCTGTACTTGCCATTCGTGGGATCTTGACGTACGACGCACGCCAACTGAAGTCTAAGTAAGTGTCGTGCCGATCAGGGGAGGGGTCCCGTAGTTTTCTCGTAGAATCTTCCACAAAGGCCGAAATCGAGATGACTAGTAGATTGAATTGTGGAGCAACACATCCGTTGAAACCGGTACATGCGGCCTCAATCGATGACAACAACATCATCCCCATCCATGAACTCCCCTTGTGGCTTTTTGGGTGCATGCTGTGTATCTGGTGGCTGGTCCGCTCCCTTGGCTGGCTTCGTGGCTGACTCGTACCAGCCCATGTCTACTGACCTGACAAGTGCCGCACAGGCTTCACTCAGCATCTCGAAGAACGCGGGATTTTGTTTGGCGAGAAACATGGTGGTGTGAGCGTTGGTCTCATCAGTGGCCTGGTCATTAACGGCTTTGGTCCACAAGAGCCCCGGACTGTGCGATTTCCCGCCGTCTTCCACTTCCTTTGGCAATGAACAGAACGTCCGATTCTTTGCTCTGATGATTTTTTGGCTGAAAGATGTCTGGCCCGCTGATGTATTTTCCACTAGAGACGTTGCTCCATTCCCAAGACACGTGTAAAAGTTGACACACCCGATCCCTCGCTCCCCCTTCACATTCGATAGACGCTCGACGCGCTTATGGAGCTCCTGTGTACGTGCGAGGCAACCAACAAACTCCAAATGCGATGTTACCCATCCGAATCCATCGGTCAGTTTCTGTCGTTGGGTATACATAGCTGCACCGCCAGCGGCAACCGCACCGGCCGCTCCTGCAAACATAGCATACTTGCCCCATTTTTGCCAGGAGGGCGCTGCAGCAGCATCAGATGAAGCTAGTGGTTTGGAAGGCTCTTTCGAAGTGGCAGCGGTGGCCCCTTTGTCCGAACCGCTGCCTTTACCACCATAACCGAACAGCCCTGCAACCTCGGAAAAGGTGTTGTAGGCGGTGGCTGCATTGCGGTAGTGGCCTTCGGCGCCATATGACACGACCCCTGGGGCTATGCCTAGGAAAGGAGTGTCAAACGCAAGCACGCCTTGAATATGGGGGAACATGAAGGTCCCCGGTTCCACGATGGACTCGGTGCCTGCCGTTGACTGCGTGTTGGAAGTTGGGTTTCGAGGAATCGGTTGCTCTGCTGCGAGTAGAAGTAGGGCCTCTGCTCCTACTATGCCGCCCATTGAGTGGCCGATGAGTACAACATGAACCGAGGGGTCAACAGTGGGTGATGCAGTATGATTGGCAACCTCTAAATCGATCACAGTATCTTGTAGCCTTCGTTGTTGATTGCAATCAGTCAGGGTCAATCTCATTCGTGAGAGAGTGGTGGTCTTACCAGTCTCGAAGCCTTGCGACGCATTCTTTCAAGTCGCCTTTCGTCTCATACTTGGGGTAGACAGCCGTGACTACCTCGATGGCGGGCAATGCTCTGCTGGCTAACACGCGCAAGTGCTCGGGAAAAGTCCCAAAGGTATCATCCCCGCCCTACATTAGGTCCGGTTAGTATGGGCTCCGAGCTTATGAATTCCCCTGCATCGAGGTGATTTGCAGGGAACCGGTATACACAACGGTCGTACCTTGAATCCGTGAATGAAGACAAGCAACAAAGTTTTCTTCATGTTGAAGCGTTTGAGGTAAAATGTTCTAGTTCAATCATGGGAATCAATTCATTCCAAGGTTGAAGCGAAGAGCAAGAGAAGCCAAGAGACAATGAAGTTCCTCGGCAGAGTCCCGAGGTCTCCCAGAGCCCGCGGAATATCAACTTACGTCATAGCATCACGTGATCCAGGCTGATCGACCCTGGGGCCGTGGACTCCAGCCCTAGAGGGCTGCGCCTAGTACGGGGTACAATTTGGCAGATGATCCAGAACTGTTGGAAATATTCGAGAAAATACCTGATACGTAGATGTATTATTTCTCAAACCTAGCCTTCTTTTTCAACCTCCCTCTTCTGGGGTAAAAGGGTCTATTTCTCTGGCACCTGGGGCATATATATATCGCTACTCCCAACCTGGAAAGGGACTTTTCGTGCTTAAACCCAATTTGAAACCTCGGAAATAACCTTCAAGGTTGAATACCTTGGAATTCCAAGGCTGTTTCCTTTGAGCCATCTGCCCAGTGCCCAGTGGGGCCTGAGTACCCACCTACTAGTAGGTACCTAGGTAGGTATCAATATTTGCAATGGATGCAGATGAATTTCAAATATCACGCAAGTGAACGCTGCATTCTGACCCGAAAAACTCCACTCTGAGCCAATTGTATATACTCAGATCTATATCACTCCAACGCCGCTGCTCAGGCACCCGGGCACCGCCTCCAAATTTTGAGTTGCACACTAAATCAAGTACCTGATATTTCCATTAAAATTGTTCTGGGCAAAGCCTCCACGGGAAATCCATTCAGTTGCATGGCTGTAGCGCAGGTGTTTCGACAGGCTTGCACGTTGGTGGAGGCGCGCAAGGCTCCTTAGAATCCGGCGGTGGCACAGTCGTTCCAGGAGCTGTGCTGACAAGACCTTTGGATACAGCGAAGCAAGAAGAGCGGTCTTGGTCAAGATTTTCGCCGTAGAATTCGTCGAGAATAGGGTGGAGCATCACTGTCTGCTTGTGAATGGTGACAACAGAGTTGGTTGGGACGGAAACCCAATTGTCTGCGAGGATCAGCATTTGTAGATAATATAACTTGTCATGGTGGTACTCACGTCGTTCGAAAGTGATGGGCTCACTGGCCACGAGAACAATATCGGCGCCTTTGTCGTGTCGTTCCATCTTGAAGTGTCCTTTGGTGTCACCTTCTTTCCATTTCGTGCCGGAAGAAAAGTACAGACTGGCGGGCTCGTCTGTTTTGCTGCTGATGTACCGAGTGCAAACAACAGTATGCCCATCCGTCACAGCAAAGTTCATCAAGGAGCGAGTTTCGAGCCCAGGAACCTTGTGTTTCTCGGGAATGTCTCGAACTAACTCGTTTATCCTAGCAATGGTTTTCATCAAGACACGGCGGAGAAGCGCCTGTCCAAATCCTTCTGGGCCGGCATCGGAGCTAGGATCCACTCCCTCCTGCTCGAGCAGATGGAGGAACAAAGCGAAAGCCCATTCACTGTCTGTACCGCCCTTCACACCCAGATACCATTTGTCGGCAAGGGAACTTCCAAGGGGACGCTTGATGTGGTTCCATGCGCCAATGCCACCATTGTGCATCCACATGAGAGATTGATGCTGGAATGGGTGGCAGTTGTTCTCGGCAAGGGCACCTTCAGTAGTTGCTCGCACGTGTGCGAAAACTAGATTTGAACATGTTTTGGCAGCAAGTCGCTCTAGATTGTCACAATTCCAGGCAGGCAACGTTGATGTAAAGATGCACGGCTCCGGCCCGAGTTTGGGGTCTGTGTAGAAACCCACACCAAAGCCATCACCATTGACAGGTCGGCGGTTATCCTTAAATCACGTTAATTTGCATTCATCGGTGTAACATACTGGCCGACTTGGACATCAAGATGGGAAAAACATACTAGGCGCAGGCGTGAGTCATAAGATTGAGTGAGGATTGAATGACTAGGCTCAGTGACTAGTTTGCTGAGGCGGATCTCATTCCGTCCTTTGTAGATCTGGTTCATAGCATTAGTCCCTGTATATGAAGCGTTGTGGGATTGATCGTACGAGGAAGCGACACATTGCTTGGTTCAATACGATAGAAAGATAATGTCAATTGCCAGTTGTTCTAATCCCACGAGATAATCAAAATTCCCAGAGGTGAGATTTGTATACTCTGTAGGTCCAATCTGGAAAGGAGCGTGTGGATCGAAGGTATCAATTGAGTCCAATGTTGAATTCGTGAGGTCGGGCAGAAGAGTCACCGACTACGTTGGGAAATGGAAATATACCCAACTGTTCCAACCACACTACGGCTACCAACAGTAGCAGACTTGAAATCGGGATATGAAAACAGATACAAACAAAAAGAAAGGGGAAAGAGAATAACTATTTTAGATCAAAGGATCAGTCACTTCCCTTGCACAGCACGTCATACCGCACGTGACAGTAACAATTTACGGGACGCGAAGCGGCGAACTTGTGCAGGTCACGGGAGCTCTGTTATCCGTCAGTGATCCGGCAATCTACAATCACCACCTTTTTTCAAACTTGCTTGTTGAATGCTATCACAACAATCATGAGTGGGAGAATACTCTCCCATAGGCTGGGTCCGCTATTGCGGAACGGCCACCTAGCTCGCCATGTCCATAATGCTGGGTCGAGGACCGGTGGCCTGCTGCGCGCAAACAGTGGTGCTGCCCTCCGAGGACGTGCCTGGCCGATAGGCTCCAATTCAATTCACAATGTCCCGGCAGTTCGATCGATATCTTTCGCCCGAATGCTTCCCAAGTTGGCCATGAAACTGGTCCGGATCCCGGCCATGTTCGGCGGTGCAACTGTCGCGGGTTTGGCATACTTCCAATACCAAGCAACTCGTATGTCTTCCATGAATCAAGCTGATCGCAAAGACTTACATGCTAACTAATCACAAAGAGGCCGGTAATTATGCGATGGACATCTTCAAACAAGCTTCGGATACCGCGGGGAATACAGCGTCGACCTTGTTCCAGGGATTACAAGATGCCGCCGAGCAGACACAACGTGGGTGGAATAAGACAACTGAAGATATCGAGGTTCCGGAATGGCTGCAAAAGATCCTCCGCATCGACGAGGAGTCCGAGTCTCGAAAGGGCAGTTCATCTGGCGGGGGCAAAGAGCCAAAACAAAGTCGGGCTGGGACTGGGGCTGCTGCCGCCGCCACTACGACGGCATTCGGCTACGATCAGAGCGACGAAGAAGACAAACGCCTGGAAAGGGACGCTGCGGAGGATGACCAGATGATGCTTCTCACTCGCAAAATGATTGAGATTCGCAACATTCTCCAGTCAGTCGGCCAATCCAACACCATCACGCTTCCCTCAATCGTTGTGATTGGCTCCCAGTCTTCCGGCAAAAGCTCAGTGCTTGAGGCTATCGTCGGTCATGAATTCCTACCCAAAGGGTCGAACATGGTGACACGGCGACCTATCGAACTCACCTTAGTCAATACCCCAAACGCCCAGGCAGAATACGGCGAGTTCCCAGCATTGGGTCTAGGAAAGATCACAGATTTCTCCCAGGTTCAACGCACGCTCACCGATCTAAACCTCGCCGTGCCTGAAAAGGATTGCGTCTCAGATGATCCCATTCAGCTCACCATATATTCGCCTAAAGTTCCAGATCTGTCAATGATCGATCTCCCAGGCTATATTCAAGTCGCAGGCCATGATCAACCACCGGAGCTCAAGCAAAAGATTGCAGACCTTTGCGACAAATACATTCAACCACCAAATGTCATCTTGGCGATCTCTGCTGCCGATGTCGACTTGGCAAACTCTACAGCACTCCGATCCAGTCGTCGTGTCGACCCTCGCGGTGAACGTACTATTGGCGTGATCACAAAAATGGATCTCGTCAGTCCCGAACGAGGACGCGACATACTTTCAGACAAGAAATACCCCCTTCGCCTTGGTTACGTGGGTGTCATCAGCCGTATCCCCCAGACAAACGCTCTCTTCTCCAGAGGTTCTGGAAATATCACCAGCGCCATTCTCAAGAATGAGCATGCGTACTTCTCTGCGCATCCAGCTGAATTCGGGCCACACTCAGAAGTTTCGACTGGTGTCTCGACATTACGAAAGACGTTGATGCACGTGCTCGAGCAGACCATGGCATCTAGCCTGGCTGGAACGAGAGACGCCATCAGCCAAGAACTTGAAGAGGCAACCTATGAATTCAAGGTCCAATACAACGACCGGCCTTTGAGTGCAGAGTCCCATCTGGCTGAAAGTCTCGATGGCTTCAAGCATTCTTTCAAGGCCTTTGCCGAAGGTTTTGGTCGTCCGCAGGTCCGGGAGATGCTCAAGTCAGAACTGGATCAGCGGGTCATGGACATTCTGGCACAGCGGTACTGGAACAAGCCAGTTGAGGACCTGGATCCCCCGATGCTTGAGCTGGATCCCCTCAAAGATCTTCCCAAGGCAGATCCCGAGTCGCTCTACTGGCACCGCAAGCTAGATGCTTCCACCTCCTCTTTGACAAAGCTTGGAATTGGTCGGCTCGCCACAACTGTTGTCGCCAGTGCTCTGAACAACCATGTGGACTCGCTTTTGGCAGCCTCCACTTTTGCATCTCACCCTGGGGCCCATAAGCAGATCACCGATGCTTGCACTAGCATTCTCAACGACAGATTCTTCAGCACTAGTGACCAAGTTGAGAACTGCATCAAGCCTTATAAGTATGAGATCGAGGTCGAAGATCCCGAGTGGGCCAAGGGCCGAGACAACGTAGGCCGAGTTCTCAAGGAAGAGCTTAAAGCCTGCGAGTCAGCAATGAAGCACGTCGAAGATTCCATTGGCAAGCGCAAGCTCAAAGATGTCATTGCATTCATCGACAAAGTGCGCAAGGGCGATGTTGTGTTGGAGGGCAATGGCGAAGGCGGTGCAGGTGGCTTCAGCGCCGCCCTGTTGGAGAGAGGTAAACATTATCCATGATCATTGACATTCAAACGCTAACGTGTACAACAGGACGAGAGGGTCTGTTCCTCCGCGATCGAGCTGATCTTATCAAGATGAGACTCCTGGCCGTTCGATCCAAGCAATGTGCCTCCCAAAAGAACAAATATTACTGCCCAGAGGTGTTCCTGGACGTGGTAGCCGACAAACTCACATCCACAGCCGTTCTGTTCCTGAACGTCGAGCTCCTCTCCGAGTTCTACTACAACTTCCCTCGCGAACTTGATTCAAGACTTGGCCGACACCTTTCCGACGCTGAAGTCGAGCGCTTTGCCCGCGAGGATCCCCGTATCCGCCGTCATTTGGATATCATCCGCAAGAAGGAGCTGTTGGAGCTGGCTCTGCAGAAGATCGAGAGCATTCGACAACTCGACGGCCGCAGCCGGAAATCTGAACGCTTGCCTCCTGGAAAGGAAACACGCAGCCGATGGAACCTGTTCTAAATGTGTATCGTGGAGTACTTGTGTTCTCTTTGCTCCGCACGCGCATTTTTCGCCTTTGAATTTTCGATACCTCCCTCGCTAGTATGATTTCCTGTTGTTGTCTCGATTTGGCCATTTTCTCCACTTCACCTTGGTCGATTCCTCGTTTCATCTTAGATATTCGAACCCAATGTACATATCCAACTAATCTGTCAAGTTTCAATCTTCAATATTGAGATGTCCACTTGCAGTATTTGAAAACCAGTGTTCAATGAGTCAATCCGATTGAACCTGGAAAGTCACTATCAGCTTTTATTGTCCGCATCTAAACCAATACATTCGATTCCTAGGCTGGAGCTTGTCGAAAGAGGCAACTGTGCCAAGCTGAAAGTCGAGATTCGTCCGACACGAGACTGAAACCTTGGAAGCTAGGCTAACAGCATGCCACAGAGTACACCATGGAGTGGGAGGCCACGAAAAATGCAATTGGAGCTTAATATCTAACAAAGTTACGTATTTATACATGTACAGGAGACCAATCCTAGCCAGCCTCAAAAACAAAATTGCCAAATATAACGAAAGCCAAATCGATCACCCAATCTACCAGAGCCTGTTCTCGGGCAAGATCTTCTCCTTCTTAACACCGGCAGCAGACTTGCGCTCCTCAGAAGAACGGAAGAACAAACTGGGTCCCTCAGAGGGCTTAAGCAGATGAGCCAGGTATCCCCGGTGTGCAGGATCACGGTAGTATTCGATATCGCGACGCTTCGTAGGATCCGGCAGACGGAAAGCCTTGTGGTTGCGCTCAATCACAGAAGGCCAAACCTTCTTGTTCGGCCCGACCTGAGCCATGCGGTACAGTTCCTCGGAGCCGCTCTCTCGTGCCCATTGGCCAGAGAGGAAAGTGTGTGTTTTGCCGTCGAGGATGCGACGGATGGAAGAGGGGGTGTAGTAGCGGGTCGTGACGGAGCCACCGGCTGCTTCGATGGCGGCGATTGCGGAGGCGGAGGCGCGGGAAGCAACGACGTGGATGGGCTGCTTCAGGGCTGAGGCGCCATCGCCGAGGATCTTGACGCCGTCGATGGGTCGGCTGATGCATCCGCTGTTGTAGAGTTCTTTCATGGTGATCGGGGCTCTGGGGGAGAGGCGGCCTTGGTCGATCCAGTACTGGACGCGATCAAGGTTGACGGTGGCCATGTCGACGGAGAAGCTGGAAAGGTCAGATTTGGGTGTTGGTAAGAGGTGCAATTGGGAGCTTACATGTTCACGCCGCCACGCTCGCCGTGGACGATGATCTCGGGCGTCTGTCCACCATTGAAGCCGGCGGGGACCTTTCCGTGCTGACCTTGACCCTTGTGACCACGACCGGAGGTCTTACCCTTGCCGGAAGCGGGACCACGACCTCGACGGATACGCTTGTTGTAGGCGGAAGGGTTGTCGGAGAGGGAGGCTAGGATGTGAGAATTGCGGGTTTGCTGGAATTGCGGGAGCAGGAACGCGAGGGGAGATGCCTGCTGGAATGGCCGGGTAGCAATTTTTGTAAGCTGCGAAGGCAGCCCCATCAGCCTGGGAGACATGGTGTTGGATTTGTGATGTGCTGCGGCTGCTGTTTGGCTTGCGGGTTTGCGATGGTTTCGAGATCTTTCGGGGCGGATTAACCACATTCCGACTGCCCTAATTGTAGCCATTTCCCCAAGAACATTCGGAGCCATTCAGGTCTAAGATGTACTGTTATATCAGAATGATCGGCTCTTTTGCTCCCTTTACTAGTTGTCTATGGTCCTGTCTCGATAGTGAGATTGCCATCAAACCCCCATCACATATCGAGCACTTGTCATGGATGTGTCTACTGGTATATTACCTTGGGAGCCAAACAACCAACAACTCCCAGGCCTTGGAAATTCAAACCCAAAGCGAGGGAACAAGAAATTATTGCAGAAATTTTCATCCACTGAAGCTACGATTTAGAGTTGACCAAAAGAGTACCAAAAGTGAAAGTCTAAGTTCGTAATATGATGTAAAGCTAGCACTAAAGCTAGATGGAGGACGCCAAGGATATGCGAATGCAAAAGCAACAACAAATGCTTGGAAGCAATGGTGATAAAAAGTCAAACAACGATAACGCCTGATGTGCCGCCCCCAAGATTGGTTTCTCTGCCAAGGAGACCAATACCAATCCGTCTAATATGAAGCGCCAAAGGTATGCTAGACAAAACTCGTAAAAGTGGAAAAGTGTGTACAGAAGAAGAAAAGGGGGAGGAGAGAGTAGGAAACATAGGGTGTACAGCGAATGACATGTTTTTGTGTCTCGTATGTCGGGTCGTAGCGCGGTCAAGTCGTAATTTGGGATAGATCCAGCAGAGGAGAGTTCAACCAGCGTAGCTGGAGGGTGGGTAGATGGGTTGCAGATAGGGAGGGTTCCACGCATCGGGCTGAATGTAGGGTAGCAAGCCAGTCTTGCGAGAAGTGGTGCCCTTGCCCAGTGGTTGGTAGTGCATGTGGTCGAAGGGCACACTACGTTGCTGCTGCAAAGAGCTCGATGGCGGCGGGATGAGGAGGGTGTTCACCGAACGCACAGGCCGATATGGCGAGTTGCGGTTGGCGAGGAAGAAAGAAGGAGAGAGATGCGTCTGCGGGGTGTGAACCGAGTAGGCTGAGACTGCGGGAGAAACGGCGGCAGAAGATACACCAAAGGAGCCTTGAGGGTTGTGCCGTCCAAGCTCAGGCAAGGTGGGCGCACTGTATGTGCCAGACTGCATCGGAGGGACGGAGAGAGGAGGCATTTGCTGCCAGTTCTGAGAGCGGTGGTACATAGGAGGCATGATAGCTGGAAGGTGTGAAGGGGTGGAGTAGGAAGTTTGGATTGGAGGCGGTTGATGGGGAGGCGGGAGACGGGACATGTTGTTCATGGGTGCCACCGGGGCGGAGGTGGGCGTCAAGACAGGTGGCAGAGTGGGCATCGCAGTCATCGTAGTCGGCGGGGCCGTCATGGAAGGAGCAGAGGTGGCGGCGGACATTGCGACCCGCTTTGTTGGCTGCATGTCTTCATTCTCATCGCGGCTGCGCTTCCGAGGTCCTGGGAAAGTAGACTCCCCACTCTGTGGCTGTGGTGGCAGTGAGTATGGTGGCAGCCCATTCAATGGCATGTACCAGTTAGGCTGCGACTGTGGGCGGTATTCACCATTGGGCGACGGCAGCTTGGAAGGCGACTGTGATTGCAAACGAGGAGGCGAAACCTGGAGAGTGGCGGACTCGGCTGGTAGCATCGAAGCCCGGTTGAAGTAGTCGGCGAAGAGGCTGAGCTTGTCGTGCCACTTCTTCCATTCGGACTCCGAAGAGAAAAGATCATAGCGAATGTTGCTCAAGAACTCCACCTCCATGATGTGAATCTCGTGCACCGCAATGCCGGATACCTCAGCCCACGTCTTATTGGTGTAAGTGTTATCGTCAAGAACTGGGATTTAGTCAGCATCACCGTCCAATCAGGTGAACGGAGGCCCAGGGCGGCCAAACCGATAAGAAACACTCACATTTATTGCCGAGCATCAACGCAACCGTCATCAGCCGGAATTCACTCCCCTTCTTGCCCTTCACGCCGGAGTTGAACTTCTTCAATCGGTAGATAAACAGCAGGGCAAGCAGAATGACGTTCTGGCTGACCTGGGTCGTGGAGAGAATCGTAGAGACCCATTTCTGGAATCCAACGGTGGGGATTGCCTCCGGAACGAGAGAAGGAACGGGGTGCTGGTGATCTTCGATGGCTTGTAGTTTGGAAGTCTTCTCAAACCAGAAAAGACAGGTCATCTGTCAAATATCCTGTTAGTTCCCCGCATGGCAACTGTAGAGATCATAGATCATAAATCCATACCTGAGCCGCAAATTCCGCCAGATTTCCTTTGCTGTTATTGATAGACGAGGGAATCCGAAGCTGCGATCCTCTTGAGCTGGTCGATTTTTTCTGCGCCACCGGTTCCGATGCGGGGGCATCTTTGGCAGACGAAGTCTGAGTCTGTGTCTGGGGCTTCATAGCAGCCATCATCGAGGACGAAATGGAATCGAAAGGCCGGGAGTTGGTGTAGAGATGAGCCGGCATCCCATTCGGTTTCCCACCGTAGGCAACGGGTGGCATAGCATTGTAGGTCACTCCAGTCATGTCGCTAGGAGGGGTTGGCAGACCACTGCCAAAAGGGAGCGTCGACAAAGCCAGGTTTGATTTCAGGTTACTGTCGATTGGAGCCAGGGTCGGGAAGGAAGAGAGGTTCACAGTTGAAGACATAAGGAAAGAGTAAGTAAACCAATCGACACATTAATGTTTCAAGCAAATAGAGGCGTCGAAAGGGACCGAGTTTCATCCATGTTCTGACCAGCAAAGAAATGCAATTGGAATGCAATGGGAGAAGGTAAAGAAGAAGTGAATATAGGTCTTTCAGGGAGTGATGTATATAGAGTAGTCACGATAGGCCCATATAAGGAAGGCAGAGAGATATAGAAAGATCTCTTGTATCCACTTTGGAAAAAAAAAAAAAAAGAAAGAAAGAATATTATATCCCAAAAAAAAGGGTTGAATAAAATAAAATAATGAAAAATTCCCAGAAAATAAAAACGGTTCAAATAAAATAAGTCAAGGCATCATCTCCCAAGTCCCGGAGATGGGGAGAGAGAGTGAGAGACCACAGAGTTTGACCCGGACGCAGGTCCAGGTTGATCCTCCTTTCTGGGCTCGTTTGGATTCCGGTTTGGTTGGAAAATAATAATAATTTCCAAAGGAGCAATCCTAATACCGGTTGATGTCAGAGCCACGGGGATGTGGTCACAAGTGGGTGCAACTAGAAAGGGTAGGTCGCAGAATGTTTAGCTGGTCCCGGCCTTCACCATTAGCGCGGACTAGTGGAAGCAAAAATTGATTGGGAAAACAATAATACAAAGGGAAATGTTCTATAGGTACCCCACGTCCAGGCCTATATCAGATCCAATAATAAAGCCAATAAATTACTTGCAAGGAAAAAGGGCTAAAGGGGGAAGCGCGGAGGTTTGAGCACGGTGGCTGATCGCTAGGAGGAAGAGGGAAGAGGAATGGGCGAAAAAGGAAAAGCCAAAAGTCCAGAGTGAACAGGCCAATCACCGGAAGAGAAGCAGGAGATCAATTACCGGAACGAGGGTGAAAAAAAAAAGGGAGAAAAAAGACGGAAAAAAAGCGAGGCCAAAGGGAACCGGAAGGCTCGGTAACCTTGGAATGGTACATTCTTATGTAAGGCAGTGTACGGACATTACGGACATTACGGAGTGCCGAGCCCGTCAGGTCCAATCACAGGCTCAAAGGACAGAAACCACACTATCCTCTCCACTATACGGAGTAAAGTACCAGTCTCAGAGGCTGGGCAATGCTCGTATCTCTCTCTTCTTTGTTTTTCTGTTTATTATCCCGTGTACGACCGGTCCATGGTATACATACTCGACCTTTTGCCATGACACGGTTACGTGATCTAGTACTCCCCGAGCCCGTTTCGCTTTCGTTTATATGAACGCGTCTTTCGTGTTGGATCGGACCCCCGCCGACTATCCGGTTTATGAGTGACAAACCTCCTGTTACTGGGTGACTGGGTTGCTAGGCTGCGTTTTCAGGGGCTTAAAATCTCAACCTTGGAAAGTTTGATACCTCAGCGGGAGACTAGACTTCTCGTCGCTGATTCGTGCGGCATTCATGCACTGAACTTCCCCAAGGAATCCACGGGCTATTGGCTGCAGGTCGTATTGCCCGTATACTCCCGTATGCATACCTGGTAACTTAGGTGTCGGTATTTGTGTCCCGTCCAAGCGCCCCTGTGTTAAGCCGAGGAGTGGCATACCGTGCACACGCTGGGAAGGCCGTTTCACTCGCGCCGGCCAGGCAAGATGTAAGGTAGTGAGTTGCACCTGTGATCTCAGGGAGCCGAAAAGGTGAGATCGGCTAGAATGGGATTTACATCGGCTACTTCGTGGCGTACCATCCCTTTCACCAGATCGCAGCCATTCAGATTACGGACACCGTGGAAGTCTACGGAATTGTCCACTTTCCCGGCCGTCTCCTGTCCAATGTCCACGCTGTAAGCACGGAGGGCTACTGGTAGCTTGACCTAGACGCATGCAATGTAGACATTGGACTCTCCACCCAACTCGCCAAAACCTTCAAGGGATCATCGGGGACTGTGAGAGACAGTGTATCACGCCACCAGTTCACCTCTGAAACCAGTGGTCTACTAGTACCGTGACGTCCAGACTTTGACGATCGACTTTCACCTGGGTTGATGCTCCGGCGAGAGGGGATCGGGATGAGAAATTGGATATCGTAAAATCAATTTTAGCATCCCCTCCACTTTCCGGGCGTTCTGAGCCACCGCCACGGAAGTTGCTTCGTTTCCAGAACCCCAGACACAAATCAAGGTGGATCGCAAGGGCAAAAGGAGCCCACCCAGGCATCGGAGGTGGCAGTTTCATTGGTCATTCCGTTTTCCCTTTTGAAAGGTCATTGATCTTGGGACTGGAGACAGGTTTAAATTAGAGGTGCGCGGTGATTGGATGCCTGTACTCCCAGCGGTCCGTCTGCGGCTGCTTTGGGAAAAGGGCGTGTTCACTCGTCACAGTCATACAGAAGTCAGCTCGCTTCAATGGGATTCGACTGGGTCTTGTTTTTGTGCCCGGAGCTTTTCCTTTTTGTTTCCCATTCCCGCCCCTCGATCTGCAGTTGCTGACTTTGATATCTGCCATGGCGATTGGCCAGTCTGGCTCTTCCGCACGTCCTCGCTGGTGGGTCGAAAATAGAAAAGGAGTTTGCCATCCCGGTTGCGGTACATTTCGAGGCTCGCCCTGTGCCTCCATATTACCTACGAGCACACGGAGTACGGAGTACGGAGAGGTTTGCTCCACACAAAGTTTTACCTATCGCCTTTCACACTCGGGACAGTGCTACGGAGTCGTCGTCACACTCGCCTTGTTCCCCTCTGTTAAAATTTCCACTAAAAAAAAAAAAGAGGGAATCCTCGGCCCTTGGAAGGATCAGGTCTGGAATGAGGTATCCCTGCCAGAAACATTGTAGAATTCCCAGGTTCCCACCGATGATCCCCTCGTAGGCGGGTTGTACCCTCGACCATTGGCGCATGCAGACTGCGACCGCCATCGTGATACCCCCGTCATCGGCAAAGTCACGAAATTGAGGGTACGTCGTATACAACGTACATTGCACGGGGGATGCACACGGAATGCATTCCATGGAGGGAATCACCCGGGCCCTCGTATGAACGTTTACATGTCTCGATCCAAGCCTCAGGTCACCGGGTGTCAAAGGGCTTTTGCACTTTGCAGAACGGCCATGTTCTCCTGATTGGTGATGACTGGATACCCATAGAGTTTCTGGTATACTTTGTGGTGGGCAGACGATAAATCCCTGTTGAGGCCCTTAATAATGAGGGTTGGAGCGCTCCAAGCAAAGCTGAAGTCGATCGCTTACTTGCACCCACTCCGTATCTCTTCCGTACAGGTCCAAGGGATGTCATATTTCTGCAATGTGTGTAGCAGCTATAGTGGTACAACGAATAATGTATTCCGTACAAAACTCCCCAACCGGCTTACTCCGTCCCATCACAAGGATGGGCAGGTTTGGTTAATTACGCTGACACCCATTTCCCTCCATCATTATTACACAGCGGGGCTTGGATTCCGATACACGCTGCGGCATCTGCTACTTCAATATGAGCAACCGTACTCCGTAGTTTGTACTTTCTTTGCCCTCGGTAAGGTACGGAGCAAGTTCCAAAATCCATTTTTCTTTTTTTTAAAAAAATTTTTTAATAAAACTTTGGTCTTTCAACGTAACCTATCTCATGCGGCGACAAGAAAGAGTCTACATACGGCACACTGTACGGAGTACACCTTGTCCGAGGTGAAAACATCCCGCGGTTTTCAACGCGTTAAACCACCTTGCTGTCTCTTACCTAGCACGGCTCCTTGCATCTCTATCCATCCTTGCGACACGGTCCTCGCGACCGAGTGATTTAGTAGGATGCGAATACTGTAGTAAATTGAAGACTCGTTTATCATCCAATACACTTCCTGTCAAAGATTTCCCTCATTACAACGTGTGCAATGTCTCCGCTGTCCCGCCCAATTCCGCTGAATCCACCGGTAATACTCCGTACAAAATCACAATATTGTGCATATGTCATGGCGAAATTCCGTCTGCGCCGAGGCAGTTCTATGAAAGACATAGCCCAGTACGAGGACAAAGACCTCCGGACGGGTGAGGGCTGCAATTAATCTTCCTGGCGTCACTCGATCCACTCCCGGGGATGAAGGAGACGGCAAACAATTCCTAGGATCGCCACCTCAGCCAGTCGAAGATGGAAGGATCCTTTTAGTTTTTTGTTTCGGCGGTGTGGTTGTTAATTTCCATGTACGGAGTACACCATTACTACTAGTTAATTAGGCCCAACAACAGGGGGAACTAATTGGTCCGTGAAGCTGAACTGCAGATCTGGTCCTTGGGGGAGCCGAAGTTATAGATCACGGCAATAATACCAGTATCAAACATTCTGACGTAGCGGCGAAAGTACGTTCTCAGCCCAAGTAACTGTTCGTGCGAGACCGCTTGGCACTCAGATCCATGGATATCGCCCTGGTAGCGCTGGAGCCCTCGACCTTACGATCAGACGTATGCACGCCACGGGTTGCCTTCTACTAGTGTTGAGACCAGACTGCAGCGACCCAGCGCTTTGAGCAGTGTAACTGCAAATGAGCTCAGGCTTGTGATTCAATCGCGATCAGGTTGAATGCCCTTTGGAGGCTAATCCCCGATTCCAGACTCCGTGCTTCAGCCCCGCGCGCAGGGGCCAAAAGCCAGAGGGGCACACCCACAGCTGTCTGCGTGCTAGGTCGACTCATTCCCATTAATCATATGGGTTTTAGCCTTTTCTGATTTGCCTCATTTCGGTACTGGTCTGGATTCAACCAAGCGCCCCGAGCACCATCGCATATCTGGGTCAGCAAGACCGCTGACAAGGGCTTTGGATCCTGACTTTGAAATCACTCCTTTTCGTCGGTTTGGATGATTTGACTTTGGCGGATACATGAATCTACCGCTCCGTTACCTGAATGGGGGCTGCTCGGGGTAATCAGCGATGATTCTTGCCCCTTGGACGCAGTGCAGACGGTGTGGAATCTTGTCGCTGTACGGAGCCCTTCGTATCTGAGTCAAGAGGAGTTCCCGTTCTCCGTATTGTCCTATTGTTGAGCGCATGCAAATATAGTAGATGGTGTGGGGAGTCCCAGGCCAATACCCGGCGTTGTACGTAGACCTGTCTCAGTTATCTTCAACGTCTGAGAGTTGTCCTCGAGTCTCATCCCCAAACGGGACATCGGTCTTGGAGGTTCTAGAGCAAGCATTGCACGTAGCGGTCACAACTTGACGATCCCGGGACACTCTGCTCTCCCGGCAACCGATACTGAAATAAATAAATAATATTAATATTAATAAATCAAATGAAACCCGAAATTATTCTGCCTACCAATCTACTTGTACTCCGGACATTTGTGTGAACGGTGGAGCAGCCAACGCGTACTATCCTCGAATATGCCGGAGAGAGCGCACTGGAGCGCAAGGATCACACTGCCGTCAGCACCCGGGCATCTTCCAAGGTTGTTTTCAGTTGGGTTTCGACTTCGGTCTCGAAAGGTTGCCAAAATCATGTTTCAGTTCCAACGCCATTCGTCCTATGGGAAATTGGGCGATTTTCCGCCGACCCAAAATAGGTGTCGCAATGCCAGGTACAGACCCGAGGCAAGTTGGCCTCGTTTCCAACCTCGATCGAGACTCGTGCTGGATACCATACCAGACCACTAGTGCCAATACACTTGCGGAGATATGAGAAAACCCTGGGAAAACCTTGGTTGACGCGGATCGACGGAGGGTTGCCTGCACAGCGTCATGGAATGGCGGAGTACCCCCGACCTCAGACCACATGTCACAGTCATCGCATCACCGCCACTCTTTCTCTCGGGAACAGCATCTGTGTTTCCAGTCAAGAAACTCCGATCGACGATTCATAGAACTGACCCCATGATCCAATCATGGGGCCTTTCATCCTTGACTAACAAAGCCCCCCATACATTGGTGTCGACCTTGAACCTAGATCACTGACCCCCCCGGTGGCTGACGACGCCTCGGTCCTTTGGATCCCAGGGCGCTATCGAGGTGTATCTTTGAACTTGACCAGGGAGCACAGATCAGTGGCGGATTCGTGCCTGTTGCCGCTTTCTCGTCCGTCGTGTTCCGTGCAACTTCTTTCGGCAATCGCGGGTTGAGCTCAATAGATCAGATTTCCAAGGCTGCTTTGTTGGCCGGAAGCAGAGGATGACTCGTTCATCTCACCTTGTCCTCTTTGAAATGGACCGGGGTCCTCAAGTCTGTGCTAGTTGATCGGCTAGATGAACCCTGACGTGGTCGCTGGCGAGCACGTTGTGCTTTGTTCCTTTTTCTCGCTGCCCACGGGTTAGGTCCCGTTGAAAAGCAAAATCTATCCTGGGTGACCTGGGTGAATTCGGGCTCAAAGAGCTTTTGGCTTGGGGTGTGGGGTCACTGTCCGACGCAGATTGCACTTACACCCATGAAAAGCCTCTTGGGCGTTATCTTTGCTCCAGGCCCTTGTTCGCAACCGAAGCGACGCAGAGGGCTTACCCCGAGTGAGAGTTCAGGATTCCTCGCAAGAATTGCTCTCGTTACCTTGACATTTTCCCAGGACGGCTTACCCGGGCACGCATCTCTCCCTGTTGACATGAAACGCGACCCATCTATCTCGTTACAGTGTTCTCGACTTCGTAGGTTGACTTATCGATCTCAGTTGGGTCGCAAATACCTACTGCAGAACCTCTGGGGCGACTCGACAGGGATTCATCTTCCGGATCAAGTCTTCACGGGTACTTACATCAAGACGCAGCTTTACAACTTTTGCCAGCCTTGCCTTTCAAAGGTGGCAGCATCCCGATCATGATCTTCTCGCCAGCGATTTTTAACGTGATATCCTTGGGCCTTCTACGCCCGATTTCCCCTCCCACCGCCGATAAAGCATAGACTTACCGGCGACGTTGGGATCATTTTGAGTCCAGATCGCTAACTAGGAATTCCCTTGCCATGGCACTCTGAAATAATTTATCCAACAACACATTCATACTTCGGACTCGGAATCTAGTTGATTTTAAGCACGTATGAACAACACAACAGACCAGTCGAAAACGCAATGGCTGGCACGCGGGGTTCAAAGATAGGGCTTGCTTGAGAAAAACTTGGAAACCCCCTGCAGGCTCGGGACACAAATACGAACGCATGGCTTTCATGGCCGCTATCCAGACATGACAATGGCCAAGTGTCTCGTGGAGAGACTGATCCAATTTACTAGTCACATTTCCATCTCTTGCAGGTTTGTGTATTTTGTCGCACAAACAAACGCATCCCCTTGCCTCAAGCTCAAGCATAAGCCGTGGTAAATCTGACTAGAGGACAAGGGAAAATCAAATTCTGAACCCCAACCTTGGAATCCCACTCATGGGTCAATGCATGCCCTAATCGTCTACATTTCGATGCGAATTTCAACGCACAGCCTCAAAAGCACTATATCTGTTCCAAAACTTTAGAAACTTGGAAGAACATCATGGATATGTACATTTATCTTGAAGCTACGTATCTTGCTGCTACTAGGTATAACCTTGAAATGCTACAACCCTTCAATGTTCAACTTATCCGTTTGAGCCCCTGAGCAAGTGCCATACAGTTTCCAGCATAGAAGTAACCCTGGAAGCTCCTTCAAACCTTCCAGGATTGGAAGTTTGGATGCAAATAGCACCAAGCACTAGGTATGATGTTCCACACGGAGACCCCGATATGTACAAGACATATAAAGATCCCACCTGGGCGAGTCACACAAGTATGGAGCGGGAGGAATGTGATTAAGCATCAGATGTGGCATCATATGCGTATATCCGCATGAAAGCACATTTGTACACGCCAGGCAGGGTATATCAGTCTGAGTATATACTTCATCTGCTTATCTGCATGTGGTACGGGCGAGCATTCAAATCCCTGTTTGAAATTGTCATATAGGGGCTGTTATTGCCTAGGTATTGCATTTGAAGTTACATTGCTTCGAGGTTTCTGGGCAATTTTGGTGTTGGGAGCGCCGAGTGCATAAGATCGTGACATATAAATGCACCTGGGGTTCCTTCTAGATTATATTGTGCTACAAATATGTCAGCTTTCTTACCCGTTTGCCTGACAATGTGAGGGTTTGCTTCGTTGATATTAATCTGTCCTCTTGTGAGCCTGAATACCAGGTGATTGCTTCAAACACAGTCAGCTTGTTGAGCAGTTTGTGTGTTGTTTGAATCAAGCGTGCTTGTTTGGTGGTCTCTTTCACCACGACTTGTCCTTCCCCTTCCTCGGACGACGGGGTCAGACAAGCCCCGGAATATAATTCGGGTTCGTAGAGTCTGGTCTGTTCCCTCTATACCCAGCACTTTAGTCTCACGAGGTAGCCGGCCGTTGCACTGATCGGTCAGTCTGTCCTCTGGCATCCAATGTCGAAATTGTATCCAAACGCCCCGGCCTCGCTCAGACTTGGCTTCGATACGTAAGACATGGTGATACTTCCCCGCAGCAAGGAGGCATGATCAAAGAATATCTAGATATGACGCTCCAAAAGGGCTGGAGAAAGGCTGAGTACTGCGCAAGATGTGTCCCGACAATTCTCGTAGACGGCGATAGAACGGCGAGTAAAACGGCGAAAATGTTCGATCTTCCTTCACTTCAAGGAAGTGACCGGAAGCACAGTGACTGGACGCATCACAAGCCCGGGCATGATTCGAAGAGGCCGGTTTTGGCCGACTGCTCGTGTGTACATACCACGCGCAGGTGTATATTGTAGACCATTATAGATGGAAACCCGGGACTTTCAGTGAGGAAAGTGGAGCATAAGATTTCCCCAGATCTTGCGACCAAAACAGAGCTCGAATGCGAGGTGTAAGCCTGTCTAGATCGTGGAAGTAGGGACGAAAGAGTTGCGGAATGGATTTGCGGGTAATTCCGGGAGTCGTAGGGCTGGGAACTAACCAATTCCTTTTAGTGATGAGGAGAAAGGGATTGAGTCATATCAGATTGCACACATTCCTTTTTTACCCCAAAACACTGACCGATGAGCCGATGTACGCGCTTGAGTTGCCCTCGATCTCCTCAGCGGTTAATTTCTCCTCACCGGGAGATTGATGTCCCCTCAGTTCTCCAATTATTAATGATTTTTTTGGGGAATTTTATTTTTGCATTTGAATATTCTCTTAGTAGCTTCGCCCGGGAAATTCCCGAACTGCTTGAGCTTCAATCCGAGTAGATTCCGTACTCCGCATACCTCGTTTGAAAGGAGAAAATGATATAATTTGGCAGAATAATAGGAGATGTACAGTGTACAAGGCTTTGCTACATAAACTCCGTAATCAACAATGTATTGGCTACCCCTTTAGCCCGGCCACACCGATTCGCCCAAAACAGCAAATCGAGCTTATCAAAGATTTTTTTTTTTTCCCATTGATTTATTATACCGTGGACCTTGAGGCTTCTACAATCCATCTCACTTTTGGTGTGTCCATTCCACAATGGCTGGCAGTACGCTAGCAATGCGCTCCATGGCTTTCAAACAGCTGTCGGCGATGTCCCGTCGCTCGATGTCGACATCGCAGCTGGCCCTTCGTGCTCAATCACTTCGTCCCGTCTCCCAGTCCGTGTCGCGCGTCTGTCGTCGCAGCTACGCCGATGCCGCTCCCACTCCCTCGCCTGCTCCCCAACCCAAGAAGCGCTTCCGGTTCCTCCGCTGGGCCTGGCGATTGACTTGGCTCTCCGCTATTGGTCTCACTGGTACCGTCGCATACAGCATCTTCGAACTCCGCTCTCCTCCGGATCAGTCTCCGCCTGACCCAACCAAGAAGACCCTGGTCATCCTCGGTAGGTTTCAATTGCAATTGTCCCAAGCTTCAATGACAGCGCTAACCCGAGGACGTCACAGGAACTGGCTGGGGCTCCGTCTCTCTGCTGAAGAAGCTGGACACTGAAAACTACAATGTCATCGTCGTCTCTCCCCGTAACTACTTCCTGTTCACTCCCCTGCTGCCCTCATGTACCACCGGTTTGATCGAGCACCGCTCGATCATGGAGCCCATCCGCAACATTCTGCGCCACAAGAAGGCCGGCGTGACTTTCTACGAAGCCGAAGCTACCAAGATCGACTACGAGAAGCGCGTTGTCTACATCAGTGACGATTCCGAAATCAAGGGTGATATCTCGCACACCGAGGTTCCCTTCGACATGCTTGTGATCGGTGTTGGTGCCGAGAACGCGACCTTTGGTGAGTCTTTGCTTTTCTTCCCGTCGCATTCCGGCCGAATCTTATGCTAATTGATGATTCACAGGTATTCCCGGTGTTCGCGAGAACTCTTGCTTCCTGAAGGAGGTTGGTGACGCTCAGAACATTCGTAAGCGCATTATGGACTGTATCGAGACTGCTTGTTTCAAGGACCAGACCGAGGAGGAGGTCAAGCGTCTGCTGCACATGGTTGTGGTTGGCGGTGGCCCCACTGGTGTCGAGTTTGCCGGTGAATTGCAAGATTTCTTCAACGATGACCTGAAGAAGTGGATCCCCGAGATCAAGGACAACTTCCAGATCACTCTCGTGGAAGCTCTCCCCAACGTTCTGCCCATGTTCTCCAAGCAACTGATTGACTACACCGAATCCACCTTCAAGGAGGAGGCTATCACTATTCGCGCCAAGACCATGGTGAAGGAGGTCACTGATAAGCACATCAGAGCCGAGGTCACCAAGCCCGACGGATCCAAGGAAATCGAAACTATCCCCTACGGTCTTCTCGTCTGGGCTACCGGTAACGCTGTTCGCAGCGTCGTCCGCGATCTCATGAACCAGCTCCCTGCCCAAGCCGAGTCCCGCCGTGGTCTCCTCGTCAACGAATACCTCGTTGTGAACGGTACCGAAAACGTCTGGGCCGTCGGTGACTGCGCTATTGCAAACTACGCCCCCACTGCCCAGGTCGCCGGCCAGGAAGGTGCCTTCCTCGGCCGTCTCTTCAACACCATGGCCAAGAGCGAGGCTCTCGAGAAGGAGCTCGAGAACCTCTCCGACGCCCAGTCCGCCGCCAAGGGCGACGAGGCCCGCAACCAGATCCTCGACGAGATCCGTGAGCGCCAGAAGCAGCTCCGCCGCAACAAGCAGATCGGTCCCTTCCAGTACTCCCACCAGGGTTCCTTGGCCTACATCGGCAAGGAGCGTGCTGTGGCCGATATCAGCTGGCTGAGCGGCAACATTGCCAGCGGTGGTACCATGACCTACCTGTTCTGGCGCAGCGCCTACCTGAGCATGTGTTTCAGCAGTAAGTTTTCTATTCCACCCATTCCCCCAATGACCATACTAACATCTCACAGCCCGCAACCGCGTTCTCGTCTGTGTTGACTGGGTCAAGGCCCGTCTCTTCGGCCGTGACGTCTCCCGCGAGTAAATCCGCGCTCGTCCTGTAATATTGCCATCCATCTTTTCTCTTTAAGGCCAAATGCCTTCCAACACATCGACACAAATGTGTTCTGCCACGCCCCCCCTTATGCCACCCACCATCGTTGTCTCCATATCTCTTTGCACCTGTAACTGTGATAGACATTTCCATTTTTTTTCCTTCTTGTTATGATGACATTCTACCGGTGGTCAGATTGGCTCCTCGATGTAGATTCGAAAAGCATTAATCCGCCCGTGGGCCTGTCTTTTGTCAAACTTTGGGTTTCTCTCTTGTTTCTATCCCTTCTCGGAAACTGTTATAGAGTTAGATAGAATAGGATATTGTTCTCTTCGGTCTTTCTGTCACTGCAGTATTTTCCAGTCTCTTGTCGTAGGCCGCCCAGGAACATGCATAATCTGCCTTGAAATCTACACCTGGGCACATTGAGATTCTGTTATGATTTGTTATTGCGTCATATATGAAGTTCAGACTAAACCTCTCGGTCAAAAGCCAAGGTCAAGAGTGGATGGATGTGTTAAGTGAAGTCTGTAGCAAGAGCTTCACCCACAGGTATCAAAGTGCGCCATGAAAACAAACCAGATCAGCTGGAATATAACGCCGAGTGCAAGAACAAACTCAAGAAGACAGGGATAAGAAGCATGAATATCAAGCGAAAAAACAAAATGAGATGAAACGCCACGCCTGCTGGAATAAATCGTAATCGTCCACCTCGTAAAACCGGTACCTATACCAAAACCGAAACCGAAAAACGCGCTGCGAATGGGGAATATTCAAAAAGAAAATCACGGGGAAAAATCACAAGAAGCAGGTGTTCACAATCTTGCACACTGCTAGAGGGGTATTATAGTGGATCACCACGAGAGAAAGATCCAAGGTCGAAGTGTATAGAACTCTCAGCTCGCCGAGCTATTCAGCGAAAGCGGAACATGGGATGAAAGAGATCGGGGGAACCAGCCCAGGGCTCATAATTTCCAGACAGTATCGGGAGAAACCTCAGCAGTCTCGGCGATTTCTCGCAACCAAGAGCATTTGAGGACCTCGCCGATAGTCAAGCGTTTGACAGGGTCCATTTCAAGGCAACCGCGGATCAAGTCAAGGGCTTCCTCGCGATGTTGACGGAGGTGGCTGTCGACAGTGTCTCCAAAGACGGCGTTCTGATCCCAGGTGCCGCTGAGGATGTTGGCCTGAATGCGAGGCGCGAACGGGTCCTGGAATGGTCGCGAGCCGACGACGATGGTGTAGACGATCACACCGAATGCCCAGACGTCAACTGATGGATGGATAAGACCGTCCACAGACTGTAGTAGCTCCGGGGAGGCATACTCCAAGCTACCTGCCACACTGGTACTGGAGCCTGCTGGGCCCATTTGCTGGGGTGGCGGACGGTCAGCTGCATCCTCGTAAGGGTCGGGAGAATCGCCGCCATTGTCGATGGACATCCATTCCGCCATTCCGAAGTCGCAGAGTACCAGCGTTGAAGAGATTGTGCCATCGGGGCCAGCGACAGGGTCAAGGAGACAATTCTCCAGCTTGAGATCTCGATGAACAACCCGAGCGTCTTCGTGTAGGTAGCGAATTGCGCAGGCCAGCTGGTATGCATATTTCTTTGCTAAGGTGGGCTCAAGACCAGAGCGATTTTGACGAACCAAGTCGAAAAGGGTGCCGCCAATAGCAAGTTTGGTGAAGCAGAACGTGGCATAGTCTGTTTCGTACACGGCATCCAGCGTCAATACATGCGGGTGGCTGAGGTACCGCCAAACTCGCACTTCGTGGTCGAATTCGGCTTGCACTTCATCATTTTCTTGTTCGCTTCGCCCTGAGATGTGTTTCTTGACGATCTTGACAGCCAGTGTTTTAGTCTCGCCATGCTTTTCAGCCTTGTAGGCCTCCTTTACGGTACTGAATCCCCCAAAGCCGATTTGCTTTCCGAGAACATAGTCGTCCCCAACCATTTGGCCTTCATCGTCAGGCTGTGAGACAGGCTCTTCACGGCTGCCCCACATAGAGAGGAACATGCTGGCTGGTGATTTGCCGCTTGACATGGTTGATCGTCGAGAGCTGTGACGAGTGGAGTTCCGGAGACTGCTGCTGCGATCGAGAGCCGAACTGCGCTTGCTTCCAAACGGAGTGGCAATGGCTCCAGACCAAGAGCTGCTGCGATCTTCAGGCGATGCGAAAGACTGCGTTGGCGACGGCACGCAAAACGGCGACAGCATCGTGTGGTTGGATTCATCGGGAGGGGTTCGTGCTTCGTCCGTGAGCGGAGATACAGTCGACTGCGACGTGAGGGATGTCGGACAGCCGATCTCAGAGTTCATCGTATTTCCGTCCTCGGGCCTCACAAAGGGCTGAGCGCGGGTCGACCCGGTCGGGAAACCCCGATCTTGAAATCGCTTGGGACTCCAGTTCGGAGAGTCGTCCATCTGATGCTCATGGTCGTCATCTTGCGAGAGGGCATTTCGGAGCCCTGAGCTGCGAGATTCGAATCTTTGTGGAGGGCGGTTTTTCACATCTCCCGTCGAGAGGGGCTCCTCCAGTGGGACTTGTTTCCCAGACTCCACAGAGACGTTCGGGTTAAATGAGATCGATGGTCGACGAGACTGCAAATAGCTATCGAGTGGCGACCCCTGGACTTCTTCGGGTTTATGCGAATAGCTGCAGGCATCGTCTGTGGCGAAATGCTCGTCGGGGCGAGGGACGGCAATGGGAGGGGTCGCCGAGTGTAGATCACTTAACAAACTGTGGTCTTCATCAGCATCGCGGCGACGCGCATGATCATGAGATTGATTGATGTGTTCGCTCTCGATACCGTCGCCTGCTGGTGTCGCTCTTCCACCTTCATTCGCCCATCGCTGATGCGGTTGAAACGAAGTTTCAATCCTCAAGCCTGCCAATCCACTTGCCAATCCGGCCCTCTCGCTATGTGCCATGTCCTATGGAGGACCACGAAGCAGGCTACGGTCGTAGGATGTGAGCCTGCCACAGGCTTGCAGTAGGGTCATGTAACCCTCTGCCGTCCTTAAATTTTTTTGTCGTGCTTTGCGGCGTGGTGAGTTGAAGAGAATTGTGGGGTAATAACGTATAAAGTGGGGACTGCAAGACTGGTAAATTGATGTCAAGGGAGCCTTGATTGAAAAGTATTGTAAAGTTTTGTATATGGGAGAGAAAAAAAAATAGGTCGAGTCGAAACACGGTGGGTACAAGCAAAGATAGGTCGAAAGGAATCAAACGTGATGTATTCGTAAAGTAGAGCCCCAGAAAAGGTGACGGACACCCCGGGAAGATTCGGGGGATGACGGTGCCAAGACGAGAACCAACCGGACAACCTGACTGCGGTGAGCTGATGCGTGTTGCCCTAATGGCCAGGTCACGTTACCAAACTAGTGATGGGAGCGCTGGAGTATATAGCAATGTCCCCACAGTGATGTAGATAGACCGTTTTTCTCAGCCTCGTGCGATGGATACATTTGAAAAATAATATGGGGCAGTTCGTGCAATTAGCCCATGCAGTTCCTTCATAATTGACCAATATGCATACACACGTTCGTAGACCGGACAATAGAAGCATGGGCCAAGCTACCCGTCCACGAGTTCAGGGGTTACACCAATTAGCCGCGCGCAAGGGGCGCTTGTTTGGAGGAAACACCTCCTTTTGATTCTATCCCAAAGGACATTCCTCAGACTCGACGTCGCGCTTTTGGTAGACGCACCTACCCTTCTTTATCTTTCCCATTCTCCTTTTGCCTTATTGCTCTGGCAGTTATTTCTTTATTATTTTTTTCCGTGCGTTGGCTTGCCAGGACGAGGTGCAGACCAGCCCCCACTATTAGCAAGGGCACTGTCTCTCTTTAAGGTCAACCACCCTAGTCTTTGGCCCCGGTCAATTATCATAACATATTGGGCTTCGGACTGTATGAGTCTTGGACATTAGCAAATTCGCGACTCGCGCATTGCTTAGATCTGGCGCGTGCTCTTGAGTCCAGATTCTCGGATCGCTACTCCTTGCACCCACAACGGATTTCCCTTCGCTCACTCCTACTACATTCATTCAACCGTCATGACGAGGCCTCAAATAATCCGGGCAGGTAAGTTTAACTGCCTTTGAATTGCGACGCCAATTGGAACCAGAAAGCTGACCGCCATGTCCCATCTCATAGATACCTTGGATCTCCAAGACCACGATGAGCCCTCCGCGAAAGACCACACCAGACAACCAGTACACCCACAACCACTTGGGAGCGGCCGGCCTGCTCCCCATCAAGAGCTCTCTATTCGCCACGCCGAAGAAGATCTGCAGTCGGAGATCAGGGGCGGGCGCGACAAAAATGAACATCGCGACGGCAAGGACGCGGATGGAGACCGAGATGATGAGGATGACGACGACGACGATGACACTCGGTACGAGCATGAGGATGAGGACCTGGCAGACGGTGAAAACGACGACATGATGGACGACGACATGATGGACAAAATCTCCAGCTCGCCCTCCATCGACGATGGTAAGATTACTGGACTCCAAATGCGCATGAGGTACATGAGCTAATTACAGCAGAGGACATTGATTTCGAGTTCGTCTACGCGCTTCACAACTTCGTCGCTACCGTTGATGGTCAGGCAAACGCTGCAAAGGGCGACACCATGGTTCTCCTCGATGACAGTAACAGCTACTGGTGGCTTGTTCGTGTCGTGAAAGATGGAAGTATTGGATATCTTCCTGCAGAGCACATCGAAACGCCCACGGAAAGGCTGGCCAGATTGAACAAGCACAGAAATGTGGACCTCTCTGCGACTATGCTGGGCGACAACAACGAAAAGTCTAAGAATCCGCTCAAAAAGGCTATGCGTCGCCGTAACGCAAAGACCGTCAACTTCGGGGCCCCAATGTACATCGACGCCTCTGATGTCGACTACTCGTCGGACGAGGATTCCGAACATGGCGACTTCTTCAACGATGACGAGACCTTGGACGGTGAAGAAGAAGACGTCCAGGACCAAGCTGAGGATATTGTTGTGGAACCGCTCAGGCCAAAGGGCCAGAAAGACAAATCCGCGGAGTCCTCAGACAACCATGGCTCTCATGAAAGACAAGATTCACAATTGTCAGGTTCCGAAAAACGCCCGTCAAGCGAAGAATTCTTTGAAGCCGAAGGTAAATTGAACCATGTGCGAGCTACACCCGTGCCAGGGACTGACTCTTCCCAAACAGAACCCACTGTCAGTAGATCCAGAAATGGCACTGTACGAAACACCGATTCTTTCTTCAAAGATGATACTGCCGAGCCAAAGAAGATATCTCTTACGCCAAATCTGCTGCGTGACGCACGCGATGAAAATGGCCTAAGTACATTGGCAGAGTGGAAAGAGGTAGGTTCATTCGCCCTTTTCATGACGGACAATAAGCTAATCAGATTCCAAAGCCCCGTGGAAGCCTTGACTCTCTTGAAAAAGGAACCAATCCACAGGACAAAGCGAAAGAAAAGGAGGAGAAGAAACGAAAGGAGAAGAAGTCCGGAATGCTCAGCGGATTGTTCAAGCGCAAGAAGAACAAAGACGATGTCGATGAACCGGATAGGTCGCCTGTGGACTCGGCATCCCGGACATCGCCGCAACCAAAGACCTCTATGGAGTCCATTTCCTCAAAGTCAATGTCACCCGATCAGCAGCGATCCTCCAAAGAGCAACAACGGTCTTCCAAGGAATCCCAGCGACCCTCGAAGCCGCAGAAGCACACAGTCAATAAGCTGCACAAGCAGCCCCCTGGTATCATGAAGGTTGATACAGATCTCGATCCAGACATGACTGCGTACCACAGCAGCGAGGCTATTCAGCGTAGCTCGGGCGACCAGAGCATTCGGCAAGTCCCGCAACACGAACAAGAAGAAAGTGGCTATGAGGATTGCGACATCGTTTTACAATCACCCATTAGTCCGGCTAGTGTCTCCAAGGATCCTTTCTCGACCCCACTTGAATCCATGGACCCCTTGGCGTCGCCGGTTGACCGTCCGTCCAGCGAAACGCAGTGGCGAGGACCCCAAAATTATGGCCGCACATCTGCTGCCTCCAATTCTGTAACATCACCACCCCAGAGGTTTGCACCGGACGTGAGTGAGGCAGTGTCCGCGTCTCCTGTTAACCACTCGCCGGTGGAGGCCTACGTACCCGTAGGGGTCGAGGGCATCACAGACGCATCACAAAGCACGCGATCTCTGTCGCCGCCCTCGCCGCCCTCATCGGCAGGAAACGACACTCAATATCAAAAGAGCATCGCCACGACCCCTGCCTCGGTTGATGCACTCTCTGTGGATACCCCGACTTGGAGCGACTCCAGTCTGCGATCGTACATGGACGAAGAAAATGACATTCGCGACTTGTTCATCATTGTCCATGACAAATCAAACGTCCCTCCGGCTGGTCCTGATCACCCGATCACTGGTCGTCTGTTCAAGGAAGAAAGCAAGAGACTCAAGGAAATGAACAATCAGCTTGACGAGATGCTCGTGAGCTGGATGTCTCAACGGTCTCGGACCTCTTCCTCGATGCGCAGCATGCAAAGCGCAGTATGATACCGAGTGTACATCTTCTGAATGCTTCATGATGAACATTGAGACTCCCTTGTATTCCAGAACAGGGCGAGAAGCTCTTGATTGTGCTGGGCACGTCACTATCTACCAGCCCTGAGTCATTCTTTTACTCTTTCTCTCCATATTCCCCTATTCATTTTGCGGTCACTTGCATTTTGGGGCAAGTTTTCCACCTCTTCCCATCGCACCGGCGATGGGAATTTGAACGTCTTAACGGCCATCTCTGCTTCCATTCGTCCATCTTTCTGTTTTTCACCGGAATACCCCGACTCACCTTTTTTTGTTTGAATCCCATAGGACTATGACGTATTTCAATGCACTAGAATATCATTCACCAGCATGACTTTTCACTCATTTTCCAGTTTGGAGTACCAAGTATGCGCGATGCAGGTGATTCCCATCTGATTGGAGGGAAACTGCGTTCAAGAGTCCCTGCCGAAGATCGAGGGTCGTGCGCGCAGGTCAGCCGCACCATGATGTATAGATCCGCATGTCAGACGATTTCACTTATAACCCTTTCCACTGCCCTGCAAAGCGCGACAAACTTGCAAAATGGCAGATCCGTACAACCCTTACAGCTCATACCCCACGCCCACACCGGGCGGGGTCAGCTACTACCCCCCGGACAATCAGTCTCAGAACCCTGCATATGGTTACCAACAACAACCATACGGAAACCAAGACCCATCTCAGCCCATTCAAGATCCGTACCAGCCTGTTCAAAGCCCGTACCAGGCCTACCCCTCACAGCATAGTCAATATAATCTTGCGCCGGAGCCGTATGGAGCCCCGCTGGAAAGAAGCTACACCCCTGCCGGGCAGCCTGATTACCAGGGCCCGATGACTCAAGTTGGATATCAGCATGCGCAGACCAAAACCCCGGAAAATGCAGACTACTAGTAAGTCCTGAACCCCGTAAGTAAATTTCGACCAGTCATCGCTCACAGTTCCAGCAACAACCACCCAGATCACCCAGACCAGCCTCGATACGCGGCTCAACCCCCCACCCTTCACGTATCAGAGCCTGAGGATGAGCAGCATGCCGAGCAGCGCGGAATAGATGATGGCACGGACCGAGGTCTGGCGGGGTCACTTGCCGGCAGCGTGGCGGGTTACTATCTTGGGCACAAGAAAGAGCACGGTTTGCTGGGCGCAATCGGAGGTGCACTTCTCGGAAACTTCTTGGAGGATAAGGTGAAGGATTATCAGAAGAGTGATGATGGCGAGGATAAACATGAGCATGACCACGATGATCATCATCATCACCATCGCCATCGCCATCACCGTCATCGAAGTCACTCAAGGCACAGTGGTCATTCTCATGGTCATTCCCATTCCCACAGTTCACGACATACCAGCCACTCGAGATATCGCGATGAAGATGAGTACAGAGAGTGAGAGTTTGTGCTTTGGTGGTATTGGTTTTGATGCTGCATTTTCAGCCTTATGATGGTATTTATGGGTCAAGCGGGACTCGGGCGATGGGTATTATTAGCATGCTGGAGTCTCAGTCATCCAATTTTCTTAATATGCGTGAAGTTGTAATCTCTACCCGTGACGAAGTCCAAGACCACCTAGTATGGATGAAGTAGGGCTGGATGCCGGGACCGGGAGGGCTCAGGGATCGGCTAGTAGTCACCTAGACTTCCACAACCCGGAATGGGCTGGCTTGGGCTATGGGTACTACTGTTCTTCTAAATAATAATCAGCCAGAACATAGAAATATACCTTCCAGGGTTTAAATCATCAATTGATGTAGATAGTGAACAACCTTGGAAGTCATGTTTTATTACTGGATGCATACTTGAATTTAGCACATGAATGAATAGATTCGAGAACTTGGAATATTTTTTGAATTTTTGAAATACCTAGTAACAGGTTACGTGTGTATAAGATGTAATATGCAAACATCTAGGTATTAATTTCAGACGGAAGTTCAGAATCCTTGACATGCTTGTAATGTTTAGGGCCACCTGGAGCCGTTTACCCCAAGGCTTCATGGGCTTACCCCGAGCCCATAGCCCACCTGGGCGCCGATGAGCCCGGCCCTTGGGCCTAAAGCCCTACCCATTAGTGGGCTGGGTCAGGTCGGGGTGTAGGCGGAAGCCAGGGTATCGGATAAGCCTCGGGGCGGTCTGTGCTCATGATTTCTTTCTCCGTCCGCATCCTCATCTCTCCCATCACTTACATTACTCCAATACTCCTACACCTCTCCATTTCATCAATTCATCTACACAATGTTCGCCCCAGGTATGATTGCGATCTCACATCACGCTCTATGCGCTCTCCCAGTGACCGACTAACCATCAATCCAGGCCAAGAACAGATCTCGAAGGAAGACATGAAGGTGAGCTCATCTTGAAGCTCCAATTCCACGACATTCCATTCTAACCTGATCCACAGGCTGCCGAAGTCGAGGCATGCCAGACCACCAAGATGGCCATCGCCGGTGGTTTCCTCCTTTACCTCTGTAAGTTGAGCGCTCGACCTTGGGTTTTTGGAGCTTCCACGGAAGCTCGCAGGCAATAATGAAGTGAGGCGTGGAAGGCTAATCGCGTTTTGGAATCATAGCTCCCTTCGCCGTCGACTTCATCCGCAAGCTCATCTAAACGGATGACTTGCTTCCTTCCTGCCCCCCGAAGTCCCGCTCGATGAATCGTTAATGAATTCGCGATGCCACGCCGGGTGATTTGTTGTCTCGCCGGTTTTTGCGTGTCTTGTTTCTACCATCTTGATACCATGGGGAATGTCTGATGGAAATATCTCGAGGCCCCCTTGAATCTAAATTATGTGGGTGTTCGAGATTTGTATTACTACTGTAGATGTTCTGTTTTTTTATTTTTAATGCTTTGCACAAAAGCAAACCAATGAATCGTCATATGTTGGACAAGGGTAAAGTCGGAATGCAGAGCCGCATGTTCGTGAAATTGGTAGTATTCAAATATGCATTACATTGACCTGGCCCCCAAGAACGCCGGTACCCCGATGACCGTGGACGTCAAGTCCAGAAATGGAAAATAAAGGAAAATTTGGGAAGTAAATAGCACAGAAAAAGCCGTGGAGATCCATGGTGCTTACTGTCCGAGAGCCTTCGCTGTCTCCTCGAAGTCGGATTTGATGGATTCCATCTCTTTCTGCAGATGCTGGATCTGAGAGTGATAGTCATCAAGAATCTGTAGTATAATGTTAGCGTTCTGATGGCTCGAAGTCCCAGACCAGAATGAACTTACCTTCTTCGCCGTCTTCAATGTCTGCTCGTCAATATCGTCTTCTGGTTGCGCCACGTTCACACCAGCGCGATCCAACTCGACCTGCAGTCGCTTGGAGTGCTCGTGGATAGCCAACATACGAGCCCAAATTTCCTCAGCGCGACCATTAAGAGAGGGGTCAAAAACATGACGCTCCAGCTCGAACAGCTTCTTCTTCAGCTCCTCCTCTGCTTCATCCATGGCATAGCCTCGGTTGCGGAGAATCTGTGTCTTGGCGGCAAGGGCGAGGCATCGCTTACTCAGGATGATGTGCTTTCGGCGGCAGTCGGCGATCTTGACGGAAATGTTGAGGTCGTGCTTCGAGAGAAGTCCAGTCAGGCAGTTATTGATTTCATGCAGGCGCGATTGCATCATAGTAAGGAAGTCCCGTTGTCGCTGAGCGCGCTTGCCGAGGTCCCAGAAGCCCTTGACAAGCACGGGGACATATCCTGGGCCTGGTCTCTTGCGCAAAGCCTCCTCCCATTTAGATTCATCGTCCTCGGGACCAGGTTGGTAGAAAGGCGCAGCCTCCTCGCCGACGTTGTTATACAGGTAAGCGCGGAATGGCGAAGTGGCGCTTGGGGGGTCCCATTTGTCTTTGATAATGGCGACTTGCATGGGCACAGTTCGGTGGACTAGAGATCTCTCGGTTAGTGGCGCTTCACAATAGTGCATGATGGTATTGCCTACCTCCGGTGATCGCACGGCCGGGAGACCAAAGACTTGAGGAAAGAGAAGGTTGTTGCTGTTGAGTCTGTGGTGTCGCCATCGTAGTCTGGCCGAATTGGGATTGTTGCGGTTGCTGCGGTTGCTGCGCCTGTTGTTGTTGCTGCTGCTGCTGACCACCAAACATACTACTGGCCTGGGGTTGGTTACCGCCAAATAGCCCACCGGTAGTAGTAGTCGAGGCCTGCTGCTGCGGCGGCTTTTGGCCAAATAGGGATCCGGATTGTTGCTGAGTAGCACCTGCGCCAATTCCAGTGCCGGTCGATGCTTGGTTCTGTGCTCCGCCGAACAAAGACCCGCCGGCCTGGCCTGTCGTTGCCGTAGCGCCAAAGAGAGATGGCTTGTTGGCATTACCAAAGAGAGATGTGTTTGCCTGGGGTTGGCTTCCGCCGAAAAGTGTGGACATGGTGGGCGATCGATACGGGAAAGCCGATTCCGCGAGAAAAAAAAAGCACGCAAAGTGAGCGCGTCAATGGGTTGATTATGGGTCGGCGCAAAGAAATCACGAGCACTAGATGAGTTCGAGAACAAGCTCAAATAGCATAGCCTAGAGACTATGGGTGGTGGAAGTCAGGAAGCTGAGGGGTTTTTGGATGGAGCTCTGCTTCCGACACAAGATGAGAGCCGAAGCTCACTTTGTTTGGGTCACGTGATAGACATTGCTCACTATGCGATTTCATTGCACATTCGGTGTGAATTTCTAGACGTTTGAGGTATGCTAGTACTAATAGAGGCTTTCTTCCTGTAACTGGCTATCCATTTTACTCGAAAACTCTTCACAAAATGACTGACAGCCCTTTTCACGATGTATAGCGCTGGGCCTCCAACGAATATTACCTAAGCATGATCGCTCAACCAATCAGAAGCGAGCCAAAGAAACCGACCTTTCATTCCACCGCAGCCCGCAGCTCTTGATCTCCAAGTCCTGCCTCAATTGCACCTCTTCCCCCTCGCAGTCGTTCCAACCAAACACCGCCGCCATGGCCAACCGAGAAGCCCGGTATGCACATTACTACAGCCGTCGGTCTCTGCCCAGTTGACCGTGGAATACTGACATCCCTCCGCGCACAGCTTCAACCAGACCGTCCTGGTGGACACCACCCCCATGCCCGACCACATCCCCAAGGTCGAGGAAATTGGTGCCACATCTGCGCCTCTTCTGAGCGCGTCTTACTTCATCGGAGACCGCTGCAAGGCTTACAATGACGACTTCATGAAGTGCAAGGATGAGTCCAACGGCCGCGGGGAGTTCGACTGCTTGAAGGAAGGCCGGAAGGTGACGCGCTGTGCTGCTAGCGTGTATGTTCTCCACCAATTGAACTTCTACCTTGAATTGCGCAGAAATACTGACCCGTTGCAGTATCAAGGACATCAACACCCACTGCCTGGATCAGTTCAAGGCCCACTGGGAGTGCCTTGAGAACAACAACCACCAATTGTGGGAGTGCCGCAGGCCCGAAGTTCAGCTTAACAGCTGCGTCTTCGACAAGCTGGTATGATATTTACTTTCCTGGCTTCAATTGATACAAAACGAGTGTCTCGATTGTACTCGCCATCGCGCCGGGGTGCATGCTAACATTCTTTTCTTCAAATTTCTAGGGCCTTAAGAAGACCCTTCCTGGCGCCCCCGAAGGCCAGGTCCCTGTTCACCTGCGCCCCAAGCAAAAATACGCCCAGTACCCCGGCCCTCAGTGGTAAACACCACTTTGGTTCACTTGCCCGCTTAGACTCGCCTGATTACACCCTCCCATTTCTCTCTCATAATCTGGGCCCTGTCTTTTTCCTATATCACTGTTTTATTTGGATGCTCGACCGACGAAACGGTCCATGTTTGTGTAAATATCTCCTGGCATCATGAATGGTTACATGATTTTCTGCAATCTTCCAATCTTCCTGTGTCCTCATGGGACGTGTCCGGCCATAGCCTCTGCTCCGGCGAGCGCTGCCTGCTTCCTCCGTGTGAGACCGCACCATAGCGCGGCACGGATTGAGATTTATACCGCCGAACACTCGGCTTATGCCTATTTTAACCTATCAGCCCGCGGCAAAGGTTGTTGTAGCCTAACCCATAAGGGATCTACATTTGACCGGGCCTTCTGCTTTATTTCTGCTTGCGAGGTACGATTTCCCTGAGTCCCGGCCACTCATGAACATGAACCAGGACGCTCGGGCCTGAGATCAATGGGGAGAATCAGTATCACTCAGAGGCAAAAAGACATTGACTGTCGGTATTCGTTTTCGCCGGTTACCTTGATCTTACTCCTAAGGTTTGTGTTCCTCTGCCATTACCCATCTTACTCGAGGCACAACTATTCGAGTGTCAGTACTCCGTAGACTGAATGCATCTACCCGTATTATGGCTTTGATAAGTGACGCTGAATCACATGCAATGCTTACTTTGGATTCAAGGTGAAGCTAAATAGCGTTTTTGCTATCTGGCTTGGGTCTGTCAGTACATATGGCCGTCTGTCCACAGTTGGGACCACCGATATATCAGTACCTCTGCTATGGATCCAAGCCGGGTTCAGTGCTCTCGGTGAGGCTGTGTGCACTCGCGGTTGAACCCCAGTCCCCTTGGCAATCTCGATATGGCCTGAGCTGTCTTTTCATGGCTCAGATGAATGCTTAACTCCAAGCCATCTGTGACGCCTGGATTGAAATAGTACACCGGGTACAGTTTATACACCCGGACCAACCCATATACCAGAATCTCTCCGGCTGACCAAGGTGCAGGGGTTCAGATGGCTGATCCAGACAGGCAATTGAGTACTATTCCCGGGGCCTCCGAGTACTGGTGTAACTGCAACTTGGCAGTGAAATGAAATCTTGGAATAGAGTCCTTCTTGAATACCTTTCATGAAGACCATGTTGGCAAGTAAGTCCCAATACCAGGGCTGTATCAACGCAGTATCTAAATCTGGAAGTTCACAGGAGAGATGAAGTATCCCAGCAGATCCAATTGTACAAGTATAAGAAAGTAGCTAGGATAACATAGGTAGTGCAAAACGGTCGAGAGCCGATGTACCAAGGACGGATCTCCGGCATCTATCTATAGCATGTCGACAAACCTTGGAACAAGAGCTACTATAGGCATACAATAAGTATCTGACTCTCCACGACATTCCGTGCTTGCGTGCAACGGTAGATCAGTACATATTCCTTCAAAAGCCACCCTTAACGGCCTTATGATTATAGGTTTCTTATCACTCCGTGTGACTGGTCTCTATAGTTGATCGCCACCCATCAAGTAGCCATGAGGCCGACAAGTCCCATCCTTCTATCATTATGGAGCCTCATACACCATGTCCAAGCAACGGCTGTGTTTGCACACTTTATGGTATTGTTCCCAGTTTATTCGCAGATTTCAGATTTAATGTTTGATATCAGGTTTACAACTCTGAAAACTTCACCCTTTACGATTGGGAGATAAATATCGCGGAGGCTCAAAAGGCTCACCTAGATGCATTTGCGCTCAACCTGGCATACAACTATCCAACGAATAATCGCTCTCTAGAAAACGCTTTCAAGGCAGCAAACACACTGAACTTCAAACTTCTCTTCTCCTTCGACTATGTGGGGAATGGGGCCTGGCCCGAGGGCGATGTGATCGCCGTCATCAACAGATACAGGGACAACCCAGCATACTACCAACACAACGGCAAACCCTTCGTCTCAACATTCGAGGGATCATCGAATGCCACAGATTGGACCTCGATCAAAAAGTTTGCCGATTGCTTCTTCGTGCCAGGCTGGTCAGCCCTCGGAGCAAAAGAGGCGTTGGCAGTTGCTCCGGGCGTACCAGACGGGCTATTCTCCTGGGCAGCGTGGCCCGAAGGCTCTGAATCCATAAACACCTATATCGACTCGACATACATGCAGTGGCTCAAAGATGCCGGCAACCTACCATACATGATGCCGGTCTCACCGTGGTTCTACACCAATCTGCCTGGTTACGGCAAAAATTGGATCTGGAATGGCGATAATCTCTGGTATGATCGGTGGCAGCAGGTGTTATCACTGAAGCCAGAGTTTGTGGAGATCATCTCTTGGAATGACTACGGCGAGTCGCACTATATCGGGCCTTTGCATGACGATGCGTATGCAACCTTTGAGATCGGCGGGGCTAGCTACAACTATGCTGCCAATTATCCTCATGATGGCTGGCGAGATTTCCTTCCGTTTGTCATCGATCTATATAAAACGGGCAAGACGAACGCTCAATCCGAGGGTGTTACTGCTTGGTTCCGACAGGCACCTGGCAAAGCTTGCAAGAAGGGCGATACTATGGGCAATACGGAAACACATGGGCAAAAGCTCCTCCCACCAACAGAGGTCATGCAAGACGAAGTATTCTACTCCGCTCTACTGCATTCTGCCATTGCAGTAGACGTGGCTGTAGAGATTGGTGGCGTGTCACAGGAAGGGAAGTGGAAGAGTACACCACCTGGTCAGATTGGGCTTTATCATGGCAGTGTGCCATTTGATGGGAACACTGGCCAGGTGGTAGTGACAGTCTCACGAAGAGGAAAGACAATCGCTGAGATGCGCGGTGCATCAATCACAGACTCCTGTGTAGATGATATCCAGAACTGGAACGCCTGGGTTGGATCTGAGCTCACCAACAACCGAACCAAGAACACAACAACTACGACTCATGCAAAGCCCACTGCTACATCCAAAGTCTCTGCTGCTCCTGCCTTATTCTCTCTGGCAAGACTTCCCTTCACGGTGATCTTTGTGGCGTTGGTTGCAACTATGTTGTCCGCGAATTTCGTGCAGGCAGCGCAAGAACAGTTGATTTATACTCCAATTATGGATTCGCCTGAGCTTCACACTGATCCCACTTACTCATACAACTTTGCTGGCTCATCTTTCGATTCTCAATTTGCTGCAAGCGACATCACCGACAGAGAACTTGGCTCATCTTGGAATTCGGAATCGTCCTTCAGGCTACTGTGAATGTGGACTAATCTTCGTGGGTATTCCCAAGGTTGACGTCCATAGATGCCGACCTTGAAGTACGTTTATACTTACGATACGTGAAGGGGTAATATTCGTCTTATGCTTTTGGGAGTAAAGCGGTTACATATACTGCAGTTGAAGCTGGTCGTTGCCTATCACAACCCGTGGAAGTTTGACAGGATCTCAGCAAGCCTGTTAGCAAGATCTATATAATACAAAGCAAAGAAATGCTTGGTCAAAGTACCACGCCCACCTGGGCGTGTAATCCTTGGAAATTGCGTGGTAAATCTGTTAGAGATCACCTGATTCTCGATCTCTTCGTCTTCCCCTTTGCTCTCGGTTCTCTTGCTCTCTCTCTAGCTCCATCTCAATCAACTGATCGATCTCTCTCTCTTCTGCCTTCTATCAGGTTATGAGTCGTTTGCCTGATTGGAATCTTCACCGAAATCCAATCAACCTCTCTTTCTATTACTACTACATACAAAAAGCCAACAACCTCACTTGCCCCGCTCGAGACCCGCCATCAGAGCCTCATCTTCAGCCTCATCGGTTGGGTCTCACCACATCACGCGGAGCATCTCCAACATCACGAAAACGAACCTCCGATTTACGTCCTCGTCTATGTTGATGATCTTTTGATCATGTCACCTAGCGCTGATGCTATTGCAAGTTTCAAAACCCAACTGCGTGCCACTTTGACATCACGGAGAAAGGCAACGTGGAAAAATACCTGGGAATCGACGTTATGCGCACAGATAAGGGCATCTACCTATCTCAGCAGCGATACATCGAGAAGATTCTCAAATGATTTGGAATGCAAGATTCAAAACCAGTCCCAACGTCCATGAACGAGAAAATCATTCTAGTCGCCTTCACAGGCACTGCGACCAGAGCAGATAGAAAATACTATCAGGGCAAAGTTGGAAGTCTCATCTGGCTTATGGTATCAACTAGGCGTGATATTTCATTCGTGACGATCAAGCTTGCCCGCTTCGCATCCAACCCAGGCCCGCAACATGACATAGCGATCAAAAGGGTATTCCGTTATCTCGCTGGAACCAAAAGTCTATGCATTCTTTACAAAAAAGGTCACCAAGGTGAACTGCATGGCTGTAGCGACGTGGACTGGACAGGACCTCATTCAGAAGCAGCTTTATCCATCTCTGGATACTTTTTCTATCTTACAGGAGGTGCTATCTCATGGGCTTCGAAAAAGCAGACCTATGCCTGGGCGTTGGGACTGGTTTCGAATCTTGCATTCTGAATCGTTTCAGAATCTTCTCGACGTATCGCTGTTGAGACAGATAGATGCCCTTATCTGTGCGCATAACGTCGATTCCCAGGTATTTTTCCACGTTGCCTTTCTCCGTGATGTCAAAGTGGCACGCAGTTGGGTTTTGAAACGTGCAAGACTGGTCTAACAGCAGACCGATCTAAGAAGATCCTTCATACGAGGGCCTTAGCTCGACATCTTACTGTTATAGAACAAAAGTCTGGTCTGACAGCAGGCATGGCCCCGGGGGGGGTGTTAGAGATCACATGATTCTTGAGTTCTCTTCCAAGGTTGCTCTCTCTCTAGCTCTATCTCAATCAACTGATCGATCTCTCTCTCTTCTGCCTTCTATCAAAATCTATATGCCCTGCCCATCTACAAGTAAATGTCAGATCGAAGAAACAACCTGGGGACCACCCAAAATCTCCAGGGCTGGCAATGCACAATCGATAGATATCAACCGATATCATTCCCTCAAATGAACATTTCATCATCCCTTGAAACATGATATTTGTCAAACATTAGGCGTGGACTCAATGAACGAGTGAGAAGAGATCACCAAAGAAAAGAGGAGCCCCCGAAGTGTGAGATTGAAACCCATATATACCGGACAAAAGAAAGATAGATAGTATAAGTAGACACAAGAAAGGTAAAAAGAAGGGGAAATAAAGGAACAAGACGCCAAAGCATGTAGCAGGACAGGACAAGGGACCATAAGCCAGCAGTGTAAATGCATCAACCCGGAAGAAAGACTCAAATCATCAGAAGCAAACCATCAAGGCAAGATAGGCAGATCGACTCTCCTCAAGCCCATACCTCTCACCCTCCCAAGCCTGGCTTTGACAGCTGCCCAGCCAGTCTTGAGACGATTCTCGACCCTTCGATCCCCGCGAATGCGCATCCAGATCAAAAGCATGCCCAGCATAGCGAGATCAACCAGAATCTGCCTCACGGCAACCCAAACCATCCACTTCAGCCAGGCCCACATGTCATTCCGACGGCGCTGCGCAACAGTTCGAGTCTCCATTTGCTCCCGAACAGCGGCTATCTCCGCCGTCATTTTCGTAAGAGCCTGTTCGACCCGTCGACGCCAGCGCCCATCCTTCGGCCCAGGAAGCCCAGACTGCGAATGCGAATGTGAATGTGAGTGAGCATTGGAATGAGAGCGGAGTCCAGCACCGCTACTGGCTATGCTTCCCGAGGCCGGATGTCGACTATGTTTCGGTGATGCGTCCGTATGCGTTGTTGTGCTATTATCCGCCTCATCCTGCTCGTATAGACTATCGCGCGCTTCCTCGAATTCGTCATCGTCCTCATCTTCATGATCCATGGACCCATCCCGGTCCTCGGGCTGGCTGACAGGACTTAGAACTCGTAATCGGGAATCTCGGCCGTCCCGGCACGGCCTCTCGCTTTCGTATTCCTCTGTCAGACGGCCGGCGATGCTCCCGTACGCGCTGCGCGATAAGGGCGGGACACCGACTGTGTTGAGGGGACTTGAGGAGGAGGAAGAGGAGACATTATATTTGATCTGGTCCCAGACGAACTCGAGCTCGGCGACGAGTTCGCGGGCCTCGGAGGTATGGGATGCGTATTGGTGCATTGTATCGATTAGCGTGGAGATGTAGCGGCGTTTTGCTTCGGTTCGCGACAGGTCGCGCTGCGCGTACCATGCATCCCTATGCTGTCAGCTGGGGGTGTTTTGTAGAATGTCAAGATCGGCATTCAACATACCACTTCTCGCACTCGGAGTGCACTTCGGGTGTATTTCCTATCGGTCGATCCATGACGCCTTCGACATCCCCCTCTGCGGCGTATGGTTAGGGACTGAATGGGCCGCGGCGATTCCCACATGGGGACACTCACCCATGCTCTGTTTATACAAGCCATATAGCTTCAGCCGCTCGGCGGACGGGGGCCTGGCGGTGCCGCTCCGGGGGATCCTCTTGACGGTATTGAGGGCATGGACGAAGACCCGATCTATGCCGTGTCAGTGAGACGCGCGACGCAGGGACGTTGCGTGGTACGCACCTACAGAGTCCGACATGATGCGATAAGGGTTCCGGGGTGCCCTTTCATGGAAGCGGGGTTGGGCATCGACTTGCGTGGGTTGGCCTCATGGAGAGCGAGGATGTTGATATGTGTATACTGCTCGTTCTCGATGTCGAAGAGCCAGCTGGAATGGCAAGGGGGTTCGAGTGTTGGGACGTTTCCCTTTATCGGGAAAGCTGCTATTTTCCCCGGAATGGCGCTCGGCTTTGCTTTCCCGGAAAAGAAAAGGGTATCGTGGATTAGAGATCAAAAAGTCTCCTCTCAATTGTACGGAGAGAGGAAGACAGAGACGAGAAGGCTAGAGATGTTAGAAGAGAGGCTATCTCGTGTGCCGGTAAAAGTGGCGTGGGCCGCGGCTGTCGGGGCGATCGTCAGGGCCCTACACTTGTGATTCTCCTGATATTCATATGATCGTTGCATTTCATTGGATAACTAACAGATACATTCTAAGAGCTCGAGAGTTTCTTAACTACTTCGAGCGAGTTCTCGGCGTCCACTGACATCCCAGTCATGAGCTCTGTCGCGACGCGCGCTTCTTCTCCGCTAATTGGCGGTCCCGTGAAGTGCTTCCGCGCATAGGCAAAGTACCAGATGATACTGATACTGGCAAACGCAGCGAAAACAACACTGGCATAGTTCATCGACTCGGGAGTCACTGGTAAAGTAACCGGCATACAGAAGAGCGCGACCGCCAGCACGATCCATGCAATGGTGATACAGTTGATGGCGAATCCAAATCGCCCTAGAGAGAAAGTAGACGACTTGACGTCCTGCCGGCCTCGCACCAAAGAGATCAGAATCGGGAGACCGTAAGATGTTGATAGACAGATCGTGGCTACACCGGTGAAGGAGTTGAACGCAGCCGTGGATCCGAAATAGATCAGGCCCAAGAGACCGTCCACGACAGCGGAAAGGACAATCGCCCAGACCGGCACGTCCAGCTTCTTATTCACCTTCCGCCAGAGCTTGAATCCCGGGATGGCACCGTCGCGAGCGAACGCATACGTGCAGCGACTCGCGGCCGTGAGTGATCCGATTCCTGCGAATAGCATGATTCCCAGAATGAGGAAGAGAAGTCCAAACCCGCCACCTGCGGACCCGGTCACGATCTTGAAGACCTGGCCAATGGGCTGACCACTCGCAACATTACGCAGAATCTTCACATCCGGCAGCACGAAGAGGATGGGAATCAGGTAGAAGAGACCTGTGATTCCCGCCGCAACGACAGAGAGCACGATTGCCTTGGGGACCTCGCGGTGGGGGTTTTGTACCTCTTCGCACATGGCTGCCACCATCCCATAGCCGGTAAGGGTATACGCTGCCTGCAGCAACCCGACGAAGAAGGCCCAGCCAGAGGGCCAGCCGCTGGTGGAGGAATCGTAGTGGCCGAAAACGAACTCGGCGTCTCGGCGGTCGTCCGCCATCACAAGCAAGGTGACCAGGATAATGATGACGCTACCGGCGGTCCAGAAGATGCACACTTTGTTGATGAGATCCAGGTACCGGGACAAGAAGATATTGACGAGAGCACAGAAGAGCATGACGGCCCAGAACATCAGGACGGTCTGCCAGGCGTTTGCGACGAAGGACTCATCGAAGATTGAGATGGCGCTGAGAATCAACTGACCTCCCGAGAAAATGATGCTGAGCGTCACGGTCCAGTTCCCGACTAGAGTTAGCCAGCCGTCGATGAAGGACATCAACGGGGCCCATTCACGTGTGGAGAGCATTGCACTCCAGTAGTACACACCTCCGGCTGTTGGATAAACGGCGCAGATCTCGGCCAACGAAGCGGCAATGGCGATTGAGATCAGACTGACAAAGACCCAGCCCCAGATTATTGTGACCGAGAGACCGTCTGCGAGAGTGATGTAGAGGGTTGTGCTGAGGCCGAATGGAGCGGCCATGATGGCGAAGGACAGGCCGAGGATACTCATCATACTTAGGTTTCGGGGCAGTTCACTCTTGTAGCCCAAGGCGGCCAACGCCTCGTCGGCATTGCCATCTGTTGAGGATCGCATGGTGAGGTTGTGGCAAGCAAATGAGGCCCTGCAGATAGAGCTTATGAAGGAGTATATAGAGTTTGCGGAAGATGGTAACCCCGCATGCCCAGTAGAGGTTCCTATGGCGCGGTCCGGGACCGCGCAGATTGAGCAAAAGACATGAGAGAGCGAATGAGAAAGATAATATGGGGGCCTCCAGACTTTGGCAGACAAGCCTTATCATGATAACTCGGTTTTGTCCTCGGCGGGTTTGAGTGGTCAGGTCTTACTCGCTCGAACCGACCCACCGGCCCCTATTTCTCCTCAGTTCTAGTCATCAATTGATAGTCCGGAGAGATAAAGGTATGATGTCGAGATACTAGAGATCTGACATAATGTCCTTCTAGAATCCTGTCTCTTCCCTGCTGCGGCAAAGTCAATTCAACCTCGAACCGCCCAGGATCGACATAGCAGACCGCGTGCTCTTCATTCGGCCATACCACTGAGCCTAACGCTCGATTACATTCATGGGTATCCTGCTACTCGGGATCAGGGCGGGAGACTGACCCTGTAATGATAAGCACTTATGACCGTGGTTCGCCGTGGACCGCTACGAAACAACATACCGGTTGCAAGCCGTCAATGGCACGGAACACCTCCGCATTTGAGAACTGCAATTGACATCATATGAAGATCGGCGGCGGGGAAATAGGAGCCAAATCTCACCGTGACTACAGTGTATTAGTGATACCAGGCTGCCTACGGAGTACAGAGCAGAAGTTATTGAAGGAGCAACGTAGGACTAGTAAGGCTGTGCAAACGAATAATTGTGATGGAAACAGACCGACTTGGGAACTGAGGCACTGCACAAAAGTGGTTCCCTAAAGTTCAATAGTATGAATTGTTTGACAGTTGAAATCGCATAGCAGAACAGGTGTCGTTGGACGGGGGAAATTGAAGCATGAATGTGACCTTTATGACACGCATGAAGTGCTGCCCACGTTGAAACGCGGAGTTGCGGGGAATAAAAAGCCCGACTCATCGAGTCGGTGAAGGATGTGCCCAATGTTGGGCATCAACGGCTGAGCCTCAGGCCATCTGGCATGATGTTTCAAGTTTACGGTACGGAGTACGGAGTAGAATATATGAATACGGAATACTGAAGATATGCTACATATGGAACTGGATATTTGAATGATTCATTGCACATCAAGGTCACGCGAGGTGACGGCTGCCACATCGGATGCTGCAAAGACTCCGGGGAGCTGAGCAATCGATGAGCGCCAGGATGATTATCGACACAGGACGGCGGGAAAACGCAATTCCGCGGATCCGCACATTTCGTCGGGGTGAGGGGGGGTATCAAAAAAAGGGGGATAAAGCACAAAGGTGAGCCAGTGATCTCGCTGGGGTTCGAAGAAAAGTAATTTTTTTCTTGTTTGATCAGATATCTAGTAGGACATGGGGGAGAGCCTCGGGATCAGTGAGGGTGGGCGAAAGTAGGCCGGGATGTTGAAAGAGGGGGGGCAGGGACATGAAACGAGATGGAGACGGTGAGGCTGGGAGGATGTGGTGTGTTTTCCGGTCGCAAAGGAACCGTGCAAGAACTCCGTCTATGGGACCACTCCAGTCTGCCTTCTCCAGATGGGAGTCGGAAGTCGCGCCGTAAAAGAGAGAATGAAGAATGATCGGGAGGCATGGAAATGCGCAGAGTCGTGACCAGCCAGCTAGTGCCGACTCCAAATCGTAAAGAAACATGACCCGTAGTAACGGAACGGTCGTCATTCGAGGTCGGAAGAGGGATGTGAAAACAGAAAAAGGAAACAAGAAAACGCCCATTCATGCAGAGTCGTGGAGCCGGTGAAGTCGTTACATGGGGATATGCAAGTACAGTCGCAGTAAGTCAACGCGAGTTCAAAATGTCGGAGTAAGAACGGAGCCGATCTAGGGGCTGAGTCCGAGATCCTCGTTGTCCGGACCGAAGCCAGCCATGTCAACAGAGTGCAAGGATCCAGGTCCCTTACCCAGGGAGACATCCGAAGAAGCATAATCATGCTTTAATCGGTCATGCGCTCCGAAGATGTGAGGCCCAAAGAACGGTCGATTCTCGTCGTTTGGAGTATTGCCATCCCCAGCGACCCAGGGACCATTCTGCCAGAAACGAGTGTTCGCTTGCTGATCTCCAAAGAGATCATGGTGGTCGGGGTGGGGTTCGGGCCCATGCATGGGGAACTCATTAGGCGACTGGAATCGAAGATGCGACCGGCCAAAACTAGAGCACGGAGAATCTGCGTGAAGTGGCATGTCGAGACCCGAGAGAAGAGGAGGATCATCCACCGGGGTGATGTCGATGGTCGGATTTTCCGTCTGTTGTGCCAACGCCGCCGAGAGTCGAAGATTCGACCCTGTTGAGCTTTGTCGACTGTGAGTGGCTGATCGTTGAATTGCACGCTGCACAAAGTTGCCGCATGATTTGAGGATCTTTTCCTGCATATCGGGTGGCAGATTGTTGAAAAAGTCGTTGGCCAGCGAAGGCTTAGGTGGTTCGTCGGCAGCCGGAAGCAACCCATAGGTAGTCTTGGCGTACTCGGAAAGACCCGATGGCATGTTGTAAGGAGACTGATAAACATTGGGGGTGAGCTCCCGTTGTTGATCGAGGTAGGCATATTTGCCGGGCATTTTGGCCGCCGCCACGCTACCTCGATCTACAATCTCCTGTTTGACACCCTCGGACTCTTTCTTCTGAATCACATCGAGTCGCTCGCGATGACTCACCAGCGAGAATCGGAGCATCTGAAGAAGGCGAGTGACCTCTTCCGACCGCATGTTCAGGGTCTGAGGTGGCAGCAATGTGCCATCCGCAGCACGTGGCTGCACCCGTTGCTGGGCCATGGCCAACTCAAGCTTTTCGAGACCATTGGTTGGTGGTATTGATCCCATGGGACCCAATAAGGTTTCGACCACCATCTCGGCTTTGACGATGTCGTATCCGGCGAAGACATTGGCATGGTCGGTAATTTGTGCTAGGCGACGGCGGGCGATAAGCTCTCGTACATTGGCAAATGTATTGGTGGACGGAAGGTGATGCTGCTGCTGAGCGTGCGACTTGGCGACCGAAGGATAGGGGGCATGACGGGCGGACTGATTGGGTAGACTTCGAAAGGCCGACGGCATCGCAGGAGCTCCAGCAGCAGCAGCACCGGCAGGGATATGGGGAGGGGGAGGGGCAAGATGCTGCAAGGCAGAAGAGGGCGGTCGGGATTGTAGGTGAGGGGTGTTAACATTCGATCGTTGGTAAAGATTTTGGTGAGGGGCAGGGGCGGTGGGAGCATAATGAAAGTGGTGGGGTGAGATCTTCGCCGTGACATTGACGCCAAGCGACTTGACGCTATCCAGGAAATTGGCCCGAGGATTGTGGATGGGCACAGTAGGGTTGTGCGTATACTGTGCCCTACTCTCGGTGGACTGCTTGCCCAAATAATACCAAATTTGTTCGCTCTGTTCGAGATTGACCGAACGGAGTGGGGCGAAATGATTCTTAGTTGCATCCACCGTCTCGAATTCGGCCCACTGATAGGGAGATCGGGCATCACCAAATGCACTGCCTGCCGCGGGTACCGCTGACTCTAACTCCTTTCGTTGTTCGGGTTTTCGCGCTAGGTGTGCAGGGAGGGGTTTGATTCCAACCGCAAGAGGTTGGAAATTGCTCTTGCGAACCACCAGCAGCCAACGGTATGGCATTTCGATCACATCTCTGCAGATTTTCGTTAGCGTCGGACCTGACCCGAACTTTTGAGACGAGAGAAAAACAGAAATCCAAACACGGGAAAAAATAAACAAATATTGACTTACCCTCTCGGGAGAACCTTTAGGACCAAGCTTCGCTCGGAATAACGATTCTCAATGACAATGGCGCCATTGATCTCCTTGTCGGCTTGGAATTGAACCAGATTGCCTTGAACCAAATGACGAGCCGCTTCAGTGACACGGCGTTCCGCATCAAATGATTCCGCCAGGGTTCCAATGGGCCGCTTCTGACGATGAAACTTGCATTTCAAATCAACACTCGGGATTGAGTACTGGGTCCCATCCTCGACAATCACCCCGATCACACCATGTTCAACTTGAACTCCAGCCAGAAGAGCACAGGTCGCATGATAGGCGCGAGTGCATTTGCCGAAGTTGCACTGGAAGCAGGCGCCATGGACTTCGCGACAGAAGAGGCACTTGAGGCCCAGACGGGCCTTGGGAATCTTATCGACGTCACACACAACCTCTGTGCCAGATGCGTCCCGAAGGATTGTGGTCTCTTCGATGAATGACGCACAGCGCCTGTGTGCATGGCCTTTCCCATCTTCGGTGGGTAGCAGATCCTCATATTCGAGGTCATTAGGGCACAACAGACATGGAAGCTTTCGTGGTCCGTCAGGGTGGAGTTTGGGACGTTTGGTGCTCGGCCCGTCATCCGGGTTCTTCCGTTTTCGGCCACGGGTAGCACCCTTTTCAGGCACGCTGCGTGGCGGCGTGAGAAGGTCGGAGGCTCCTTCAAACCCATCGAACTCGCTCTCGAATTCACCGTAGTATTCCGGTGTACTCTCGCCTCGTAGCTTGCGTTCGATTTCGCCCACGTCAATCCAGACACTGTCTGCTTCACAATTGCATTTCTTGGCGATTCGAGCATAGTCAAGCCACTGCTCAGTGGCGAAGTTGACCGACTCGGCGCAGTTGTATCCAATGTTGTATCCAGAGTGATACCCATAGGGGAAAGTGATCACGAATTCCCCTTCGTAATGGACCAAGCGGTTGACAGTGATACCGTATTGAGACTTGAGGATACTCGGCGAGACAAGGTATGTCTTGTGGCGAAGGAATTGGTCACAGTTCTTCGCGTCACTCGACCAGATGCTCCGCATGGCCTGCTCGAAACGGGGCGCGTCTTCCTGTGAGATGCTATACCATTGCTTTGGCGCGCCGAAATGGATGTAGTTGATGCTGTAGAGGTCAACATCCTCAAGGTGCCACGCGAAGGTGGCCTTCCACATGCCTAGGTAGAGATAGGCAGTGTTGACCCCTGGAACCTTCTGGCCTAGGACGTCCAGGAGATTCGGCAATTTGGCAACGTTCCAGGATTCCGTGCTATCATCGAAAAGCGAGCCGGGCATATCAGCACCATACAACGGTTGGTTGAATGTGAGTGATTTCCAGTAGTTGGCCTCGAGCTCCTCGCATCGTTCCGCAGTGTATTCTTCATTGTCGTGAATACGGTAGTCAAAGCCCGTATACAACTCCTCATCGGCTTGTTCCATGGCATCGCCTCGGTTGTTCTTTCGACGAGAGGTCACAGATTTGGATTGACGTCCTTTTGGCTTCGCAGGGGGTAAGGATTCGCCATCACTTAGATCCTCAGTCTTGGCCTGCACAGGATTCGTCTCGGGAGAAACAGGCGTCGGGGGGCCCTCCAGTCTGGATCTATCGGCGTCGTCGGCAGGAGGCTCTTCTTTGACCTTGACTTGATTCGTCCGTTTCGGTGGGCGACCTGGTCGGCGCTTTTGGCCTTCCGGACGAACAGATTGAGGTCGTGGTGTGGGGGCCGCACGATTGACTCGCTCTTGGTTGCGACGCCTTTCGCCCCTACGAGCAGGGGGCTGGTGGCTGCTTTCTTCGCAAAGACCCTTCCACTGTGGAAGATTGTAAGAACGCTGGCGCTCCTCATTGGCCTGAGTGTATTTTCCGTGGGTGCCGTAAAAGTCTTGGGTGATGGGATTCTTCACTCGGATTTTCTTGACTTGCTCGTCCAGCGGGGGAAGTGATTCGGACCTTCGGAAACCTGTGTGAGTAACGAGAGCTGCATTGTTTGCAATGGGTCGACACACCATTCTTTTGGAGGCACCACTTTCACAATGCCTGAACGCATTCCATATTTGTCAATCTTCTTGATAAAAGTCTGAAAGTCTCGGAATTGATCCATTGTCTGAAACAAATTCTGGTCAGTCACGCTCTTCATTGTCTTTCGCCGAACCGAGCAGAATTGCCAACAACTCTGCCCCATGACACCAGAGACTGGAGCGTATGCGTTGACTCACAGGCTTGAAAACAGGAATCCCGCCATCGCCATAGTAGTGATCGGGCTCGATGTCTTCGATTTCTTCAACCTCTTCCTCTACTTCTTCCCGCTTGATGTGGATTTCATCGGGCACAGGGGCGGATTGGGGGTCAAGCTCCAGGTCGGATAGCTCAGCAGGCACACCTTCGGGGGCTTCCTTCTTGCCGTTGGCGCTGTGCGGCGGAGTAATGGAAGGGTCGACAGCGGAGCCAGCTGTGAGCGAGCTATCGGGCGGGATATCGAACGAAGTCGCCATTGTCGAGTACGGCAAAGGAGAGCTGGGATCAGGGGAGTAATTGCCGTCGTCGGATGGTGCGACCGCTGATCGACGGCGAGTAGGGAACGTTTCCCAGCGGTCGGGGAAAGCGAGAGCAGAGGCCTAGGCAGCGCCGAGAATAGATGCTGTCAGAGCAGGGGAAAGTATTTGATGCAGCGGCGGTCGGATGCAGTATCGAAAAGCGGCCGTCGTGGTTTGGACGATTACGATAAGCTCGTCTCGGACGGATTTGGTGTTATTTCGTTTCTTTTGGGCTGGAAAAAATTGTTTAGCCAAGTCACGGGTAGAGTTGTAAGTGCGAACGACAAATATATCGGCTGATTGCAAAGAAATAAGGTAGGTTGCAGGAAATGAGGTCAGAAGTCCTTGAGGGAGTCCTGGAGACCATTCCAATAAAACTGCGCCAGTAACGCTAGGTTCTCCATGAAAAAGGAAGAGCAGTGAAGTGGACCAATCATGCAGGTGCCGGAGACGCTTGAGGGTGGACCGGTGCACGATGGCCTGACACTGAAAGGAGGCAGGGGCAGGTGGGAACAGGGCGAGGAATGATGGGCTTAAAATTGGACAAATGAGAGGCCGAGTGTGGCAAGGGTGTGGGAATCGTCCGATCATAGGGACTTTGGCCTGAACATCTGGGAGCCGCGAACTTGATTTGTACAGTATCAAGTCCGGTCTCGGCTAAAAGGAACTCCCTCAGGGGTATGGCGTCGGCATGGATAGATCAAATCGAAATACTTACCAGATGCGAAATATGGCACACGAGATTGACGCTGGCGAAAGAGCAGGAAGATGAAGAGGTAGTATCATGAATGGTCGGGATAGAGCTTGGTCAATGCACCTTGAGGCTTTGCGACAGGATCACGTGAGGGCCATTCGATCTGTTCGATCTTTACCAGATTACAGTACCCAGGTACCAGTGGCATCGACAGCATACATGTGTACTCTGTGCACTTCGAGATCTTGATGCTAGATTTAATGAGATCAATGACTGAGATGGTCTGATATCAGTCTTGGGCACATATCGGTGAAAACACTGGAGTTCCGAGCACTGAACACGTAAATACAGAGTATTGTGAAAACGATCAGCCAATCTCGGATACCACCGGACCCGAACTATTACGTGCTCCCTTTGAAATGCAGTGTTAGATTGTTTACCTGGAATTGTCTGATGTTCGGATGTGTACTGCTATACTCTGGGTTGATAAACTGCACTGTTTCATCTGCTTTTCCTTGTTTCCCCGCAATGCTTTTTTTATATGTTTGCGGTCAAACTTACAACCAAGGCCCTTGATGTCAACGACGCTCAAGCTCATTTATTTTGGTTAAAGAAAAATAGATATTTCAACCCAAATGCTACTAATCAAGCGATTCAGCCCAACAATGTTTCAAACGCAAAACAAAAAAAAAAAAAAAAAAAAAACAAAAAACAAAAAACAAGAGTCAGGGCCGAGATCGGTCCGCTTACAGAGCTGTGCAGATCTCCAGGGCAGTACTCCATATACATATGGGCCGTTGTTTTGGGATCTCCATTCTAATCTTAGCGCGGGGGCCTAGGTGCTTGAATAACTCCCGAGGTCTTTGATTGTGTCATGCCAAAGATCACTCTATCTAAATCTATTGCACCCATTCATCATACAGCCTAGTGTCGAGATCTATATAGCCATCCACAACTTTCAGGCCCCGCAACCTTTCCTGTTCAATGCGCTCCCATGTCCATTCCTCCGAATTCCACGAAGCATTGTTATCCTTCTGCTGTTTCTCAAGGGTCTCTCGCCCGGCAATCTGATCGGCATTTATTTTCAACACTTCCCGGACCAACGACTCATCAACACCCGTTGCCGTGATACCATCGCCGCCTCCGGGGGTGTCGACACCAGAAGCTTCGGCGGAGTCGGTTAAATCGGCGTTGGCCTCGCGTTTGGGCGGCGTGGGAAGAAGTCCGCTGGCACGTAGAATCCTCTCCGGCGAAACAGTCAATCGACCCTTCTTGGTCACGTACTTGCTCACGGCAACCGCAAGCACAATCTTTTCACCCCCACGGCGGGCAGGTCTCATGAAACAGGTCAAAACGTACAACCACTTCTTATCCCAGGAGATGATCTTGGAGTGCATTTCATACAACTCAAAAGGCTTGATCTCGCGCTTGAATGTGCAGTACACCGACCCAAGCACAATGGATACATGCTTGCGTTTTGGAGCAGGCTTGCCATCCTTTTTGCTTGCGGCGAGGAACTCTTCATCTAGCTCCTTGCTCACTAAGCCTACACCAGGGCTGTAGAGGCGGGTCACGAGTGATGTACGTGAGATATCCAAGTCGGAGAAATAGGTGCTGTTGGATTTGTGCAAATTGTAATCGGTCTCAAGCAGTGGTGTCCGCGAGGTGACCATGCTTGATACGAAGACTGGATGAGTCGGTTTGCCCTGTACATCCACAATCGCCGTTCCCTTGGGGAAAACCGGCACAGTTGGTTTAAGACGCAAGTTGACTAAGAAGTAATACAGAACGCGGAGCTAGCGGCTCGGTCAGCTGTGTAATTCATGGGGTAAGACCGGGGGGGGAGACTGCTCCCTGCGTGCGCAGAGAAGTTAATTCGAATAGCCCCCTGAGCGCCCGGGCGCGAACACCTACATGCCACACGAACGGAAGGTTCTTGAGATTAAGGAACGCCAGCACCAATGCAAGTGTCTTCCATGAGACGAGCGACATTGCGCCTGCGGCGATATCGCGCATGTTGTCCATCCAAGGGGGTCGAAGGAGTTGTTGACGAAAAGCAGAGAAAAAGAGCAGGTCAGAGCCTTGAACTTCTAGCAAGCTGTATGAGCGGCGGTAAGGCGTTATCCCAATGAAAAGCTGGTAACACAAAAGTTGTTCAGATGTCTCGTTGCGGTATCATTAGGTACAAAAGGATTCTGCAAGATCAGATCCCGAACTAATGATCGTACAGCCGCCAGCGTGTTGAGCTCCAGGCGGAGTGGATATGATTGACCAATTATACTGCGTTTCGCAATCGATGATGTCCCTAAGACCCACCTGAAGACGATGGCGACCTCGGTAGTACGGAGTACTAGTACGCGACGCTCCGTATGTCTGCCATAGTCCTACCTTGAAACCTTGGAAGGGATGAGCAGAAGTGGAATTGATCGTATGAGCCCAAGCCTGGAACAAGCATCAAACAGAGCATTGGAAGTGCGGCAAAAAGAATTGTGCTCGGGTGATTGCCTGGGGTTTGTCGGGGTTCTTGAGGTCAATTATGGCGATCTACCATGTAAATACGTGGTACAATTTGTATAACCTCGATCCATGATTATCCCTTTTTTGGGAGCCGAGCTATCACACGTGAAAAAAATGACTCATCAGGGCCCGGGGCCCCGGGGGCATTCCCAAATATGTTCATTTCTACCTAGGTACCCTGTACCCCGTACTCCGCACAGTAGTACTAGCACATATTTGTTGTCAATCTAAGAACGGGATACAAATGAAGGTGTTTTAAGATTGACAACGCTACTGTATATTCACCATTGTACTCCTTTGAAAACCTTAGAGAAACCTTGGAAATAACAAGTTATGATGCCGGGGGCATGCATAAGACTGTTTGATAGCGGATCGCCGTCGGGCTTGACCAATTAAATTCTTATATGTGTAGGTTTCTCACTGCAAGGAAGCTGTGGGGTCTTTTATTTGACCCTCTCCCTTTTTTGGCAATATCCAAATAGCAATTGCCTTCAATCCATGGATATTTTGAAGTAGGTGACCTAGATAACATACTGAAAAGAAGTTAGCAATTCCGTAACGTATGTATCTCTTCCAATTCACTTGTGAATGAGGGTAAAACTCACAGGAATGAAAAGGTATGGCACCGTCTTCTCGTACTGCTTCCAAGTCTCACCATATTTATTCCTGCACTTAGTGATATCTCTTCTGGCACGGTGGAGGATCATGACGCAGAAGAAAACTGGGTAAAACCAAGGGAAGGGACTGTCAAAGCCAGTAATCAACCCCCAAGACAGCGCAAAGAACACATCGCAGGTGTAGTGGATTTTGCGGGCCAGTCCATACCAGCCATCGACGAGAATGGTATCGCCGTTCTCTGCCACCAAAGTTTTCGGGTTGGAAACCTCCTGCCAAGGAAGCTGAGGGAATGTTCTGCGCTTGACAAATGTACCTCGCTCCATCATGCGGAAAGAGTTCTTCTGGCTATTGGTTGTATCCCAGACCCAATAAACGAACAGGTATGACACGAACAGTGCCACCAACGCATACTTGTTCCAGGCGTATGTCGAGGGGTGGCGATTGGCAAGATATAGGATGCAATGGCAATAGGAAAGAGGCACACCCGCCATATTCCAGAAGATCAACATGAAGCCCAGTTTCTCCTGGTACATGTCCCAGGTTGTCGTGATAAGATGCTCGGCCTTACTGCAGGCATTGGCGTAAAGGAAGTGTGCCATCACTAGAAAGAGGACTTCTCCAGAGACATATCCGTAGCGCTCATATTGCCTGGTGGCAGCTGCGAAACTCAAGCCAAAGAGAATGTACCACGGGATGCGCACTTCGTGAAACATCTTGAAGTCCAAAACGCCGAAGATACGTGGGTTCAATTCAGCACCCATGAAGAAGTCATAGATGGGGTATCCAGTGATTCGGTGCTGTGCACCTCGCGCGAAGGCAGAGAAGTAAGCGACAAAGCTGCCAATGAAACCCGAAATGATCGCCACTGAAAGGAGTGGCCCAAACTCATCCAAGAAAGTATAAATTGGGAAGAAGCCGGTGTAATGAAGGATGCTCATGACCAGTATGGTGAAGTAGAAGCTGGCATATGCAGAGCAGTGATACTCCAGTTGTTTCCCTCCCAGATGAAGAAGAGGCTTTCCGTAGCAGGTGAATCCGGGTAAGAGGACATAGCATGCCCCCTCAAAGATGTAGTATGTCCAGTAGATGCGCCACGCCCTGAAGTGAGGGTATGCCTCTGTATGGACGATTTGAAGCAATTGTATCCCGAAATCCTTCCACGATTGTCCGTTTTGGGGAAGAGGAAGCTTTCCATCGTAGAATGTAGCGCCAATCCACATGTAGTACATCAGAAGAGGGAACCCGATCATGAGCGCTAGGTTTCCGAGAGAGCCACCAAATTCGAAATGTCCGGAGTAATCGACTTTGGGGTCCATGCCAGGGCGCCATCCTCCAGTAATGTGCTCTCTTGCGAAGTCATCCTCGAGTGTTGTGTTGGTTGGTTTAGACCCGTTGAGCTTGCGATCGTTGTCGGGCTTCCGACGAGGTTTGACCTCTTGATTCATCTTGATCGATGCTGGAGGAATTCAATATTCCCGCAAGACTGGGTGGTTGAGGCAGATCACAGTGGACAAGTTTGTCAAGCAGGAGCAGGCAAGTCGGCGAAAAGGAAACAACAAGCAGCTAGGAACCTTGGTATTTATATTCGCGGTACCTTTGAGGCACCAGCCAAAGGCTGCTCAAATTGTCAGTAGAGAACCTGGACATTGACCCGGATATACTCTTTGGGTTTAGACTCCGTTGTGAGTTGTGGGGGTCAGCTCGCTCCATTTGGGTTTAGACTCCGATGTCTTGATCTGGCCCACTCTTGGCCTTATTGTTCTTTGATTTTGGACACTATTGACGAGGATTTGCAGGGGATAGCCGGATTGACATGGTTTCATTGTCAAACCCGGAGCTTGACTGACATCTATCTATGGAGCCGCTCATAGGCGACCACGCCGAATGCCCGAGCAGCACCACGACCGAAGGCCTTCGAAAATAACATGTTGCGAAAACCTAGAGATGGTATGCAATATTCACCAATCCCTGACATTCCATCTCGGCCCCAGGGCCCCGGGGCCCGGGGGTCGATGTGACGTCAGGTGATCTTATCGAAATTGGATTATTCAGCGATCCTTATCGAACGGATCCCCATATCCATCCCAGGTTGGACTCACTTCAACAGGGAGCTATGACTGATCGGTCGGACTCATGACTTACCAGACCATCAGCATGGGTGAAAGTGCCTCCAACCGGGACCCTGGTACCTCGGAGGGCTCGTCATCGGACAGGCCTATGCTTGATTCCATCGATTCCACTCCAAACCGCGGAGCTCTCGCCACATCCCCGCAGAGCTTCACTCCGCGCTCACTGCTCGTCGGTCTCATAATAGGTGCCCTTATCACCTTCTCGAATACCTACTTCGGCTTGCAGACAGGATGGATCAGTACAATGGCGATGCCGTCGGCCCTGATTGGATTCTCGGTCTTCAAGGTCCTGTCAAAACATCTGTCTTTCCCGTTCACCCCGGTCGAAAATGTATTGATCCAGACCGTGGCTGGTGCAGTGGGGACCATGCCACTTGGATGCGGATTTGTTGGTGTCATACCCGCGCTCGAATTCTTGCTGAAGCCCGGTGAAGATGGACCCGAAGGCGATGGCGGAGATGGAGAGGGTGGCCCTTTGAATCTGAGCTTCTGGAAGCTTGTGATCTGGAGTCTTGGAGTCTGCCTTTTCGGAGTTGTCTTTGCTGTTCCGCTCCGCAAAGAGGTTATTGTCCGCGAGAAGTTGCGCTTCCCCAGTGGAACGGCGTCGGCATTGATGCTCAAGGTTCTGCATGGTTCCGGGAGCAATGAAAAGACCGTGGAGCCAGATAACATGCATTCTGGAGTCATCAATGACAGGAATGGGTCCACTCCAGTGTCACGGGAAGACACGGGTCTACTAAAAGATGTCGATGCTGAAGATCAAGCTTCCAAAGAACAGGACTGGCGTTCAAAGATGCGCCTGTTGATCGGCGCATTCACAGTATCTGGCCTATATGTTGGTGTCCCATCTTTAAAACCCCGCTGAAGTCGCGCTAACAAACTCAGACATTGTTTTCCTACTTCGTGCCTTTAGTTCGGGATATCCCACTGTTTGGTGTGAGTATGGCACACAACTGGCTGTGGACACTCAATCCTTCTCCAGCATACATTGGACAGGGAATTATCATGGGACCATCAACGTGCATGCATATGCTATTTGGCGCCGTGCTTGGGTGGGGGGTTCTATCACCATTGGCGAAAAGCCGTGGCTGGGCCCCGGGGCCTGTGGACAGCTGGGAAGATGGCAGTAAAGCATGGATCGTCTGGGTTTCTTTGGCCATCATGCTTGCAGACTCACTTGTTAGCCTCGGGTGGCTGATACTCAAGCCGATTGTGAATCGTTTGCCAAAGTGGATAGCTTGGTTCAAATCCACACGCACTGGGCAGTGGATTGCACTCCGACTGAACTCGAGTCAACACGCTTATATTAATTACTCTGCACTGGACTCCGAGTCTCATGCACTGAATCAAGAGGATGACCACCTCGCACAAGGCCAAAAGCCCCCAAGCGAAGAGGAGTATGACGCTCCACCGTCTCAGCTCATTTCCACCCGCACAGTGGTCATCCTTCTTCCATTGACTCTCTTACTGAATGTTGTTTGCATGCACATTGTATTCGGTGACATCATTTCCCCCTTCCTCTCCACCTTGGCCACTCTCCTGGCTGTGGTACTATCCATCATGGGTGTTCGGGCTCTAGGCGAGACTGATCTCAACCCAGTGTCGGGCATCAGCAAGTTGACGCAGCTTCTGTTTTCCCTCGCCACACCGTCATCGCACTTCTCCAGACGTACTGCTCTGGTCACGAATCTTCTCGCTGGCGCAGTCTCAGAGTCAGGAGCCTTACAAGCCGGTGACATGATGCAAGACCTAAAAACAGGTCACCTACTTGGCGCCAGTCCAAAAGCCCAGTTTTACGGGCAGATGATCGGAAGTCTCGTGGGTGCGGTTCTGTCTACGGCCGTCTACAAATTATATGTGAATGTCTATGAGGTTCCTGGCGATATGTTCCAGACCCCTACTGCTTACGTTTGGATCTTCACTGCCCGTCTGGTGACTGGCCAAGGCCTACCAGACATGGCCTGGCAGGCCTCCTTTATTGCCGGCAGTGTTTGGGTTCTGATCACTGCCCTGAGAATCGCGACTGCATCCCCTGCGTTCTCACACAACGGTACACCCCCAGTCTGGAGATCTTGGATACCAGGTGGCATCGCTGTGGCTGTTGGAATTTTCAATGTTCCCTCGTTCACCTTGGCAAGGGCAATAGGTGGTATTATTGCGTGGTGGTGGTCGAAGAATCATTCTCAGCCAATTTCCAACCAATCAACTGCAGCGGTGAACGCTCAGCCTGAAGCTTCCTCCCACACGGCTCCAAACCCCGAGAGTCTCACTGCACAGAGACAGTTACCAGACCAAGAACCTGAGAAGGCCGATGCTGCCTCGTCCACTGTCGTTGTGTTGGCATCTGGTCTCATTCTGGGCGAAGGAATCATGAGCATTGTGAACCTTCTTCTCGCAAGTGGACGGGTCCCGCACCTCTGATGCAGAAGAGAATCTGGAGCCCCAAGCCATGCTGAATATAGATTATCATGATCAAGTATAAATATCATAGATGGCATCTTACGTCTCTTAATTGAATTTCGGGTTTCTTTGGGGTAAATCTACCTTTCACCACTTAAACTGAAAGTGGGACAGCCAAGTGGGCATTAAACTGAGAACCGCGCCCTGGTATATGCCTCTCTTTTCTGCGCTCGGACTGGCATGTAATTCCAAGGTTGTACCATTATGCTAATAGCAATGAGAAGTGGTAAATTACGCATTATTCGATATCCAACATCTATTTCCTATCAAAATTTCCTAGAAATCCTACCTAGGTACGGTATAACCCATCCCCTCAGGGTCATAATCTTCCCATATTTCTGTCTGAGATGTCAGACCAGCATCGTGTTCTTTCCATTTCAATAGCCAGTGATGTTTCTCAGGCAAAAGTGGATACTTTCTACCTAGGTAAGGTTCCAAGGTTCAGCAGGCAACCCCAGAAGTTTTGGATAAACAAGGCGAGTTCAGTTCATCCAAGCTCTCTAGCTATGCAATGGTCTGCACCTGGGCAATCATCAAACAGGTTCAATATCAATCCGAAGTGTTGGGGTGTCATAAATAGAACGCCAAGTGATGACGCGAGGTATACACACGCTACCTCTAGGGAAAGAGGATAAAACTAAGCGCACCGCGGCTCTGCCCAGAGTTGTACCCAGAACCTCTTGGTACTCGGGGCTACCATGCTCAAGCTCCAGGTAATCGTCGCGGTGAGAGTCGTTAAGAACCATGCTGCGGCACTTAGGGTAAAGCTCATCTTCTATATATCCTAATGTTTCCGGATTGACCACATCGTTAAATATAATGTGTCTGAGTGTTTGGATTTTGAATGTAGCGTCGTAGAGAGCTTTGGCGATTTCGTTCCAATGAGGGCCAGAATTCCTGGAAATGCTTGTGGCCATGATGACTCCGGGTCCCATTATGTGATAGTAAGAATTCACTGATAGAGATTCAGTATTCATTGACTCGCCAGTAACATGTGTCTCCAGATACACCATTCCCGAGGCAATATTCATCGATTCGGGGTCTCCCCCTGCGAAGTATGGCTCTGGGGCATCCGTGAAGGACTCTTCCTCCATCTTGAAGTGATTTGACCCAGTAGACCCGCCAAGCAGTCTTTCTCTGGTCAGAGTTGCAGGTGCAACTTTGCAGCCCTTTGAACTCGGATCGTCAACCCAATCCTGATATTGAGCTCCAAGTCTGCGGAGCCGTCTCTTATCCTCTGTCATTGAAATCTGTATCGCCTCGGCCATGATTAGTGAAGAAGAGGGTGTTCAAAATTTTGTAGCGGTCACTGTGTCTTGAGAATGTATCTGTCACTGGGCAGGACCTCGGGATGAATGATAAATAATTTTGAGCCCCAGAAGCGACAAGCAGGGACTATATATATGTGTTAGTTAACGAAAAAGGGAATAATTCCTTTTTCCCGTCGCGGTCTATGGGATTCATCGAATAAAAGAACATTGACCAAATCTCTCAATGACAAGCATATACAAAGAAGCAAAAAACTTAGAATAATGTTGATTGACGGGCAAACAAAGAAGCTAGAATGCACAATTCAGATATCAAAGGCGAGACAAAGCAACGCACGTTTGTAAATTCCAAGGTTACGACCTCGGGAGCAATGGCACGCTGACAGAGCCTGTAGACTTCCAAGTTACATGTCCGTGGATAAATCTCGAGGTTTATTTTTATTTTTATTTTCATTAGTCGATACTGGACGTTGGAACACCTGGACAATCGATAGTTGAAGAAAGATCTATATACCAGAGCTCTACACGGACAGAACAGGGCAACTACTCATGCCAAACGAGCCGTCGACATGTCAAATTAAAAGTTTATGTTAATCTAAGATGAGACCACGGCAGTGGATAGACTTGCCTAGAATGAACCTCTTTTTGAAGACAGAAAGCAAAGGAAGAAGAAAAGGGGGAAAAAGAAGAAAAAAAAGCCATTTTCCAGGTTGATTTTACGAAAAATATGTATATGTACCGGACAATTCCTGGCACCTAGGACATTTCCCCTTCTATTTTGGCACTCACATCTTGCCACTTCTTCAAGGTTGACCTCGGAATAAAATGCAGCACACCCGTGAATACTCTGGCTCAGTTTTCCAAGGCGCTTGTTCATGCAAGTAATAAGTCAAGAGTCTTTAGCCTCAGGCGTGGATAGATTGAGATTTACAATTTTCTTTCCCCAAAGGCGCATCTTAAGCGCAAGGAGGTGATGGATGTAGGAATGAAATGCGGAAAATCTTAATTGCTACACAGCCGACTCACTGTCATTTAGTGTGGTAAGAAACCTTGAAGGCGAATGAAGATTTGACAAGTCCATATACGACCTCGGGAGGTATTGTCGGGAATCATGTGCCCGGCATATGAGTCCCATTTTTCGTAGCTCGCTCAGTTGCTTCAAGGCTCTCAGTTTTCTAGCCTAGCTTTCTCTCTTCTTCCTCTACTAGCGAATCGATCAATCTTTGCCTCTGTTCGACCTGGATAAGCGCGTAGCTTCTCCAACAGGTATAGAGAACAAGATCATAGATGCTGGCTGTGTATGATAACAAGAAAAGGCTTCATGCCGAAAGGGCCGGATGAGCCGGCCGTCGCAGAGACTACAGATGTCCCGGGATGCGCCAGGATGGCAAACGTGCGTAAGTGAGACAGTGACAGTGTATGAGCTACACATGTTAGGAGACGAAAATAGCACTAGCACACTAATCCCACGAGGGAAGTCCAGCAGCAGTGGAGGTAAGCGCGTTAGATCTGGTAAAGCCGCCATCAAACGTCGGCTCAAAAGATGCTCCATGATCAACGCAGTAATCAGGATGTTCCGTCGATTGTGTAACATACCACGACATAAAGACCAATAGGAGCAGGCGTTAAGTGGTCTCTCAGAAATCAACTTCCGGTGACGTCGTGGTCTTCTGGCCACATGAATGCTTGGAAACCATCGTTGATTATGGAGGGATCTAGGATTCCAAGATCCAGCTCCGGGTACGTCAGACCGTCGAACGATGGTTCACTCGCAATCAACCTTGGATGGAATTCATCAAGGGGCGAGCCGGCTTCTTGGTAAGCATGCGACATGGCTTCTGCTGCAGTCGCACCCTCACGGGACCAGTGTGGACGCCCGACTTGACTTTCTTCAAGCGCTATTCGGCGGATGATTGACTTGATTGACTCGGCATGTCTGTAGAATTCCTTCGCCGCGAAGTTGCCGTTGCTGTCAAGCTGGCCGAGTATCTGTACAGCTGTCTCAAAATCATCACCATCGGCCAAAGAACCGGGAGTATTTGCAAGATAGGATATTGCAAGAACAAGAGACGCGGAGAAGAGGTATTGCGTATAAGTATGATCGAATGTAGGGAACGATCCATTGATCCACGAGTCGATGAGAATGTGGAACGACCGCCTGGCATGTTGACAACATGCCTCAGATAGAGCTGTAGCCGTTTGGTTAGGCGTTGGCGACTCTCTCTCCGCGCCGTGGACAGCTGATAGACGACGCATGTGAAGAGCATAGAGGAGAACAGGTCTTAAGATGAGGATAAAACACTGAGCCAGGTTAGCAAATCCACGAGACCGGAAAAAATCCTCTCGAGTAGCTGGGGGCTTACTTGGTTGAAGTAGAGATATAAAGTGACTATAGGCATGGGTAAATTAGGTGGCACTTGACTAAGGGCCGATCGTAGAGGAGCAGGCAGTTCCTGCAACCATTTATCCAGATCCCGGAGGCCTTGTTGTACTCGATCAGAGAAGGTAGTCTCCTGTGGCCTGCGGCTGTACGTTGATGCAGTGATATGAGCACCCACCCTAGCCAGACGAATACTGGCCTCTAAGTAATCTGTGTCCGCGAAATCTTCGGCGATGTCTGACAACTCAAAGTCGGACGGAAGATTGACTTCAATATCCTCATCCTGTATGCTTACGGGCTTTCCTAGCATAGTAGCCCAATTTCGATCGAGTATGTAGGCTGTCCACCAAAGGCGGTTTCGGTGTTCCTGTGTTTCGCGATTTGGTAGTTGATCTTGCGGGACATTCAAGTGCAGGCCTATGATGATACCGAATCGCATAGCCGAGCCCACCATACAGTATGCAGAGTAGCGACGATTCATGACAAGGGAGTAAATGGACTGTGGCAGATTAGGCCTTGCCGTATGGAGTTGTGGAGACGACTTACAAGGGAAAGCATGATCTCAATGCATTCTATTCGAGCTTGTTCGCTGAAGAGCCGAAGCATCCGGGTTGCACTGGCATAGTATATAATACCAGGGAACTCATTATCTGGATGCCGGGTCCTGGTTGAGTACACCTCACCCAATGCAAAAAGCGCGTGAAGCTTGCAGACAGACAAGAGGTCACATTGATTTGGTTCTCTGATTGCCTGCTCTAGCAGCCGAATGGCCGTACTCTTCCGTGTAAGATAGTAACGTCTGCATACCGTGCTGAATACCACTTTGAGAAGAAAGCGAGCCCTTGACGGGGTAGGCCAGTCGGTTCCTAAATGCCATAAAGAACAGAGAGTTTCGTCGCGGACAGTTTGGGTTGGCGGATAATGACACTGCGCTTTTCCCAGGAGTTCTTGGCGAATTTTCGTTGCAAATGCCGAGTCACTAGCCTCCCCCACAAGAATTGGCATCTCCGGAGTCATTGTGAAGAACCATGGAGATTCATCAACAAGCGGGTTACGGACACCTTCGGTTATCTCCAGTGGCCTTGAGGGACCAGTCACAGCATCCTGCGCATTGTTCATAGTAACATTACTGTCACAAGCTACCGGAGAGGAACCTGTAGCAACAGCTTCGTTTGGTTCAGCAAAGTCTGTTGAAGCTAGGTCAGATTCGCCTGTCGTGGTTGGACGGTGAGAAGTGGTGCCCGGCGGCACTTGGGCACAGCGCCGAAGGCGACCGATCTCATTCAACAAGTTGTCAATGTATCTAGCGAAATTCCTGTTAGCAATTGCCCACTCACAGTCAGGTAAAATAGTAACCTTTGCTCAACCCTAACCCGCCGGCTTCGATTCGGGTAGTCACATTCTTCTGGGTTGTTACTTTGCCGACAATTCGTGCAAGGCATGTCCCCGGTACACTTGATCTTTCGGCCATGACACCTGCGACAGCTATCACCGTTGTCAAAAAACAGGATGGATTCTCAAGAAAGGAGACTGCCTTGAGCGCCTACTTACGCTATGCGGGCATTTCTGGGTCTTTCCAAAGTAACATCGTCACCGTCCATGATGTAACGGAAATCGAATGATTGCCGTAAATCCGAAATTGCGACACCTGCAAGTCACATCAAGCGTTGTCAAGGGGAGCGCAATTCGGCGGAAATTGGTCGGTGGGAATGCGAGTAACCGAGAAGCTCACCAAAAACGCACGAGCGTTGTGGAAAGCGGAGTGCGGGCGCTGCACCCGTGGCCGTATGAATGAGGTCGGGAAGTCGCCGAGGTGATTGGCCAGAGAGCCCGCCCGCCCGGCGGTGGAGCCCGCTGACTCATCATCCCGCGGTGCCCCCCAGGCGGGCGGGGCCCCGGCTCCCAGCGCAAGCCGCCGGACCAATCGGCTAGATAGCTAGTATAACCTTCAAGGTTGGAACCAACCTCGGAAGCTACATAGGTATATACCTACTACTACCTCCAGGGCTAGGTACATACTACTCTGCCGGTTGCCGGCAGCACCCCCACGAATTTTCAAACCGACTGCATGACCTCCGCTCGCCAAGTGTTGATACTAATCATTCCATGTAATATTTCCCCTCGTGTACAGCCCCGAGGTTGTCACTCGTGCATTCCAAGGTTGTATATAGACATGGCCTATAGAATCTTCAAGGTTCAAAGGTGGGCACGGACTTCCGAAACTCCGTGCCCACCTACGGACCTCGGGAGTAGTACCGCTCTCATCAAGATTGAGCAGCTAGAGAAATATATGTTAAGGCTCAGGAACACTTGACAACTTGAAATGCTACGAAATTGAGGCAAATTGATCTTAGATCTTACACAATGATCCCAAAAATGAACCAGTTTGATGTGGCAGTGGTGGGACTGGGAGCTCTGGGAAGTGCTGCCACATTTCACGCATCTCTTAAGGGCGTCAAAGTGATCGGAATTGAGCAGTACGAGTTGGGCCATGTGCGCGGTGCCTCGCATGACACTTCGCGCATTGTTAGAACCTCATACGGAGAACATGAGTACGTTGCGCTTGCAAAGTCCGCATACAAGGACTGGGCGCACTTGGAAGAAAAATGCGGCCAGAGGCTGCTAACGCAAACTGGTGGCATCGTCTTCTTCCCTGAAAATGGACCTATGAGCGCCAGAGACTTTGCGAACAGTCTCACGGCAAATGATATTCCACACGAACTTCTTAGCGCCCAGGAGGTCAACAAACGATGGCCTCAATTCAACATCCCCTCATCGGTTACGACAGTCTACACGGCTGACACAGGCATTGTACATGCTGCTCGGTCAACAATGGCTATGCAAAGCCAAGCTCGTGCCAATGGTGCCATTCTGAAGGAAAATACCCAAGTCTTCCAGGTGGTGCCTTCAGTCGGCAGCAGAGGTGTAGTGATCGAAACCTCGAACGGTCCGTTCTTTGCGACAAAAGTCATTATTGCAGCCGACGCATGGCTCAATAAATTACTTGCCCCCCTCGACGCAGTGATTCCCCTCTCCATCATGCAGGAGCAAGTGTCGTACTACAAGCCGACTGATATGGCTTCCTTCGAACAAGGTCACTTCCCAGTTTGGATTTGGGAGGATGAACCTTGCTACTACGGATTCCCTACATACGGTGAACCTACAATCAAAGCGGCCCGCGATGTGGCAAACAACTTCATGACACCTGAGCAACGAACTTTTGTCCACTCGCCACAACTACTAAAAGAGCTTACTGAGTTTATGGCCCATCTCGTGCCCGGCAAGGGTCAAGTCCTTCGCACGGTGACATGTCAATACGCCATAACGCCATCACGCCAATTGGTTATCAGTTCGTTGGAAAGATATGATAACATTTTTGTGGGTCTGGGATGTGGTCAGGGTTTCAAATTTGCTCCTGCCATTGGTCGTATCCTCGCTGAGCTGGCCATCGATGGCAAGACGGATGACAATATTTCAAAGTTTGGTATTCCAAAGCTGGAAAGGACCACCAGCAAGATTTGATGTACTACTAGTAGATCTCAGTGGATATCATTCAAACGAGTGAAGGTGTCCACAACAATCCCACAGCTTTTCAAAAAATTTGAATTCTTTTACAGGACCTCATTCAATAGCTTATGGCAGATCTTAGCATGGAAAAATATGTATATTTTGAAAACCACCCAGTCAGATGTGACCGTAGCTACTCCCCTACCTAGGGAAATAGCTATAGCCCGCCCCCCTCTCCCTCCCTCTTTATATTAGCAAAGAATCGATTATTTACTCCAACGAAAGCTTCTTTTAGCATCTCTGCCAATATGTCTATAGTATAGTCTATCAAAATAGCTTTATGAACTCTTAGTACTAGGTAGAGGGACTTCGGGGGAGAGAGGAGAGGAGAGGAAAGAAGGAAGGAAGGAAGGAAGGAAGGAAGGAAGGAAAGAAGGAAAGAGGGAGTGCTATAGAGGGATTACTTAGGAACAGTTGGACGAAAATTTATATGATACTTAGGTATTTGGAGTGAGTGAGAATGAGAGAGAAGAGGAAAGCAAGACTCCGGGGCTATTTATAAAGAATCAGTCAGGCGATTCCAAAAATATGTTTATGCATAAGACTCTTGTTACAGATCCAGCTAGTGATCGTTTCAGATGGATCTAGGTATCAAAAAGGGGCTGAATGACTTAGATTTCAAAATTCCCCTGGCAGAGTCTCGCTTTCAGCTGCATCATGTGTATTTCTCATACGGAGTTTGAGTTATCAGCACAAGACCAAACCCCAGATTGCCCACCAGAATTGAAGGAATCAATGATTCCCACAATGGCACCGTAGGTACCACCGATCATCAAGAATGCACCCCCAACAATCATGAACGAACTCCAAAATACCATGACCACCCACTTCACATCCCGCTCCCGGTTTCGCCAGTTATCATACAACCACATACCACCCATTGGCTGAAAACACTGTAAGGTTGCCAGAAGAGCCCCAATCAAAGATACAAGACTACCGAATATCGGAATCCCACTGGCAATGCAATATTCGATTATGACAAGGGTCACAACACATCCAAGCCAGGTCATCCAATGCACAGTTGAGTTTGAAACTAGGTGATCCGACCCACGTAGAATTCGGACGAAAATATACTTGCCCGCCAGCTGCCAATGTGTCAGTGAAGAGCTAGCTAGACAGGAGCAAAGTCGCATCTCACATGAGTGCTAATAGTCGAGGCAACCAGTATTCCTGGAAGAGCTATCCCGTATGAGATCTGTTTGATTAGCTTCCCGGCTGAGCCAAGCGCAGGAGATGCAACGTAGGATCCACAGAAGTAATAAACCACAATGCCAACTATCACGTAAGTAACTGTGACAACGGATTGGCACAGAGCCAGTGCTTTTGGATAGTCCTGAGGCTTACGCATCTCGGATATGACCGGAAAGAAAAATGGCGCCCCGGCATATGCAAAGACAAACTGGGAGACAGCCGCTATTCCGTCTGTGAATGATGGATAGTTGATGATCTTGTAGTCAGAAACCCAAGGCCCAGCGGGGGCATCGCTCGGGCGATCTTGGATACCAACAGCAATGGTCACGATGAAGACTGGAGATGTCAGTGACCTGAGACTAGATAGCCGAGGCAGCCTACTCACCGGCAACAAGAAGTGTGACTATCCCTATCCATGCCAGAATGCTGATCCGATCTAGAGTTCGAATACTGGCCAGGCAGAGGATGCAACCCGCACCGATTGCAACAAAAGAGGCAGTGCATATGCTGTGAGTGGAAACTGAGTTAAGACCGATGGATATGCTCAGCATACCAGAGGCAGCGGCAAAAACCAAGTCTAGACATTCATCAGCATGAATTCAGTTAGTCAACAGTCGAGTCAGCGATGAGTGCTGGGGGAAAGTCCTCAGGAAACAAGAATTGGGAACAGCGCTGGAGCCATCTGGAGCAGCGTTTCACTTACAAAGCATAAAGCCAGCCCCCAGAACTTCGCGTCCAATTGGTCCTAGCATGAGTGAAGTAGCATCATCAATGCCGTACACTTCACGATGGTTTAGCTTAAACACACCAACTATATAGCTTGACCATGTAGTAGCAAAGGCAATACAAAGAAGCGAGATCACGCCGGGAACCATGCCCAACGTGTGAAATGCCGCGGGGATTGACAACACGCCGAGGCCAATCTGTATCTTCATCATAATAATAGATGTGCCAATCCACCCGAGCTAGAATTTTGTCAGCTTCATAAGCAATCGACATGACCTTGGGATGAATCAAAGCAACAAGCATACGCTGCGGTAGTTTGGGCCATCTTCAGTAATGACACCAAAAACACTGTCCTCGGCGATGGCGAGCTCGATATCACCTTCATCGGGCTGTGAAGTCTTTTCGAGATCCGCCCTTTTTTCTTCCATTGTGTGAAGAGCAGTTGATTGAAGCAAGCGTTTGAAAGCTAGGTCTGGACGTCTCAACAGGAAAATTGGAATGATATGTTTTATGTACACTCGAGACTCTCCACCCCCGCAATTCTGTTGCCCCGGATTGACGGTACCTAGGTATTCTGTGACGGCATGACAAATTGGAATGGAGCCCAGCTTCCTTATCCAAATCATATCTTGACACACAGTATCAGTATCAGTTCCAAGATTACATGCTATGGCCACTCAGGGCTCACAATATCAACGGAACTTCCGAGATACGAGATCAACAGACAGCGACTGCGTGAAGTGGGCACGGACTACCGCAAACTCCGCGACGACGGGCTAGTTTTTGCCCGGCTCATTGGCTGCTCCTCATCTGGTGGGCCCCCGGAGGTCCCGGGGACGGGGCTTTCGTTCCGATTACATCAATGATGTCCAGATCTGATGGTTTCGATTGGGGATCCGTCTCATTTACTAGTAATTATTTAGTACAAAGGCCCGCGTGCCTAGCTGACTTTGGGGATTGATATGATTGACGCAGATGGACAACAACATGCACTCGAAGGGAAGGCCGCCAGTTAGGGCGATAAACACTTGGTGATAGAAAAGAAATTATAACATCAACGCTGGCTTGTTTTTGCCAGAAGAATCATGGAACTAAGCCCAAGCGAGAACATCAAGGTATTTGGCGAAGGGGGTAAAAAAACAAAAAAAAACAAAAAAACAAAAACAGGGTGGGAATTGAGAAAATGTTGTGAAATCGGCCGTTGGGGATTCACAGTCAAACGCGCCGTTTGACAGTATCACCATCCAAACAGCCCTCTTCACCGGTTCTCTGTAGGATAAAGTAGCTCTCTTTCCCCTAGTTGAATGGATACGCCTTTTCTCGATCGTCTAGCCTTTCCATCAGAAAAGCTCAAAGATTTACCTACCTAGGCAGTAGACAAGCGTAGTAGCTGTTTTGGCCCCAACTCCCCAGGAACAAGCGGGGAATGCATACCCCAGAGGGCGGTGGCTTGGGACACTGTCACACTGATACTACTAACGTCAAAGAGATGCGGCGTGACATCGCTCGGGGGTTCTCAGGAATTTGCTCTTAATATATCCAGGCTTAATCCAATAGCTGGTCAGCTGTAAAGACCTCAATTCCCAGCTAGTAGACGAATGATGGTGAGGCCCCAATGCTCAATATGTATCCACCTGGGCATGGTCCATGGATGCAAGATGCGGCGGATTGTACCAGGACTCACGTGACAAGGTAACTGGCGGTTGACGGGCGACTCGCCTCATTGCCCACTTCATATCGGATGCTCGTGGCTTCTCTCGCCTTTCTCTCATTTCCGTATGTCACAGACCGACAGAAAACACGAGCCGCTGTCGCGCCAGGCTTGTGAGCCGTGCCGGTAAGTCAAAGACCTCTACGTGTTCTCTTGCAGCCACAAACAGAGCAGGGTTGACATCAGATAGCCGCAAGAAGACTAAATGCTCAGGTGAAAAGCCAAACTGCGCCTTCTGTACCAGGTTGAAAGTCCACTGTTTCTACTTGCCCAGAGGTTCGCCGCCTGCCAATGGCGTCGGATCCAGATCAGGCACAAGCGCGACGTAAGTTACCTCACCCAAAAGCGACTGTTGCGATGCAGATCTCATCATTTCCAAGTAGGGGATCTATTTCCAAAAATCGCTTTGAGCAGTTGGAGTCCCACATTCATGAACTATATAGTCTCTTGGGGTAAGTCCAGCAAAGACCCATGCCTTTGGATGTATCGAATTGACTGTGTGCTGTGTGTGGTGCTTTCAGGGCTCCATCGCACCGTGAATACCCAATTGTTGTAGACACAAGCGCATCTCCTCTTGGCTTTGAGAAGGCGCCCTATGATCTGTTGCACGCGAACCCGTTGAGCGCGCAGATCCCTCATCAATCTCCAGACGAAGAACGAAGATTTAAATCCGAAAGGTAGTTCCGAGTACCTTAAGCCTGGCAATATGTGGTCTGGGCCTAAGAAACCAAGACCCGAGCAACCCTGGGTACCTCTGGGAATGGATTTTCATGACTGATACTATGTTTGCAGACCGAGCCCACCGATAGAAGCATTGGAGCACTTTGTTGAGGTGTACCGGACCAAGTTGCATTTACAACCGTTACCTCTTTTCAATCTTCCAAACCTCGCAGAGCGACTATTGGCAGGCCCGCAGTACCTGCTGTGGACATTTCTAGCCCTATCACTGACGCTGTCGAGCCATGCATTCTATCGGGATAGGGAGACCGAAGCAAGAGACCTATACTCTCGCTTTTCAGAACAGGCCGTGATGAATATGGCATGGGATGGACGGTCAACTCCAGAAATCATTCAGGCATTATGTCTGGTAGCCTTAAGACAAATTCATGGTAAGATGCATCATTGGATTGAACTGGACTGTCCGGCACAACTAACGAGATAATACAGCCCGGCAACCGTTTCGTGCGTGGATGACTATAGGAGCTGGCACACGATTAAGCAGTCTGATGAACCATTCCAAAATGGTCTCATCTTCAATCCTGGAAGATGATTCGGGCTCTAGGGCTTTTTGGAGCCTTTATGTACTCGAAAGGCTTTTTCTCCCCCCTAATGTGGAATTGTCAGTATTCGAACTCCCAGAATACCCAGAGAGTCCCCCATTACCACCTCCAATTGCAGGTGCTATACCGGGCTATGTGCCAGACTCCACAACACCATCTGCACAAGAGACATCTTCCCTCGCGGGTCAAGGTATAGGCCCGCCATTTTATCGACTTGTCTCTATCTGGGGTAAGGTCAGGTGCTACCTGCATAGATTAAGGACAGGCGAGATTGAAAAGCCGTGGCTACCTAGCTCAACCCACACCAAGCTCAGTGTAGAGCTTATAGAGCACGAATCCCGAGTCTGCAGGGACCACTTGCTTTCAAATGCAAAGTTCTCGGAACGATCGGCCGCAGAGCTTGCACATTGTTCGGAATATTGGAATCTTTGGATTTCAGGTGAAATCCTTTGGCACGCAACATATGCCATTCTGAACCACCCTTTCATTCACCTTGTCATCTTGCGAGGTAATGACGGAATACCCCAGTCAAGCGGCTTCCTCCAACAGAAATCCGACCTAGCTCTTTACCACGCAAGCTGGGTGTTCCGTTTGATACAACTAACCGAAGGAGTCATGGAAATCACCAATCCTTTGATTGGTGATGCGGTTGCTGCTACCGCTACAGCTCTCTGGCCCTTCCAGTTTATTATGAACACCAAAATTGCCCAGGGGGCAAGCACAGATCTCATCAGATGTGACGCCTTCTTGAGCAATATGTCCCTTACCTGGCCACATATGTCGAATAAGGTATCATTTGGTCAAATCATTCAATAAATATGGCAATACGCTCAAAGCTAATACGGAATGAACAGCTGGGAGCTCTCAGGAATCTGCAACACCTCGCAGAAAGGAATCGCCAGAAAGCCCCAAACTGCGAATCATCAATCGATTTCCAGCCTGCCTTATTTTGGAGCTTACTTGATCCAAGGATTGATGAAGCTGTCCTTGACACCTCACCGGCCACTGAACTTGGGCCACAATCAGGACAAGTTGCGCAGTCAAGGATGTATCTAAAGACGCATTTCGTACAGCCTCTGTGGGAGAATCAGGGCTCCGGTCAGCAGCAAGAAGATGGACCATTTCCTGCACCGAACGCCGCCGAAAGCTTGCTCACGGATACGCATGATATGGAGCAGTTCAACATTGAGGAGCTATCCCCTTATTTCCTGCAAAGTGGATTGTGGAGTCTGCCTCATGATTCGATTGAAGAGGTTGCTCCTCAAGCCTTTTGAAGACAAGTTGCCTTGTCAATGCAAGAGGTACGGTGGTGGGAGCCGTTCTGACCGTCACGGATAACAGCCCACCGGAGGCGGTTCGGGTGCCAGGCATCAATATAGGCGACCTTACGCAGACCCCTGTGGGTGTTAGAGGGCAGTCTAGTGGCTCCTCAACGGGTGTGACAGGATGTAGAGACTACGTTCATGACAACCATAAATTGAGTTTTAAGATTGCTTTTACCACGAACTTGAGATTTCTCCAACAGCGCCATTGGGGTAAGTGGGGAGAAGGAGGCGCAGGATTGAGGTATGTATCATTTGGGGTTTGATTGCAGCTTCTTCTTGTATAGTCTATGAACAAGCCCGATTTTTGCGACTTTGAATGCGACGACGAAGGGTGATGCTGCTGCACTCGTACTGAATTTGGCAGCAAAAAACAAGCTCGTCGGTTTCGTACGGCCCCGGGGTACGGCCATACCCAGGAAGCCGAACTGTTGGAGATCACATGGTTCTTGATCTCTTCCAAGGTTTTTCTTCCCCTTTGCTCAGTTCTCTTGCTCTCTCTCTAGCTTCATCTCAATCAACTGATCGATCTCTTTCTTCTGCCTTCTATCGAGAACAAAGACAAGAAATAGAAAGAACAAACCCAGTCCGACAGCCTCTGGCATAGCCAGCCGGTGACCTTTTGCCACATAAACCGTGACGCCGACAAGTTCAGTACTGGAGAAAGCATGCAAACTGCATTTATTTAGCTCTGGCTTCATCACTGAATACTGTGTTCGACTGACACCTGAACCATTGTGCCCCAGAGCCCGACAAACTTTCCAATCGGTCCTTCAACATTGTACTCTGCGAATGCCCCTGGCGTGTGCCAAAATTGAAATTTCGTTCGATCGTGACTGCAGAAAGGGTGATTAGAAAATTTTCACATAGTGCACAAGAGAGTGCTGAAGTAACTCACGTCGGACCCCGGGGCCGCCTCCTAGAGCCAAAACCAGCATGAGAATGATGAGGCCAGTGATGGGTTTTGCCTGCTCGTACTGGTGCGCTTCTTTCCCAATTGAGAACGCTTGACATTCTTCATTTCGTTGGAGAAGCTACAGACTTATCCAGGGTAAAGAGAGAGAGAGCAGATTGATTGATTAGCTGAGAGGGGAAGAAGAGAGAAAGCTAGCTGGAAAGTATTCCTAGGTACCTATGTACCTAGCCCTGGAGGTACCCTAAGAACACAGGACTCGTGGCACATGACATGATTCCCGACACAATTATTTTCCCTTTTGGGCTTATGAATTTATGGATTCCTTCCCGTGGGATCCCTTGGCCACATCAGGTATCTGAAAATGACCATTCTTTTGGCGATGTTAAACCTCATGAGGGATCGGTTTTGGCAGCAAGTGGCCGAGAGGAGAAAAAGAGCATCTAGGCCCACACCCGGGCGGGCAGCCCCAGGCATTCCGGGGCCGGGCCCGTGGGCAGGCTCGGGAATTACCTAATATCCCGGGGCCCGGTGCCGGGGGGGGGGGATGTCATCTCCCTGCACCAGTCTTCCCCATCCCCCGTCTGATATTCTTCATCCCCAATCAACATAGTGTGTGCAACGTGAAAAGAAAAGACAAGTAAGCTTTCCTGAGACTCCCTCGATCGGTATAAATCGAAGCGATCAGCAACAGGAGGCAGAGGAGCTAAACATCTCACATTCTCTTTCCTCGGAAGTGTCTTCTGCTCTCCTCTACACCATTGCTGAATATCAGTTTCTTCGACTTTGAAAGTCAATCGCCTAGCTATGAATTCTCAAGGAGCGGAAGATTTGCCCCAAACGGTTCAAGGATGGCTGGAACTGGACAAAAAGTATCGAATCAAAGGACGATACGATATCTCGCAGGTCCTCGTCAAGGGCGAAGGCGTACGAGTCTGGGATGCTGACGGCAAATCCTACATCGACTTCGAATCCGGCCAAGTCTGTGCATCTACCGGTCATTGCCATCCTGCCTACACCAAAGCCGTCGTCGACCAAGCCGGCAAGCTTGTGCAAACCGGCTCTGGCTATACCGATCCCCCTCGCATTCTCTTGGCTCAAAAGGTCGCACAAATCATGCCTGGTGATTTGAGTCGCTCATATTTTGCATGCACGGGCTCGGAAGCCACCGAGGCTGCTATTCGACTTGCCAAGATTTACACTGGGCGTACAGAAGTTGTCGCTTTGACACGTGGGTACCATGGCATGACTCACGCCAGTCTGGCTGCCACAGGTCTAGGTGGCAAGTTCAAGAGCATCCCTGGTAGTGGTCTTCCAGGATTCATCCATATCCCGACACCATATGCCTACCGAAGCCCATATAAGGACGATCGTGATGATATGGCTGCATTCCGTGAGGGCATCGAGGCAATCAATTGGACCACCACTGGAAAGCCCGCCGCTATCATCCTCGAAGTAGTGATGAGTGTTGCTGGCATGATCATCCCTTCCAAGAAATACGTCCAGGCCATCCGCGAGTGGTGTACACAGACTGGCGCGCTGATGATCATCGATGAGGCTCAATCAGGAGTTGGTAGGACTGGAAAATGGTTTGCCATAGAACACTTCGATGTGATACCGGACATCATCACTACCTCCAAGAGTCTCGGTGGGGGTGTGCCCCTTTGCGGTGTTACTACTACATCTGATATCGCCGATCGGGTCGCCGAGCTTGGCTACCACCAGTCATCCTCACACACCGATGACCCCTTCTTGGCCGCAGTCGGGCTTGCCAACATTGAAATCTTGGAGAGTGAGAACCTCGTTCATAACGCAGACGTTATGGGCCGGTACTTGAAGGAGGCGTTCGAGAAGTTGCAGGCGCAGTACGAGATTCTGGGCGACGTCCGCGGCCTTGGCTTGATGATCGGCCTCGAGATCGTGATTGACAAATCTAGCAAGGCACCTTCGCCGCTTCACGCAAGTGCAATCAGTGAATACTGTCGTGCCCATGGCCTTCTTCTTGGTCACCGTCCAAACGGAGCTATTAGCGGCAATAACATCCGAATTCTGCCTCCATTGATCATCAACCGCGCCGAGGCTGATGAGGCGTTGGCAATTTTCAAGGATGCCATGGTTCATGCCGAGAAGACGGTGAAGGCTCAGGCTACCAACGGTACTGCTTGGATGTGATTTACCCACATCGACCTTGGGAGTTATCTAGCACGGATACGTCAGCAGCATTTTGCCTCCTGTCCTTTTGACGAGCTTGTTCGCCCCGTGAGCTGCGCAGGCGGGCTGCAGGGGCCCACCCCCTTCATCACAATATGTTTTCATCTTCGTGCAGTGTACATATCTTTGAATCAACTGTGACATTTCATCTGAGTTTTCTCCAACTTCATCGAGTTCCAACCTTGGAAGGTTTGAACCCGAGCTGGACAGATAGGACCTCGGAACTTGTCAGTCCAGTCGCTGTCTCTGACAACTTGGAATCAACCTTGGAATGGGGTGGACCATTGGGTAGGGTAAATATTAATGACAATGATAGCTTATTAGGTGGAAGATTGATACCCGCCTGTCCGTTCCAACCTTGAACCTTGGAAGTTCTGTCCAGGAGATGTTACGGAGCCAGACACTGACTCTACTAGGTCACGGGTGCAACGAAGTACACCTGGGCACTGCCCGATAGCATTCAGAAATAAAAGCGTCCGGATGAGAACTCCGTCAATTGCATTTGCTCAAGATAAATCTGAAGCTAAGCCACAAAACTATTAGAAAACCGGCCAGAAATGAGGATGCGCCCGTCAGAATCACCATTCCGCCATACTTGCCAACGCCAAAAGCATCCTTCTGAGTGGGACCAGATATCAAGGCTGCACTGATTGGGGTCACAAGAATGTTACCAACGCCTTGGAGAAACACAAAAAGCGCATATGTCGCGAAAATGGTCGATGGGTCATCAGATACAGCTCGTCCCATTGCAACGCGCATTGTGCCAAATCCATAACCGAAGAACCCATGCAAAATGCTGTACACAACAAGAAGTGCCATGGACTTTGCTAGACCCCAGAATGTGAATGCGGCAATAGCCGCCGCGGTACAGCAGATGATTGATAACGAATTGACCGAAAATTTCTTGTCTGACAGAAAGCCAAATGTGAATTGCCCTAGAACCTGCGCAATGCACATTACGGCCAAAAGGAGGGCGCCCTGGATAGAAGGAATGTCGACAGCAGTGGCGTAAGAGGGCAAGAATACAGCCGGAAAGAAGTGTCCCAGGCCTTGTGTGAGGATGGCAGATCCGTAAACCCAAAAGAGAGGACGTTTCAAGAAGCTCCAGCTAGACCTAGCCACTTTGTAATTTTCAGCTACAGGCAAGCGACCACTGAACAGTGGAAGGAGAGGAGCGGTCAAAATGGTCAATGCCACAGCGCAGGCCCGTAATGTCGTCTTGTAACCGTAGTTGTTCAGAAGGGCTTCGATGATGAAAGGCATAAAAGCACCAGTGACACCAGATGACGCTGAGATTAGGCCAAATGCCATGCCTTTGCGAACGACCCACCATTCGTTAACCATGCTGACAATGGGATATGTTAGGACCACGAAGCCGAATCCATACAGGAACCCTTGGGTTCCTATGAGGCCGCCGACAGAGTTTGTGAAAGATGCAGCAAGTAAGCCGAAGATACACAAGGGCCATCCCACCCATATCTGGTGTCGTTGATATTTCGGAAACTTTTTCGTGAGACCAGCTGAGAATGGTGCACCAAGATAGTAAAGACTCTGAGCTAGAGTGCCAATCAATGGAATCTTTGAACTATCTTTCTTGAACTCCGGAATGGTGGAATAGTAGTCTTGGAAGATACCAAAACACATGGGAAATCCTGCGATAGTTAATTAACAATGTACATGTATAGTTAGATGAGGCTTTGACTGCCAGCACTTTACCTACCCCAAAATAAAGCCTCGAAAATGACGCCAGCGATCAAAACTGTCCATGCTTTTCGCCCTTGATCAACGGGCGCCAATGTTTGGGAGACAACATCATTCGAGTATTCAAGGTCCAAACGCTCATCTTCAGCGTGTGGATGGGGGCTAAAAGCATATTGGTGCTCTTTTTCTTCATGCATGTCTTTTGCTTTTTTCAGATACACACCGAATATCACCAGTGTGTATTTCTTGTACGGAACTTGACTACCTTGCGTCAGTGGCCTTTATTCTCACAATTAGGGCATGGCCCCTTGTGGACGCCATGAGCCAGCACAACCAACCGGGCGGACCTTGCAGTCCGTGACCGAGAGCTCCGCAGCGGCCTTTGTGGCTGTCGCCGAGCCAAGTGACGAGTCTCAATAACTCCAACCAATTATAATATGTGGGTTTTCTGTCTTCCATGCCGCTATCGGGAACGGACGGGGCCCTGGAGAACTCTTTACGAGTCTAACAGCCTATCGCCGTAAATCCCGCTGGTTGTGAATTTCGATGGGTTATTGTTAGAGATCACATGATTCATGATCTCTGCTTCCTCCCCTTTGCTCTCAGTTCTCTTTCTCTCTCTCTAGCTCCATTTCAATTCTATCAATTATACATAGTAAAAGACTCGCAGAAAAGAGGTCAGATGTGGCGTCTTGGGTATGGATGGCTGGTTTCAGTTTCGCTCTATCCTTTGCTTTCATTCGGCCTGGCTGGACGGGAAAAAATAGCTCACAGGCCTAGCCCGTAGATATCAGACACATGCTATATTGAAAATTGCGGCCTCTGCTAAGCAGAGCCGCTCTTTCCATGATATGATGGGAGTGCCCACCTGGGCACCCGTGGACCTGGGGGGCCGGTGCTAGTAGCCACCTGACTCCCATGTGCGTAGGTGCACAGTTCCAAGATCTAGCGTCTTGACTCTTCCTCTCTTCCTCCTTAGTTTATGATATGCGCTTGTTCTGCGCCCTCTCTCTCATTCCTTCGTGCTTCGCGAAACTCGACCAATAGAAGACACGTGAGACCGACGGCGCCTGTCCCTCACGCCGAGCCGCCAGATGCCGGGCACCCGGCGCCCGCAGCGGGCCATGCACCGAGCCGCCGATGCCATGGACGAGCCTGCCTTTTGTGCAGCGCGTGGAGAAATAGGTCTTTTGACTCTATGTCAGCAAGCTAATATTCCAAGGTTGTTAACTCTTATCTAGGCCGGATCCTTCCTGAATGTGCAGAGATGCTGCTTCAGCCGGACTACTTGTACCACTTCGATCACCCACGCGGCTACGCCCTGGACTTCCACACAGTCAAGAATCGTCTTCTCTCGAGCTGTTTTCGACGAGCAAAACCTGATACTATAACGGATAATTTATCAGGAGAAACTGCCGATTGGACACGACACGGCCATGGCTTCAAAGGCCCGAGAGTTGCTACTGCCAGCCTTGGTCAAAAGCCGGAAGCCCAAGATTGAGATAGAAATGCAAAACGAGCCAAATGCCTATACAACTGGAGACCGTATTGAGGGGTTTGTTTCTATCACCATAGTGCAGAGTGACTTGATTGGAGAACCGGTCATCAAGCTTCGAGGTAAATGTGAACAGACCGTCAGTTTCATTTGATGCATACTGACACAACGTACAGGCGAGTCTAGGACTAAGGTCGAAAGACCATTCACCTATGGATGCACCCGTGTGGATCACGTCTTTCTAGAGGTCGACCAGCCCCTTATTCAAGAGCATACGCATCGCTCGGCGGTGGATAATCACTCCAAACACCGATTTCCATTTTGTTTCCTCGTCCCTGGTCAATTACTACCCAAAGCCTGTATGCACGAAAAGAGCGACGCTACTATCGAGTCCTCCCACACTATGCTTCCACCAACTTTAGGGGACTCTCTCTCTGGTGGATGTTGCGATTGGCCGCATGATGACTTGTCAACGGAAATGGCTCGGATCTGCTATTTCCTTCAAGTGGATGTTCTCAGGCCCTCGCCTGATATGGCCTCCCGTGAAATCTGGTCTTCCAAAAGGAAGGCAGTTCGTGTGATACCGGCGGTTCCAGAAATGCCTCATATTGATATGTTTGAAAGTGGTTGGCACTGTCCCCACAAAGAAAGAAGGTTGCGTCAAGGTTTACTGAACGTTCAGTCAGGACGGCTGATTGCCAAAGTTCTACAGCCGAAGGCAATTCGAATTCATGGCATGGGTGGCAAAGAATACGGATCCTCAAGTACGGCTGCGGAGGTCAAGTTGACCTTCATGACCTCCGAACATGCGAGCCCACCGGAGCTCCAGGCGATACGCAGCGAACTTCAGGTCTATACTTTCTATGGCATCAAACCGTGGGCTAAATATCCCACTTTATCTAATTCGGGTTGCTTGAGCTACGGCGAAGGGCGTCTCTTCTCCAGGATCTGTCCACTTGTCAATATCTCCATTACTTCTGTGAATTGGGATAACGAGTCAAAAAGCAGCAATTCTGAGCCAGCACTCTCGAAAGATTGTTCCGAAGTGTGTTGCACGGAGCTCAAAACTTCGACTGAATACACAGCTTCTATTCTGGTTCCCGTGACTCCGTTGAAATCAATATCGCTTGTGCCCACATTTCATGCGTGCTTTATTTCCCGAGTCTACATACTCCAACTCACATTGTCTTATCGGCAGTCGAAAGGCAGTTTGTTCACCTCAACTCTATCCCTTCAAGTTCCTGTTCAGGTTACAGCATAGGCTGGTTTCATTGTGATTCTAACAATCCCATTCGGTGGTCTGATCTCCCCTTCAATCCAACATGACGAACAAATGTTATACCGCAGCATCCCATAGGAACTTTTTGCTTCATTGCGCTGACGGTATTCCACAAATCTGCCCGCTCACTACTCAGGGAATGTTGATCTGATCCTGGCTACTGCTGCGAAGCACAGAAACCAGAAAAAGAGACGAAAGTGCTTGTCGCGAGGGAGGAAGAGAGCAAAGACACAGAGGCTACTACCTATGTATCTACCTGTAGCAGCGGTGAACAAGACAGTCACCCGTGGACCTGACCAGCCCTCGCAACAAATGGATGCTTATCAATATTACGTTTGTCGTAAACGAAGCACCATTCTTGTTACGCCGTAGCACATAGGTGCCCATATTAGCATATACCCCAAACAAGTCAACAATCAGGATTGAGATACTTCAATTTCAAAAAAGGTGAAGTGGGAGCGTGTCTAATTGAAGCCTTGCTCTTTGTGCCCAGATGGGGGTGCGTAGCGTATGTGGCTTCTGTGGTCGCTTACATGGAACTCGGATTTGTCTTCTGGGAGCCTTCTTGTGAGCTTCTGGTCTATTTGCGCAGGCAGGGTGAATATGGCGTGAATTTGTTGTCATGGCGAGTTTTCTATCGCACAAAATGCTTACAGCAGAGAGGCAGAAGCCGGAAGCCCAAACTGCGAGATCGAAGATTGGGCTTTCGGCTCCCCACCAAGCTGCCGAGACGACGCTGCAGGCTCTCAGGTTATTTCCTCTCTTAAACAAACTATTGATGGCTCCCATTCACTCTTTCCTTCTCATTCCCGCAAACATTTTTACGCCACTTCCCACCATTGGCCAGGCCGACGATTCATTCAATCTCGAAATTCTACCTTCTTCGAAACTGCTTGCCCACAACCCTCGATCGTCATCCATTGAGGACGGAAAACCGCAGACTGGTTTTTTTAGAGGCTGTCACTCCAACGGCATCTGTTAAAGCAAAGTTTGAGTTCCTTGACACAGACCAACAATCATATGCAAGATATCGAATTACAACGGAGAGGCTCTCCCCGTGAGGATGACAGCTCGCCTAGGGGAAGAGAGAATTTAGCGCTTCCACCAACGGACCGAGGCAAAGATGCATGGCTGACTCTAGCTGCCTGTTGTGTCCTGGAGGCATTGGTATGGGGTGAGTGTCTCAAATCCTGCGACCCATCAAGCTGGTCAAATTACAACATAGCCATCGCGACCCCATACCATCGGACCTTCGCATCAAAACACATTCCCCCACATAAACAGCCCAACAATATCTCATATTTATAGTGGCCTTCTGGGCTGACGGGTCACTCACAGGGTTTCCATTCTCCTTTGGAGTATTCCAGGAGTACTACGATCGTCAAGAAGCATTTGCTAGAGAAAAGTCAACCATCGCTGCAATCGGCACGACAGCGACGGTGAGTATCTGTGGCTTGGTCGTCAGTGAATGCGACAACTAACTATGATTGCATCGAATAGGGCTTGATGTACTGCACTGCGCCTTTTATTTACGACCTCCTTCGCCGGTTCCCAGCCCACAGAAAGATGCTTAGTGTGATGGGGTACATTGTCCTTCTAGCCAGCATAATTGGCGCCTCTTTTGCAAGAACAGCCTCTCATCTCCTAGCGACGCAAGGTATCCTCTATGCCCTTGGTGGATCGTTGCATTACTTTCCTGCTTACATATATCTCGATGAATGGTTTGTCCAACGAAAAGGCCTAGCCTATGGGATTTTCATCGCCGGAGCTGGAATCGCTGGTATAGTGACGCCATTCGCTATGTCCTGGATCTTGAATAAGTGGGGATTTAGAACAGCTTTGCGCACTTGGGCCGTTGTTTCCTTCGCCTTCACCTCTCCGGCTCTCGTGTTCATGAAAGAGCGGGTACCTCATCATCAAACCCCCCAAGGCCCTACAAAATTGAACTTGAAGTTCTTCAAAAGCCCAGCACTGTGGATTTTGCTGTTGGGAAATGTCATACAAAGCCTCGGGTTTTTCATTCCTACCTTCTACATGCCGTGTATGTGTTTTGGAATATCTTCAAATTTTTGAATGTAACATTGAAAAATGCGCTGACTCTGAATTGCGACAAATAGCCTTTGCAGCGTCTCAGGGATGGTCTACGCTTTCAGGAACCGTGGCCATAGCGCTATTCAGTGCTGCCAATGTGGTCGGCGCTACTCTGATGGGGTGGTTGGTGGATCGCTATCATGTCACTTTCGCTCTTAACATTTGCGCGGTGGGAACCGTCATGGCCATCTTTCTATTTTGGAGCTTTGCTGTGTACAAGCCAATCTTCTACATATTTGCGTGTTTGTATGGTGTGTTTGCTGGTGGATTTCCCGCTACCTGGTCAGGCTGCTCAGACGTGGTCAGACGAAGGTATCGTGTGGAGACCGGTATGATCATCGCTCTCTTTACGGCTGGTAAAGGCATTGGTTCTGTGGTATCTGGCCCGGTCGGTAGTAGCCTCGTTGCTAGTGATACCTGGAAGAACCAGGCTGGATTTTCATATGGTACGGGCTACGGCTATCTCTTCGTATTTTGCGGAGTTACAGCGTCGTTCACCACCATCGGGTGGGTGGGTAAGAAGTGCGGGCTAGTATAACTAACCAAAAATTCAAAAATTGCTCTTTGGTCATATTCAGTGGGCGAAGAAATGACAGACAGCGCAATTGACTCATTTGACCTAAAGACAATGGTCTCCATCTCATAGCATGATAAACGGTCTCCGTAATGATGCTGACCATTTTCCCGGCTCTTCCATGGCGACACACCGCAGATGAAGATGCCTAAATGAAACAGAGAATGATCCACCGGATGCCTCTTGTCGTGATTGACTGTAAGTGATGCGACTAGAGCGGCACCTTGTGAGAAGGCGATCACTGCGTCGAACCGGCCTTTCTCGTCGACGAAGCGCTTGATATCCGAGACCTTGAAGAACAGTCGTTACAGGGGCGGAGATCTGACGGAAATAATTGTGAAGTTGGCCGTCAGCACGCTCTTTGAGGTCTATTTTGGTGTAAAGATATTTGATGTAGTCGACACCCATTGGGCCAACTGGCCTATAATTTTCACGCTGAAGTCAAAAGGAAAAAAAAAAAGACAACTTGCGACCAAGTATTTCGCAGCTGAAATATGCTGAGATTACCGAGTTCTCAGTCGCTTGCTTTTTGGCGTGCAGTCAAGGCTAGATACCCCGTCAGGGCTTTCCTTTGTTCCTGGATCTTGATTTCTGCAAATCCCGTGTTAGATTGATGATAAAGTCACTGAAAGGAGCTTCTACCAGGAGAAGTAGTTGTTCTCTACACAGACAGAGAGACAGACAGAGAGAGAGAGAGAGAGAGAGAGAGAGAGAAATAATGGGAAAGCAAACGGAGGGAGAGAGCGGGCTATGGATCTTGGTAACACGGTCACCTGAGTCCTGACCGAGTGTTCACAACAAAAAGCAACTGGGCAGTCACATTCCATACTTAATACGATAGTATGCCATTTTTGAATCAATGTATATCTTGGCCTTTGAGCTCAACAAAAATTCCTGTCGTGTGGGGAGGCAGGATGTCGGCCAGAATTTCAGAACCCTCATAATTGGGTCGTTTCGTACGTCGTAAAATTGGTCCGCCATTTCGCCGCCCTGCTGAAACAAGGAATGGCCTGAGAGGACTGCAATTGTAACTGATTGTCAATTTGTTTACTCCAGCCGGGCGTTTTGTTAAATGCAAGACGCCACTGCTCCTGAAAATGAGCACTCTCCCCTCATTTAGCCTCGGCTCTTTTGGCTATCAATAAAGCAGCCTCTCACCCGCCCCCAAGGTCACATTAACCACAAGATCTCACACTCACTGCACTCACTTTTCAAATACAGAATGGGCGCAATTGCTGATACAGCCAGCTGGCAACAACGAGCAGCCAATAAAAGACAAGAATGTGCCAATAAAATTCCGGAAGAATGGAGAATCCCACCAAAGATCCTGGATGAGCTTGAGACACCATTTGCGGACAAGAAGAATGACCTGATCCGAGCCCAGACAATTCGGAAATCCGGCATTTTGACAGATAGGGAACTTGAGATTACCGAAGACTATCAAGTTGATGATCTGATCGCCGCGTTGGCAGATGGGAGCTTGACGTCGGTGGAAGTCACCCTGGCATATTCCAAGCGTGCAGCGTTGGCCCAGCAGCTGGTGGGTATTACAATGAGATTAATTACAATCTCTTTGTCTGCATCTCTACACGAGATTTGGATCAAATGCTGACTGACTGTAGGTATCATGTCTGACAGAAACAATGTTTGAAGAAGCGCATGAACGGGCGCTTCTTCTTGATAGTCAACGAGCTCAGGGCAAGCTCGCAGGACCGCTCCATGGTCTTCCGATCAGTATCAAAGACAACTTCAACTTCAAGGGAGTAGATTCTACAGTTGGAATGATCACCTTCTTGGATGATAAAGCGCAGGAGAATTCACCGCTGGTGGATATCTTACTAGGCTTGGGTGCAGTTCTATACGTGAAGACAAATGTGCCCCAGACAATGATGGTATGCATAACTGAATACTGTACCTGAGCAATCTTCGTTGAAGGACTAACTAATTCTCTAGACAACGGACTCACACAACAATGTCTTTGACCGCACTCTCAACCCATGGAATACTAGATTAGGCCCTGGCGGCTCTAGCGGGGGCGAGGGTGCTCTAATCGCTCTCCGTGGATCCCCGCTCGGAGTGGGAACTGATATTGGAGGTCAGTACTGAGCAAGAGCCTGTGTCGAATAATCTAACCTGAGATAGGCTCCATCCGAATCCCAGCACATTGCTGTGGGCTCTATGGCTTCAAACCAAGTTCCCAACGAGTTCCAAATGGTGGCATGCGCGGTTGCAACACCAGTGGAATGAAGTTTCTGCTCTCTTGCGCCGGTCCACTATCATCTGATCTCAATGGAATTGAGACATTTTTCAAGTCTGTTTTCGAGACAGAGCCCGCTCGTCTTGATTCCACCGTCCTCGATGTTCCATGGAGAGACGTTCCCGTGAAATGCTCTACTCTGAAGATAGGCGTTGTTCCTGAATCATCGATATTCCCTCTCCACCCACCCATTCGCAGGGCATTGACAGAGGCTGTCCGCTTGCTGGAGGCACAGGGCCACGAGATTATCCACCTCACCGAGGAAGAATGTCGCATCGTGGAATCCAACGAGATCGGATGGTCACTATTTGGCCTAGATGAGGGCTCCAAGAAACTTTTGGAATCAACCGGCGAGCCTCCAGTTCCTGCGATGCACTATCTTGGAAAGCAGGCTGAAAAGCTCCTTGGGTTTTATAAGCCAACATTGCCAGACACAACTGGCCTCGATCCCCTACACAAGTTAGCCTTGCTAAATACGCGCCGTGCCGAGCTAAGGGAGTCATATCGGAAGATGTGGCTGGAGCATGATCTTGATATCTGTATTGCTCCCTCCGCTCAAACGACAGCGGTCCCCCACGACACCTTCGGCGTGGCGCCTTATACCACCTTTACCAACGTTCTAGATGTAAGTCAAGTCACACCTGCGACATTGCGTTTCACAGACCCTAACAGCTATTGCAGTATCCATCTTTTGTCATACCCTTTGGTGAAGTCGGCGGAGATGATGCAAACAAGACCTTTGTGCCCAATGAACATCAGCTGGGGCCCGAATGTGAGTAGCGCCGAATTTGCCACAATGGCATCCATGTGTTGTTCTTGTCGAGTCTAACCAGCCGGTTTCCCCAGATAACTTCTCGGAAGTGGAAGGGACACCCTTGTCTATTCAATTGTTCACGAGCACTATGCGCGACGAAGAGTGTCTACAGATGGCCAAACAGATAGATCAGTGTCTAAAGAACAGCAACTAGACTTGAATACTCTTAGAATTGAGCTTAACGAGACATTCTTTTCATTCAGAGTTTCCAAATTCTAACCAGAGGACATAAATTATGTGGTAGTCATCACATCGTGAGACTAGCACTCGTAGTAAAAGGGTGCACTTTTTGAAATGACGAAGCAACGTGCTGAAAAGCTGTGTCTTCGACACTGGCCATGAAATGATCGTCCAGAGATTGCAAATTGAGGTGTGCCAGCACCAACCAGAACTCAAAATTATTATACTAAAACAGCTTTCCCGCGAAGTCACTGTGACTTTAGCTACTAAGCGCAGCATATGTTTCCAATGACCGTTTCCGAAAGAATGTGGGAATTCAAATCAAGACAGAGCAGCCACCAACCCCATAAGACCACCCAAGAATGGGAAGAAAGAACGGACAGTGTTGAGGGTAGCCCATTTGTTCAACAGGGCAGTCAGTCGCGAGTCTTCTTCTTGTGAACTCTTTTGATCCTTTCGGTCTGCGAACTCAAATATGCCCTTGTTCGTTTTTACCATGAAGAGAAGAGTCCACGGAACAATTCCGACGTTGAGTGCCGCGGCACCCCAGTGCAGCAAGCTGTGTGATGTCATGGCGCACCAAACGAATGATCCTGCTGCTAGGAACGCGCAAGGAGGCCCAACGGCGTGTCCTCGGCGGTAGAATCTAGCCCATTGCTTGGCTGCTAATGTCTGGGAGGTTGAAGTGGCTTCTAAGGTGGCAGGCACTGCGCCGTGGGAATAGGTAAAGATCTCGCCTGGAGAATGTGACATTAGTATCTTTTCGCCTCAAGACCTGACGAAGTGATGCCTACCTGACAGCCAGAAGGAGGACGAGATGGCGAAGACTTGAGCGAACTTGTAGGTATCCATTGAAGCGATTTTTGGGATGATATTCAATTCTCGACAGGAGAACCCTTGCAAGTCGATTCCATTTTATAAGGTTGAGGCGTCGTTACGTCAAAAGCCGACGGGTCCGAGTCCGAACATTCCGAGCAAAAAAAGCAAATTGGCAGATCGGTGGAAAGCGGTTAAGATCTTGACATCTCACGGCTTTTGCGGGTTATAAGATTAAGCGCATTTTGGTTAGTCTGTTGTTAAAACCGACGTCTGGATACAGAGCTCTGGAGGGTCTGTTCGGTCCAATAGGATCTTCGCTTTTGCCCCCCAAGCCGCCCAGTCAGCGGATGATCGACAAGCACTTGAGGCCTACAGACCCGGGTTAGTTGAATGAGCCAGCTTCATGCTACACGGAGTACATTGTACTGAACTCACTCATATAGCTGTGATCAGATAATAGTGTGTGTGGGATCGATAGATAGCATGAGCGAGAGCACGATGTTGGCACCTGGGCAGGAAAGAGGTCACAAAAAGTTAAGTTAAATTCTACATAGATATGGATATGGACTATCTGTGTTGGAACGTCTCACAAGATTGGGGTATTCCAGCTCATTTCAGCGTAACACGCGTATTCTTTGTCCGGGTCAATGTCAATATCAATCCAACAAGAAATTCAAGAATATGCTCGGGGCCTTTGGTCACAATCGAGCAAGATAAAAGACAAGTGCATAAGCACGGAAAAGAAGGGTAAAAAAAAAGGTAAATCAAGTTGCCGGCCTGGGGAAACATTACATGGATGCCATCAATGAATTTGACAGGACAGCATGAAGGACACGGATGGATAAGGGTTAGAAAAGGAATGAAAAAAAAAAAGCAATGAACAGAAACACAACAGAATATCAGAGTAGGAGCAGGTAGAAGCATATGAGAGAAATGAGCATGCAGAAGGTCTGTAATCATTCGTCACGGACGCGGGTAGGATATCAAGATTGGGTCAACAACGGTCGTATTAGGCAAACTCATTTCCGTCCAGCGGTGCACTGAGATGTCAGTGGATCTGCCTTTATTCTGCGCAAGGCATTGTCAAGGGACGAGGTTTTCATATTCACTAAGCGTCCTTGGAAGGGATGGGCTTTCGTGAGATCGAGCCAGATGGCGATGTAGGCGCAGAATCAGGGAGGGCTGGGAGCTCGCTAGTGGGGGCAGGAGCTGGGGCGGCAAGGGGGCTAGAGACTGATGGCGCAGCCTGTGCCGCCATTGGGGGAGCGATGTTACCGGCGCTGTTGCTGCGCTGGCGTTGGTTGACGGGCATCATAGGTCGCTGCATGCCAGGAGGGCCATATGGCCCAGGGCTCATGGAGCGTGGAGCAGGCCGTGGGACGGGAGACATATTGCGTGGGCCTTGTTGTCTGGGACCGGGGGACATGGAGCGGGGGCCCGGCGGGCCACCTGGACCGGGGGAAAAGGAGCGAGGACCAGGCATCCCACCTGGACCAGGTGACATGGACCGAGGTCCTGGGGACCCTGAGCGGGGAACGGCCGGGAACTGGACAGGGGGCATTGTGCCACTGGGGTAAGGGCGAGGAGGAGGTCCGGCGAAGCCAGGGCCACCAGGGGATCTTGGGCGAGGGTCCTGGGGGTAGTAACGACCACCGGGGGGTGGGCCACCCGGCATCATTGGGCGCCCATCAGGGCCCATAATAGGAGGGCCTCGGGCACCAGGAGGCGGGCGAGGGCGAGGCATGACAGGACGTGCGGACAAGCAAGATCTGGGAGCAACACCTTGTTGGGATCCGTTCAAACGAATGCAGAGGGCCTAGTTGAACAATTAGCATAATTCAGAGGGGATTTTTGAAGCATTACGAACCCATCCGTCATCGTATTCGTGAATCAGGCGCACGAGCGATCCGGTGCGAAGTCCAAGTTCGTCTTCCATGGTGGGGTTGAAGTCTAGTTGGACACGGTGGACATTGTTAGGGGGTGGGGGACCGCCAGGACCTGCAACTGTTGGTCCTGCTGCTGCCACGGCTGCACCTGCACCTGCTGCAGCGGCGCCTTCAACGAACGCAGGCATTGCCGCGGATTGGCTTGGTTCGGTTGGGGATGGACCGCGAGAGTGTGCAGACTGATAGCTATCGGAATCATGGGAGTGTCTTGATGATGCAGCATCAACAGCAGCAGTTGGCTCGACGTGGCTGTTGGTCGTTTCGGCTATCGAGGGGGGGCCTTCGGTGACGGGAGTGAGAGCTGACCCGAATGGATTCACTGGATCGCTGAAAGGATTGGGGCTGTCGACGCCAGGCTTGGGGGGAGTAGAAGGCGGCGATTCGCCAGTGAGGTTCCGAGAAGCAATGGCTGCCGAGCCAACTGCAGCACCAGTAGCACCAACTGCCACTGGGTTCATACCACTTCCGGCGTTGAGATCAGGCGCAAATTGAGTAACAGGGCGCACGTTGAGCATGGGAGGAGCTTGCGATGGCATCTGTGACTGTGGCTTGGGTGGGGGCACTGGCAAAGAGGAAGCATAGCCTTCTGGCAGGCCCTCGCCGCCAAATGCTTTCTCGCTTTCTTGCTGGTATCCCTCCTGGGATTCCTTCTTCTTCTTGCGGACGCAAAAGAAGATCAAGGCGGCAATAATTCCAACACCAAAGATAACACCGATAGCTATGCCAGCCTTAGCACCTCCGGTCATGCCTTCAGAGGCACTGGTTGAAAGGGCAGTGCTCGAAGATGAAGCGGACGAGTCGGTAGCCGAAGCGCCAGAAGTGGCAGCAAGGACCTTGTCGATGTTGCTGGATTCCGAAGTTGGCGATGCAGAGGTCACGAATGAAGTCGTGGTCACAGAGTCCTGGGTGTTTTGGCTAGTGGTGGTACTGTACGCCTGTGTGTCACTTGTTTCCGTGCTCTCTGTAGTCTCTGTAGTCTCAGCCTTTGTTTCGGTGGTTTGGGCTGTAGTCTCCTTGGTGGTCTTGGCCTCAGTGTGCTGCGTGGTAGTGGGTTCCTCTTTGGCCTTGGTGGTGGTGGTTGCCTCATCGGTTGTCTTGGCCTCAGTTGTCTGGTCCTTGGTCGTAGTAGCGTGCACTCCAACAGCGGCTCCGACACCGACGTTCCTCTGTGTGGTGGTCTCCGCTTCGGTTGTTTGCTGATTCCCCGTCACGTAGCCTCCAACATCGCCATCGAAGTCCTGATCCATGGTCTTGTACACGATGACAACATCTCCACGCTCTTCAATGTTGCCTCGTGGCTCTATTTCCTCCTTGCGCGCGTGAAGGTGCGCATGACCGTGCATATTGTCGATACTCCAGGAACGTTTGATCTGTAGTATTGACTCGAGCTATGAAGAAGTGTAAAAGAGAGATCGTAAAAAAGAAGAGGGATGAAGCAAGATTCCGACGCGAGGTGGAGAATCTACGTGCGGAATGTGGGTAGAAAGAATGGACTGATCTCGAGCACCGCCGAGCATCAAGTCAAAAAATGAACGGACGTCGACTTCCAGGTCGGACTTAGATGGAAAGAAAGGATAGAGAAAGAGTAAAGGGAAAAGCCTCAACACGAGGGGATTGTTGTTCGGGTTCTAGAGTCAGCCGCTAACCGGAATAGGCCGAGCCCCCATGCTTCCCAGGCGGAATTGTGCTCTGATTGGTCCAAGATACTCCGGTACCTGAGTGAACCGCTGGAAACGAGATGCATGACCCACTGGACAAGAACCCTGACCCTCTTTACTTTAATTGTCCTCGTCGGCGTCGACTTCTTCTGCAGTGATTTGCAGGTGCATGTAATTTCTCATGGCTAGTACGGAGGACAATGGCTAGCCTGAGACCACCATCGCAAATAATAATGGAGTCGGCAATTTCAATTGCGGTTCGCTAAGCCCAAAAACCTTGCAGCTGCCCGCGGGGCACAGACTCTAAGGCTGTTTCACCCTAGGCCGACCGCCACATCTTATTTGATCACTGTGCCCGTAATTTCCGACCTTGCCGACATTCAATTTTAGTCAATTTATTTCGTAGATTTGGGCTCCTGCGTCACGACAGGGGTAAAAACTCTACGGGCTCGGAGCCACATGAAAATCCTGGACGTCCATCATCGGCATGTGGAGAGTCGTCCGGGAAATTGTTCCTGGATCGTTATTGTGTTCTATTTTGGTCCGTCTGGCTCCGAGGCCTGCTCAGAAGATTGGATGTGCTAGTGTAGTACGGGGCTGGACGGAGGGCAAGTAAGATGCGAGTATGGCTGGATGGCTGGAAGGATACCTTGCGAACGCCACACCCCTTAATGGCCTGAAAAATGCAAGTAATGGCCGATCCAGTCGCTAATTGTGCGATACTTTATTCATGAATCGTGCTCATTATGTGATTGGGTCTGGATATCCATCTCCATAATTCGGCTGCAATTCCACGCTTGTGATTTCCCGATCCACTCGTGCGGCATACCCCGTGGAGGCGCAACGGTCGTGTGGCGCAAGTAGTCCCAATCTCGTCTCAAGTACACAACGGATCTCAACTCGCGAAGTAGGCATGGTCCAGCGCCTGTATGTCTCGTTAATCACGTAAAGGCACAGTAATATGCTATGTCGGGTCACATACCTTCAATGCGGAAGGCCTTTGGCTGCTCTCGTAGCACAGCAGATGGCTGACCAAATCGCGCCCCTTGGAAGACACACCGGGTAGGATATCTTCCCAAGCCTGGGGAGGAAATTTGTGAAATTCGACCTTTCCCCAGTCCGGTAAGACAGAGACTTCCTATTCGTGGTGAGTGAATGTCGCTACGGCTGAACATCCAGTGATCAACTTACTGGCCAACGTTCTTCATCAGGGGTTCCCATTAATTTGAAAATGGAAAATATCAACGAGAGATCGCTGCCAATAGGGCCAGAGTCAAACAGCTGGCGGTGGCCCACTGCGATTGCTTCTGCAACTACACATCCAGCAGCCCAGATATCGAGGGCCGTTCCATACGCCTTTTGTCCGAACAGAATCTCCGGCGGCCGATAGCAGGTGGTGCCCACGTCTGTAATCTTTTCTGCCGGTGCCTCCGAGCCCGCATCACTTTCTTTCCACGAAATGCCGAAGTCTGCCAGATAAGCTGGTCCATTCGGAGAGTTCATCAAAATGTTCGAGGGCTTTATGTCTCGGTGGATGATGCCTAGCGCGTGGATATGTGAGAGCGCGATAAACATGTCACGAAGAATGGACCTAATCTGAGATGCGGTCACCATATCACGTCGAAGCAGGTGTTCAAAATCATACCGGACGAATGGGAAAACCAACACAAACCTTCCACCATCAAGGTTGAATGTGTCTTTGAGAGGCATGACATTTGGGTGATGAGCTTCTCGAAGTAGCCGTGCTTCGCGGTGTGCATCATGGGGAGCTGTCATCATATGGGGAACGGTGACTTTCACAGCCGCAACAACTCCATCCGATCCCTTTGATCTGTAGATCGTAGAGTGCAGACCATCAAAGTGGGGGAAACAGGACGTATATTCCCCAATAACTTCCCCTGGTGAGCTCTCGAATTCCTCGTTTTCATCTTGAGCATGGTTTGAATCATGAATGGCAGAGTCTGAGGAGCTCTCTCTCTCGGCCGTATCAATTGCCCGTTGACGGATGGAATCGTACTCTTCCTGTGTAGAGATGTGTCAGAGGCAAGCTCCACAGAACCACATTCCACAGGCCCAATAACTGACTTTTGAGCCAGCTTTATCATATGCCTCAGCCTCGCATTTCTTTGCACTGGCCAAAGCATCTGCAAATGCGGCTGAAGAGTTTGTTTGCTGATAGGCCGTAGTGCTAGACCCTTGTCAGACTTGCTTCCTGTAGAGAGCTTGGGTTCCACTCACAGAGACTGTATAGCTTGCAGTCGATCACTAAAGCCAAAGTGGTCTTTCCAAGACATGGTTGCTAGCCTATCCCATACTATCGAGGCGACGGGTAAACATCGCGAAGTAAACACGGAATTGAAAGAGCGATGAGTACTGACCGTGTTGCGAGAAAGACAGAACCACCTGCAGGAGATGGTTTGTTTCAACAAAAAAAATTTTATGATGGCAGGAATATTGGATCTTCTCTCTGCAAGCAAGAGCCCAAAGCCGCCTTCGATGAAACTCAGCATCGTGAGGCAACAAGGCAGAAATGGGGCCGATGATGTCATGTGACTCTTCCAAGGGGGCGGTACGGTACTGTAACTCTGCAGGCGGGTACACGATACCTTGATTGGCAATATGCCGTCAAAGACGGAAATACCAAAACGGCGTCATTCCATCCCCATTCCCCATTGCCCGTCCTCGGCCAACATCGAATGACACGCTACCAACTGACACTGACATTACCCGATCCCGCATTCATTCTCCTTACCTAATTGGGCTTGTTCTCGCCTCGAGAACCTGGGGAATCTCTTGGTTTTCTCATTCGTGTTATGCGCCTCATGCGCTACGCCCAATACCCCGACACCTGAATCATGGACCTCTCACGGCAAGAGTACCCAACGCTGCTGGTATGATTGACGCATGCGAGCTTCCAATCCGACTCTCCTGTCATTATACTGATCATTGGCGATATCTACTTCATTTAGGCCACCCTGCAACCCAGCCAAGCTACGACCGTGCTCAACGATCGCATTCGAGTGATAAATAAGATCAATACGGACATCGCGGACTACCTACAGGTATGGCCCCGTACATTGGGATTGATTTGAATTCCGAGGGAGCGATCTGCGGCTCGGAAGCTTCCACAGGCATTGACAGTTGGACGGTAGGAGCGACGTCGCGTTGAAGAGACATACGCCCAAGGCCTACGGAAGCTGGCGCATCGGCCACAGTTGGACAATGGAGCTGCTTTAGGGTAATCACATCCCCATCGGAGAGATCAAAGCTCTATCCCGGCCCCAATCTACGATTCTGACGATTCAACACAGCATTTTCCAAATCCCCTGGCAACGAATCATCAACGCTACTGAGACGCTTGCCGTATCGCACGAAACACTAGCCACCAAGATCGAAGAAGATGTCGAGCGACCACTAAGAGAATTCCATTCTAAGAATCGGGAGATGCAATCTATGCCAGGGATCCAGAGCAATCTGGCGGGGCTGGCCAAGAATGTGGAGACTGCGCAGAAGAAGGTAGATAAGGCTAAGTCGAAGGGCGCAAAGGGTGCAGACAAGCTAGCTGCTGAGATTGCCAACGCGGAAGAAGTTTCTCAGCAATGGGAATCCCGAGCACCTTTTGTTTTCGAGCAACTCCAAGCCGCCGACGAGACCCGACTGAACCACCTCCGCGATGTCTTGACACAATTGGAAACCCACGAGGTAGACCAGGTTGAGCGTGGTCGCCAGGCCGCTGAAACTTGCCTGAACATCCTCCTCAATGTGGAAACAGCGGATGAGATCAAGACCTTCGCTGCCAAAATGGCAGGGGATCGGGTCCCTCCTGCGACGGCTGTTTCTCGCAGACACACAGAGCGCGCGGAAACACCTTCTGGGCCCGAGCCAGGACCCGAGCGCGCAGCAACGGCTCCTCTTGAGCAGATGGCTACCCCAACGGAGGCACCACTTTCGCCTCCTTCTCGCACTCAGGATGATGCTGCAAGCCAGTATTCAGAGCCATCCGAGAGAGCTCCCGCTGCGCAGACACCCCCAGGTAAGCCTTGTTGCGGTTATGGCCCCGTTCTATTCAGCGTCTAATTGTCACTACAGTACCGGAAGTACAGCCGCGACACACACCCCTGGGAGGGTTGAGACGACTTGGCACAGTCATGAATCGCAGGAAGAGCGTTGTCGGACCTTCGGCAGGAACCTTTGATCGAAAGGCCGACAAGAAGCGTAGTCCTTTCGCTGCGTTCATGCGGGCCGATTCTTCTCGAGATATGCAAATACCGGAGTCTCCTCCTGGAACTGCTTCTGGTCGCCCGGATACGTCCTCCGCCGAACACTCATCCCTGCGCAACCCCAGTGTATCACATGATCAACCCACTTTGGATGCTGCTGCTCCCATCTCTGATCCGTATGCCGGGGCTGCCACAAACGGTGCCATAAATGGTGCCGCGCTTGATACTCAGACTGGGTTGCCTGACAATCACGTCAATCAGGTAAGTTCCGGCCAACCAGTAACCAGTGTTTGAATGATGGACATTGACTAAATTTCCCTAGCCACAGGTTGATTCGGAGGGTTTCACTGAGCGTCCATCAACTATCGATGAAATCACACGTGCTCAAAATGAAGCAGCTGGGTAAGTCATGGCCAATTCCTTTACGGGACAAAGTCTAACGCGAGGAATGTAGCATTGATGAATCGGCCCTCAACTTGACTATTCGGGACCAACCGATCTTCGAGGATGAGAGTCAGGCAAAACAGGCTATGGACGACATGGCAAATACTTTGCGAATGGTTAGTACCTCTCATTGTTTGTTTCTCGCCTGGGTCTATGTTGACTCTTGCTATAAAGCGTGCCCAGGCAACAGGAATCCGACGAAATGCAGGTACTATTCGCGGTCGTCGCGATGTACGCAATACGGTTTTCGTTCCTTCGCCTAGCAATGAGCTTCCACCAAGTTCCGCGGGGTCGGAGTCACAGGCGCCCACATCGCCCATCAGACACATGGCCTCCCCAAGTATCGCGCCCAGTGTTGCAACAGATGATCACACCATGTCGGACACAACATCTGTTCGCTCCGGGCACGGTAATGTCGCTCAAGGACCATCGGTGCATCCTGATCTATATGAGTCGGGACTCAATGCCTCAGTCATTGAGACTGTCAATGCATGGTTCTCTGAAGGAAGTGTTACCAAGTCTTTCGTCGTGGGTGAGCTTGCTCTGGCGAATAACCCTACGCCTGGCTCCACAGAAGATCACTCTCGTATTCGCCTTGATAACTTCCAGGTCCTTGAGAAGGTGGCAGCCAACCCTCACTTCATCAAAGAGGCTGCCAAGGATCCCACCGACGAAAAGCGAGGAGAGTACGATGTACAGCTGGGCAGCATTTCCCGTCCCATGCCAACAGTCGCGTTCAAATACCAACTTCACCTCGATCCAACCAACCCTTCTGCGTACTGTCCCGTGATTTTCAACCCAGTCTGGAACCTCGAGGAGCTCCAAGCCAGCGCAATCATCTACTACTCCCTCAACCCAGCCTTCATCGGCCACCCAGTCGAGTCCATCTCCCTCAAGAATCTCGTCCTGACCATCAACCTGGACACCGCTGCCGAAGACGAGGTCACTAAGCAGCCAAGAGCGTCTGTTGCCCACGCCACCAACGCTGCAATGTACCCGAACACGGGTGCTGTATTCCGCCGCAAGACCTCAACTGTTACCTGGAGGATCCCCGAGCTGGAAGTCAAAGCCATGACTGCTCCAGGTGCAGAGGGCAAGTTCCTTGTCCGCTTCTCGACATCGACTCCAGGCCCTCGCAAGGGTAACGTGGAGGCTAAGTTTGAGCTTCGGACTGCCGATTCCGCCTCCCAGCTTGGTATCAGCCGTGCTGTATCGGGTGGGGAGCAGGAATCCGATCCTTTTGCTGATGAGGATCGCGAAGCTCAGCCCTCCAGTTCATGGCTGGGTGTCCCGACTACTCGCAAGTTGATTGGCGGGAAGTATGTATCTTCCTAGCTGACACCAGTCACAGCATAGACCTTGCTTTTAGTATATACTGTTTTTCTCTGCTGGATTCTGGCAGTGATGTTGGTACTGATACTTCGGTCATGCCTATTCCAAGGTCACTCAAATAGGACACAATTCGTCGTGTCCGCTTTCTCTTCTTGTTTCTTGTTTCTTTCCCTTTTTCTTGTTATTTCCCCTCATGTTTGTCAGGTCTTTTGAATCCCTACCCATGCAAATAGCGTTTTGTTTCTTGCTGATTATTTTGTTTCCCTGGATACTGTTCTGTGTAGGTAGGCATCCCAGTGTGCGCTTTCACCGGCCCCGTTTCATTTGATACGGAGGCCATCATTTTGTTTAGAGTGCAATACTTAATGGAACGTAAACCGGTTATTCATTTCTATAATTTCCGTACAACGTTGGGCAAATTTACAGGTTCAAGCTGGAAGGAATATAACATTCGGCAATCAAAGCGCACAACATAGCACATGTCGATTTGTGCTGGGGAATCACAATAAAAGAGATTGATCGAGGAAAACAAGTGAGCAACAAGAGGGTGAATATTTCGAAATTCAAATCCTTGCCGCACGAGTTGTCTTGTCGTAGAAGTCTAAAGTCATGGCCGCCAGGAAACAGGGAATATCCTTTCGTTCCTCGACCCAGAACTTGATGAGAGGTTTGATCTCCATGGCAAACAAACTGTTCGGCCCACCCGAGATCTTCATCGTACCGTTCTCTCCATCAAATACGATCGAGTTTTCTTCACCATTGCCCATGCTCCCAGGACCAGAGTCTGACGGCGCATCACTGTCGCCATGTCTATACGCCGAGGAAAGGTGGAACATGGAGGTCACACGCACTCGGCCGTTGGGAAGGAAGTCAAGCTTGAAACCAAGAAGGGAGGCCACAGCTTCACGGAACTCAGACGATTTGGCAGTCCAGATTTCTTTGAGTCGTCGCATGCGTTTCTCTTTGTCTGCGACAGTGCGCTCCATTTCTTGCATTTCGAGTTTGATGCTGTCGACAGCGTTGATGGAAACAACCTTTGCATTGACCTTTTCGCCGCGCAGCTGTGCGAGGAGATCACGATTCTCAGACTGGAGGGTGGTCAGAGTTGCCATCTTGATTTGCTCAGTCTGGGCTGTTGGATTATCACGCAATTCAAGAACGCGAGTTCGTGACTTCGACTTGAGTGATTTAATCTGGGATTTGGCGGCCTCAAGCTCCCGGCGTGCCAGAGCGGCAGCTTGGTCAAACTTGGTCAAGTTTTCTTGAAGCTTGCGGTTCTTGCGAGTGAGGACGGCGAGGCGCTCACTTTCAGCGTCACTGTCGGCGGGGGACAGAGGCCGCTTAACCCCTTGTGTTTTCGGTTGCTCAGTCTTCGGTTCCTCTTGCTTGGAGAGCTGGTCATGAAGATTCTGGATTTCGACGCGGTATTCATCGACTAGGCTTTGAAGTTGTGTGATCTGCAAGGATTTTTGCTCATCAAATTGCATCTGGTCGCCGTTCATCGTGACCTCTTCGGCATCAAAGGTCTTCAACTGATCCCGCAGGTATTCGACCTCCTTCACAGCCAATGCGCGCTGGCGTTCCAGTCGAGCTCGTAGTTTAGCTTCCATAGCACCCGAGCCTCCAGCAGCCGCGGTTCCTGCGGCTCGGAGGTTTTCCAACTCCTGCCGCAGAGCAATCTTCTCAGTTTCAAGGCTCTTGATAGCTTCGTCCTTCTCAACGATATTCGCATCCACGCTGCCAAGACGATCCATCAGTGTGGCAATTTCGATGCGACTTTCAACGAGCGTCCGGACAATGGCATCTGGCGAATCAAACTCTGCAGGCTGGTCGTTTTCTTGTAGCAAAGTGGCCCAAGAGGCACGCTCATCTTCAAGAACCTGCTTTTGGATTTGCAGAGTATTGAGCTCAGCCTCAACACCCTTCATCAGCTGGAGCTGGTTTTCAACGGACTTCTTTTGCTCTTCCACAACCTCGACATTCTTGGAAACCTTCCGAAGATGGCGTAACTCTGTAGTTTGATCACGGTTTGTTGTTTCCAGCTCTCGGATGTGGTTCACTTGTTCCGAAAGTTCCCTCTTCAATACCGTGAGAGCCTCTGCATCCGTCCCTTCGGCCTTTAACCGAATATTCTCCGCTTCGAGCTCAGCAACCTCGGCTTCGCGTTGAGTGAGCTTCGATTGAGTAGTTTCATGGAGTGTCCTGGCGTTCTGGAGATCGGTTTGGAACTCCTCGATGGTCTTTTGCAAAGATGCGCGGACTGTTTCCAGCTCGTTGATTTGATATTTGAATTGTCGTTCTTGGTCAGAGAGCTGTGCTTGGTTGTCGTTGAACTCTTCTTGCAAGTTCTGATTCTCATCCTGGAGGCCCCGAATTTTTCTTTCAAACCCAAGTTTCTCATTCAGAGCTTGGTCTTGCACTTCTTTCAATTCTTTCGCCAGAGAATCGCTTTTGTGGTTCGCACGATTACTGGAAGATTCGGCGGCCTGCGAACAAAGAAATTGTGAGCTTTAACTAATTTTAGGAAACACTTCCATTGTAGACTCACCTGGGCCTTGCGAAAATCCGCATCTGCTTTTAGTTGTACATCTCGGAGCTCCTTTTCGTGCCGGAGAGTCTCGAGCTCTCGTTCCTGCTTGACGTTCTCGAGCTCGTATTTGAGGGTGCTTAGCTGGACTCGTAGCTCCTCTTTTTCGGTATCTGAATGCTTGTTAGCCGCCTTGTCCCAGATCCCGCGGGCCGATCGGGTATAGCCTTACCATGAGCAGGCTGGTAAGACTGCACTTGAGATTGCATTAAACGAGAGGACTGTCGCATGCCGTTTGACTGACGTAGGCTGTTTCTTGCACCCTGTGGTGTCGAGGGGGAGGCGAATCCCGCGATAAGCTGGGAAGCCGGTCTGTTGTTTTGACTGTGGTCCATCTATCAGGGCGGAGTTAGTCGTTGCGCCAAGGGAGGATCGGCCATTGAGACTCACTGTGAAAGTCAGACTAAGTCAAGTCTTGCAATTAAGCTGGTCGATAGGTCCATGCGGCAACAGACGCTGCGCAAGTTCGACCAGAAAGCTGTCTCAAGTCTCAAAGGGAAAGATGTAAATGCGGCAGGGCGGAGAGGACCCGGGCTCCAGTATGTATTACATAAGTCAATTCACCAGCTTAGTCACCGGTCAGTGCTGGCCGAAAAGGGCTAGTGCCGTTTTAAAAATTATTTCGATTTCGGCATCAAATTCTCAGTTCACCATCTCATCCGCGAATCCTCCCATATAACCACGGTCCCTCGTCCGATTTTACCCAATACCTTCCGCTTAATAACCAACCACCTTCACAATGGGCAAGGACAAGGTCGAAAAGAAGGACCGCGCTGAGAAGAAGGAGAAGCGTGCGGAGAAGGACGGTGTGCACAAGGTCAAGAAGGAGAAGAAGGAAAAGAAGGAAAAGACCGCTCTCGCCGATGCTGTCGCCAAGGAGGTTGGTGACGATGTCATGGAGGGTCTTGAGGAGACCGGTGCCGTCTCTGTCAAGGGCGATATCGAGGTCGAGGCCGTCGACCGCCCCGTTGGCGCCGTCGTGCCCTTCGCCAGCCCATTGGTTGAAGACAAGCAGGCCAAGAAGGTCCTGAAGAGCGTCAAGAAGGGTATGTCTAGTATCTCTACTCTAGTAGCTTCGCACGTGTCGGCTTGACTGGTTTAACCTCCTCGTCCTGGCTCACGGAGTGGCTATGCGCAACTTTTTTTTTCGTCTTTGTACAACCCCGCTAACATCCAATTCTCTAGCCGCCGTCAACAAGTCCCTCAAGCGTGGTGTCAAGGAGGTCGTCAAGGCTCTCCGCAAGTCCGCTATCCCCGCCGCCAACGCTCCTATTGGCACCCCCAACGGTGTTGTCGTTCTCGCTGCCGATATCTCCCCCATGGATGTCATCTCTCACATTCCCGTCCTCTGCGAGGACCACGGTATTCCTTACGTCTTCGTTACCTCCCGCGCCGAGCTCGGTGCTTCCGCTGCCACCAAGCGCCCCACCAGTGTGGTCATGGTTACCCCCAAGGCCGCCAAGGGCAAGAAGGAAGACGATGAGGAGTTCACCAAGGTGTTCGAGGAGCTTGCTGGTCTGACCCAGAAGGAGCAGAGCAAGCTGACTGTCTAAAAATGTGTTCGACTTGTCTCTTTTAACTTTTGTTCTTTGCTCTTCCCACGTTCATCACACCCTGTGGGCTCAATGGTTGTACAGGTTTCTGGCGCCATCTGGTAAGATGGTGCATGTCTTTTGGGGTCCGGCCTATGGGTATCTTTTCATATTTGCTCTTTCTGTTGCAACTCGGCGTTATTTCAATGGTGTACGAAAAAGGCAAGAATTTCAATGAGATATCACCAACCTCATCAGACTCAATAATCCTCAAGTAAAACCACCAACCCATTCGTGGCTATGGTCAAAAGGATCACCCAGCGTTATGGGGAAATCGCATGAAGGAAGTTGAACCGGATTGCAGGAGAGGTGCAGCTTTAAAAGCTGGCAACACAACACCCCAAGAGTATGCGCTTTCCGGCACGGAGCCATGCAGGATCGAATACTTCAAGTATCTCATGTCCTCCGACCCTGTCAGTGATCGCAATAGTCACGAGTCGCCCGCATATTGTGATTGTTCAATGTAGCAAATTGTAAGAGCCATTGACAATGGGTGGGGGTCATGAGAACAACCACATGTGAGAACAGGAGAGAATCCAAGCCTGGGCGAGTACCCTTGCATGGTGGGATAGACTATTATAATCGTGGCGCTATCATTCCAGTCGATCAATATGATCAATCCCTACCCCGTATACCCTTCGGCCTTGATGCGAAACAAGGGATGGAGTGCATACCCCAAAGCGCAGCAGATTTGCCGTCGAGCCAATGACAGAGTCGCCACACCTGAATTAACCCGACGTTAAACTCACGGATCGTCTAGCGTGTGCCTAGATCCAGGAACACATTCGGCACCAAGCACCCGATTTGAGAATGGGAGGGTTCATTGGTCTTCATCCTTGGACACCAGGCATGGCCCTTGCGGGTGATTATTCCCGTGTCCTCCAGGGTGACTTATGTGTATGGTATAAGAAGATGGGGTTTTTTCTCATTGTCCGCTGTGTCACTCATTCCCTCCAGGGCTGGAAGATTGTTGTAATAATTGAAGCCATTTCTTCCTTTGCTCACTTGGCTGCCTCACACTATGCATCTTAATACCTGCCCGTCATGTTTATTATTTATTGCTTTTATCCTGACATTCATTCACTCGGCCATTTCTCAGCCTATCAGAGCCAGCAAATGGATCAAATCGGGCCCATTCGAGACTATCAATCCTCATGGGACATGGACGCAGATGGAAAAAGAAGCCCAAAGCTACTTGGCTAGCCCATCGCAAGTCAATCATAACCAGGTTAGTATAGCCAATACTCGGTTTGATATTGCCATCATAAGACTAACATATACTTGCTAGATGCAGAGCCCAGCCTGGCGGCCCACAGGCTATGACATGGAAGCAACAGAGCAAATGGGACTTAAGCTTTCCCATTCAAAAGGAATCTCTGCATCTACAAACCAAGCTATTCCAATAGTCTCTGTAACCCCGCCTGGATATTTGGAGATGACTGCCGATAAAACACACAAGCACTATTCGGAATATGTGAAAGCCAAATCAGGGCTCAAGTCAAAACTCGAGGAGATATCGAACGACGCTATTGCTGCTGATAGACAGCATCGCTATGACGAGTTTCTAAGAAACATGCACATCAAGAACGCTATCCACCAGAAGCACAGTGATAACCTCCCAGGGGTCTTCTCTGTTTCTTCTGGTCAAACAGTCTCTTTCTTTACATATCGCATTCCTATTCCGACGCTGAGGTTCAACACATCCAGCTTAACAGGCTATCCTTTTCCTGGGGTCTTTACAACGGTTATCGTCCTCTTGGCGATGGTTTGGATCGCCATGATCACCATCGGCCTGGTTGAGTTGGGCAATCATATGTGGATGCGGCGTCGTCGAACTGTCGACGCACAGTGCAGCAAAGAGCACAACGTGGAACTCGACGAGCTGGCGAAGGTGCCAATCACAGTTGTTGCGATTCCCACGGACAGGGTCCTGATTACGAAAAATTATCAGCTCACAGAACATGCACTTGAGGACTCTGACGAGAATTCGGATTCTGATGAAGATGATTATCGAATCTTTTGATAAATGTTCATTTGCTTCAATGGTTGCTTCTCACTCTGGGGATAATGTGTATATACCTAGAATTTGTTCGGTAGAACTAATACCTAATACAATGTTTACATAAAGTTGGATCACGTTGTGTTTCAAAATGGTGATATTTTATGTGCTATCGTGCACGATAGTTAATGCAATCATAAACCATTAATTCATCGAAGTATCAGCCCCAGGCCGAACTGAAGAAAGACACGCTCGCTTGAATCTCTCAAAGATAATCCCTATATAAAACAAATATGAAGCGAAGTTATGATTCAACTTTTTAGGCACGCTGGTCCTGCTCCAAGTGCTCGTAGGGAGTCCGGGCGTTGACCTTCTTCTCATCAGCGCGACCAGAGTCATTGGCGGTGTGGGCATTGCTGCGCTGGAACTGGTTGATAGCCTCACGACCAGGGTCCTGGTCAGAACCAATCTCGGCGTTGAAGCTGGCGTTCTTCGCGTCGTTGGAGTGGAAGCCGCCCTCGTGAACGTTGCGACCGTCGGGCTTGGGGTGCTGGATGTCACCAGTCACGTCACTGACGTAGGAAGGGGCCTGGCCATCGTTGTACTGGCTCTTGCTACTGCCGCTGGCAGTAGAGTACTGGCCAGCGTTGATGCCCATCTCCTGCTTAGCGCCAGTGGGGCCACCAACGTAGCCGGACTGGGAGAGATGAGCGCCAGGGAAGTTGCCCTGACCACCAAGGGCCTCAGGGTACTTCTGCTGGTCCTCGCGGTTCTCGCGGAGACCTCCAACGGGAACGGAGCCAAGGGTAGTGGCGGAAGAAGTGTCGGTGTTGTTGACAGTGGACTGGTTGCCAGAGACACCCATGGGCTCGGCGCCACGGTTGCCGGAGAAGGCACCGCCTTCGCGGACGGACTCAGCAGCAAGAGAGTCGTTGGTGATGGGGCCAGTAGACTCCTGGATGGGCTGCTGAGAGCTGGGGTCGGTGGTGACCTTGGTGCTGCGGGCGCCGTGGGGGAGGGGAGTGCCTTGAAGATCCATGGTGATATTGAGAATTGGAGTTTTGTGTAAAGACTTTTGGTGAGAAGATATAGTTGTAATATTGAAAGGATGATTGTTAAAGAATTATCATCTCGGTCGCGATGGCAGACCTATATAGCCTCGCCAGCGCTGAACTTCCCAGTGACATTGTAGAACGCAATCGCATACCAAGGATACCTGATGTCATACTTACGTTCACTGACAACGGTTGCAAGATGTCCACGGGTGCATCAAGACCATTTTTGTCAGTCGTAGTCACGTCAAGGCATTATCAGAGCCATCTGTTTGGCGGTTCGAGATACCGATCAGGGTGAAAAGTGGGCCCTTGGTCCCCTCGCTCGTCTTCTGGAAGCAAGATGATCTGGCCCCACATGCTTGTCCGGATTTCTGTCTGAGATCATCTATGAGCTGGCGTTACAAGAAAAAGAGGCAATTCCAACGTTGACGTCAATTTGGAGGTTGCAAACAATTCAAACATCTTTATTTCTGCCCTACAGCACAAGAGCCCGTATGGAGTAAAATCAGTACTTGACCCACTGGAACCCAAGTGGAAAAAGTTTCGATGATGTTGGTGTACCTTTTGACCATCTTGTTCAAGGATGCGACCTGGCGAGCCCGTAACTGCCCCTTTGACTTTGATTCGAATGGCAATATCCGGAAAGATATTGCCAGATATTGAGGATACACTGGACTCCCTTAATAATAATAACTATTAGTCCTCGTAAGACCTATTCTTTCCAGATATTGCCATTCGAATCAAAGTCAAAGGGGCAATTACGGGCTCGCCAGGTCGCGTCCTTGAACAACATGGTCAAAAGGTAGCCAGGATCATCGAAACTTTTCCCGCCTGGGTTCCAGTGGGTCAAGTACTGATTTTGACTCGGGCGCAGCTCAGAGGAGATTTGTATTATTTTCCAGTCCGTTAATGACTGGAGTAAGTTCGCCGTGTTCACTTTCTCGGGAAGTGTCCGTGGTATATGGTCTAAGGGAAGGAAAGATGAACCTTCTGCTGAAAAAGCTTGCTACTTGGCATGAAATTTGAAAGGTTGATGACAAGGTCAAGGTTTCATTCACGCAGAGGGCTGCTTTTATACCACAGAAGCCTTCCTGGGATGGTAGTTTAGAGACGAACAATCTAGATTGAGCTGGCTGCAGACCCTGTCAAGTTTGTATGAAATCATACACAGTCCGGGATCTGCACCGTTCAAGTCCACTTTGTTGAGGTCCATGGGATTTCTACTAGCACAGCGACTTCCAGGGCTATAGTAATATTCGAGTTTGTGACGTACGGCTAACAAATACCTAGGTATACAGTTTACGAGAACATAAAAAGTATTTCGGAAAAATTTTGAGAATTCATTCAATCGCTCATAATGATTTCAAGATGTTTATCATATCATACACATGTAGAATCCATAAATCGTAGACGCATTTTAGTGGTTTGCAGCGTGAGAAGCAGTAGCCTGAGGGTCGACAGCATTGCCAGGGACAGTGTTGGTGTGCAGCACGTTGCCGTCAACGCGAGCACTGCTGCTAGCAGAGGCACCCTCACGCAAGCCGCTGTTGTCAGGAGGGAACTCGAAACGGCCAGAGCCAACGGCAGTGGTGCGCTGGTCCATAGAGTTCCAGTCGCTGGCAACAGGGGGGTCTTCGGGAAGAGGTAAGTTGGACTTGGCCTTCTCAATCTCAGCGGGCTTGTTGGTGTTCTGGTCGATGACGGACTGGAGGGTTGTGTTAGCCAATGAATTTACCTCAGTCGTTGGGAATGATAACTCACCTTCATTTGAGAAACATCGGAGTTGGCAGGGGGGTTGCCACCGTGGGACTGGGCAACCTTGGACTCGGCCTTGCGGACGTCCTGAGCAGTGGTGTGGAAGGTAGAGTCAGACATGGTTTAGAGTTGTCTTGTGAAGGTGAAGGCGAGAGGTATAGGAATAAAAGTTTGTAGTTTGATGAGAATTGATTGATGTTCTAAGTCCCAGGCGACTGGGACTTATATATCGACCTTGGAGCCCGTTGATGGCAAGGCAAATGTGACGTTGATGTTATGACGACATGGCCATAGGGCTCTCCACCGAAACCAACATTCCCTTTGAAGTCTCAACTTGATAGATCACTGCAGTAGCGTCATAGTGAGGGATTACCCGAGCCTAACTTGTTTCGAGCAGATGCCATGCATGGAGGATTCCCAAAACTGCCTCATTGATGTGTTCATATCGTTCCCGACCATTCTCCATAGTTCGACCGCGATCGGAAACACGCGACAGCAAAACTGCTTTTTTTCTCTACGTAAAGAACAGAATTGTCAAAACTTCACTCTCATCTTCTGAAAACCGTGGTCTGACATGTTCTGCAACGTGAAAATAGCATCATCATAGTGTTGAGACAAGGCAATTTACTGTATTACATGACAGGCTGACACCTGGAAGCTTCTTCGTACCTTGAGTCCCGTAGCCGCCGTGTGTCAGTGAGTTGAGCTAGCTCAAAAGCCGCATCACTTATCAAGCCTCATCATTTATCAATTGATAGTGAAGGAAACATAGCGTCGGGGTCCCAAACTGGCATACAGCCAAAACATCACCGCCCGGCCTCTTGGCGCGGCAGAAAATGTTTCTTATCGAAGGGTCGACGAGCCCAGTAAAGACCTAGAATTGATCGCGGTGTCATTTCTAAGGATCGCGTTATTCTGAAACAGCTAAGTCTTCAGTATGCCTCGAGATCCGTTGATTGGATTGGTTGGAAAGGTAGGCTGCTCACCCTCCATTATCCTCAGCACCCCACTGATCATGCGAGGGGCACGTAGCCATCGAGTGGAAAGTCCACAACATTGAACAGCTTGACAGATGCGACTTCCAAAGTCGGTAAGTTGCTGGCTCTCGACCCTTCAGTTTTCCAGAAGCTAATAAGCGCGAATTCCAGGAAACTTCCCGTATGTGTGTTGCGATCGCGCCGAAGCGCCCCCGCCTTATCGAAGACCGCGCAGACCGTATTGACCCCAAATAGCTTCACAACCATTGACCCCCAACGAGCCATTGGATATCTTCAAATCGACTGCCCATGTCAACGATACAATGTTTCAGATCGATGCCTGCCCAACTACGGTGGGTGTCATGAAGGACGGCGCTCCGTGCCCATTGAGCTGCTAGATGTCGCCGGTCTCGTGCCTGGTGCGCATCAGGGCCGTGGTCTGGGTAACAAATTCTTGGATGATCTGCGTCAAGCTGATGCTCTGATTCACGTTGTGGACGTGAGTGGAACTACGGATGCCGAAGGTTAGTGCAATGCGCGCAGCTCCGAAGACAACGGGACGGACATTGATCGCCATGCAGGAAAGGCCACCCGAGGTTACGACCCCTCAGTGGACATTGAGTGGTTGCGCGGAGAGATTGTGCGATGGGTGCTGGGAAATCTGATGGAGAAATGGTATGTTGGCAAGTGTCGCGGACAGGTCGAAGCCGACGCTGATGTTCATAACAAAGGGGATCTATCAAGCGGAGACATATGGCACTGAGTAGGTTGCCTGCCAATTTTCTTCGGAAATTCACTAACGGCTGTATAGAGGCAAACCCCATCGACACCCTGCAAAAACAATTCGCTGGTTACGGAAGTACCCAGCAAACGGTTGCTCGCTTCATGGATAAGCTCGCCATCAAGCAACCATTGGAAGAATGGTCGGACGAGACGGTCGAAGCGGTTGTGAACGCGTTTATCGACGAGAAATTCCCAACCGTGTTCGCTTTGAACAAGATCGATCACCCCGATGCTGACAAGGTATGAAGACGCGACGGGGACCCGGGGGCCGTGCTAACAGGCATACTAGAACGTCAGCAAAATCGCCAAGATGCAAGACCCACAAAGCATTGTACTGTGCTCTGCGATCTCTGAAGTTTTCCTGCGACGACTAGCAAAACAGGAATATATCAAATATGTCGAAGGCAGTGAGTTCGTCGATTCGCGAGAAGACTTGATTGAAATGGGTGACCCCACTGGAGGAGGTCTGAAGGAGATGGACGAAAAACTGAAAACGTATGTGTCAAATCATCCACAAGTGAGCACATCGCTGACCATGATCAAACAGTCGGGTTGAGAACCTGAAAGATATGGTTCTCTACCGATTCGGATCTACCGGAGTTGTACAGTGTCTTTCTCGCGCAGCAGAGCTCTTGGGCCTTGTGCCAATCTTCCCAGTCCGTAACGTCCAGACTTTTAACTCTGGAAATGGAACTGCCGCGTTCCGTGACTGTGTTCTCGTGAAGAAGTAAGTCCTCCCTCTACAAGCCAATTGAACCTGACTGACTCCCCACAGAAACAGCACAGTCGGCGATGTTGCCCGCAAGGTGATGGGTGATGTGCCTATCAACTATATTGAAGGCGTTGGCGGAACACGTGTTGCAGAGGAGGATATTGTGGCAGTTGGGAAACACGATGTAAGTGCATGGCTCACATTGAGACCAGAACCCTTATTGACAAATCGTTGCAGATCCTCTCATTCAAAGTTGGTCGGTAGACCACTTCGTTTATGTACAGTCTGCCATAAAATGACATGGGTAATGGAAATGCCTGATGATTGTCTGTCTTCACTTATATTTATCAAACCTCGAGATCCATAGAACTATGCCCAGCACGAAAGAACGCCATAAAGTATCATGAATTCGAGACCTATCTCCTCTCACTCTCCTTTCTGCAGGACAGAGACGCAGTCAGCAAATTGCCCCAGATGGAAGTCCGATATCCCTCACGGAGGGGTCTTCACTCACCTTTCCTCGCTCGTCGTTCATGCCAATAATCGGCTCTGGCGCTTTCGGGTTCTCCTTCTTGGCCTGACTGGAGTACTTGGTACCACCTGTCTCCGTCGTCCCCTGGGACTTTGTGCCATCTCCAGATCCCTGGTTTGTTTCCCTCTCTTTCATACCAGACGCCGATGCTGACGCATGTACGTCCGCGGTATCGCCCTTCTTAGATCGCTCCTTTGTGTGCTCCTCGCTGCCCTTCCAGTCTTTGAATATAGCGTAATTGCGAACACCTGCTGCGCGGGGGACCGATGGTATGGCTTGCAGCGGTAGCATGCGGCGATAAGGTAGTCGTGCGATTGCCATGTCGTGAGGTTGGAATGAATGAAGCCAATCCCTGTATCTGGGGGTTTTGAAAATATAATGGTGTTAATTGGCTATGCTTCTCATTTGTACCATCTGCCACCTGGGCACGACCTGAGCCACCCGTGGACATCGGGTTGATGACGTATTTATGATCGAGGCCATGGAAAATGAAGGCAATAAGTACTAAGCCTCTATAATCCCCATGTCAAATATGCTTGGAGCAAAATATCGATACCTAGGTATCGTCTCGAGTCATCTGCTGATCTCCCAAGCATAGGGGAGTGCATTGAAATTTTCAACTATAACCATGGAGCACTTCGATGGTGAAATATATATTTGCCTCATTTCTGGCCATTTCAGGTGCGGGAATCAAGTTATGTTGGTAGCCTCGAAAACAAGCTCTCACTGAGCAGTTGGGAGCCCCATGAAAAAAAAAAAAGAAAAGAAAAGAAACTCATTGTATCAATCTAGAATTGAAGTCCACGGGTAAAACCAAGGTGAAATGGAATAAAGAAACAATGTCCTTCATGGCCGCTAATATTTGCGGCGCCCCTTGCAGCTCCTTATCGATAAGTCGTTTATCGATAAGCGAACCGTCATCGCCCCCGGCCCGGGGCTTCTCACCTGCCCACCTGGGCACCCGCGGGCCTGTGCAACACAAAAGCTCACATCCCCTCTCAATGCACAATGAAACGCGGATATCTCCCGTTAGAAACACTACCGGCTTGGCAGCACCTCAACGGAGTTGAACTGTCAGGTGTCGCATTTCGGAAATTCGGCTTCAATGAGCACGGTGCCGACAAAGGTAGCGGAATTGTCGCAACAGACACCAAATCCAGCAGCGAGAACGATGCGAAGCCTGAAATCCTCCTCCAAATACCTGGAGATCTAGTCCTATCCTTGGAAACTGTCCAGGGCTATGCAAAATCCGATCGCGACTTGCGCGATGTCCTGGAAGCGATGGGTGATTTCGGAAGAGTATGCGCTGCACACATTTAGATCGTGAGAAACCAAACTGACATGCGCAGACAGCGAGAGGCGCGATCTTGATATTCCTGTTGATCCAATTGTCGCATAACAGCCCCGACTTGCAATCAAAACACACCGTTGGGGTTTCCAATCCTTGGTCCGAATACGTCAAATTCCTCCCGCCGTCGTTCCCACTGCCTACCTTCTACACTGCCCAAGAACAAGAATTACTACAGGGAACGTCAATTGAAGGTGCCCTCGAAGCCAAGAACGCGTCCCTCGAACGAGAGTTCGACAGCATCCAAGAGGCTACGAAGTCAATTCCTTGGTGTCAAGAATTATGGTGGAGTGAGGGGACTGGTGGCCTGACGATTGAGGATTGGAAATATATCGACGCGGCATACCGATCGCGCATGCTTGATCTACCCGGAAGCGGCCTTGCGATGGTCCCTTGCATTGACATGGCCAACCACAGCTGCGGAGATAGTGTCAAAGCACTTTATGAAGAGGATTCCCAGGGGAATGCGGTCTTGCAGTTGCGCTGGGGCAAAACTATACAACCTGGTGAAGAGATTACTATTTCGTAAGTTGCTCTGCGCTTGCTGCCAGACTCTCGTCCACATGACTGACAGAGAAATAGGTATGGCGACGAGAAGCCAGCCTCGGAAATGCTGTTCTCGTATGGGTTTTTGGAAGACGGCCGCACAGCTGCACGTGAGATAACATTGAACCTCGACATTCCAGAGGATGATCCGCTCGGCCTTCCAAAGAGGATATTCTGCCAGAATGACACTAGCATCCGAATTAGGGCAGCCCGGAGCTCCGATGAAGTGGACGAAGTGACCTGGGAGAGTGATCTTGCTTGGATAGCATGCGTGAACGAGGAAGATGGACTCCACTTTGGACTCGCACAAACCACTGACGGAGGCAGAGAGCTGGAAGTCAGGTGGAAAGATGAGAAAATCCAATCACCACGTCATCTTCGCGAGATACTCGCTGCCGATCACCAGTGGGAGATCATCCAGCTTCGCGCGGCGGTGCTCTTGCTAGAACGGCTTGAGACCCAACTTGGTCTTTTCCAGGAGCTGCAGGAACCTATATCGAAAATTAAGGAGGACCAAGTGGCCCTAGAGTCCATGTTCCGACCGGGTATATTTGAAACGATTTTCCGTTTCCGAAACATGGAGGGGGAGTTGTTGGAGAAGGCTGTGGAAGATCTCATCAAACAGGTAAGGGAGATCCCAATGCCCCCATCTCTAACAAGAGTATGTCTGGACCTCACTGACCACGACACCAGAGAACTGAGTTACTGGCATCCGAAACCGTTGCCGCGTATTTTAGGTCGCAAACAGCGGATGGAGATGAAGTGGAAGACTTTTCGTGATGTCAGAGACAAAACGGCAGCGCTATGAAGATCCCAACAGTCTAGGCAGCTAACTTCTGGCCTCTGCACCACTCTGGATACATATGAAGCATCTTATGTTCCCCACCAAGTGTCCACTAACTCTGTATCACATTGCATCAAGCTGGGGATCCCCGCCCGATCACCCCAAAAACCAGTCTGCTGCCACCACTCGCAAGAAGTGTACCTAGGTAGATAGTACTTCGCTGTAAAATATTGTAACGCCTTCATTATTCGCCCTAAGGCGCCACTTTCACTAGCGGGGTCGACTCTCGATCTGCACTAGAGAAGGTGTTAAAATCACTAGCCTGGAACTATGACGTTAAAGGTCAACCTTGGTATTATCGAGTTCGTATCAGAGGATCTGCAGGGTCGGAAGCATGCGGGGAATTTGGAACAGCAAAGAGTTGAAGCCAAGCACAGCACAGGGCTCAGGATGTATGTACTGATACCAAAAACGGGTCTCCAACATAGACTAGTGTGGGGCCTGCACCGCGTCCCACGGTTCGCACATCTCTCGGCCAAAACTCGCTGGGACATTCGATTTGCCCCTGCAATAGTCTGTCTCTCCGGGTAATTTCTCCTATTTCTCATTTCTCAGTTCTCAGTTCTCAGGTGGGGATCATTGCTTTCACTTTCCCCGGTTGGAGCCGCCACCGTGAAGTCGTAGTGAAGATATTGCCTCACGGCTTTAAACTCTGGCCAAAACCTGGGGATTTCTCGGCGTGGGAACGCCAAAATAGAATTCAAGTTAGCTCAACATGACTTCAGAAAACGGGCCATGTGGAGCACTAGGGTTGTATCGGCAGTTTTCATTGAAGCTCTAATTATCATTTGGGGTCCCCAGATATTGCGTTCCAACATGACGGCCACATTCTGCGAACCATGGATGAGGCCGATGATCGGACCTAGATCGTCCTACCAGCGAAGCAAGATGTGCGCCTCACGGGAGTGGAGGAAATCATCTGCCGCAACCGATTTGGACAGCACTCTATTTCTGCCGTAAAAACGGAAATGCATACACAGTACTCCGTACATACATCGAGATAGTGTTATGGTCGGAGATGAGGGATTTCTATACTGCGCATGCTAGGGGGGGTTTTCCGACATGCCGATGTCAGATCGGAATGTCGATATGCAGGAAGAATCCGGGGCAAACGAGAAAGCGCTTACGGGGGAGTACGGGGTAGTGAATAGTCCAACGCGCCTTGGTACGAAATAATCAGTAAAAAGAGACTCCCGCCAGTGCCAAATGGTTGAGTTTATTGGGCGCAGATGATGGTCAGCAGCCCCACCTGACTCAGCATTGGCGTGTTCCCCATCTTCTCCCCCCATGCTGTAGGCCCTCTTTCTTCATACTTCCCTCTCTGACAAGTTCGACAAGGGTTGCCCATATCTTGGACGCTCCAGACGCTACAACCAAATTACACACCCGGCGGCCCGTGCGCCCCATTTGTCCAACATGCCTGGTATCTTGCCCATGAAAGTGATCAAGGTCGGCGGCACTGGTACGACGAGCCGCATCGCCCAAGCCTGTGACCGATGCCGAAGTAAAAAGATCCGCTGCGACGGTGTCCGACCCTGCTGTTCACAATGCGCCAACGTTGGCTTCGAATGCCGTACTAGCGACAAACTGAGCCGTCGAGCATTCCCCCGGGGGTATACCGAGTCATTGGAAGAGCGAGTCCGCAGTTTGGAGACCGAGGTCAAGGACCTGAAGGATCTTTTGGATGAAAAGGACGAGAAGATCGACGTGCTGTCCCGGATACATTCATTCTCACCACCCTCACAACGAGCCGCCTATGCTCGGTCTCCCTCCGCTTCCGCGCCGGTAAAATCGACTAGCTCGGAGTCATCGGAGGGTGTTATTCATGTGGAGAGATCCTCAAACCGGAAGTCCCGGTCATTGCAGAACCCTTTCACCGGGTTTTCTAGCACGCAAGGCTTTGCGGGTATGTTTGGTTTAGTCTAATGATGTAACGGAGCTAACGTGATTATGCAGACGTCTTTAACGACAAGCTGGTCAGCGAAGGAAAGTCTGTGGCCAAAATATCCACCGAAGCACTCACCGCTTTGCCGGCCTCGGTATCTCAGGGTGCACCGAACCAGGCTGTGAAGACGCCACCCCGCTTGGTGTCGGACCAGCTGATTAACATCTTCTTCCAAGAATGGGCACCACTGTACCCCGTGGTACACCGCCCGACTATCTTGAAGGCGTATGAGCAATATCTCAACAATGCCGAGAGCTTGCAGCGCAATGTCCATGTCATGGCCCAGTTGAACCTGATCTTTGGCATTGCGGCACTTTCATCGATGCCAAGAACCAGTCAAGATCCTACTTTCTTTGAACAAAACTGGTCAGCTACTCTTGATTCATTGTCGAGTGAAACATCAGTTGCTAGTTTGCAATGCTTTGTCCTCGGCCAGATCTACTGCATGACCAAGGGTGATTATCGCACATTGCTCCGCTATCGGGCTCTGGGAGTGGATATTTGCCATCAACTGGGTCTACATGAAAAAGAGGATAGTTCGGCCAATCCCCTGGAAGGTGAGACCCGGAAGAAGGTGTTCTGGTCTCAGTACGTGCTGGATCGATTCTGCTCCGCATTCACTGGTTTGCCCGTTCTTTTGCGCGAAGAAGACATCCAAGCAGAGTACCCTGTGGACGTGGACGATGAAAACGTCACCGAGACTGGTTTCTTGCCCACTCTCCCCGGCGAGTCTACCCGCATTTCGAGTGCCATCGCTCTCTTCGGCGCCGCGAGGATTTTGAACCAAACTTTGGGGGACCTTTACCCATCAAAATCTGGATACGATGTTAGTGTTGCGAAGATGCGCTCAGTTTCTGGACAGTTGGATGAATGGCTTCACAAATTGCCCGCTCATCTTCGTCTTGAATTCAGTCAAGATAAGCCGAGCACAAATGTCACAAGCAGCCGCTCTCCACTCCTGGTAAGTACAAGCATGTGATCCGAGAACCCCAATTCTGACCTTATTACAGTCCCTTGTCTACTATCTGATTCGCTCTTTAATTAACCGCCCGGCCGTTTGCTTTGCCGATGACAGCCTTCGCTCTCCGTCGGTCTTGGCGCTATCTGACTCCGCAAAGCATATGCTTCAAATTCTCGATCTACTCGACGAGAGACGACTGTGTCTTTCCTTCAGCATCAGCCGGATGGAGCTGGTTTTCCTTTCCGGACTTGGGCTGCTTTGGCAAACTCTCGGTGTTAAGCGTGACAGCAAACTGGCCAAGGAATCCCAAAAGCTACTTGGCTCCGTCATGGTGCATCTCGGAGCGGAGTCAAGTGCCGCTGCTGCCGAGTTTGGTACACTGTCCAACACCCTAGTTTCTCTACACACTGAGAGACGGCCATCCATGGGTAAACACCAAACGTCTCAAGAGATGATTGCCCCGGCACAAAAGCCAAGCAAATCGCCGAAAAAGCACGCGCAAGACCCTAAGTCGCGGGTTGTCTCCTCTGTGCGCGACCAGCACAATCAACAAATCCTATCGCCTCAATCTCGCCGAAACACTATCTCCGGTGCTACACCCCCTCACGTTGTCCAGACTCTCCGGTCGCCAAGCTGGACGAGTCTCCCACCTTCTCAATCCGATCAAATTCCTGGTCCGCCTTATCAATCTCCTCTCGACCGCAACCCGGATCCCCGTATTGTTGGTCCCATGGGATACGAACACCATCGCTCCATGTCCTGCTCCACGCCCTCTGACCCTGCTACCAGTGGCATCACGATGGCCGACTGGGAATACGTCCTCAGTGATATGGACCGCGGCTACTCGAACATCTTCACTGGAATTTACGGTGGTAAAGAATGCGGCGAGGACCCTGGTCCCTTCGCCTCCATCACGGCAGAATACAACCGCAAGACCAACGACGCACCCTTGAACATGCCTCAGCCCGAACTGCACGATCTCTCACCTGAAGCCTGGTCTGCCAGTAGTGGTGAACTCGCTCCTCAACAAGGACACACCGCACAGAGTGTCCTCAGCTACTCCAGCGAGAGTATGGGCAGTGCGGATGACTCGCTGGCGCCGTATCCCGATGTTCTTCCCGAGGACATCAATACCCTCGATCCGTTCCATGCTTTCGGCATGCCCGAGGAGAAGATCGAGGAGTTCGATGAATTTGGCCTTGCAAATGGCTGGGACCGACGGCTGGCCGTCTAGGTGCCTCCATAGTACTTCAATGGGGATTGTTCTTTTGGGATTTGGATTGCTACTTGCGTTGACGATTTTCCATTTTACTTATGATACCTGTGGCGGCGTTCATATATTGTGCTTTGTGTATCTTATCTGCTTGTTTGATGTTGATACCGTTCAGGTTGTTCTTTTGAAGGATGGTTGTAGTTAGGACTTGCGTAAATACGAATTTGACGATACTTTCATGTCGAAATCTACTATTTTTTTTTTTTTACGCCGGAATGTTTGTTAATAGGAATTTCTCGCCGTTTTCTTAGAAAACCGATGAAAGTGGAACTTCTATCCTCCTGGAAACAGGAGAGTTGGCAATTGAAGCAAAATACTGAAGACAAAAAAGGGTGTGTTGAGTGGCCCAGATGTTAGCGGTAGGTCTAAATAAGCTGTAATAGACTTTCATCTTGGGCTGAAGCCGATGACGAGTCGGGATGAATGAGTTGTGATTGTCCGCGTTAGGCCATTAGTAAAAACCTTGGTGGTGTAGTTACTGCGTATTGAGGACCTTGGGATGGAGGCAGAACTACAGACGCACTTAACAGTAAGGGTCTGGGGACCTTGTGATTTGTGTTGTCTAGTGATTTGAGCAAAGCATAAAGATTTCCGAGAGCTAAGGTCTATCTTTTCCAATTCTTTGAAAGCATTCGCGTGTCACTTCCTTTACTCAACCGTCGAGCCCGGCCGCATCCTACCTAAAACCATCCCTTTTCGAACAATACAACCTACAGCGTGTCACTGCAATCAATCCTAGACATGTTCTGCTACCGAACACAATCACTGGCAAGAGCCTTCATCAATATCCATCCATTTCGTCCTTCCAAGCTAAACACCGGCCTCCGACGATTCTCCAATTCCCCCTTTCGCCTCCAGACAATTCCCGTTCAAGTATCCGCTCAAGGAACCGGCTTCGTACAGAACCTGTCCGTCCCAGGCAAGCCGTTCACTTTCTCCACTGATGCTTATACCGTGCTCGGTGGGAGCGAGTCCCATCCCTCACCAATCGCATACTCCCTCGCTAGCTTGAGCTCTTGCAATCAAGTTACTGGTTCTCTCGTCGCAAAGGATCTCGGTATCACACTAGGCGAGTGGAATGTGGAAGTTGAGGGAAACCTGCCAACCGAGGTTTTTGTTGGGGGCAAGGAAGGGAATCCGAATTGGGAAAGTGTTACTCTGAAAGCACGAGTACAGAGTAGTTTGAACGGGGGAAATGAAAACCCTCGATTTCAGCAATTTGTTGCAGAGATTGAGCGCCGTTGCCCCATGACTGCACTATTCAGGAACAGTGGGGTGGTCTACTCGAGCGAGTGGACAAACGAGTCTATTTAAGCAATAAGAACTGAGGATTGAAATTGAATACAATGTGTTTCCAAGGTTCGAGGTTGGATGTGCGGATCTCATCTAGAATGCCATTGAATGAAAAATCACCCAAGGGCCAACAGTAAAGAATTTTGCGACTATTATGCATAAGAATGGACTTTCCGTAGGGTAAGATCTCTCGCTAATGCTTACACTTTAGTACCCAGTTACTCTCGCTCGTAGGGTGCAGAGTTGAGCGATGAAAGCAAAGGGTTGAGGAGAAGAAAAGGAGAAGACCAGGGACAATTAAAACGCAAGACCTTTAGGGGAACAGCGGCCGAGAAGCCCGTGACAATGATATCATGTTTGAAAGCGCTTTATAATTAGTCCCTTCGGAGCTTTCATCACATACATTCAGATACCTTCCAGAATTGGCGCAAACTGTTCCTATGATCAATAGCAAGACGTGCGATCACCTATCAGAGCTCCACTCATTATCGAAAATCGAGGCCATGAATTGCCTCAAATGAGTCGTAGCCACGGCCTCGGGGGCATTAATGGGGCGTCATGTGCAGTCAGCAGTTGGGCTGGACAAGAGATATTGCCCAAAATTTCCCACCTTCGCGTTGGGAGGGGACCTTAGCCATTTCACGTCCTCCAAGTCAATAACAATCAAACGGTTACATATGTCATCCCACAACATATTGCGCCATTCACTGTCGCCATGAACCACTCCGTGCGAATGGAGCACAGTCAGAGCTTTGTCGCGCTCCTGGTGAAAGAATTTGGAATTCTCATCGTTGATGATGTGCTGAAGCCGTGACCCAGACCAGCTCAGTATCATCATCTGCGCCATTAATTTGCCATGGTATCAATATGTAACGCGGGGTGTAAAGGATCCAAGGCAGACAGGGATATGATGTCCCTGCAGACTCCTAAGGTAGCGATAATTATCCACTTCCGCTTGAAGGAGATACTACTTCTCCATCGTGGTAGCCTTAATTATCACAGTGTATCCATATGATAGAACAGTCGCTTTGATGAGATGACCCACCCGACCACAGACATAGATTTGTTCAAAGCCGTAGTTTCGGTTTCAGGTAAGCTGATTATGAAGCTAATATATAAACTTCTGTGGCCCTATAGAGTGTTTCTGGTCACCGTGTAGTTTCCAATTAGGGCATTTAGTATCTAAAAATCCTTAGTTAACTATTCTGTGGATGCAAGCAATTATGCAGTAAGGTCGTGTGCTTTCGCTTTCCTTGGTTGATTGATACTTGTTGCCTCAGCTGCGTGCCGCTACTACGATAGATGGGGAATACAACTCCGCATCGCTACCTCTGCCTTCAGTGGGAGAATGCTTCGGAGTAGACTAGTTTAGTTGGCAATGAGCATAGGATTGTGAATTGTGTCCCCCCGACTCTGGTCTCTAGTACGAGGGTCGGTAGTTAGAGACTAGGGGGTTCTTGTGGAGCGTTTCGGGAATTTCTCTCAATATATCTATGTACTTAACCTTCTAGGTCTGTAGCTCATCGTATGCTGTATTATACTATTCTTGAAACAGAGCTTCAACGGTTAGCGCTTAAAGGGTGAATGTAAGTACCTAACCTATGGCGGTCTGGTGTAGGCACCATTCATTGTCTGCCTGCACGTTCTGATTTGGGATGTATAAGAAATATTGAACAACTGTAGGATTGTACTTCGGGATATAAAGAAACACAAAAGCCTCCCTTGTGTAGATGTAACCGTACTAAACCCCACTATCGATTATGTATAAGAATATTTATGTGACTATAACGGCGATAAGGTAGATAGTATGAGAATCAAATGTGTCACTTTCCTAGTCTATAATATCACGAGCTAAATCTATGTGATGAAGACCCGCCACTAGTTGGGGAATTGTTACCTTGTGCGGTGCTTTATACTCCACTATATATACTGGTTTGAGATGCTTGTTGGCTATAAGGTATATGTAGGATTGGTCAGTGCGCCGGTTGTGCCTTTGTGCAGTGCCAGCCCCCTTTTGCCTCTGCGCCGTTCCTCTCCCCTTTCTATTACCACTATCGTACCCGGTATTCACATATCGTTGAGGTTTCCGCGAATCCTGAATATCCATTTGCTCTAAGTTGCTCTCTAGTAAAGTTTCTGATGGGTCCGCACGGTCATAGAAAGTGACTCGGCTCTGTATTTTAAGCTTATGGCGAAGGCATTCGTTATCTCGCAATACCTCAATGGCTATTTCGACAAAGTTATCCACTGTGTCTCGCTCAAAGTTCCGAAGAGACGCCTCCGAGTCAATTTGCTGGTTCTGGTGAATCCTGACGAAAAAATCTAGTTGGTGATTAGAAGGAAAGAGGGGGTGCGAGGTGAAGGCACTCGAGCGGTTGAGTTTCCTCCAGACTTGCTCCTGGACGTTAGGGAAGTCAAGCCAAGGGACTATGCGCTTAGGGTAAAGTCGGTTCACTGGGTTGGTCGCGTCGCCCTGAGTTGTGAGAGTTGCATCCCTCTCAACTCGGATCGCTTGAGACAGAGAGTTGTGGCAGCGATCGAGAAAAGCGAAAAGAGTGTTGGGCTGCACATGTCGTTGCGCCTCATCTCGCGCCTGTCTCTCCCCATCTCGCGCCTGTCTCACCTCCCTAAGCTGACGCCGTAGCTCGGCGATCGTTTCTTCCATATCTGGTCATGAAGCTCTCTTCAGCAGCTTCCACCAGAAGAAAATAATGATTCTCTACCGAGAGAGAGAGAGAGAGACGAAGAAGGGGAAAGTAAAGAGAGGGAGAGAGCGGGCGATCTAGGTACCTACCTAGGTAGGTAGGGAACAGCCATGGTCACCTGACCGGGTGTTCACTTCCACGGTTCTGGGCAAGGTTGTTTCAAGGGTCCAAGGGTCACCCTGTTGAAAGCAGTTTCATCTGACAATCAAGTAAAACAAACTTGAACTAAGTCCAACAAGAAGCCTGCCGTCTGATACAGTGCCCAGACGGAAGGAAGAGATTACGCATCGAGATCCATAGCCCCGGGGGATCCATTCATGTATGTTTCACCAGCCTACATACTCAACCTGATCATCCCCCCGGGGCTCCGGGGCTCCAGGGCCCGGCACTGCCCCTGGGCCCCCACACCCGGGCGTGACCCACTTTCATCCATCGGTGCCTGGGGCTTAACGCATTTTGTCTTTCAGCATGGATACAACCCTGGAACCCGTCAACATCACCTGGGCACGTCGGCGTTAAATCGCTATGTATACCTGAAAGGACTGATACCTCGTACTTCGTAATGTAGGGGGAAAACAGCACCAGTGGGTGACCTAAGTCGTAAGGGTGTCCGGGTCCCAGGTCTCAGATTTACGGTCATAGGCAGGCAAGCAATTTACACACTCCAGCCCTTGGGAGGGCTTCTTCATGAATCAGCTTCTGTCTCCTATTACCACTTTGTAGACATGAGTCGTCGCCCACCACTACCCTCAGGGTCATAAGCTTGTAGTCCTGTCTGCTTTGACAGACCTCCATCGCGCCCGCGCTCTTCCTATTTCACTAGGCACAGAGCACCATAACCTCGAAAGTGCCTAGATGGCATTTACAAATGCCTAAATATCACATCTTCAATGCACCCAGTTCAAAATATACAAACACATTCTCTTTGTTTGGAGAGTGGGTCTCCCCCTCCCAGTCATCTAGTAATAGCTTAGTTTTCTCTTTCTCTCTTTCTTCTCTCTTCACCCCAATCAACCAAGTTGAAGAGTCTGCTTCCTCCCTACTATCTGTAGGATCCCAACACTCTTGTCACATCATCACCTAGGCCCCGGGATGACAGGACGATCGAGAATTTGCCTGGGGACCTTTGATGGGTCATCTTTGAGCCAATTCCAAACGGTCTAGTTCCAAGCCTCCTTGCTGGGAATAATACCATCCTCAACCAAGCGATCGAACACCCGAATATATCCGTACGCTGTGGGATACTCTTCAGTAAAGCCAACGCTCCGGATCTTATCCAAACTCAGCGCGCGGTCGCGCCCCAAAAAGCTGAATCCTGCTGAAAGGAAAGTCCAAGTCTCCGCGGGAATCTCGCGAGGCTGCAAACAGTACTCTTCACACATCCTCTGGTAGTCATCCTGGTGTGCAGTCCACCACTGATCGATATTCTTCCAGCCCTTATCTTCAGGACTTGCACCCTCGGCCGTCAGACCAAAGTGTTCACAAATCTTCGGCCATACAAGGGCCCATGATTCCGGCTCGGCGTTGTCAGCCGTGTTGAATGCCTCTCCGTGCGCCTGATCGGGTTTCTCAACCGACAGATACAGTTCCGAGCGGGCGATAATGTCCTGTGAAGATGAAGTGTACGTGTGGACATAGTTTGTGTAGGGCCCCGGGAAGACAACGGTGGCACCGGGACCGTTCACATAGCGGTATAGTATCAGATAGAGGGCAATGGGCTCAACGTATGTCATACTTGTGGGGACAGGAACATGACCTGGATGCCGATGGCGTCAATATTGCCCAAACGCAAGGAATCGGGATACATACCGACGATTTGATCTGGGCGAGCCTCGCACCATTTCCAAGACTTGCCCTTGTTGGCTTCCTTGATGAGGTCAACTTGCGCGTAATAGAAAATCTCATCTCCCCAGGGCGAGGGAATGCGCGGGTTGTCTTCGCGTAAGGGAGGGTTGATCTCGATATGTTCTTGGAAGCGGAACACAGCAACTCCATAGTTCTGGGGCAGGTCAGTCAAGCCAATTTGACCGGCATTCAATCGGTACTTACATTGGTCCCGGTTTGAAGAACGAAGAATTTCAAGTTTTTGCACAGTTGATCGACAGCGTGCACGGCGTTATATGTCATTCCCTCATTGATATCCCGGATACCCATCACATCCATTGAGTATGCAGTCGCATTGGAGTATGCTTGATGGTCAAGTGATTAGAAGATTATCACTTTGAGGGGTGAATGTCATTTACTGGCTTACCAAGGTAATATACGTGGGTGACATCCTCCAGGCTGGGAACCTTTTCTTGCAACTGAGACTTCACTTCATCAAGGCTTCCTCGCAAGTTCACCCCGGAATGCAACTCCAATCGTGGATCGCGCGGTAAACCACTCTTCTCCAGTGGCAACGGTCTGTTCGTCAAGCCGATGACCCTGGAGAAAGTAGTAGGTGTGGGATAAGAGAGAGCGCATTTGGTGACAGCCCAGCCGGAAATCCCGCTCGCACCAAAGACGAGTGCCACCTTCTTGGATTCAGCCATTTTGATGTTTGTGTCTTTGGTTCCGACAGACCGGAAATAAGTGCAAAGGTACAGATTTTTCTCAATGCTAATGACAGGGGGTATATCTAACGAAATCAGTCTGGAAAGTCCGAGTCAATTAATTTGGATTCGGGTAAATATCGACTTAGTGGAAAGAGATTGCCCTTCATGGGGACATTGCCGTTGCTAATTCCACCCGTTTGGGGTCCGCCAAGAAACTAACAATTCATTGTTCTCGACGCGAAAGAGATCCTTGCTCTAAGCCGTCGGGGCAGGCTTGATTCCGAATAGCTCGGACCCTACGTTCCAAACTAGTGGAGACTTCCTCAGCCAAGGCCCTCGTGGAGGTTCCCAACACCCAATTACCATCGCCTGGACGCCTGGACCGCGTGGGGTTTGGGGGCCGCAATATGTATCATACCACTTCGCTAGGGCTTATGGGCTCCACGCAATCAAATCAACGATCAAGGATCGCGACCCACTGCCCGGCGGGCGGGCCCGGTGCCGCTCGCCTTATTGGATTCAATGGCAAAATTTATAGGGCCTTGTTTCAATCGACCTGCCCTTTGCAGCGGACTGGTGACACAATGCCGACCACTCCACTGTTCATCGTCAGAAAACAAATCCTTCAATGCATATCACTGTTTTCGCCCCATCCTGGTGCGTGCAAATCGTGGCCCCTGCTTTCGATCGGCCGTTCTTCGCTTTTATGACTGCAATTGGAATGCTCTAGCCGGAATTCGACAAGGATGTAGATTGCCTAAGTTGATATCATGTTGCATATCGCCCCAAACGTGACAGAGTGTCTTACATGCGGGTAGCATACTTAACCTTTTTTTTATATCTGGGCGCGTTCGCTTCTTCCTATTCTCCACCACATGTGGAAAATGGACGTCGACCAGAGTGAGCCCCAAGGCGATGTCTCTGAAAATCGGCGTGCGGCTATCTTCGGCTTGGGTATTGGATTTATTGTGTTTGACTCGATAGTCATCACGCTTCGCATCTACGTACGAGCATTTATGTTGCGTGCTCTGGGAACGGATGATAGTGAGTCGATCGAAAGCCATTTTGAAAATGAAACTGACATTTCAATCAGTCCTCATGGTTATTGGAGCAGTATGAGACCACCCTAACACACAGGGGATGAAATTTCGCTCACCTAGATATTATCAGATTATCAATTTCGGATTATCAATAACGATCATGATTGGATCCAAGTACGGAATTGGGAAACATGCACTTGCCATAAAGGAAAGTGACACTGTACCAATGCTTAAGGTATGCGTGATGGTCCCATTTATATTTCATTCCTAACGACGTTCAGTGCATTTGGGTCACGCGCATACTTTACACGCTTGCTATGGGGCTGGTCAAGATGTCCTTGTTGTGGTTCTATCTACGCCTTGATCCGCGGAAGTTCATGCGATGGTCTGTCTTCTCTGTCATGTTTATTAACGTTGGATTGTCCCTTGCGAGCTTCTTCGGCGCATTGGTCGGTTGTACACCTCCGTCTTTGTTTTGGACCAATCCAACATCGAGCCGATGTATGGCGATGGAAACGTCCCAACGGTTCTATGAAATCAACGGAATATTGAACATAGTGACGGATATCTTGATTTATCTTCTGCCAGTGCCAATGCTTTGGGGACTGCAGTTGAATTGGCGCAAGAAGGGAGCCATCATGGGAGTATTTGGACTGGGTATCCTGTCCGTTGCTGGTAAGCATCATCCATGGATATATGGCAGGCTTATGAAATCGTCACTGACTTATCGTGATCAGCTGGCTGTATTCGTTATGACTTTGTCAAACAGCTTGCTTCCGCGAAAGAGGATTATTACCTCCTTTTAGCTGACTCTCTCAACTGGTGCACTATTGAGGCCTTCATTGGTATGTTACCTTCGCCTGAATCCTATCGCCCTTCTAACCTCGCGTCCATAGCAATCTTCTGCGGCTCTGCCCCTTCTCTCTCCGTGTTGATCAAATCTTACGCCCCGTTCATTTTCGGCTCCAGTGCTTCCAAATACCCGAGTACCGCACCGTCACCTGGGGCAAGTTACATGCATCGACGGAACAATTTAAGAAGCAATCGACGTCGGGGACTCGGCGATACCACACTGGGTAGTCAGGATGCCATCATCAGTGTCAGTAATTCAGAACAGGAACCGAATGGGATCATGATGAAAACAGACATACAGACCGATGTGGCATCACGAAAATCAGGAGAAGATATGACTTACAAGAAGGAGTATTATAACTTTTCAAGAAGGCCATAAAGTCATGTTGATGGAAAGAAATCTTTTATAGAAACTGCACATTGTTTATCTACCAAGCACTGAATCTTCCTTTTCGCCATCGAGGCTAACTTTTTATCCATCGCACGTAGCAAGATGACATCGATTGGAGAATATTTGACCCAATTATGAAGCTGGCAGTCCCTGGCCTTGGGAGCATGCATTAAACAAAATGGAAAATTTGCCAATTTAATAACCCATGTGCTCCTCTCCAGCACTTGTCCACATCTCCCTGATTCAATAATTTTGAAGCAATGCTCATTTTAAAAGCTGCAGCAAAATTGCCCCAGGGGTGTCTCAGCTCTGCTTGGTCAAGATAAAAGGCCAAGTGCCCGACGACTTCAGGGGAAGCTCTATACTTGAGAAGCTATCAATCAAGAGCATCTTGTCTCTTCTTGCCTCACTCGATGCGCATCCCAATGTGTGGACACCCGGAGGGGGGCCCTTAGAGCGAATTTCTCGCACTCAACTCAGGAATGGCCCCTGAATGTTCCCAGATCGACCCGAGCGACAATACCCCCAACCGTGGAATTTTTGCTGGTATCTGCAGGATGAAGTTTTCCCGCAGATGATATGTACAAACTACCCCGGTCAAGTCTTGTTCGCCCGAATGAGACGGCGGAGGCTGATTCCAGATAAGGTGAGTCAACCACAACTCGAGCAGCCTTCCGGCGAATGTCAACCTCAACCAGGCTGTGCTGTCTATTCATGGCAATCCATGCCTTCCCCCCAGACTTGGACAGTATGAAGTCATCACCGATTGTGTGATTGACAATGACCTCGACTGGCCCAGTTGCTGTACCGTTGGAGGGTTCGATAGGCACTCTGCCAAAGGTCCCTTGGTTGACATTGGTGAAATACAAATAGGAGTCATGGGCATGAATACCATTGACGGCAACTTGCAACCCGGTCTCTGTGTTTTTCATTCTATCATCATCGATGATAACTTCGTAGGCACCGGTGTCAGCATCAAGGTTCACGACATTGCCCACGCTGGAGTCTGCAATCAGGAGCGTTGAGTTGTTTGTGGGGGCCAAGCGGCACATTCCATTCAGCAGTCCAGCACCTTGAATTTTGGCAACGAGGGAAGACTTGACACAAGAGTTTGCTATCCTTCTGGATAAACATGCGTCAGATCCCCGGAGGTCTATCTTCCAAATAGCACTCGAACCAGGTGCAGCCGTGACTCCTTGGATATTCGCGGCGACCACATAAAACACATCACGCTCCAGCTCGGCGATACCGAGCAAACCGGTTGCTTCGGGTATGGTAGCGATTGCCAGTGGCTTCCTCCCTTCAAGTGGAAAGACTTGGTGGAGCGTTGAAGACTTCAATGAAGTAACGAGGAGGTGACCATTGTCTCGGGTCGCGATATTTTCGAAACTCTCGGGGGCTGTGAATTCCTCGATAACTGTCAAAGGATAGGTCGTGTTGAGATACGCCAAAGCAGTTGACGCTTGTATAATGAGCGCTATCAGAGCGGAAATGCGGAGAAGTTTTGAGAAACTCATTTTGTCAAACCACACTGCTTCGAGAGATAAAGAGTAGGCTCCCCTCGTATTTATATTACTTGTGTTTGCTATTTCAGTTCCACATGGATTTCGTGGACTTAACGGACATAAGTGGGTGCTTACTAGATCCACCTTTGAATAAGGTCTGATCTTCTGGGGCTTGATTTCAAATTTTAATTTGGATCGCCCAGAGATAGTAGAGAGTGGAATCCCCCTCACCTGAAGAGCAAGCAGTACGTAGCTCGGTGAATGGTGTGTGTCCTCTAGGCCCAAACCTTAGAAGCGCTTAGGGCCCCGGGGGCCGGGGGCCGGGGGCCACCAAAGGCTCTCCGCATGCGAGCGTCACCGGGGGCTTCTTTCTTTAGATGATCTCTCCCATTCCTCTGCCGATTTTGACCGCAATTTCCCATCGCTGCGGCTACTAATGGCTAGGAGAGAAAAAAAATCTCTCTATTTCCAAGTTCCCAATCTTCTCACAGACCTCGAATACATCACCCGCCACACCAAAGGCCGCAGCCCCGGCCAAAAGATCGCCCCAAACTACGAAGCTTCGCCCCCGCCCCAAGAAATAAACACCGGGGCAGATAGGATAGCGCAATGACCGAAGGAGACTTTACCTCAAGCGGCTGATTTGACATTGGTCAGTAAGTCACACGGATTTGAGATATAAAATACATTTTTCGTCGCGGAACAAGACCTCATGATCAGTCCAAGCTTCCTCGAAATTCCTCGATTATGAACATGTTCTACTGAAGCTGGAACTACTAGTACTTGAATTCTGTCAACTTGACCGAGCTTGTCGGGATCGTGTTCGGGATCGTACTCGGCCTTAAGCAAATTCCGAGCCGAGCATCTCGGATGCCGGATCCTTGCTATCCGAACTGGGTATACATGGCCATGGACCCTCCAAGAGACTGAGGTAGAATTGTACCGCACGTTGACTGTAAATCCTAGTAGTGCGGATCTCGCCAGTCATTCCACTCGCGTCATTCAACGATAGAAAAAAGGAGAAAATGTCGCAGCAAAAAGTGCTCCTGCTCGGTGCAACCGGACATACTGGTCAATCCATCTTGAAGGGCCTCGCCGAACATGGTAAATTTGTAAGTCATCTTTCCAATTCACGCATGTCTTCCTCTTACAGTGTCTATAGTCAATTGAGCTATTTGTTCGGCCATCCTCAGCAGACAAGCCTGCAGTCAGAGAGTTGGCTCAAAGAGGATTCCCAATCCGTGTTGGGGACATTGATGGGCCATTTGATGACCTAGTCTCATTGCTATCAGGCTTTGATATACTTATAAGTGCCATTGACGCTACATCGCAGTTGGCGCAAATAACGCTTGCCACAGCTGCCAAAAAAGCAGGCATCGCAAGATTCATTCCTTGTGGATTCACAACTGTCTGTCCTCCTGGAGATGTGATGTTGCTTCGTGACGATGTAAGAACCCTCATCCCCATTCTCTGTTTGTTTTGTTTTGAAGGTCTAATAATACTTTGCCGTAAAGAAAGAAATCGTCTACCAGCACTTGAAGCAGCTTTCTTTACCTTTCACGGTCATTGACGTTGGCTACTGGTATCAAATTTCCTATCCAACTGTACCATCGGGCCGGGTCGACTATGCCACTCCAATCAAGCCAAACGTCACTATCCACCACGATGGCGAGGCTTTGAACTTACTCACGGACCTTCGTGACATCGGACGATTTGTTTCTCGTATCATCACTGACGATAGAACATTGAACCAATATGTGTACACGTACGGCGATATCCTCTCTGAAAACCAGATTTTCAGTATGATGGAAAAGCTTTCAGGTGAAAAGATCGAAAGAAAGCAGGTATGTGAAATCGGTCTACGATCCCCCCTCGATCGAACAAGAAGGGTTTTGTTACGTCGGTGCGCAATTGGTGGCTAACGAAGAATATGAAGGTGACTGCGCAGGAAATGAAAACCGCCGTTGATGTGGCCAAAAAGGTGCACGAGGAAGATCCAAAAAGCATGGCTAGCGCATTCATGATTTACGTGTCTCAATACAACTACAGCAAGTATGTCAGATGTGACAATTCTGCCGAAGGTGCAAGGTCTCTCGGCTATCTCGATGCTAGGGAGCTTTATCCGGATTTCAAGCCGATCGCTTTCGAAGACTTTGTGAACGAAGTTTTAGATGGGAAAGGTGTGAACCCGTACCCATAGAGACACATCTCGTATTTCTAAGGAGAAAGAAAAATGAAACGATACCGATGGGCGATGATTAAACAAGTTATTTTCAAAGTTCTGCTCAGGAGAGGTTCTAAGGTTACAATACCTAAGTAGATATACCCGTGGATGCCGGTATACATAGTCCCAAACGGGGGTGAGTTATATGTATACTGTAACAAATTGAGCCGATGGCTATAGGCCCACAGCCCTGGGAGGGCGAGTCGGTTGTAACTGACGATTTCTTCCGGGGGAGCATGATCACCCCTTTCCAAGGTTTCGCTGTGGGTGTACGGAGTACGTACGACGCTGACTGAACTTGGTGCCTAAGTGAAAGTTCTTACTTACGACTTCGGGAGATCAACTCCACCTAGATAGGTATAGACCCTTCAGACTTTGTGATTTGGCCTATCCAAGGAATGTTCTATGCTATAATCCATAGCTTTTGTCTCCAACGGTTGGAAAGCATCGAACCTCTCGCTCCCTCTCCCCTTGTCTTCCTCCCTCCTCCCTCCTCCTCCGCTTACTACTTTTCTCCCTCTCCCTCTTCCCCTTCTATCGTTTCTTTCTTTCTTTCTTTCTTTCTCTCTTCTTTCTCTCCCTTTTCTCTACTCCCCTCATCACCTGTGTCATCGCTTACCTCTCCATACGGCACAAGTCAAGTAAGTACTGGGCCAGACGATCAAGGATAACCGTCAGCATGGCAAGGCTAGCATAGCCTGCGTTAAACTGATATGCAATTGGCACACCATGGTTTCACAGAGCAGGGCCTGGGAAATCGCCGTGTCGAGTGCTTGCTAAAAATGTTCAGGGCGAAAATAACCTAAATGATCGATTGAACCAAACGCTTCCCGGCTGCCTGAAAGACCATACTGAGGTGGGAACTGCTGCTTCTCACTCTCTCCTCATTCTGCATCCAAGATGCCAGATGAGTCGTATTACTACGTGGCCGCGGCCCCCGGGGCGTCCGACGGAAAACTGAGGCCGAGAATCTCCGGAATCTCTAAAACAGTACATTGCTTGTGCGTTGGCATTTCCGACCTGCAAGCCGCTAAGTTGCTGTCAGCTTGCCTAGAAAGCTTAAAAACGACGCGTTGGGCTGCTGCGCTAAGTATGTACAGTGACGCTTTTACGCTGGCAGGGGTCAGCATGAGTTGCTTGCTGTGACTGGTCAGATGGGGGCCAGAACTGTCTGGCCTGTGTCATATACCATGCATGATAAACGAAAGCCCTGCGATCGCTGTCCTCTTTTTGTACAGTGCCGTCATCAGCCCCCTCTTGAACGGATCTGATGCTTAGGGCTCATCCAAATATAGTGGACCAGATAAGCATAGGTAGCGCCGATCTTTATGGGGGCCAAGCCGAACTGCCAATCAGATCTCCCAAATTGCGCCATACAAAGCGCCTCCCAGCGCATTACCTTAATCCTATTCGGGAAAGGTAGTTGCAGCACCAATCAGCGTTTTTACCTCTAGGTAAATTGCATCAGGATCTGCGGCTGTACACCGTATGTACAGCGCTCAGCTCCATGCGTTGAACGACTCATAGGGCCTCCATCGCCGCATACAGAAAGGAGACTAGTCCACAACAAGAGCTAGTAGCCCCATTCTTCGGGGCCGTGAATTTAAGCTATCTTGGCCAAACCCGAGGCCCTTGGCTATAAAGAGGCTGTACGAGATCTCTTACATCCAGGGATCGGGTCTTCTGCTTGTTTGCCCAAGCTTCTGCATCAAACCAAGACAGAATGAGTTTACGACTCAGAGAGGAAGGAGGCGGAGGGTGTGAGCTAGTAGGGGAGGAAATGGCCACATTGGTGGGCAATGGGGTGAGTAGGCGCTGACAAGCAAACGAAAAATCTTCCGTACTAAGAGATCCAGATTATTGTAGGATTTGCAGGCCAAGCCTTTTTATCCCTTTGTTTGTCGATATGGGTTTTCTTCCTGACGAAGCACGGCAACATGGATGTCATACACCCAGAAGGCTCGATCGGACGCGAAGTCGAGCGCAAACGCATGGACTTCGTGTCTAAAATCTTGATGGTCGGGTCTGACTTCCAATCGACGCTTGGAATTGCATATATTATCACCGCATTCTCACAGGTACGAGGGGTCTAGACCAGGCATCCCAAGGGAACCGTGCTTCTCTCTTGGTTATTCCCGCTGACATGTGTCTTGTTCTCTGACAGGTTACAATCATGGATACGTACCATTTGCATCTTGTATACGATATTTCCAGCTTTGTTGGGGTATCGAATACAGCAGCTTTCGTTTGCTGGAGATACTGCCAAGCTAAAATCGAAGAGCCGTACAACCTTCGCCATGGCCGCAAGCTCAAGGTCGACTGGTTCAATAATCGCTACCGAGCCCTTTACATTTTTCTCGCTTTATACCTGGCCCTGACCATTCTTCTTGGCATCCGTCTGAATGAATGGGCACCTCATCAGGAACCTGGCCGTTGCTATTTTTCCACCCTTATCGCAGATCCGTCAGCCTCACACCCCGACGCGGACAAATACTATGTGGGGTTTACTAGTGCCTGGCTCATGATTGTTGTCCTTGCCGGCGTGTTCGCTGGAGTCAAGAGACGACGTGCAATTCTGATTCTTTCATCCCTCCACTTTCCCCTTCATCTTTATATGACTATTGCCCTTCGAGTGGCAAATCATGGCAAGTTCGAGGGTGAGACAAACAGTGAGAACGAGTGGGACTTTGGTCAGACAACAGCTGTGATACTTCTGGTGATCGCCCTTGTGGAACTTTTCAAGAAGGGAATCGAGTACTACAGGTTTGAGGCTCATGTGGCTAAGTATGGAGTGCCCCCTAGTGAGAAATATGGGGCAATGAAAGACGACGAGGAGGCTAAAAGGAGCGGCTCTCTCCTTGCCAGGGGTTCCGGAGACAAGAACATGGCCGAGGACAGGCGTTCAATGGAGGAGAGCGTTTCAAGATGAAAGTGAGGTTCATCTCCCATGCACGGCAAATGTTTGAATCCGAAACACGCCGAATGTTGAGAACATCCTGGACGCGTTGGGGCCGTTTGATGGCAAGGCACGTGATGGCGCCCTCACGTGGGTATATGGGGAAGGGATCGTCCATTAGCGTCTGCATTTCTCAATCGTTCATCCCACACGATGTTCCGTTTGTAAACTCCTTAGGGAGTGACTGGCCGAGGTTAATTATGGTCGTCAATACCATCTGATGCCTCAGGTTTACACCGTAGCACATCCTCTCCATTTAAAGCAGAATGTGTCGCCAACACCCAAAAAAATCACGATCACTACACTCAAAGTCACGTTCAGGGTGTGGAACATGCAAGTGAGTCCTCTAAAATCTTCCAAGGTTGCCTCCTAGAAGAAACTAAGCGCCCCAAAGAATAAGACACAAAAGATGCGACGAAACGCATCCTGCTTGCCTCAGATGTACAAGCACAGGCAGGAAATGCGATGGTTATGCGCCAACTATCGATAAGAGGACGCGTGAATGGCGCAACTTCGAATCCAGAGGCTCTTTTGAAAATAATACCGAATTTACGTTGTCAATACGGCAGAGCTTAAAGACCCGGGCGTCGTCGACTTCTGTTCCTCTGCCGTTGAGCAGTGCCTCCCAAGTCAACCACACATGGAGCGAGTTATGGCATCTGGACTTCTACCACAATTGCATAGCAGTGCGGCTTTCGCATTACTTCAAAAACATATACTGGTCTGGATTAATATATCAAATGTGCCAAATTGATCCTGCTATCCGTCATGCCGCAATGGCTATGAGTGCATGGCACACGCAGTCATGGCGAATTTCGAAGAGCGGGAAAGATCAGCGAGATGGCAGCTTATCTCTCTATCACTCTTCAAGAGCAATTGCTTGCCTCCGACACAGTCTTTCTCGTGAACTTTCCTTTTCACAAAGCTCAACCAACGCCCACAAGCAAGTTGTGCTAGTCGCATGTTTGATGTTTATTGTCCTTGCTTTATTCCAAGGAGACATCGATTCGGCTCGCTGTCACCTTGCCTCTGGTTATAAACTCTTCAAAGAATGGGATCCTCGGAATGACAAAGATCCCACTGGCTTGGCTCTACGGCAGGCATTTGGCCAGTTTCATGTGAATTTATTCTTCTGCGCCCACTCCGAGTTATTTTCCAAGAATTTCGAAGCATCCGATGAGAAGATTTGGATACCCTCAGATACTGCAGTCGACCTGTCAATGATGACACCACCTTCATATTCGGGTGTCAATCAGATGGATCTTGTCTTAGGATTCTTGACCGTTGTCACGGGCTTGATACTGGATTGCTCATTCTGCGGGTTTGATACTGGACCAGCAGCCTCAATTAATCGCTACGCGGCTGAGGTTCTGGCCAGAGTTCGGCTCTGTAAAACCCTTCTGACGGCAGTTCTCATCGAACTTGATGGTCTCAGTCCAGAGGATTGTGATTCACTACGAGTCTTTACCTTGTGGATCGAAATTCTCGAGATCAAAATCAAAGTCGCCAAAAGCCAAAAGCCAACTGAAATGGCGTATGACGATCACCTGGAGCAATTCAAGCACATCACCAAGCTTATACATACTCTATCGGGCTCGAGATTTGGCGCGAGTGACATCAACTTTTCTCCGCTGAATTACAGGTGCTCTGTTCTTCCTGCTCTTTTGTGGACGGCAATCAAATGCCGAGACTGGAAGATCCGTCAGGACATCTGTTCTATATTAGATGATGAGCCGGGGCCTGATTGCTGGACTTCTGCTACATCTGCTGCGTTGAAGAGGCTCATCGATGCGGAGTCGAGTGGAGTAGAGTCAGGGATGATTATTCCTGAAGCTGCTCGCGTCGACCTGGTCAACGTGAAGATTCGTTTCGAGGATTCAAAAGTTGAGCTTCGATATCGCAGATCTCAATACTTATCAGATCCCAACATCGGTAGTGATGGATGGGAAAGTGACACATTGCGCTATTAGCACTATGCTAAAATACCGACCTTGGAATCTTCCAATATTCAACATTCTGACGTTCTAGCATGCTCTACTTTTACATCGGCTCCGAAGAACTGGAGCCCATGTTAATTGCTTGATGTAGCAAAAAGTTTTCTTTGGTCTTCTATATAGCCAGAGCCTCATATTCTCCCGGGAAGAAAACAAAAAGCCCAGGAGCCCAAGGTCATCTATACATACACCTTGGATAGGTAGATCAGAATGCCCCGAAACAGTCGCGCGGCAGGAAACTTTCCCATCGTTTCCATCGCATTTCTCCGGGCACTGCCTGAGGGGGGAAGGTTTTCTCGTACGGAGTATAGATTCATATTTTGCGGGCGCAGAACAAAGTTATGCGGGGCGGCAAGGTGGATCCAGAGAGCTTCCTATTCGGGACTAGTGCTAATGGGTTGAGCCTAATTCTGCTTCCATCGCCGACGCAGCCTCATCTTCACCCAATTTCTTGAATACAATGACCAAATGTCTCATGCTGGCTCGCGTTTCAGGATCTTCCAGTCCATACTCTCGCCTTCGTGTTTCGACTACCTGCACGTAGCAAGCTTTTGCTTCGTCCTTTCTCTCCAGGTTCCAGTAGGCGGACGCGAGCCACCACAACGCCCGTAAAGTCTGGTTGTGATTTTCACCCAGAGCATTCTTGCAGATTTCGAAGACCCGCGTATTGATGTTTGCTGACTGGTTCCATTGCTTCTGGGCTTCAAACATTTCTGCCAATGGTACCAAGTAATGAACAGAAAGTGGAATGTCTGATTCACCGAACTTTTTGTCGCTTTTCAGAATTCGCTCGCAGAGCTCCTCGGCCAGGTCCGACTTTTTCTGTTGCTCGTAGACATACACCAACTCTGCCATTCTTTGCAGGGTAGTTGAATCCTCTATTCCAAGAGACTCCTCCTGGCTTTGCAATAGTTGCTTCCACAGGTCTTCAGCCTGTGCCCATTGGCCCTGTTGCTTGTAGATAGTTGCAAGTCCCGTCTTGGTTTTCAGGGTTTCTGTGTGCTCCACCCCCAGAACATTTTCTTGTGCCGGTAAGGCTCGCTTGAAGAACTCCTCGGCTTGAGACCAATTTTCCTGTCTCTTGTAAACAAAGCCAAGAGCTGCGATCACATCCAGGGTAAGCTCATGTTCCATCCCAAAGATCTTCTCATAGCCACACAAGGCACGTGTGTAGAGCTCCTCGGTCTCTTCCAGCCGATCTTGCTGAATGCATATGTTGCCAATTGATACCACTAATCCCAGAGTAAGGTTGTCTTCCATCCCATAGAATTTCTCATAGCCAGACAAGGCCCGTCTATAGGCCTCTTCGGCCTCTTTGCATCGGCTTTGACGGGCGTAGAGATCCCCAATTGATATCACTGATTTCAGGGTGAATGGATGTTGTAGACCGTATGCTTTTTCCCGCCGTTTCAGAATGTTGGTGTGTATTTTCTCGGACTTTTCCCAGCGATCTTGCCGTGCGTAGACATTCGCTAAATAGGATAGCGTTGACAGCACAGAAGGGTGATCCTGACTGAACAGCTTTTCTTGGGCCTGGAGTACTTGAGCAAACAGAGCTTCTGCCTCGCTCCATTTCCCTTCGCCAAAAAAGGTCCATGCTAGGTTGAAAATAGAGGAAAGTGTTTCGGGGTGATTCTCGCCAATGGTCTTCCGACGCGTCTCCAGGATCTGCGTGAAAACAGTTCTTGCCTCTTCATATCGTTTCTGAAGTCGATAGACGTCTCCTAGGCCCACCATAGAGCTCACAGCGGACTCGCTTTCTGCTCCTAGAAGCCTGGAGAAGACCTCGGTCTCTTGCAATCTCAGCTCTTCGGCCTCTTTGAACCTCTTTTGTTCGACATATATCAACGCCAAAGCATCGATCGTCTTCATAGTTTCCGGATGCTCTGGGCCGTTGACTTTCTTTTGAATCTTCAGGGTCTGTGCTGTGAGCTCTTCCGCTTGTTTCAAACGTCTTCCAGAAATCAATGTATCGGCTAGCATCCCCATAGTAGTCAAAGTGTCTGGGTGCTCCTCGCCAAACATTCTCTTGTGGGCATTGAGGACCTGCAGTTGTAGCTTCTCTGCTTCATCCCATCGCCCCTGGAAGCGATAGGCATCACCCAAGTTGCCCATACTCGCGAGAGTCGAAGGGTGTTCTTCTCCTAGATCCTGCTTCCGGCTGGCCAGGACTTTCAAAAGTAGCTTTTCGCCTTTTTGAAATGAATCGCAATACAGATAGGATAGCGCCAACATCTCAACGCTTTCGACTGTTCGATGATGTGTCGGTCCGAGTACAGACTGCCTGACCTTTGTAGAGAGCTCTGCCATTCTGCTAGCATCAAGAAAGTTTCTGTTTTCATACAAATATGATGCCGATCTGTATAGCACTGTCGCCCATTCCTCAGGTGCATCACCTGCAGGTGACTTCTGGAGTGTTGCCGATTGAATGTGTGGGAAGATTGCTCCGCATTCATCCCGGTTTTCAAATTTTGGTTGCGGAAAATGCAGATATAAGACTTTGATGAAAGAGGTTTTCCATTCCTCCAGCTTGCTGTGATCTTGCAGCCATTCCTGTGTCGCTAGCTGAACTAGTCGATGCATGGCCAGGTGTGTCTCAACCGCACCTATTGCGATCAGTGAATAGTTCCTTAGAACCAAGATATCATCCTCGAAGTCATTGGAAAAGCTTTGTATGTCTGAGTCGTAGTCACTGGGATCAGACGTGGTTTCGGAATCTCCGTCACTATCCAGATCCCAGGGATCCTCTTCCGGTTCTTTTCTCCCACCTAGGAAATCATCGAGATGTTCCTGGCTTTGACTCGCTGGACTGTTTGGTTCCCATTCGTCGTCATTTGGCTCCGGGGGCGGACTGTGCAGATAGGTGTCCAGCGTCTCGTTTGTATCGTCATCGCTAGCCATTCTCTGCAATTTTTCGAACATGCTTTCGCTGAGATCGCTGCTGTTGTCACTCCTGCTGTTGCTGACGCTGTATGCACCTGACCCAGCGTTCAGACTCCAATCATCCGATTCTTCCGTGGTGTGGCCCTTGAGCAAATGGTCGGGGATTCGCTGTCTGTCAAAAAAGCTCATTAAAGATAACAAGTTTGCTGCAGACGGCCTTTCTTGGCGCAGGTGATCAAATGTAATTTGCCAGGTGAGTAGAATGGCATTCTCGGCCTCCTCATCTCTGCGATAAGTGCCTTCATCGTACTTGAGAAGTGTGTTTCTTTTTCTATCGCTCTTTTGGAAATCTTCTAGGTACTTCTTGACCGAATATCGGGGAGCGCGCTGCCGGATATAAGCTGCAGCTTGCGCAATTGCAAGCGGCATACTTTCCAGTGCAGTGATTAGCCGAAGGATCTCTTCTTTGTCGGCCTTCATGCCCAGCTTCTTCTCAAAAAGTAAACATCCAACCTCCTGGTCCATTGGGTCAACCGAAATAATATCACAATCTTCAACAAGTTTGGATATACCGCCTCTGTTCCGACTAGTGATCACGATAGAGCCAGTCAGACTTTCGGGGAAGTAAGACCATATTGTCCGCGTTTGGATGTCGCTTCCGAGCCGCATATCTGGTGTGTCTTCATGCCCTGCCGAATAAGTCTCGACGAGGAACTGAGTATCGTCGACGTTATCGAAGACAAGGACCCAATTGCGCTTGCCATGAAGCCAGTCGCGCAGTAATTTGAAGATGTTCACTTTCGGGATCTTACGGCCTGGTATCCTGACCTGGTCCGCCACGTCTCGGCAACTCTGTTCAAACCGAGTTGCATTGCTGGCATAGATCCAGATAACCCATGTATCCGGAGATCTGTCGCGCACACGGTAACAATATTCGATGGCAACTTGGGATTTCCTTCGGGATATCAGCAATCAATCATTGCGGCCTCTTGGGACACCTCCACTCACCCGACCCCACCCAAGCCAACAAGGGCTATTCTCGACCCCTGAACTGACGTTTTGCTCTCTAGCTGGTCGAATAGTATTTCGCGATCAACGAAGTCTCGATCCCGCCGGAACGGGATAGTCGATAGAGGGTCAACGGGTGTCTCCGGCCGGTCTGTCGGAGTGTGTCATTTAGTCATCTCGACTTGTGTGAATTCTGGGGGTTTGGGGTCCACTACTCACCTGGCAGATAGATCGACCCCTTGTTGATACCGACCTGAACTCCGAGATTTCCATCTCCAAAGACGATCGACGTCGAAGACATCACGAATGTGGCCTTCGAGAGTCATCAACAGGAGAAGTTCGAGGCGTGGGGGCCATCTTGCTCCTAGTGAGGGGCACCACCTGGGCAGTAAGCCTCGCCATCAGCTGATGACGGCGCTAATAGTTTTTCACGCACTCGCATCCCGTGTTTGACAGCGGGACGTGTATGTTTTTGCTCGCGGCAGCTCAGCCAGCACCGCCGTGTATTCCTGTCGCCATCTCCACACCCCACCAGTTGACTGGAGCTCGGTCAGTGTCAATTTGACGTCCAGGTGATGCCTGGGGAGAATTTCAAACGAACGTGTCAAACATTTCTGGGTGGTGTGGATGCCTCAGGCTGATATTGTGTACCTCGTGTTTCTCCTCGCACTTCCCAAGGTTTTCGCCGTCACTCCTATGCTCACGACGCCAAGATTTCTCTCTCTTTCATTTAGACTCAGACAGGAGAGCGTAGAAACCACCCTTATTTGGCCCTCTCAGTAATGTTCCAAGCTTGTCTTGCCATGATGGCTTGCTGATATCCATTTGCCAGGGGGTAAGATGCAACATGGGTCCTGAAGAGATCCTGCCTGAGGCACCAGGCCCCCGGAATCCGGGGCTTCCACCTCGCGGCGCTAAGAGTATCCACCACAGCATATCTGGGCATCTTGGAATTCGGCGACAAGTCTAGAGCTGGATGGGATCGGCAATCGGGATCAAGTTGCTCTGTCAGTCCGAAGCGAGGTCAAGTGCCAGTCCGACCGGCCAACAAACGGGGGCAAAATCCAAGCTTTGTGGCTGCCACCGATTTCATCACGACTTACTTGGACATCAGCCCATCTCAGTCAATCCTTTCTTTTCGATGCTATTCGTCCCCGGACATGATCACGAGGCGTAGTAGGCCGAGACTTCCGCGCCACCCAGAACTCGTGGGCGTGGAGCGTGGGGTCAAGATTTCAACCATACAGCGTCATGAACCGCACAATGGTGGACCTGTCAGAACTCAAGTTTCTTTCTCCGGACTATGCGAACCCTCGGAGACCACCACTGGCCCTGAAGGTACGAATCCAGTTCCCAGATCAATGTGTCATCGTTTTTAACCGCACTTTCTGAATCAGTATGAATGGTCCGGTTCCTCAAGACTCGGCGTTCGTCACAGCGGCATATTGCCCAGCCTTGGCCTTCTTGGTCGGGACTTTGTATAAAGTCTCCTGATCCGGTGCTTCCTAAACTTGCGAGATTCAGGAAAGACTATTAAGAGAGTGCCAATCTCGAACAACAAACAGTCCTCACTGGCACCATGTTGAAGAAAGTCTTCCAAAAGCGTCCACAGGACCTATATGCAGGGACTGATATCCCCAGGGAGTCGAACTCGACCAATGAACGCGAAAAAGGCCCCGGTGATATTGTGGACACTCCTATCCCACTCCTGACATGGCGCTCGTGCGTCATGGGCCTCTTTGTCTCAATGGGAGGCTTTCTTTTCGGTTATGATACAGGTCAGATTTCTGGCTTTTTGGAAATGGAAGACTTTCTCGAACGCTACGGCGAGCTTGGCCCAGATGGCGCTTATCGTTTCAGTAATGTCCGCTCTGGCTTGATCGTCGGCTTGGTATGCTTCTTCTTATCCGATTCATTATTTTCCCTCGCTGATCTGTGCCAACCAGCTGTCTATCGGTACTCTAATTGGTGCTTTGGTTGCGGCTCCTATTGCTGATCGCCTCGGGCGAAAGTGGTCTATCAGCGCGTGGTCCCTGATGGTATGCGTCGGAGTTACCATTCAGATATCGTCACCCTCCGGGAAATGGGTTCAAGTTGCCATGGGCCGGTGGGTTGCTGGACTCGGTGTTGGTGCCGTTTCTTTGCTGGTACCCATGTACCAGGCTGAGTCGGGGCCAAGGCATATCCGCGGATCGCTGATCAGGTACGCTGAAATGCCAATCCTAGATTCGTCACTATTTCTAACCTTGACCGCAGTACGTACCAGCTATTTATCACCCTTGGCATATTTGTCGCCAACTGCATCAATTTTGGAACTGAAGCTCGACCTGACACTGGTTCGTGGCGTATTCCCATGGGCGTCACATACCTTTGGGCCATCGTTCTTGGTGTTGGCATGGCGTTCTTTCCTGAGAGTCCTCGCTACGATTATCGCCATGGAAAAGTGGACAAAGCTAGGAACACACTGTCCAAGATTTACGGCATCCCCCTCAACCACCGTGCTCTTCACATTGAGTTTGATGAGATCAAGGACAAATACGAGGAGGAGCAACGTAATGGGCAAGCCACTTGGCTCCAGATGTTCCGTGCTCCGACAATGTCGTACCGCGTAGCTGTAGGAGTTGCTCTACAGGCTCTCCAGCAGCTGACAGGTGCCAACTACTTCTTTTATTACGTCAGTTCCATTCGCTCGTTGTGAAAAGAAAATGTGAAGCTGACTCTCCCCAGGGAACTACCATCTTCAAAGGTGCCGGCATTCCTAACAGCTACGTTACGCAAATGATTCTGGGTGGTGTCAATTTTGGCACAACATTCCTCGGCCTGTATTTGATTGAGCACTTTGGTCGACGCCGATCTCTGATAATTGGTGCCTTATGGATGTTTGTTTGCTTCATGATCTTCGCCTCGGTGGGCCATTTCTCGCTTGATCGCGATTTCCCCGAGAGGACAAAATCCGCTGGTGTGGCTATGGTGGTCTTCGCCTGTCTTTTCATTCTCGGCTTTGCCAGTACCTGGGGTCCCATGGTCTGGACCATCATCGCGGAACTATATCCCTCACAATATCGTGCACGAGCCATGTCCTTGGCTACTGCCTCAAACTGGCTCTGGAACTTTCTGCTTGCATTTTTCACTCCCTTCATCACTGGAGATATCGACTTCCGCTTTGGTTATGTCTTCGCGGGATGTCTCTTCCTTGCGGCTGGGCTGGTATACGTCGCTGTCATTGAAGGCAAAGATCGTACCCTGGAAGAGATCGACACTATGTACATTATGAAGGTCAAGCCGTGGAAAAGCTCGAAGTTCCAGTTCCCTGCCGACCCAAACATCATTCGAGGCTCGTTTGACAAAGGTGAGGATGTTGCTGGATCGTCTCACATTGCCAATCCAACTACCGAGCTGCGAGAGGATGGGTCAGCTGTATCTGAAACACGCGCAGCGACATAAACGTTGTGCCATGCTTTCTTCGAAGCTCGGCGACCTTGACCTGATCAAGTACAGACTTTGGCTGACCTGCAGTTATTGTGTTGCTTATATACTCGACAGTTCTAGTTTTTTCTTTTCCTATTGATGTGCTATATTCAGAGGTCAATAACAGCTGGTTCATTGCAATTTAGCCCCTGTCAAGGGGTGTCCAAACCGTTGAGCACTAGAACTTTTGAGCCTTCCAAGGCTGGAACCTATAGTATATGTTTTCCAGCTTGTAAGGTTCCAGGGTTGATCTCAAATGAGCATCGATGCTCCGTCCACATGAGACTTCTTCACAAGAACTCCATCAAAATACTGTGTCATCCCCTGCAAATCTTCGAGATCGCCCGTCCATCCAATATACTGATCAGGTCGAATAACCACCAGCTTTCCGAGTGCTCGGTCAACTCCCCACTTCTCGTAGGCTCTCCCATCACAATATCTATCAAATATACACGCATCATCACACCATATCTTTTCGTAGGCATATCCAGTTACCATGCTCAACGGACGCAACACCTCTGGGAAGTCGAAGAACTCAACCTCTCTCCAAGGGGCACAGTGAATCGTGAATATGTCAATGGGACTCTCAAATCGCCCGGGGATCCCAGCATATCGGTCTAGAATGGGGCTGCCTGATGCAGACTGCGTATCCAAGGCTTGGCTCAATTTCTCGATGCGTTGTTTCTGCACTGGATCCCGCACATCCCCGGCCATCACAAGGATTCGGAAGCGGCCATCGCTTTTCAATAGTCTTGTCGTCCACTGCGGACACCCGTCAGCTTGGTTGCGGAGCTTGAAAGGGAAAATTCTCTCCCCGGGGGCCAGATTCTGAGGAATCCCAGCGTCACCACCATCAGCTGACTTCGAAACAATGTTGCTGGCAGGATAGTAAACGTTCCATCCATGGGCAAAGTTTTCGAATTTGGCCGACATATCAGCCATAGACTCGGCCTTTGTGTCCTTTTCCCCAGGCTTGATGTCCAGGAACAAATTTACCCACAGACGATCGAAATCCAGCAACATTTTCGCAAGCGGGTGTCTCTCTAACTCGTAAGTCTCCAGGGTCTCAGGCTTGATAGTTCCTGCGGCTGCCAGTGCAACCTTCCAGCCTAGATTGAAACCGTCCTGCAGGCTCATATTCATACCCAATCCCATCTTTGGTGAGTGTGTGTGCACTGCATCGCCTGCAAGGAAGATCCTGTCACCTCTGGTGATTTGTGTTGCAATCCTTTGTCCGATTTGATATACTGTCCACCAGTCACATATTTCGAAATCGAAAGTGTATGGAGCAATGATCTCCTGGACTCGAGATTTGATCAGCTTTGGTGTGATGATCGATCTATCGAACCGATCGCTTGCTCCTGCTTCGCAGATTTGCACGGGGACATAGAAGCGGGTTATCCCACGCTCGCGGGGGATCACGAGGATTGTTCCCGTAGCCCCTGTAACTACGCTGACACGTCTGATATCCGCTGGGATAGGGGTCAGTTGAATTTGATCGTGTTCAATTGTTTTCAACTTACGAAAATTGCTGATTGCTACCACGTCGATCACCCCCCTATCGCGGATTTTGATGTTAGCATATACTGGCTGGCGGGTAACATTCAATCTTACTCACCAGATGTGGTCTGTGTTGGATCCCTCGGTGGCAATATCAAGTTGTTTTCTGGTCCAGCTGTGAGCACCATCACACCCAATCACGTACTTGGCTTTGACTATCTCGGCTTTTTCCTTCTGAGTTCCTCGTTGCGTTAGATCCTCCCAGTCATCGGGAAGTAGGTCCTCGTGTGTAATTTCGTTTTCAAAGCTTTGTTTGTCGGAATTTGGTGTGTTGAGCTCTTCGGAACCCAGAGTGCGGAGGTTAACGGTAATGGGATATGCTTCGGGTTCCCCCCCTAGTTTCTCGTCATACTCCAGAGACTCAGTAATAACACTTCGCTCAACTCTCAGATTAGAGTTCTCATGGATACTGTCAAGGATGAATCGCTCGATGCGACCCTGGCTGAGTCGAGTATTATGATAGGGCGAATGATCCGCCTGGGTCATATCCAAAAGAGCCTGTCGCACAAGCTTTCCCTGGTCACTATGGCCCTTGATGTAGTATTTGGATTAGCCAAGTCTTGCCTTTTTGGGGGAAAAAAGAGAAAACACATCGCACACACCCATAGGTTCACCTCCGTGGATTCGGAGGCTTCATGAAGAACGCGGTGCTGGAACCCCATGCTATCGAAGAGCTCCAGAGTGCGTGGGCGAAGGCCATCGGCATGCCCAACAAAGATCTTGGTTTCGCGTTTGTCAATGATACGTGCATTGATTCCACAACGGGCCATCCAGTACGCGGCCATGAGACCGGATGGGCCCGCTCCGATGATGAGCCTGGAGATGATGAGACTGGGCTAATCAATCAATTTGGGAATCTTACACATCGACCTTGCTCTCAACACGGTTGTCTCCGTTCATTGTGGGAGATTTTCCAAGGCTGTATACTGTGGGCTTCTGGAATATCAATGTCTACTGCTTGGATCAAAGAGCAACTCAGGATCCTTCCAGGGCGCTTTTATATTGTGAGTTTGATGCTGTGCTACCACGCCAAACTTCGCAAGGTAGGATTCAACATTGGAATATAACAAGGCGCCCCTTGGCCACCCGAAACATATTGTTTCTTATTCTCAGGTGTCTCAATGCCTGCCGATAACACGGCTGAGGCAGCTTGGATCGCTTTGGTCAGAGGTCGAGGGACATTGCTCCTGCGTTCTTGGTAGAACCCAACAAGGGGTCAACTTGTGTATATTCTTCGAAGATACAGTACACATCGAAGGTCGCCTAGCCAGATCTCAGGCCCACAAAGTCGGGTGTAACTCGTGTCTCAAGTCCGGCTTACCTAGACATCGGAGTTGTTGAGACCCCGAAGAGGCTCCGCGCATCCCAATTTATCTGATCATATGCGCACCTGGGTCGAATCAGGATTCTTTGTTCAGCTTCTGCCTTGATATTCGTATTCGAACTCTGACTGTGGGATTGTAAACCCTAGCGATCTCAGGTGGTCGTATTTTCCGCAGGAGGCACTGCTTGAAGCAAGGGTCAAGGGTGTATATAATACTCGTACCCTCCCAGAGCAAACCAAGATATCGACCAGTCGACACTCATGAAAAAGGTGAAACCAGGACCTTGTTAATATCCATCTAACAATAAGGGACGTTCGCCAGATGTATACCAGCCACGTGACGGGGTCCGGTTGATTGGTCTTCCCGCGCTACTCTGCATCCGGCACACCGAGCTGGGCCTTGGAAGTCATACGGAAAAATTGTTGTTGGGCACGGAGACTTATTCTGGACCTGTGGCGGGATTTCCTCATATGGAGATTGCGAGGCACGAACAATTTGTCCAGAGCATCTTAATAATCGATGTTTTCCCGGGCTGATCATCGGCACGGTAATTGACCATCGCAAAGCGGTTAATTTCATGAAAAAGCGGTACTGATTCGGAGCAGGGTCCTCCGGGTGGCTCCCGGTGTCTACTAAGAGTCACTAATCGCAGGTGTGTATCGGAAAATGCGGGCCATTGGATCAACTGCGAACGGAAGAAACGGCTATTGTCGAGACAATCTTAGTAACAGGTGAGAAATCCCAATTCCATACTGTGGACAGCACAGAGATAGCATACAGGAAGTATACGAGTGGGATACGAGTTCTATATGCACCTGTGCGAGTAGACAGCTGCAGGCGAACCCGAGGGCGAGCTGACTCAGCTCATGATGCAATCGATGGCGACTGGAAGGGCACACGAAGTTTGTAAAAGAGAGCAAGCAATTGAAAGAATAGAATCTAAGGTGAATGAAGACTGCTACGAGTATCTGAATAGTGTTAAATACGTATCGACGTTACGGAGCACGGAGTTGCTGAGTTGAGCTGCAAGCCACTTTCCCCCCCCACCCTACATCATACCCCACCAACAAATACGTTCCCCTCCCATTCTCTTCTTTCTCCCATTCTCATATCTTTATTAGTAGGTGTTCCTGGCTCCAATCTCCTTTCTCTTTCTCTAACTTTCTCAGAATCTGCCAAAATGGGTTACACCGATCTGGACCAGTTGGCTATCAACACCATTCGTATCCTTGCGGTAAGTCGACCCCTCATGCAGGAAGCTGGAGTCCCTCAAGGATCTTCATAGCACTGCTTCAATGCTTTGCTCAATGCCTTCCTCAATGCCTGCGATTGATGAACTTTCACTGACAGGCTGCAATTAGATCGATGCCACCTCCAAGGCTAACTCCGGTCACCCCGGTGCCCCTATGGGTATGGCCCCTGTGGCCCACGTTCTGTTCAACAAGTTCATGAACTTCAACCCCAAGAACCCCGACTGGGCCAACCGCGATCGTTTCGTCCTCTCGTATGTGCCGTCCAATGTTTCTTGGGTCTAAAATTCCAGACCAATCTCTGAATGGTCGAGTGGCGATCCAATCCAGAATACCAGCTGACAGCTTCTCATAGCAACGGTCACGGCTGCATGCTGCAGTATGCTCTGCTCCACCTCTTCGGCTACGCTCTGTCCATTGATGACCTGAAGAACTTCCGTGTGAGTACAAATCCGCCAAGCGATAAAACATTTAATTGACTTCTGGTAGCAAATTGACAGCATCACCCCCGGTCACCCCGAGGCTCACGACACCCCCGGTATTGAGGTTACCACTGGTCCTCTCGGCCAGGGTTTCGCCAACGCTGTCGGTCTCGCCATGGCCCAGGCCCACACTGGTGGTGTCTTCAACAAGCCCGGCTACGAGCTGTTCAACAACTACACCTACATGTTCCTGGGTGACGGCTGTCTTATGGAGGGTATTGCCTCCGAGGCCGCCTCCATGGCCGGTCACCTTAAGCTCGGCAACCTGATTGCCATCTACGATGACAACCACATCTCCATCGGTAAGTGTGATCCAACTATTAGTATTGGAATGGAGAGCTGACGTTGCGCCATGCAGACGGTGACACCAAGTGTGCTTTCACTGAGGACGTTACCAAGCGCTTCGAGGCCTACGGCTGGCACACCGAGTGGGTCAAGGACGGTGACAACGACCTCGAGGGCATCGAGGCTGCCATCCGCAAGTGTCAGCAGGTCACTGACAAGCCCTCCCTCATCAAGCTGACCACCACCATTGGTTTCGGTTCCAAGCTTGCCGGTACCGGCGGTGTTCACGGTAACCCCCTCAAGGCCGATGACGCCCAGGGCGTCAAGAAGCTCTTCGGTTTCAACCCCGAGGAGAGCTTCAACGTTCCCCAGAAGGTCTACGACCAATACCACCAGCACGCTGCTGAGGGTGCTGCCAAGGAGCAGGAGTGGAACCAGCTCTTCCAGAAGTACGCCGCTGAGTACAAGACCGAGGCTGCCGACCTCTCTCGCCGCCTTTCCGGCAAGCTGCCCGAGGGCTGGGAGAAGAAGCTCCCTGTCTACAAGCCTACCGATGCCGCCGTCGCTTCCCGTAAGCTCTCCGAGGCCTGCCTCGAGGCCATTCACGACATCCTTCCCGAGCTGGTCTCTGGTTCCGCTGATCTGACTGGCTCCAACAACACCCGCTGGAAGAACGCCGTCGACTTCCAGCCCCCTGACCTCGGCATTGGCGAGTGGGCCGGTCGCTACGTCCGCTACGGTGTGCGTGAGCACGCCATGGCCGCTGTCATGAACGGTCTTGCTGCCTACGGTACCATCATCCCCGCCGGTGGTACTTTCCTCAACTTCGTCTCCTACGCCGCTGGTGCCCTCCGCCTGTCTGCCCTCTCTCGCGTTCGTGTCATCCACGTCGCCACCCACGACTCCATTGGTCTGGGTGAGGATGGTCCCACTCACCAGCCTATTGAGACTCTGGCTCACTTCCGTGCCCTCCCCAACTGCATGGTGTGGCGCCCCGCTGACGGCAACGAGACCTCCGCTGCCTACTACTCCGCCATCACCTCCAAGCACACCCCCACCGTCATGGCTCTGACCCGTCAGAACCTGCCCCAGCTTGAGAACTCCACCCTTGAGAACGCTCTCCACGGTGGTTACGTCGCTGTCGACACCCCCAACGCTGCCATCACCATTGTCTCCACTGGTTCCGAGGTCAGCATCGCCATTGAGGCTGCCACCTACCTCCAGGAGAAGCACGGTGTCGCTGCCCGTGTCGTGTCTATTCCTTGCTTCGAAGTCTTCGATGCCCAGACCAAGGAGTACCGCCTCAGCGTCCTTCCCGACAACATCCCCGTGCTCTCCGTCGAGGCTCTCTGCACCATGGGTTGGGAGCGCTACTCCCACGAGCAGTTCGGTCTGAACCGCTTCGGTGCTTCCGGTCCCTACAAGGAGGTCTACGCCAAGTTCGAGTTCACCCCCGAGGGTATCTCCAAGCGTGCCCTTGCCACCATCGACTTCTACAAGGGTGTTCCCGTGCGTTCGCCCATCAACCGCGCTTTCCAGCAGATCCTGTAAAGTGACGGAACGATTATGACGTAACAAAATGTTTTTTAAATTTTTAGTAGAGGAGCTATGGCCCTCGGATTTTATAAGAATGCGAATAGAGCTTTCACCCGTTCATCTATCCGTCCAATTGGACGTCAACTTAGAGTATTGGCCACACTTAAGGTTAAACTTAGGCGATGTTTGCCCATGGGTCTATCTCAAAACCACTCACGGTAATTCCCCCCATTTCTTCTTCTGCATCTCAACAACATCTCTCAACATCTCTTCTTTCTTCTTTCGCGTCTGCGATGTATACGGCCCGTAGGCCTCCTGCGTCTGTTTTACGACCATGTCTCTCCAGCCTTGCTCACCCGCAATATCAATCTGGCCCAAATCCCCCCAAACATCCTCAATCGTAGGCGACAACTTCTGAAGAAACGCTTCAATCCCGCCCTCTCCACCACCAGCATGATAGCTTTCAAAAACACCACTGCCAGCCCATCTGGGCCCTAGACTAGCTGTAACAATTGCGTCCAAATCTTGAGCCGAAACAACACCTTCACCAACAAGATGACACGCCTCCCTCAGCAGCGCAAAAGCAAGTCTATTGCCCACAAATCCAGGAACCTCCTTATGCAGCGTGACCGGACGGTAGTGCGGCATAGATTGATTCTCCGATCCATTAGATGATCCCGTTGCCGGACCGGGAATCTCCTTGAAGTATTGTTTCACAAAATCGACCCTTTCTGGATGTGTCTCAGGTCCAGGAACAACTTCAACAAGGGGCATCAGATGTGGTGGATTGAATGGGTGCGCAACGAGTAGCCTTTCAGCAACTCGACTCTCGGGCTCGCAGGATGCCGCCTGTGCAGAAGCTGCTATTCCGGATGAACTGCTCCATAGGTGGGTCTCTGGGCCTGTTAGGTTGGAGATCTCCTTCCAAAGTGTCTGTTTCGAGGCCGTGATTTCGGGACTTTGTTCTTGGATGATTGTCGCTCCTTTGATGGCATCGGGTAAGGAGGTGGCTAGTTTGAGGCGGGATGTAGCCAACAGGTTGTCGACTATGTTGGAATCATTCGGAGATGAGTCCAGGAGGGCAGGGAGGGTAGACCGGATTTGAGACTCGTAGTCTGGTCGTGGGTCGTAGACTGCTATGCTTGTGTCGGGGCGGCGGAGGTGCATTGCTAGCATTGAGAGGCCGATGGTGCCTAGCCCCAGGAGCGCAATTCGGTGGGTGTATTCTTCTTTCATTGCTTTATGTTCTCTGATTTCGAGGAATTGGAGAAAGGAAGTGGTCAAAGGTCAAGTTCGGAGAAGTTACCGAGGGGTGATGCGGGGAGGATCCGCGGTATACGGAATTGAGATGCCGTGGTTATTTCAGCTTTCTTTTCTCTTATATCGAAGCTAATGGTCACTATAGTCTAATCATGTCTTTTCGATCTTATGAATCAATATTAAACATCTCCGTGTCATCCATGGCTCCCTGCAATGTTAGGGAAGAGCCCATTGCTAGACTTCTGACAAGACACGACAGATTGTCTAATACTTTGCTCGCCAGGGAGCTTAAAGCCGCGAGAAAAATGGCACCCAAAAGATCCCAGCTACTTCGCCTCCTTCAGTACACTTCATCCCACCAGATCAGTCGCCAACATCAAGTCGGACAGAAAAGGTTCTCAGCAGCTCTGTGGCCAGTAGTGACGCAAGCCCAAGTATAATCACTGCTATCAGTAATAACACCAGCACCAACATCATACTGAGCACAATCATTCGAGCCTTGGTATTGCTTCAACCACTCAACAACATCACGGCCCATATTGATATCGACACCCGAGTTCGGCGAGACACGACAATTCATAGCCGAATTCGACTTATGCAAAGCTGCAAGGGGGACAGACTGTGATGTTCTATACTTATTTCGATCCAGCTGGTCCAAAATCCCACGTATACCACTGTTCGTACTATCACACAGATGAATATGAATCTGCTCCTCAGACCGAGTAGAGACACTGTTCACGGCAAGGGCCAGTGAATCTCTAGCCTGCTGAGCGTTGATGGTATCCTGGCCCAAACGGAAACCACCGTCGATATCAGCTGCGGTCTGCAATTGCAAAATACCCGGTATCAACTGCGTGGTCGTGATCAAATTCCCGGATCCAAGGACGACCCACGATGGAGACTGGTGAGGTTGTGGGGCGCCTTGGCCGATGACAGGGCTGGCAATGCAATCCGTCTGTGATCCGGATTGAAAGGCTTGGAGACAGCGGCAGAGACTTGAGAACCAGATATAACAGCCGTTGCACTCGGAATTGGGCTCTACACAGCCAGAGTAGCATTGTGAGAGCTGTGCTCGAGGTACAACGGGCGATGGTGGCGATGGGTTGCAGGTGATGGGGCAGTCGATCGAGTTTCCCTGGCAGATCAGGGAAGACGGCGGAGATGGGAAGTTAGAAGGGCAAATGCAGCTGGATACATCCATGTTGGATATGTCGACCGAGGTGCATGGAAGCTGCGCCCAAATGGGGGCGATCAAAAGGAAGAGTACGGATGAGTAGTACTTCATATTGGTTGAGTAGCTCAATGTTGTTCAAAACATGCAATTGAGAAAACATCACTGCTGGCAATGAAAGGGCGATCTTCAAATTTGCTGAATACGAATCATGATGTAAACATCCAGTACATCTGGATCGTTAGCCCTGTGAAAGGTCTCGCCTGCAGAATCGGCTTTAGTTTCCGCATGGAATCAATTGGCATCTAACCGCCTGGTTATGATCAGACGTGTGGTCACTCACATTTCAGGGCCGTCCCAATTTCACAGCATACATACCCATGGATACTGGTAGCTCATCCGAAAAGTCGAAGTTGGTTTGGTTGATGCGGAAGAGGCAAAGATCAGCTATGATCACAAATTAGTTGGGGTTTTCGGTGTTGGGATACAAGGCATGATCCAAATTTCAATTTGAACAGATGGAGCCCGTGGACAGCTGCGCACTACGTAAGAATCGGCATATTGAGATCTTGAGATGTACGAAAATCCGTGATTTCATTTCAATATCGTCATGAGAATATAAAGACCATAAATGCTTTTTAAAGATATCACGACATTTAGTTGCCGAGCTTCTGGCGGGCGAAGTTAGGCAGAACAAAGCTGGCGCGGTGGATGTCCTGGTTGTAGTAGCGGCAGAGCTTCTGCTCCTCCTCGGCGGACCAGGTGCGGAGGGGCTCGCGCACGTTGCGGTTGGCGTCCTTGGAGCAGACCATGAAGCCGATCTGGCCGGAGGGGTAGGTGGGGATGGTGGTGTAGGCGTACTCGGCAACGGGGAAGACCTCGTTGCAGGACTTCTTGAGGTCGGCGATGAGGTCAAGGTGGAGCCATTGGTTCTCAGCTAAAAGGTCAAAGCACGTTCGCAAAACCTAGCCCGCAAAACGGGTCGGTTGCGAGGTAGTGCGATGGAGTCAGTCTATGTTCTTCGCAGAAAAATAGTGGAGAATGGGCATTATGTCAAGAGGGTGGGGGAGGGGAGTGATATGGCAAGCGATGTGGGCACAACATAGGACGGTGACGAACAACCTTGGGTAGTGATAACACCGCCTTCGCGGAGGGCAGACTTCAGGAGCTCGAAGTAGGGCTTCTGGAAGAGGCTCTCGGCGGGACCCTCGGGGTCGGAGCTGTCAGTGATGATAACGTCGAACTCGTTCTGGCGGTTCTTGAGGAACTCGAAGCCGTCACCAACGTGGGTGTGGGCGTTGGGGTGCTGGAAGCCAACGGCCATGCCGGGGAGGTACTTCTTGGAGACACGGATGACAGCCTCGTCGATGTCGCACAGGGTGGCCTCCTTGACGGAGGCGTGCTTGACGACCTCACGGAGGACACCACCGTCACCACCACCGATGACGAGGACCTTCTCGGGGTTGGGGTGGGAGTTCATGGCGAGGTGAGTGATCATCTCCTGGTAGGAGAACTCATCGCGCTCGGTGCACTGGATGACATTGTCGAGGACGAGGACGACGCCGTGGTCGCTGCTCTCGAAGACGAGCACGTCCTGGTACTTGGACTTCTCGTGGTGAATGATGTGGTTGACCTTGAGGCTCATGGCCTGGCCAGGCCACATGCCGGACTTCTCGGAGAACCAGCCATCTGTGTACAGCTGTCAGCTCTTATACTTCCATGCGATTGAGGTATGTTTTCTGGCGCGATGGCGGGGTAATGGAGGGGGGGTTAAACATGCCGACAATGGTAGGGTGGGTAAGCTCAGACATTCTGAAGGATTTATAGGAGAAACAACGAGAAAATGATGTTCGTGAATAAAGAGAGGAAGAGAAACGGGAGAGACGCAGCATTCGAAGAAAAAGGGTACGGCGGAAGATTGGCTGCTTTGGGCGAATTTTTCTGCTGGCCCCGGGTCAAGTGGGGTACCACTTCACTGCTGGACGGCCACCCCCAACTCGCCCGCGACATGACATCCCGATTCTTGTAGGTAATAGCCTGTTTGTGAACTCTAGTGACACAACATTGCCTTCCATTCGACCGCGATGTATCCTCCTGTGTCCACTTTCAGGCATTGACGCCTCAGGAGCCAATGACAGCTCCTCAAAAGACGCTTACTCAAGGTTGACCTTGAAGACTCGACAAGAAGTATGGAAAATGATTGCAAATGGTTGGCGGACAAAGGAAAAATCAAATGGTCGATTGCTTTCTAGTTACTGTACAAGCATACAGCTCCCCACGCAGAGCCTTGGGTGTATCATGCTCTGTTATACCAATCCAACCTCACTCCGAGAAACAATTGGAATTATAATTTACTCCTCATCACCACCCTCGAGAAGGCGGCCGGGCTTGGAGTTCAGGTATTCGTTGCTGTACTGAATCAGTGAACTGGTCGATTCTGTTCCGGGGGTATCCTTACCGCTCAATGGCCCAGTTCATGGCACCGTATGCGATAACGAAGGGGGGAACAACGTAAAGGACCTGGTGGCGGAAACGGCGGAAGACGTTGAAGATGGCAGCGTGGCCAGCACCGGCGAAGGGACGCTGACGGTTAGGGGACAGCGAGTAGGTAGCGATGCGCTGGGGGGTCGGGCAACCTGAAAGGGCAACATTAGCAACATGCCCAATTGGTTTCCTTTCACTTGATCTCGTTTCATGGCGTTCCGATGATTGTCGCGATTCTTTCAATGGTGTTTGGAATCTCTCGCGCTTGCATCCGGGTCCGTTCGAAAGATTCAAGGGTTGTGGTTAACGTACCGAACTCTCCCCAGGTGCCGATGAAGCTGTGGAAAAAGCGGAATCAGTATGTTTGAAGCAAAGAAAGCGGTTGTGAAGAGGCCCTGGGAATCATCCCAATTGGCATCTTTTGAGTGGTTGTCTTTTGAGGCTGGATCGTGTCTCCGGTCGGGTGCCGGATCTGGACCCTCGGCGACAGGAAAGGTGAAGAGACTTACTGTCCGTTCTTGGGGTCAACTGAGCCACCCATTTTGAATGTATTCAGGTAAAATGAGAGGAGTGGGTGGGAATGGTATAGAAGGAAGCGAAACGACAAGGGAAAAGACGAAGTGTCGGGCGAAGTTGGAGGTTCGGATCATTGACGCTAAACCCGATTTGGAATCATCAGAGTGAGCAACGGGTAAAAGCAGACATCATCTCCATCATCTACCCTCATCACATCCCCCTCCAACTCCACACCATGGCCAAAGTGCTCCAAAATGTTTACCGCATGGCCTTCCCCCTTGCCCTGGGGGGTATGGTAGTGCAAAATTCTCTCTACGACGTGCGCGGCGGCACGCGAGCCGTCATCTTTGACCGAGTGTCCGGTGTGCAAGAGAAGGTCGTCAACGAAGGAACACATTTCCTGATCCCTTGGTTGCAACGCGCAATTGTCTACGACGTGCGAACAAAGCCTCGCAACATCTCAACTACGACCGGAAGTAAGGATTTGCAGATGGTTAGCTTGACGCTGCGTGTGCTGCACCGCCCGGAGGTGCCGAAGCTGCCTCAGATCTACCAGGTGGGTTTTCCCCGGCCATTCTGATCATTGATGAGACGTCATGTACTAATTCCGAGTCGTTTAGTCTTACGGTACCGATTACGATGAACGTGTTCTCCCCTCTATCGGAAACGAAGTCCTCAAGGCCATCGTGGCCCAATTCGACGCCGCCGAGCTGATCACACAACGTGAGGCCGTCTCCAACCGCATCCGTACCGACTTGATGAAGCGTGCCGGACAGTTCAACATCGCCCTCGAGGACGTCTCCATCACTCACATGACCTTCGGAAAGGAGTTCACTCGAGCCGTCGAGCAGAAGCAGATTGCCCAGCAGGATGCTGAACGGGCCCGCTTCATTGTCGAGCGTGCCGAGCAAGAGCGCCAGGCTAACGTCATCCGCGCTGAGGGTGAAGCCGAGAGTGCCGATATTATCAGCAAGGCCGTGGCCAAGGCCGGCAGCGGTCTCATTGAAATCCGTCGCATCGACGCCAGCAGAGAAATCGCCCAAACTCTGTCCCAGAACCCCAACGTCACCTACTTGCCCGGCGGAGAAGGAAAGGACAGTGGCAAGGGAACCAGCCTCTTGCTCGGTCTGCGGAGTTAAAGGGATAATTAAGACGTTGCGGGAGCCATGTGCCCCGTTTTCACAATTCATCGAATGTACCAATTAATCGCAATCTTGGCCATGACTCGAGGTGAGCCTGACTTCGAGTTGTGAACTGGAGTGGTCGGAACTAGGCCATCTTCTGATCTGTAGCAATACCATACCTCACTCCACATCTCTTTTTGAAGATTCACTCATATTGTTCATCGCTATAGAAATCTCATATATCATAGTATAAGGTTGGACAGATCTACAACCGCCGATACACGTGCATTTGGAAGCGCATATCTTCCAGGCCTGCACCCTCGCCAACTTCATACCGCAGGCGCGCCGCGTCTCGTCTCCACCACCGCGACTCCTCGGTATACACCCGCTCCCACTTGCCCTTTGCCACCGAGAGCAACGTGTGGTCAAGCAAAAACTTCATGGGATAGTTCCTCTCTTGAGGCTCCCCGTCGGGTCCCTTTCCTAGTTTCAGTGTTGAATAGCTTCCAGGGCTATCAACGACTAGAAGCACCGCACCAACAGGCAGAATCTCTGTCATGCGAAGGATGAATGCAGTGGTCTTGGGCATGGATGTTGAGAAAAGCTCATTCAGTGTGAACATGATAGGAACCAGAACGGAGGTGAAAGGGGAAGAAGATGAAGCGTCAACGAGGAGATTTCCCAGCTCCTCGTCTGAGATATTTAAGACATCTGCACGACGGAAGTCGACCGAGAACGATTCACTTGCAGCCTCCGAAAGCAATGGTGGGCGATGTTTCGTGGTTGATGGGAACGGCACATTGGACGAAAAGATGGTTCGCGAAAGCCTGTCAACAACACTGGACCAATTTCCGATGTCGACAGCCATGACGGAGAGACCGCGTGTGCTCGCGGTCTCGTCCTCGAGCTTCTTTTCTTCCTTTTCTTCTAGCGACACTTCCGCAATGCGCTGCTCCAATGGCTGGGCTTCAGTATCTAGATCTCTTTGCACGGCTGCGAGAGCAACAATCTCTGCGCCTGCACCACCGCCAATGGAAACAACGCGGGTTGAGGGGTTGTTTGATCTTGTGCGACCTCGAGTATTTTGTTCCTCTTCCTCTCTCATCCAGGATAGCACTCCCTTCAGGATGCCGGCATATCCCAGTGACCGCGAAGAACTCCAGCGCAAGGCATAGGCCCGCAGCAGATCTTCATTTGCTTCAGTGAAAGCAGAATCGAAGTCGCGCTGGTATAGCATGCCCTTGATGGTCTGAATGAGAGACTTGATATCGAGCGGTTCTTCCTGATCTATTGTTTCGGCTGGTTGCGATTCATCGTCTGGGTTTACGGACTGCGACTCTGCGACTGGCTTTCCAAGGAGGGCAGTCTTGAACACATCCAACAGCAATTGCTGGAGTGAGCGAGGAATTGTGCTGACAAGTTTGGGGCCAGAGTCCTCATCTTCCACTGGTTCAGGCTCGGGTTTTTGAACTTCAACTTTGCGATTGGCATGCTGTTTGTTCGCGGGCGGCGCCTGTTTTGGCTTCGCGGCCTTAACAGCCGGTCCCGGTGACCTCCTTCTGTTACCCTGACGAGGGCCCTTTCCTTTTGCTGGCATTTTGTGTGGATTCTCAGGAATGAAATGGCTGAAGCGCGGGGTTGAACCTCGAAGTTTTCAACTTTTTTTCCTTATCGTTATCTCGTATCCGAGATCAAATCTACCCCCGGGGCCGAGACTCGCTGCCCTCCAGGGCTGGTCCGTGAGAAACCCCCAAGATTATCGAGTGATATATATGGAGCTGGACGCCTACTATGATCAAACCCTGAAATTTGGAAACGATATCTCACCATTGCGTACGTGCCATCTGACTTTGTACCTAGCTGAGCACTCAAATACGGATCTATGGATTCCAACCTTTGCCCAGGTCCCCAGGTGGTGATACCTAGTAATGGGCAATGTAGAATACTTTTTATAAATGATACTGCTTTATACAACGTGTTAGAATGCCTAGGTACTGCTTGGTCAGCCTCACAGGCATTGACAGCTCTTGGGCAGATCTAGGGGTGTCAAATCGGCTCGGTGGGGCCGATATATATGGTATCGCATATCAACCTTTTGACTCGGGGATGATCCACAGAACATCCATTTGGAACCTTCGGAGTATTGTCTCGTGCTCGGGTGAAGATTACCGAGTCTTGCATTATGCACCCGTGAACTGCAGCCCTGAAGTAGGTACCACCTGGCAGTAGGTCCACGATAGACCCGTGAACATGCACAGGTCCGCTGTGCAATGCAACCTTGAAGTCGCGCTGCCTCACGATCCATGATGTGCAGGGCGCCAGACCTCGGAGCTGCCCAGGTGGAGTTCCTTACCTAGGTACCTGCATAGGTTGACGGGTGCAGTCTAGGCTTTGGAGAATGTCTACCTACTATATTGTGCATATCGCGCATTGAAGGAACCTTATATTATGGAATGATTGCAGCTTTGAGGTTGATTCATTATCCGCTAATGGTAAGCTGGACAGATACAAATTATTGACGAGATCCACACCACCTAAGTAGTGAAGACACAGAAGCCACACAAATAGATACACAGGCGTGTCACAGATATGAAAGAAGAGGGACCCGTGGGATAACCCATGGGGACGAAAGAAAATTCAGGCCAAAAGCCTCAGCAGGGAGACAGGAACAAGGAAAGAGGTCGCAAGGAACCCACGATCGTAGAGAATGTCAATTAATCCGTGCCACTCACACCGATACATAAGCGATTGACAAGAAAAAATGACAGATCATGCTCAAGGAAAGGCCCTGAGAGGTAAAGAAATTCGTAATGAGCGCCTTGGACGCGGGAATGGCACCGCCGATGAAGAGAATAAACAAAGCCGAAGATAGCAAATATGTACACGGGAAAGGTCCATGCTGTCAGAGGCGGAGAGAAACAGGAGATGAGGATGCTGCGGGGAAAAATGTACCGAAATGTCGCTATGCCGAGGTTGCGCCGTAAAGAAAAATGAAAATGCATCGAGACCAACTCCAATACAAGGGCGATTACGACTGTGGTCGATCGTTCCCTGGATCAGATGGCTTCTCTTTGTCCTTGACCTTCCAGAAATGCATCAGGCGACTAATGCGGCGGCCCTTCTTCTTCGTCTTATCGGAGGCATCTCCAGGGGGTTTCTCCTCCTGGCTGAGTTTGCTCCGTTCGGAATGGGGTCCACCGACCAGCTTGGAGAGACTGGCGAGACTCGAGCGCTTGGAATTATTAGCCTGGCTGGTGCGCCGGGTTCCAGCAGCGGAGAAGGATGCCGCGCGATCGGTGGAGAGACGTCCTCGAGGGAAGAAGGAGGCCGCGGAGAAGCGATTGAGGGTGTTGGTCATGGTTGATGCACTGCTTGTCAAAGATGGAACATCTTCGATCGATGCATAGGGATTTTCAGCCGATGGAAGGTGATGATACGAATGGCTTGAAAAGTTGCGATCATTCATCGAGGACGCGGCAATTGACCGTGGGGCGTCGGGTGACGGGAAAGACGACTCGGATGGTGAGACTCCAGGGTGTAGCGCGAAGGGCGGAATGCTAGGCATGAGCTCAACAGGCGACGTGGATGGACGTTTGTCGATGGCGAGGAATCGGGGAGAGACATCAGGGCTTGGAGGCCCCATCGATCTGTGGCTGGGCTCTTCCGCCTTGAGTATTTCCACAGGGCTTCGAGGCTTGCTCATGAATGGATTATTGGCGGTCTGAACTTGCTCAGCTGCCGTCTTCTCCTCTGGTTGTTCCAGCGGGGCAGGTCTGCCGCCTCGCTGGATGCCTAGGCCGGGGTTTTGAGAAGATATGCTCTCAGACGGAGCCCGAGTAGTATGGCCGGTGTCCGCTGTATCGTTGCTATTCACGGACTTCCGGTCGTCTTCCGAAGATGGGAATGCTGCACTGTCAATTGAGGGGAAATCGAAACAAGGACGTTCGATCCTGGGCGACTGAGCTCGCGGGGACTGACTTGCAGCCAAGAAAGCGTCCTCTTCCTCCTCGTCGAACACATCGGGGGTTTCGACCGACGAGTTTGGACCCAAGCGATAGGGGGCAATGGCAGCACGATCAAAGGGTTGCATGACAGGGGCGCTTTCGGTGCGCCGGTGGTACCGCATCTCCGGACCAACGAATTCACCGCGTCTTCCACCGCTGTACATTCGCTGGGTGGCGACTGAGAAGTTGTTATTAGGTGCGCCTTGCGCAGCTGGGCGCATGTCCGGGGTATTGAATGGGCCGAGGGCAGCATCGAGGTCGATGATGGGACTGCTCAGCATGTTCTCTGGCGGTCCGATATCCTGCTCATAGAAGCTCCGAGGTTTCCACGAGGTTTCCAAAGTGGGCGCAGGCGAGGTCCGATTATCCGGACCATCGCTTGGGATGGGCTCCAATGCGGACGGTGGCATCGTTGGGTTAGTGGGGGTGCGAATGACAACGACATCGTCATTATCGAAATCCACATCTAGAGCTGAACCGGCTTCCGAATTGGTCCGAGTTAGGGCTGGAGGACGAGGCGCGGTGGTTCGAGGTTTGGGAGCTTGTTCCTCGATTTCCGGCTTCGTATGACGCTTGCTCTTGCCCTTGCTCTTGGTTCGGGTTAGAATGTGGCCAGCCCAGGAGCGTACACGCTTTTGCTTCTTCTTCTTTGACTTGGATTCAGACTTTTTGGAAGGCGAGTTCTCGGTCCCTTCGTCCCCAGATGACTCAGATGCATCGTCCGAGAAAGACGGACGAGAATGTTCGGCGGAGTTGAGATCATCGGGGGATAGGGTCGAGTCGAGGTGCGGTGTTGATTTGCTCTTGCGGGCGCGCGAATGTCCCGCCGCGGAATGCGATCGCTTAATAGAGGAAGCACTGGAATCGTCCTCCATTTCCATAAAATTCATAACCAAAGACGCATCGGCAGTTTTCGGCCGCGGCTTGGGCTTGTAGTCAGATCTCGGCGTCACTTGGTCTGGTATTGGCGCCGCCTCGGGTAGAGGAGCCTTGATGGTAGTCGCACTGTCCGTTGGCCCATGCGAGAAAGTAGAGACTGGTCTTGTAGCCTGGGCAGTCTGGTTACTTGAATCAATTTCGGCTTGAATGGCCGCCGGAATAGGCGGAACTGGAGGGACAGGCGGGAATTGAGGAGACGCAGGAGGGGTAGGTCGACCAAGAATAATTCCAGACTGGGAGACAGGCCGCGCAGGAAGATCCGATGTTGGCCTGTGATTGGGGTCGGCGGGTGTACATGGCGCACTTCCAGCTCCGGAGTTTGGGCCCAGGGCTTTGGTGATCGCGTTCAAATCCACCCCGGATATGGCGGCCGAGCGCCGATGGGCATGGTTCCGTCGTCCAGGAACCCTGCCTACACCCGGTCCTGGTGGTGGAAGCGATTGGGGTGCAATTGAAGATTCCTCCCGCTTCTCGGCTGGTCCGGCTGGTTCTGGTGTGACCAGCTGATCGGTCCCGACAAATTCGCTTGTTCGCCGACGATGTCCTCCGGCCCGGTGATTTGACATGGATGGCGCCGATAAATGCGACGATTGAGGTTGTTCGGAGCCAGGATTAAACGAGAATGCGGGCAACGCGGCCCGCTCCCGATGCTCAGGGGTCTCCGACTGGGTATTGGGGGCCTCGGGATTGCGGGCGGGAAAGACAAAAGGAGGATTCGGAAGCGGTGCATGCATGCTTTTGTGACGAGAATGGTTACTGGATTGGGTGTTGAACTGCGGCGGGAATCCCGGCTGGGTCGGAGGCAGTGAGATCGAGGCCATTTCGACGCAGCGGCAGGTAAAAAACGAAAAGAAAAGAAACACAGGCTAAGAAATCTAGCAGAGTGAGCACGAAGCCCGGTCGGGGAGATCCAGATGGACAAGACCTCCAGACCGTTGGACTTCCCTTCAACGGTTGGAAAGCCTAAAAATCCGGAGGCCAAGTTTAAACACCTTGGAAGGTCATTGAATCTTCCGCACCAGGCAGAGATGAGAGTGAACCAAAGCGACCACCGTAATCCAGAAGTCTGAAAAGGAATGGACGGCCAGGACGAGGCCAAAGATGGAAAAAAAACAGGTTAGCAGAGAGAAGAGAGAGAGTGAGAGCGAGAGTGACAAGAGGAGAATCCCCTCTTGATTTGTTGTTCCAAGATTACCGTACGCGGGTATTACCCGCAGCCCAATCACACGAAAGGGACCATTACCGTTTTGCCTGCAGTTGTATATCTTCAGGGCGATACTGAGTGTATTGGCTTCTACGAGACGATCTAGGGTGCTTTGTTTCTAGGACTCCAAGGAGCCTCTCCCTTTGTTCCTCCCTGAAGATGTTATAAATACCGCCAGGCACATTCCAGCCTGTCAAACATCAAACCCTAAAATGAGTCTTTCTATTTCCCCTCCAATCTGCCGAGGAATGCCAGCTGCTAGTAGCCCGTGGATCCAACGAGACAGAAGCACAATCGCAGATATAGAACGTCATGACTTGATTGCCACCTTACAGTACACAGTTCATGGCCTCCACTTAATCCTGGGGTCCTTAAGGCACCAATGAACAGGGAGGCCCATCCGGAGAAAAAAGCGGGTATCCCCTGTGCCAATCACCTAGCCCAAATGACCATCCAAATTTCGCTTGACTCGGTGGGTCACGACGCCACGCTGGGGGCGCAAGTCAAGGGGATTGCGCTCCCGAGGCCTTTTCTACCGACCTGCCGGGTCCAGACCGCAAGGATCCGGGTGCCTGGCGAACTATATTGACCTGCCTATATACACCGGGATGGGGGTACAAGAGCCAATATCCTCATAGGGCTGCGCAGGCAACAGTTCAAGGGAAATTAATCAAAAACGTATCCGTACTTTGAGGCCCCCATTTTTCTTGGCCTGCGGAGTCAGATCGGATATAAATAGTGGCGACGTATCTTAGCGCCAATTGACAGGGGTCAAAAGTCCCCAAAACAAACCGGAGCTCCTGGCGTATTCGGTGAGACATTCAAACCCCCTGGCGCCCGAGGGGAAGGACCACTTTTCTTGGTTGCGATCCAGTCACAATGGCGGGTCGGACGGGGTCAGAGAGACAATTTGATGCCGTGGGGCTGATCGCCTTGAAAGTAATTGGGGCGGCAACGGCAGATCCTGACATTGGATCTGGAAATGGCCTGCATATGCAGTTTAAAACTCGACCTATCGCTTCGTTCTCGCCGGCCCCAAGCTTTTGAGTTCAACTACGTGTCTGTACTCTGTACGGAGTACGGGAGTACTGCGTATGCCACTTCGTACAGTGAAAGATATGCACTGCACCTCTTTGCCTCAATTCTCCGTTAAAGCATGGAAATGATATGCATCGCGAATTAATTTACGCGGTGGATCTGATTCGTGGGACATAACGCATCCTGCGATCGCCACCGTAGCTAAAGCAAGAGGCACAGTATACAGTAATCTCCGTACTAGTACGTTATGTACGCCTCTAGTCGCTTGCTCGGACCACTAGGCAAAAAACCATGCAGTTCGTACGGAGATATTACCGCAAATGCTAAGACTTTCCCCCAGAACTCAGGGCGCCACAGGCTTCGTGTTGGCAGATAAAGTGGAACCCTGAATCAGTCCATTTCGTCAGAACCCGATCGTAGAAAACTCTTGAGCAATGCGAAGTACTATACTGGACAGCCCAGCCATCGGACATATCCGCATACCAGAGGGCTGGCACAGTAAAATCCATGGATTCACACATTTAAACTTTGTGTCTCCCCAATGAGGAAGTTGGGATTGTAAACCTTGTCCCGAACCACGAATCGCAATCCGGGGCATGAACCCATCCATCCGAACTTTAACCGTTACTCAACACTACCAAAGTAATTTGTGTGTGTTGTTCTCTGCCCAGGTGTGTTTTCGATAGTTCATATGCAGAGTATTATACCCCGCCTAATCCCATAGAACATGTAAGTCCATTGTTGTACACGGATGAATATTGTAGTCTAGGAACAAGAGAGAAAAGCCACGCAGACTGGGCGGTTGGAATGAGATAGTGGAAATGAAAAGCTGTACAGAGAATCAAACAAGATATGACAGTGTGGAAACGCTCGAACGAAACTATAATGCTGTAAAATGGCCGTCACCAAGGCCCCAGAAACACCGTCTATAGGTCGCTGTCCGACTCGACATCGTCGTTCTCAAGATGCTTCTTTCGTTCCTCGCTGAGCTCCCGGTAGGTGCTAAAGCTCAGCATGAAGAACGCCACCATGATCAAGACACCTCCGATAATGGATGCCATAGAGAGTGGCTCGCCGGTGCGGAACCAGTCCACCAGCGCGACAAGGAAAATCGTAAGGAGAGCCGCCACAGAGGAAAGGACGGGTGAGGTGAGGGAGATGAGGACAAGGAACGAGCCAGAGAATGCTGTCTCGATGTTAGCGTGCGGCCATTTGAAGTGTGGTTTCTATACTTACTGGCATTGGCAGCGACGGAAATGATCAGCATCCATGCCGCCTCGCCCGTTGGCCATTCAAAGGTTTCCCACCCCAACCAGTGTAATAGTGGAATCGGGATCCACAGGACTGACAAGGTGAAACATCCGATCAGACTGCCAAAGGTGTTGGCGAAAATGGTGCCTCGGCCAGGACTGGTGCCCTCCGGGGGGCATGCGAAGCGCTTGTAGAGAACCTCATATAGACCATAGAGAATACTCCCAATGCCAATAACGATGTTTCCTAACAGTCTATTCTGCGCACTGTTATCCGACGTGTTTTCGCCATCCGATGCCTTCTTCTCTGGTCGGTCTCCATATGCAACCACCATCACACCAATGGTAGCCACGGCTACAGAGAACACCTTATCGAATCGGAGCTTCTCATTCAAGAGCGGAATCGAGAACGCATACGCGAAAAAGGCGGAGCAATTGTAGATCGCCGTGAGATCACTGGCCGTAGTCATGTTCACGGCCACGTACCATGATCCTCCTGCGATGGTGAGAGCCGTGGTCACAAAAGCGGTTGTTCGAATCATGTAGCGGACGGGCGAGCGATGAGATGAGCGGGTGCTCAGGTGTACCTCTTGAGATTCCACCATTTGCGCAGTGGTGCGAACAAGCGAGACATGACGACGCCAGAAAGCATCCCACGACAGCCCACGTTTCTGTAACCGGAGGATGCCGAGTTGAACCACCCAAAGAAGAGACCAGGAGCCGTGGGTCATGTAGCTGCGTGGGAAAATACTAGTAAGCGCTTACATCCTGGATGACGTTTTGTTTCGCATGGGGCTTGTTGCGAGGGCTGATGTCTTCCGTCTGAACTTACAGCATGCAGTAAGGTTTCTTCCATCCCAGGTCATTTTGAATGTACGAGGCCGTCTCTGTTTGAACCACAAAGCTAACCAGGCTTAGGACGAGGAACCCCGATGCCACCATGTACTTCTTCTTGGTTGCCTGGGCAGCATCATGCTCCGGACTTTTACTCCGAAAGGTCGGGCGTCTTGTATGATGTAGCATAGGGCGAGCTTCTGTATCGTGGTGTCCAAAGCTTGATCGAGATCGGCGATGGTGGTCATCCTTGAGGAGGGGTTGTTGCGAACGGCCATCCGTTGGGCGATGCAGTGGGGGGCGACTGACAGACATGTCGTCTTCCGAGTCTGGATATTCGGGGACTGCGTCCGGGGTCAAAGGGGCCCGCGGCTCTGCAAGCTCAACACTGTCGGAAGCCACAACGTCGTTGGTGAAAGAGTGTGCTAATTGCCTTAACTACCTCGACATGAACTCTGTCAGGGGTGTTCTTGTCCGATCTACTGCCTTGATGGGTCAGACTTGTCAGATAAGCTAGCGAAACACTGGTTGGCTGCCAGTCATCCAGCTGATATGGTGAGAATTGAACCTTCTGGAACGGGAACCATCAAGCTAACTCCCACGTGTTCAATCTAACTTGTGTCACCCCGTTGGTAGACCATGAACTGCAATTCGGAGTCTGTTCTGGGATAAATGCACGGGAATCAGGGATTGTGTAGTGTAGCCGGGTTCCAAGCGTCACAGGAGGGATGAAACTGTTCAGGAAGGCAAAACGTATCAGGAACGCTTCCCGAGGTCGCAAATGACCGTCTTCAGTTGGCGTCACAGGGGTCCGCTTTTTTGCACGTGATATGGGGCAAACGCCTTACCGGATTAGGGTTAGCGTAACGCCCTATGTCATTGGGGGCAGGTGCCCAGATGTAGGGCCCCCAAAGATGACGAGGCACCAAAGCCCGCCCTTGGCAATGCTCTTAAATTAGATCATGAGATTCAGTGTTGTGATCTGAAGACAGGCCAGTAGCTATGTGTTTCGCTAGCTGATATGCCTATGCAAGAAGGACATATGACTAGGTCTATGAGTGAGCCCCACACCAAATACCGAGGGAATAATCGTGAATCATGGGCGGATTGAAGATACAACCCGTGATATGTTCTGTTATTGACCTATATGTGAACTGCCCAGGTGAGAAGTTGTGAAAGTCTCTATCCCAAGCCATATCTATAAACATGGAGGCGTCTGTTTACTCCTTGGGTCCGAACACGGCCTTCTGAGTATCATAAGTGTACTTCAAATCCAGGTGCCAGTAGTTGGGAGAGTTAGACTTGGCAACCAGCCAAGCCTGGTCAAGCGCCTGCACAACCTCTTCAGGCAGAGGACCTTTTTGCAGATCCGCAAGATTGGTCTCAAGCTGACCGAAGCTGCTGACTCCGACCAACACTCCATCACGACCACCGTTGTCCATTCGCAAGGCCGAATGGTGACGGACCCATCGGAGGGCGGTCTCCACTAGAGTCAGGCCGTGCTTTTGGGCGACTGGCTCAATGATACTCAGAGCTTCAAAGTTGGCATCTCTGAAATAACGCTTTCGGTAATTGGGTCCGGTAGAACCTGCGTCGCTGTATCTGCCTTCGGTGGGAAGATCATCCAGCTTGTATTTGCCGGAGAAAAGACCACCGGCAAGTGGGTTGTAGATGACAACGTCAAGACCGTACCGGTGACAGGCGTGAATAAGTTCAGTCTCAATATTGCGTGCTAATGACAAGAGGCAGTGTCAGCAAATCAGCTACACTGGCTCACAAAGACGGAGAACGAGAACGCCTTCATCACTTACTTATAGCGTTATACATAGCTTGGAAGATAGTAGGACGAACCCATCCTCTTTCGGCGCAGAGAATGCAGATCTCTGCTACCTCGAAAGAGGTAAAGTTGCTGAGACCGAGCTGTACAAACTTGCCCTCTTTATGCAATTGGTTGACAGCCTCAAGTGTTTCAGCGAATGGGGTCGCACGGTCTGCCGCATGAAGATAGAAGATATCAACCATGTCAGTTTGGAGCTCCTTTAAAGAAAGCTCCAAATTCTTGCGAATGACATCAGGTTTGTGATCACCGGCTTGGTGAGGGTACCATTTCGTGGCAAGCGTAAGGCCACGAGATTTCCAGTTTGCCTGCGCCGTGAATGCCTCTTGTTTTCCACCAACATAGATACGGGCCGTATCAAGTTCATTGAATCCTTGCTGCTGGAAATAATCAAGGCATTTGTTGTATTCGTCGAGCGAGGTGATCCGGGCACCTTTAGACTCATCCGGCCCAAAGGTCATCGCCCCGAGAATCACTCTCGGCTGCGGGTTCAGTGCGACAAGAGGCATGATTGAATGATTGGCTATTGAACAGGGGGCTATGGCAGGGCGTATCAGGGGTGTTGCTGCAGATGAGAAAGGTGCGCGGGGAGATGGCGGGGGCGGCGGAGGATCCCGATAACTGATAACGGCCGAGGCCACCGACGTCGTGCACTTGCCCAGGTGGTTCTCTTTCCCAGTAAAGGAATCTTCTCTGATTAGCGGCTCGTTTCAATCTTTCGGCTCAATATGGATTCCCCTCTCGAACACCGATACGACGAAGATCAGATCCTACGGCTTGACCCGAGGAAAGGCGAGCGAGCATACAGTATCTTGATCATCAACCCCAATACCTCAACACACATGACCGATGCCCTCAAGCCTATCCTGGCCAGTCTGAACTTCCAAGATGTTCATATAGAATATTTCACCGCTCCTAACCACCCCGTTGAAGTTGACGGGGTCGAGGTCCAGCCAATTGACAGCATCAACAATGCCGCGGAATCCTGCAAGTCGGCATTGAACTGTTGGTCTGTCCGGGGTTTGATTGGCTACTACGATGCATTTTTGGTCGCATGCTATTCCGCGCACCCATTTGTGGGCAAGCTGAGGGAGGACATCAAGTTTTATGAGGAAGAATCTCAACCACCCCGGAACAAATATGTCACCGGAATCTTCGAAGCTTCCATTACCGCTGCTCTATCCCTCGTCAGTGGATTCACGCTGGAAAATCCAATTGAGCCCGAAGGAAAGCTCCACAAGCACCAAGAAAAGGGCAGCTTCGGCATTGTGACCACAGGATCTGCGTGGAAGGAGGAGCTCACCAACGGAGTTCAAGGCGCACTGGGATATGGGGATGATGACGGGGAGTCTTCGCACTTTGCAGGCGTTGAGACTACCGGACTGACGGCTATTGAGCTTCACACATCCGAGCCAGAGGAGGTACGACGGAGAATCATCGAAGCCACCCGCAGCTTGCTTCGGAACTCGAAGACCCGAGTCAAGGTAGTCTGCCTGGGTTGCGCAGGCATGGCAGGCATGGAAGAAGCTGTCCGTGAAGGCTGTATTCAGGAATATGGTGACCGTGAAGGTCGCCGGGTCCGGATTGTGGATGGAGTCGTTGCAGGTGCTGGAAGTCTCGTCACAGCTTTGAAGGCAGGATTTTGAATATATAGATTGCCAGGACCTGAATCGATGAGATCACCCAGAGCCACTGTGAAGCAAACCAAACGCTACTTCAATAAGTAGCAGAAATGAAAACCCATTTGATAATACCTCAACGTAAAATCAGTGGGAAGAGATTGGGTTGTTGATGTAGGGCCGCGGAGTATTGCCTGAGGCCGCAATGTCGGCCAAAAAGTTCCCCGCGTCAGCGCGGTACGCGTGAACGGGCACCAACAACTCGACGGTTTCTACCAAAAAGATGCCAAGGTTCGTCGGCTTTTTCCATAGATCCACCATCATATCATCTATGCCCTCTTGCAAAAGCGCCCCTGATGCTGACTGGAACGCAGAGAAATCATCACAATCCAAGCCGGCCAGTGCGGCAACAACGGTACGTCGTGCGCCTCCGCAAGCCTTCCCCCGAACGCCTTGACCCTACACCGTCGATCGAAGCTTGGAGAACCCCTTTGTACATCACTAACATGTGCGATAACTAGTCGGCAGTCAGTTTTGGCAGCAACTGTGCCAGGAACATGGTATCAGCGCAGATGGAAACCTAGAGGAACATGCGACTGAGGGCGCGGCCGGAGATCGCAAGGATGTTTTCTTCTACCAGGTTGGTCAAATAGAGCTGGGAGACAACAGTCTGTCTATTGTGTGGTGAAATCATTGACTAACGTTGCGGATAGAGTGACGACACCCGATACATTCCCCGAGCGATTCTGCTCGACCTAGAACCCAGAGTCGGTCATTCCGAGCTGATACGATAGACACACCGCGATGGCTAACGCAAGCTTCCTCAGGTCCTCAATGGAATACAAACAGGCCCTTACAAAAACATTTACAACCCCGAGAACTTCTTTGTCGGACAGCAAGGTATCGGAGCTGGTAACAATTGGGGTACTGGATATGCCGCCGGAGAAGGTGTGCAAGAAGAGATCTTCGACATGATCGACCGAGAAGCAGACGGAAGTGATTCACTAGAGGGCTTTATGCTTCTACACTCAATCGCCGGTGGTACAGGTTCTGGACTGGGAAGTTTCATCCTAGAGCGCATGAACGACCGCTTCCCGAAGAAGCTCATCCAAACATATTCCGTCTTCCCGGACACACAATCCGATGTCGTTGTCAATCCTTATAACAGCTTGCTCGCCATGCGAAGATTGACTCAGGATGCCGATTCCGTGGTGGTCTTGGACAATGGTGCTTTATCACGCATTGTCGCGGACCGACTCCACGTCCAAGAACCGTCCTTCCACCAAACCAACCAGCTCGTGTCAACGGTCATGTCAGCATCTACCACCACTCTACGATACCCCGGGTACATGCACAACGACCTTGCCGGCATCATCGCCTCGCTCATCCCCACTCCTCGCAGTCATTTCCTCCTTACCTCCTACACGCCATTTACAGGTGCCAACATCGAGCAAGCCCGAACAGTGCGCAAGACCACTGTCCTGGATGTGATGCGTCGCCTCCTGCAACCCAAGAACCGCATGGTTTCCGTCAACCCCAGCAAGTCCAGTTGCTACATTAGTATTCTCAACATTATCCAGGGCGAGGCTGACCCGACCGACGTGCATAAGTCGCTGCTGCGCATTCGGGAGCGCCGACTCGCATCGTTCATCCCCTGGGGCCCGGCCAGTATCCAGGTCGCGCTTACGAAAAAGTCCCCTTACATTGAGGAAACCGGGCACCGGGTCAGCGGTCTCATGTTGGCCAATCACACCTCGGTTGCGACGCTCTTCAAGCGCATCGTCCAGCATTATGACAAGCTCCGCAAGCGCAATGCTTTCTTGGAGCAATACAAGAAGGAAGCCCCCTTCGCCGATGGGTTGGGCGAGTTTGACGAGGCCCGGGCAGTGGTGATGGATCTGATCGGCGAGTATGAGGCAGCCGAAAAGGACAATTACCTAGACCCAGATGCAGGCAAGGCAAACGAGCTCGGAGTATGATTTCAGATGTAAGATTTCACATTTGCGAAATGGCTGCTCTTTTTCTTTTTTTCCTTTTTTGCCTTTTTCCTTTTTCTCTGGCTCTTTTTTTTGCTTTTTCCTTTTATGCGGGAAAGGGGGTTTCGGGCGCATCGGTCTGCGCCGGCGTTCTCATTTTCGGTTCTCCGCCTCAAAACGCTCTAAACAGGACAATATGGAAATATGAAACCAATCCACCTTATTTAAAATCGATTGACCACGTAGCCCGTCTGGAGGGTGTCAACGTGGAAGAATTGCAATCTGTGCCGGACTAAGATATAGTTCACTGCAGCCGTTCGTAAGAGGGGATCCGAGCATGGAATTGGGTAGCAGGATCCTCACTTTAGCGTTGAGGCCTGAGTTTGTCTATATACTCCACGCCCATGGCCCTCTGCATGTGGTGCTTTTCCCGATATAATAGCTCCACGCGGATCATCCGTCGTGCACTAGATGATCTTGGCAGGCGACTGGTCGTATCTCAGAGCTTTGTTCTCGGTGACACAGAAATTTATCCGTAACTCTATGATTCTGAGGAGTACCGCGGTGGACAAAGTCTGGATGAACATCTTGCCACCAACAACCGCGTTTACCGGTGGCGAAGGTGTTTGACAGAACCCTCACGTGGAACAGGGGTGAGGACAGAGTATAAGGGAGTATACTAATACGAAGGAACTAGTCGAGATCAGGGGGTAAGGAGTAGTATGATAATTGCAGAGATCAAAGACTATAGTCCAGTGACACAGAAACAGGCATTAAAAGTCCATTAATGTAATAAATCAAGCCCCAAAGGGGGTAACAAGTGGGCTAGAGGCCATCGAACCTTCTGGGACCACTCCACCTAATCCACCTGGACACCTCTACTTCCGTCACTGTCGCCTCACCTGAGTCAGCCCGTTTTTCTGGTTCATCTCTCTTTGGCTTTCTCCCGCGTCTTCCGACTATATATAGGCTTCGACCCCGGCTTCTCATTTTGCTCCCTTTCACTACTTTGGCCGTATATCGTCTCTCCCATCTTGCTACCGCTTTCCGCCCATCGCCTCACCCCCAACCCCTTCTCCGCACCTGGGCGCTTATCGTCGCCCCCCCGAATCACACTCTCAACACTCAACACACAATGCCTCCCCGCAAGCCTCGATGCAACTTCAAGGAGTGCAAGGAAGCCGCTCAGCGCATCGTCGGTGACTGTAGCTTCTGTGCCGGTCACTTCTGCTCCAAGCACCGCATGTTGGAAGCCCACTCCTGCACTGGGCTGGAGGATTGCAAGAAGGAGTCACATGCTCGCAATGCCGATAAGCTGAACAGCGAGCGCACCGTCGTCGTCAAGGGTGTATAAGAACACATCGTTCTCGTGACTTTCAATGTCGATGTCTACCGTCTCCAAACTCTCATGGAGACACCAACGGGGGGCCTCGCCCCATCCCCGACCTCGGCTCGCAGCCGCCCGTCCGGCTTTGCTTTCTTGCACATCATGGGTTTAGCGCGGTGTTTTCGTCTCTTGACTTGTGGTTGAAGCCTGTCTTTCCTTTTGGGATCTATATTTAGATCGATCCACGGCCACGGCCGTTTACTGCGTTTCTGGGTTTCATTTGCATGGCGTTGTGTCTGGTTTCTCATTTCCATCTTCTCTCCCTCGCATCTTTTGGGTTCCTCTTTTCGGGACTGTTAATAGAGCTCCTGTCCTAGCCGTGAATTTATACATGGTCCGGTCTCCCGCGACTTTCAAACCCATTACACTCTACAGCACATTTGATCGTAGTGATGCCGGCTAAAGTTGACTGAGAACCTCCACATGGGAATAAATGAGAATAGAAGTACATAACAGCTGTAGGGATATCACACTGGAGCCGCCCGACAAAGATAGCCCAATCACCCCGGTCCAATCTTCGGCCTGCGTAGCGATTAGCACATCGTTCCACCCCCAACAGTTGAGAAACGTACATATCGTGATGCTCACTCAATCGACTGAGATACTTGTTCAAATCCTCCACACGCTCCTTATGAGTCTTGACTCCATCTCGTTGAAGTCGCTCATGTAACTAGATAATTCCCAGTCAACCTCACCTCAATGTTGATGCAGATGAAAGAACCAATACATACCCGTTTGCGCCGAATCTCTTCGTACTTCTTTTCCGTCTCTGTTTTCCCAGGTGTGTCTTGGTCTCTTTCTTCGGATCTCACGTCCTCATCTTTCTCGCGCTTCTCCAGTCCGGTCTCGCTATCTGCGCTGGGATTTGCCTCGGGGCTCTGGACCTTCTCTTCCTTCTTCTTCGAACTCTTCTTCTTTTTCTCGATTCGTCCTCCACTGACTTTGCTGCCCTTTAGCTTCAGCTTACCGCCACCGATGGAATACTCGTCGCCCGCCATGGTGGGCCTGTTAGGTGACGCAATGCAAAATTGTGGTTTTTTTCTTCCCGGCGGTGTGGCGTGGCGCCCCCGTGGAATGATGTGCGCGTGCGGAGTAAGAGGGGGAAAGGCTGTTGGCGTGTGGAACGGTGTGTGGGGGCTTTGATGATTTGCGCCTAAATAGCGCGGTAATTGGTGTGATATTACTGTCGTGCTAGTTCGGATCAGCGTGTCTGAGAGTCTTGGGTTCTTGAAAATGGAGTGAGTTGGAGGTGCAGATTGAGGTTGGGGGTTGGACCAATTAGAAGCGGTGGGTTGGATTATCTTGCAGATCTATATCACGAACCTGGGACTATCTGAAGTTACAACAGCACGGCATTGTACATGGGTATTTTACTGGATTGTTCATGATCATTAAATTTTTGGATATGTCTCAAATATTGTTGTCGCCTATTTCCTTAGTCGAATGGAATCGGGCGCAAGTTCGATCCACCCATGCGCTTACGCATTTCGGCGCCCGCGGCCACGGTACTGGGTACCTTGATACCACAACAGTCACCGAACCAGTCTGCACTGTCGTGAGGGTGGTCGTGTCCAGCATGATCATGTCCATCATGCTCACCAATCTCGCCTTCTGAAGGATCACTCATGCCCTCGGCAGCGGGCAAGAGGCTTCCAAATAGGAAATGCTGCATGATTGGAAGCTTGCCCAATACCTCCTTAACAAACATCTTCTTCATTCCACTTTCAACCTTGGTCCAATTCTTGGAGCCAGAGATATCATCCAACATGGGGCTATGCCAGCGGAGGCCCTTCACCGTCTTGACACTGTCCACCCAGCGGACCTGATCGAGGTAAAGATAATTATCTCCCTCCTCATCCAGGGTCGCCGTGTTGTGAATTCCCAGAGGAGTGATATACGGATGCGCCACGAGTTGGCTGGCACCGAACAAGAACGGTAGGAAATGGTAATCATCCAGACCCCAGACACCATGTGATCCAGCTGGTTCAAGATAGTATGCCGATTGAATCTCACGCATGAGGTGCATGTACTCGATGTAAACCTTGACCACCACCGCTGGGAAATCCGTCTTCGAGAGAAGGCCAAGCTGGTACAGACATAACAGCCACATCATAAAGTTGAGCTCGTGGCCAGATCCATAATCAATGCGCTCTTGTGACCCCAGGCAGTTGATCAGGTATGTTGAGACTTCCTCGGTTGCTGCGCCATCTTTCAATCCCAGAATACCGGTGTGCCATGACGCACTTTGGCTTTTCACATCATCGCACAGCTGGCGGAAGGCGGGATTGCCGAATCTGGAGCCGCCTTGGTCGATTGGAGGGTTTTTGGACAAGAGAGCCCGAATCTGGCTCACGACTGCGAGGACCTTGGTGATGGATTCGGACTCGGACTTTTGCTGGAGATCGGCGACTGACTGGCCTCGTACGGAGTCAGATAGCCCGAAGACAAAAGCGAGAACGAGTTTGTAGGTTGGAGAGGAGAGGAAGAGTTCGTGGTCCTTGTGTGACAGAATTCGGCGGGCGGGTTTCCGATAGGTGTGGGCCGAAAGATCTGGCGGCGAAGGTAGAGGAGGTGTGATTGGGGTTGGGTCTCGGGAATTGGTCTGCGGTCTGCGATTATTCGATCGTAACTCGGAAAGTTTCTTGGAGAGGTCGACCTTCCCCGTCGGTTGGGTCGGTTGGGACGGCGAAGAGATCTGTGACGCCATTCTTGGAGGTTCAGTGAGGGGGTTGAAAATGAACTGTCCGCGGGCGATCATAACACTCCCGCACTCTGACCGCCTGCCGTAAACAGAGACAAGTCAATATCTCCTAGGACCCCTGTTCAGAACATATACAGATTCCGAAAGTTCTGAAAGATAAGGTGCCCTAATCAGGAAAAATCTCAGGGTAAGCCAGCCATATTAGGTCTAACTGCCTCACACAGCCGCAAATATGCTGTCAAAGAGCTCTGTGAACCCATGCGGCTTGAACCCAAGTGGGTTAGAGTGGAGCGGAATCTTCCCCAGATCGGAGTCAGGTGACTTAGGATCATCACTTTGTTCCACGCCTTTGCGCGAGGTCACATTGCGTGCCACATGATGGGCAACACCCCGAGCTGAACCATTCCAAATTATGCGAATGCGGAACCTCTCTACCAGACACACTATTGACCTATTTCTCTCCCCGAACACCATATCCACAGCTGCTTTGGATTGTTGATCAAGAGGTCCAGGATACTCCCTCCTTGCATAAACTCGGTGCTTTCTCGGGTGCGATTAGACGATAAGCTTCCGCAGGTGGTCAGAGGACGAGCACGCCATAATGAACACATTCGACTCACCGGCGGCCCCTCCGACAGGCCCCACGAGCTCTGCAAGAATGCAGACCACACAGTCACACACGTCGAGTGCAGAATCCTCCATGGCATCCTCCCTCGGCAGCAGCCGCTCCCACGCGAGCTCATCATCCCGAAACCGTGCGTCAGGCGCAAACTCACATCCAACCTCGTCCCAAACCGAGTCCACGCCGATCAACACACCCGACCCCACCAGACGCAACTACCAAACAACAGAGCAATCGGCGAGCTCGCAGCTCAAATCCCAGCCGAATAATGGACCAACTATACCTGCGACCCAGCCGGCCAATCCGGACTCGCCCACCGAACCCCGACAGTCCTGGTACAGTCACTTCGTGGACCGATACGGAAGCCTCGAGCTCGAGAATAAAGGAAGCGTTGCACGCGATCATCTGGCACTAGGTATGGTACGCGCATACGGCAGAACAACACAACCTAATACAGCGAATTTATAGAGCGCACATTCCTAGCATGGATGCGCACCTCCTTAGCCTTCGCCTCCATTGGCATCGCCGTGACGCAGCTTTTCCGTCTGAACAGCGCCTCCTCAGACACGCGATCAAACAGCTTCGACCAATCCTATAGCCCACACCCAGGCATTCTTCCGCCTGGCCTGAACGCGGGCTTCGACTCGGCGGCATTTCATACATCTTCTGCATCATCACGTCTTCGCAGCGTGGGCAAGCCCCTCGGCTCGACGTTCATTGGCGTTTCGATCCTCATTCTGATAGTCGGGTTCCACCGATACTTTGAGAGTCAGTACTGGATTATCCGCGGCAAATTCCCCGCGAGTCGCGGTAGTGTAGCTCTCACGGCGTTCGTGGCTGCCGCCCTTATTATTGCTGCCCTAGCTGTCATTCTTGCAGTGTCGCCCGGTGCGGTCGAAGGTTAAGTTTGTCTGCATTTGGGTTTTGGCGATACTGACATCCCAGCATATTGGTCTTTGCGATTATATCAACTTGTTTATTTGCGTGCGGCACTAGTATTTTCGGGGTTTTCTTTAGCTTCTACTTTTTTTTGGCGGTGTGTACATGTAGTCCCTTTGGATTGAAGGGTTCATGGATGAGAACGAGACATTTACTACATAGCAGGTAGGCAACTACAAGAGCATACATTGTAAGCATACTTATGAATCACTTCCAGGTTAGGCAGATTAGAGAACTGGAGCACAGAGTCCATGAGAATGATTCGTTCTTTTCTGTCACCAAAGCCCCCTGCGCCAGACCAGTTTACGCGCAACTAAGGGACAATACAAGTGACTCGTGCATTTAGACAATGTTGAAATGGTGAGAAAGAAGAGGGTAAGATGGAAAAGAGTAAGGCAAAGTGGCTTGCAAGCAATGCGAAGCAGTGAATCAAAAGGGAAAAGAGCAGACCATGAACCGCCTAGGTACAATGTGTTTACCGCGGGCCGAGCTTGTCTAGAGCACGCGCGCCCTGCTCTGCCCACTCCTGCTTGCTTACCCACATGTCGTCCTTGTCGGCGATCTAGATTGAAGGTCAGTACGAGTTGAAAGGTTGCTGGAAAAAGAAGACATACCAGGTTGGCAAGCACAGCACCACCCAGGAACACCATGTGTCTCCGACGTGGGGGGTCTTCGATGCGGACCTTGAATTTCTACAAGCATGTTAGCGTTGTCCATTCGTGAAGGGCAGGCTGAACGCACGTTCAGACGCTCCGGGTCTCCTCCAAGCACCCTGGTGAGCCATAGTTGCTTCAATTCCTTCTCCAAACGCGAAGGCAGACCGGGGTACATGCTGCTACCACCACTGAGAACAATGGCCTTGTATAGACTGGATCGAACATCGACATCGGCGCCTTGGATACAGTTGAACAGCATCTCGGCCATACCGGGTTGGTCAACATCGACCAAGTGAGGCTGGAAGAGACATTCGGGGGCCTCGAAACGCTCACTGCCAACACGGATGACACGACCGTCGGGCAGGGTGTATGACTCGACCAAGACAGTGGTATCCTCGGAAAGCTTCTTGTCCAACTCGAGGTCGTAGGAGACGTAGGCGAGCTTCTCCTTAATCTGGCGCACGGTCTCGAAGTCGGCGGTTCGGTTGAGCGCATAACCGCGGCGCAGGAGGAGCGCAATCAGATTGCGAGTGACGTCGCGACCGGCGACGTCCAGTCGACGAATGTGGTGGTTCAGTACGGTCGACTCGTACACAGGGATAATGTGCGTCACACCGTCACCGGAGTCAACAACCACACCGCTGGACAGACCTAGGACACCGTAAGCATTGGTCCCAACTTCAGCTGACGTCCATGAAACATACCCTGGGCATACAGTGCCAGCACCGCCTGGATCGCTACGTAAACACCACCAAATCCGTATCCCTCGAGCATCACCTCGGCCATCTGCTCACGGTTCTTCAGAGGGTTCATCGGAGGCTCCGTGAGGAGGATCTTGCGATCCGTGGGATCGATCTTCATCTTATCGTAAAAGGTGTAGTTCCACAAGTGTTGCATGTCGTCCCACTTCTTAACAATTCCATTTTCCATCTAGAGCAGCACAGGTTAGGCATTGAGGCGAACACGACTGGTTTGCGGAGAGGGCGGGGTAGCAGGGGCTGGAGACACAAGCTCAGGCAAGACGTACAGGGTAGCTGATCTGAAGCATCGATCGTGCGGCGGCGGCTTCATCACCACACATGATATCCTTGACCACCACATCGCTGCCTTGTTCCTCCGTTCGCAAGATGGGCCGCCCCACTATCGAGGGGAACTGGTGCTCTGGGAAGTTCTGAAGGAAGCATGAATTAGAGAGGAGCGAAGAATTGATCCGGGGGACATACCTGGGCGGCATAGCCGACCTTGAGGAAACCGGTTCCTCCATCGAGGACTGCGGAGTTGTTAGCTTAGCTTGGAGCTGGGACACGGTAGCCTGGGGGAACGGTGTGTACCAATGGGCATTTCCGCCATGGTGGGCGAATTGGGGGTCTGACAGGTATTGCAGAACCACCAGCGACTGTGAGACTATTCCGACACTCCCACGAAGATCGAAATCGAGCAAGTTCGAGGTAGGGCGGAGGTGTTGGGGATTGTTTGAAGTGGAAGCCAACGACGGACGGAGCATCATAACTTACGTGACCGTACCGTACCTGATCTCCCCCACAGCCACCGCCGTATGACGACTGCGAAGCTCAGAGATGCGTTGAGGAAGGGGCTGGATGTAATTGGAGGCCATGGAGAGTAATTAATGGTTATACTCATAAACACGGCTTGTGTGTTGTGCTTTGTGGGACTTGCTTCATGTTTTGCTGGGTAATTGTTTACCACATATGCTACTGGCCTCTGCTTCCCTCCTACGTAGGCATGAACATCGTGACTCGATGGAAAGGAACAGAGTAGGCATTGTGCATGTTTATAAGAGGAGTGCAGAGTCGATTTGTGATATATAGAGACCCTGAGCCTGGGCCTAGATGCGCTTGCTACCCCGGAATACGGAATAGTACATGTGGAATCCGACGCAGGGGGTTGAGCCTCGAGAACAGCCGAAAGAACCTATTTGAGATCGGCTCGGTCTAGTTCAGACGCTACAAATCTGTCGACGTTGTCTATAGTTTAAAACGTCTTTTCGGCCGACTCCGGATTTCCTCGGGAAACCTGTGCTCTCCACCATCCCTATCTCGTCTCGCATTGCTACATCTCTCTGGGTCAAGCTTGCTTCATTGGCATCATCTGAGTCCTTCCACATAGTTGGAAAGATATCCTCTTTGCCATATCAACGCGTCTGTCTGAACTTCTAGAGTCACGGCAAAACAGACATCAATCCGCAGCCATGACGCAGATCGGCTGGGTGAGTCGCTCGCATTCATCACTCTAACTCAACTAACATACATCGCAGTTCGGTCTTGGCTCAATGGGCCAGGCAATGGCCTCTAACTTGCAGCGCCACCTTGCTACCAAGAAAGCCCTAAGCCTCATCTACTCCAACCGCACTATGGCGCGTGGAGCTCCCCTGCAATCATTGGGAGGAGTCCCCGAGCCCAGTTTCGAGAAGCTTGTGTCCAAGTGTGGAATTATTTTCACCATGGTAATTCATCGTGACATAGGTGTCAAAGACGGAGCTAACGATGCCAGGTCTCAAATGACTCAGTCCTGCAAAGCCTTCTATCTAGCGCCATGAACCAGTCACTTAAGGACAAGATCTTCGTCGATTGCTCAACGGTGCACCCTGAGACCGTCAGCTCTGCTGTGGCGCAGCTGAAAAGCAAGAATGCATCTTATGTAGCAGCCCCGGTTTTCGGTGGTAATCCCATTGCCGTTGATGGCAAGCTTGTTTTCGCGATTGGTGGTCCTAAGAGTGCGACCGATGTCGTCAAGCCTCTCATTCAAGATGTTATGGGTCGTCGTGTGATTGAGTGTGGCGAGGACGCTACCAAGTCCTCGCTTCTCAAGATTGCAGGTAACATTGTTACCGTGAATATGATGGAGGCTGTGGGCGAAGCCCAGGTCTTTGCTGAGAAGACTGGGCTCGGAACTGGACCGATGGAGGAGCTTATTGGTGAGGCCTTCGGTCCTGTTGCCGGTGGATATTCTAAGAGGTATGTTCCAAGTTGCATGTGTTCAATATCGTATTGCAATAACTGATTCATTGTTTATAGGTTGACTACTGGTGCTTATGCACCACCTGTGGACTCTCGTCCTGGATTTGGAGTGTCTCTCGCCATCAAGGATGCCAGACATGCCATGACAATGGCCCAGGAGCATGGCGTGGAGCTTCCCGGACTTGAGTTAGCTCGTGCGAACATGGAGTCGGCAAGAGAATATGGCGGGGAGTGCTTGGATAGCAGTGCAATGTATGGCACTTTGCGCCAGAAAGCCGGACTGGAGTTCTGGAATGACAAGAGTCGGAAGGAGTAGATTGAAGTGCATAAGACATAAAGTGTAATTATTGTGGTATAAATCTGGGTTTGCATGTCCATCTAAATGGCCTGTCGAACGCCCAGAACGAGATCTTTGCAAGGCTGAATATGGCCATGTGCATAGCATGGATCTAAGTTGTTTCCAAACTCCACAGTAATTTATCAAAAATCGGTTTAACGTGCAAGAATGAATATGTGGCTCTGCAAGCTTCGGGGATTACTTGCCCAACGATATAGGCAAGGAAGGGGTATGTATGGCAAGCCAGAAGTTCGAGTAGAAGTCGGCTGAGTCGGTATTAGTGCCTCCGTCCACGTCAGTCTTTAAAGACGCGTTGATCTCTTAACGATTTGTTGGTAAGCGGTTCGTCGAGCTTCTGTCTTTGGGCTTGATCTGTGCAGTGTCTGCCAAAGAGGGAAAGGCCTCTGCGAAGCAAGGTCCCAGTGACCAGTTTGACAAATTCCTCATATGCCGCTCAAAGACAGGGTTGATCACCAGTTCCTCCGAATCACCTGCCGACAACAGGCAGTCTGTAGGCTCGTATGGCCAATTGACGCTGAGATCGTTGGTGTAAGGAATGAACCAGTGCTCAAAAGGATAGTTCTGGTGGGACGTAATGATGCGATCCCGCATTGCCGGCCACGGGACGTAGTCCATCCAAGCTGGATGGGCCTGCAATAGCTGTGTTGAGCGGGGTGTGAACCACTCGGGGAGCCGCTCGTAATTCTCTTGCGTCGGGTATATCTGCCACCGCATAAGGAGGAACATGCAATAGAGTACAGCAACCTGCTCTGGTAGTGACGAGATATCTGGGAATGTGCGCAAGATATCCGTGAACACTTTCGAGACGGGATGTGAGAACACACTCTTCTCGGGGTTTAGTAGTGAAGACACGCTTGGGTATGGCGGCCCAGCGAGTTTCTGTCTCGGAATTCCCTGTGCGGCTTCGCGTTGCCGGCTATGGAGGAAATCCAAGAGAATAGTATCTAGCGGGCACGTCGCTGCCACATTCTGAATCGGAGTGGAGGATGCAAGTTGCCCACGATCTGGGGCATTGTTCAATGCGCTCGGATATACTGGCGATTGGGGTTTGTGCTGCATAGCGCGGGAAGTCTCTGAATTGCTGCGGTTGAGCTCGATCTTCGGTATGCTATGGGAAGCATCTAGGAGGAAATTGAACCCCAAACGCTCCTCGGAGCCCAGATCCAGTCCATGTGTGATATTATGCCGCTGCGAATCTAATGCGAGGCGGAAGGACATTCCCGGAGGACCCCCTGTGGCACTGTTGCGGCGGCTCATGGGGGTTGGCGCAGAGTGTGTGGGAGAAGGTGTGTCGAGGCTGGCCATGGATTCGGCATCTTGCTTCTCGGCTGAAAGGTGTGTCGTGTGGGAGGCGAATTGATCTGAGTCGGGGAAGGGAGGTGTATGTAAAGGGGGCGGGGCGGAAGTCGGTAACCGTAGAGCAGGGATTGCATCTGTGCTCGTTAGCTTGTGGCTCCGAGAATGAAGCGCGCGGCTCACCTGGTAGTTCCGTTTTTGCCAACAATGGCTGGATGATGTCCATTGCGGCCTTGAGACCTTGGCGAAGCTCTGCATTCTCGGCTCGAATGGTCTCATTCTGGCGTAAAGCTGCCTGCAGATCAAGGAATGGCTTCTGGGATGAGAGATCCCGGACTTGTTGCTCTAACGCATCGATGTGGCCTTTGGTCCGTTCGCGAATGGCACGCTGCGCCTGACGATCGTTGGCCCGCTTCTTCGCTAATTGATCGGGCGTGAGGTTGGCGACTCCCCGCGAGGACATGCTATTGAGCTTTCGCTTTCGCCCCGCCGTTGACGAGCCGTCCAAGAGTCCATCTGCGTCTATGGACGTCGCGCGTGAAGGAATGGGCGAGTCGAGTCGGTCAAGGGAAGGGGTTGGCTGCGATTGCGGCGGCGAATAAGCCACATCCTTGGGTGTGTGGTTGGCCATAGCCGTGCAAGCATTCGAGGGGCCATTCAATGGGATAAGAGTGAGGATTGTAGGCTACCAGCATGGTGATCCGCAGGTGGGTCGTTGGACGTTCCAGGTTTAAACTTTCATGCGTCTCGTGTCATGACTACGAGGACTCATTGCTCCTTTTTGATTCGCTCGTTTTACGTAGTATAAAGAAGATGGTTTGAAGCTATTCAATTTAACTTGAGTCAAGCTGGCAAATATGCTCAGTCTTGCACCTATCGACCCTGGGTGCCTAACACCTACTGCGTATTACCGCTAGTACGTCGGAGGTTAGCAATACTAGTGTCCCCATTATTGAGATCGTCTTGGCCGGTCAGACGATAGAAGGTAAAGAAAAAGAAAATCAAGGCAACATTGCCTCATGCATGGATTGCTTAACCTGGATTGGTTTCCCTTGTGCATATCACGGACTACTCGTACAACATTTAATATGTAGATTAATACCGGGGATTCTCCACACGCGGGTCTATTGGAAACTTATATGACCCAAATATGAGCATGCATTAGATATTAATATAGTGCGCTAAACTGCAAGTAATGTGTAGGTAGGATAGGCTAGTGCTAGTACAAGGGGTTTGTTCCAGAGACCTACCCAACTGTCTTCAAAGGTCGTCTAGACCAAAGATAACCGACGCTTCGTACTCTCCACGGGGAAGGGTGCATTTCCTCCTATGCTGTGGAAATTGTGAGAGTCGCGAATTGTTTCGCTTTTTCCAGTGATGATGGCTTTCAGCCCATGTCCGAAGTTCAGGTAGCAACGGATTGAACAGATGAAAGTGAGAACGAGAAGTACCAAGCCCATGATTGCGAATAATAACATCATGTCTTTGCCAGCGGTAAGAGCTCGGAATCCGTGACCGTAGAGAATGATGATTCGACTGAGCAGATATGCGATCATGGCGAGATAGCAGAACTGTCCACGAGGGTTAGCCAGCCAAGTAAAGAAGGAGGTACGCATGTACTCACAATCACGAATCCCATTGGCCATTTGCGTTCGAAGCGAACGACATACACACCGAGAATCATGAGCAGAAATGTGGCGGGCATTAACGCCATTGTCAGCCCGAACTCGGGCTCTTCGTAGTGAACATCGACAAGGCCATATTGTAAGACGAAGCAAATAATGAAGAATGCCGCAACTTTAACCAAAACAAGATAGATCTTTCATTCATTAGTACAGACGCCGAAAAAGACGAATCGCATACGCACCTCGTAGTTCATATATCGAGACTTCGTTTCCGAGTCACCCTGAACGCTTCGATAGATGACCCAGGCATACTGCTTCTGCAACTGGAATGCAGAAGCCCAGGTAGCCAAAGTGCAGAGTCCAATGAAGATCGGGCATGCGAGCTGAAATCCTTGGATCAGAGTCCAGATATTTCGATCTTGGTCAACAAGAGGATGATTCAAGGCATCGCGCTGCCTGGGCATCTCGTTGACGAGGACCTCCATGTTCCTGTAAAGCATGACCGAGAAGACCAGGGCGCATGCATTACTCACGCAGATCGCGAGTAGCAACACGTTATTACGGTGGTGGACGGCATCGAGCGCTAGAAAGAAGACATAAATGCACGCAAAGAACATGATCGCCGAATCAACGGGAACAATGTACGATGGGGTGATTTGGATCACATTTGGATGAACCCATAATTGCCATTCAGCGAGGATGAATCTGAGACCTGTTAGATGGGAATTGGCTTGGCATCCATGGATATGGGGTTTACTTACGCCTCGATGGCTAGAATGATAAGCGCTTGTGCGCCTAAGATGCCACAGAATAACCATTCGTGCTTACTCTTTGACCTAGACATCCTAGCGCCACAGGAGCAAAGGAGATAGGGGAGGAGTTGAGTCCGGGGCTAGTTTCACTATTTTTCCCACTTCGCTGGCCCACCGATGGCGCCCCCGGTTTTTGCTCCATTCAAGGTTTTCGATTTCCCCGAGCAATCCCCGCTTGACTGGCCATTCACGTTGGATTGGATCTTGCAGAGGGTCGTGTACTCGTACTTCCTGTTCCACAATGCAGAACTGTAGTGGTTTTCAACTTGTCTGGGTCCACGGACGGTTGACCCGAATAATGTCTGCAGTGACCTCTCCCAATGTCAGTACTTACTAGGATGGAAGCAGAAATGACTCTTAGACGGTTTGGCCGCCTCAATGCATGCAGAGACTGAGTATGTATGGTCATTGTTTGCCTTTGAATACAAGGTGGCTATAGAAAGAAATTCCAGGAAGGCCTATGAAGTGGCAGTCACTGGAAAACAAGCAAATACAATATCAACGCCAAGCCTACCAAGTGAAAGTCAAGGATATGCAGGGAGAGAAACATTCGGTCGTGTCGATCGTGTACCAAGGCTTTTCAGATGTTCCAAGTATGAAAGAATGAAGAATGTAGATGATGGCATAAATCGAGAGGGAATCAAAACTGTCAAAACAAAAGGGATTATTGAATCATATGACCCATTTTCGAAATCTGTTGCAGACGACTTGTTAGTACCATCGACTGCCTGAGTGGCAATTATAGAAACGTACCTTAGTTTGTAGGTAGCCCTCAATTTCAGAGCTCTTGATGCCTTTTTCACCACCTGTCCGCCAGGCTAGTGGAATCATCGGCACTCGCTCTTTGACAAGGACCTCCCGGTTCGGACCTTCAATCGCCCGAACCTTATCAGGGTTGTTTGTGAGAAGACGAATGCCTTCTGGGATGCTGTCCGCGCCACAACCAAGATCCTCCAGCATAGCGGTAGCCAGACCGTAGCTTCGGGCATCAGCAGGGTGTCTCAGCAAAAGGTTGGCCTCGACCGTATCCGATCCAAGATCCTGGAGATTGTATGCCTTCAATTTCTCGCCGAGACCAATTCCTCGGCCCTCCTGGCGCAGATAGATAATCACGCCCCCGGTCGAGTGCGACGAAAGTGACTGTACCTCCGCAGGTGCGTCCGAGGCAAGGTCTACAACGGGGAAAGACATCAAGCGCGCGGCCTCATCCAGCTGCTCGCCGCAATCGCATCGCGCAGACCACGCCGTCTCTCCAGTATAACATTCCGAGTGAATTCGCACCAAGGGTGGCTCAACCTGCTTTGGCGCTGAGGCTCCGACTTGCTCTTCATCATATCGGCTGCTCACTCTTCCCGGGCGCAATGTCCCCACATACGCGCCGCGGATCATTCGGTCCATCTCGGTCTCTCCCGGCCGGACACTGTCCAAGCTCTTGCTGCGAATATTGTTGCCGAACACGATGGCCAGGTGCTCTTTTCCATCTAGGTCGTTGTGGTACAAATGCAGGAACATCTCTGCTCCATTGGTCGTTGGGATGCGGGCCCGCACAATACATTCCACCTCGGGGAGCTTCTCGAGAAGCTTGGGTTCTTTGGTAGGCTGGCTCTTCGTTTTAATGTCTGCTGCTTGGTGTTGGTGCAGAATCGCAGTGGGACTTAAATCCCAATCTAATGTGCCACCGGGAGTCAAAGGTGGGGTGAACGCGGGCGACAGCAGCGAGTCCGGAATCGCAGGAGTGTGTTCGCCCGTTTCGCTGCTCACTTGGCTGGCATTATCGAGGATCCCATCTTGCCTACTCGGCAGCTGTTGTGGGGGTAGCTTTGGTGAGGCGTGAGCCGGTAGATCGGTCATTGCGACTGTCGGCGATTGGGAGGCGGGGTGGTCCGTAGGCGTGGCGCAATGCAAGGCTTTTAGTGTACAGGGGCAGTATGCAGGGAAAGGGATTGGAGGTCACAGGCGCAGAAGAATTCACGAGATTAAGTCATGGAAGTTGAAGTAGACACTCGGCGTGTTCCCTCGGCCCGGCCATGAGAGCGCTTACTCATAACGGGCGGGGCGCAAGTCATTGCTTACTAGCACCTTCTGTCCCAATTCGGATTTCGCGGCCGGTTAGTCGGATGGTTTTATTGTAAGACAACGTAGGCAATTTACAACTACTTCACTTTTCTCAACGGCCATCTCAAAGTATCAGATCATGGAATTGGAAGGTTGATTTTGCTACATCTAACGTGCTTGCAGCCGACATCGGCGAGCAGAAAGATAAAACATCCGTCACACCAAATTAATCACGCCACCGGCGGCGTGGATATCAGCGACATACATAGCACGTCCATCGTCGATATTCTTGCCATTCTCAAATGCGTGGAATACAATCTTGCTTCCGTCAAGGAAGTCGGATCCGCCAGGTCCTGACAGGTCCCCCACATCACTCGCGTCTCCAGACACAACCAAGGGAGCATCGGGATCCCTCGCCTTGGTATACGGACCCGTGAGGGAAGAAGCCGTCGCATAACTCACATCATACTTATCGGTATCGTACATATTGGACGAGAACGAGAGGTAGTATGTACCATCCACGTTTGTGAGACTTGGCGCCTCGATGAGGGGTCCATCGGTGTCATCGCGGTCGAGCAGCTGGGTGGGGTCGCCGTTAGGGGTCACAGCATCGGAGTTCAGCCCTTGCAGCATCAGCGGGGTGGGGTGGGTGCTTCCGTCCCCATTGAGACTGTTCCCATCCACTTTGTATACGACATAATAAGTTCCCCCATCCTCGAAACCGTCGGCATCAATGGCCCCGCCTTGGTCAAGGGGACATGCCACGGCGTTCTCTGCTGGGGTAAAGGGGCCCGTGATACTGGAAGAAGTGGCGGCTCCCACACAGTGCTTGCTGTCATCCTCACTTGATGCGGCAGAGAAGTACATCACGAATGTACCATCGTCCTAATACAAGGTAAGCTTTGAGGCCCGACAACGTGGCATGCGCTACATTACCCTTTTGATCACATCTGGTGCCCAGATCAAAGGGTTAGATGCAACCCACGATGGGAATGGACCCGGCATGGCATCGTTTCCAGAAAGTAGTTCCCATGAGCTGAAGTCGGAGGACTTTGCAATCTGAACATTCACGCCATTTGCGCTGGTTCCAAAGGCATAATATCCATCATCGGTTTGGATGACACAAGGGTCTGCAAAATCCCCATCAATTGCCCGAGTCGGTTGCGATGCAGCAAGCCCGCTGAGCAGGAGGGCAGAGAAGGAGAAAAATGCGGCAGCCATTATGGTAGATGTGTATATCTCTTGAACTGACCAGCTATTGCAGAATTTATGATGAGAAATGCACCAACTACCAAGCCACCGGCTTTATACACGTTACTCAGGGATGGATGCTAGCCTTGGCAACTTCCGTATACTGTACCCCGAGTGCGAGCGTCCCCTTCAGTGACGATCCCTCGGGCCACTAAACCCAAGACAGAAAATGGGTCGCAGGCCTCCGTTGTAGATCATCAATACACAGGACAAACCAGGGCACTTGAAAATCGGGAATTCGCGAAAGGGCCTGTGCCACCAGGTCTCGGGCTGTGGTCCCTGACTCTGGGGAATATCATTTTTCACACAATAACGACTTTCGGCTGGTACCCAGCCCCTAGGCTTGGAATTAGAAGAGTCTGGAAGCACATAACAGCCAGTACGAAAATAGAAGGTAAGCTTTGGCTACCGTGTTGAGTCTACTGCTCCTGCTCCTGCGCCCAGCTTTGGCAGACTCGAGCCGGGCTAGATAATCTGAGCTCGCCTGTCCCGTTCCAAGGGTCTTCGGGTGAAAGTTGAAAGAACAGAAGGATTTATGTTATTCGACTAGGATATCTAGTACAGATGAAAGCACCTGATGTGCATTTCACTAAAAGCCTTCAAACTCCAGATAGCGCCTCGCTTAAATGGTATCATCATCGCATCAGATCATAGAAACAACCCTGGGCTCATTTGCCCGGAATATCCAACACATATCGTCGGTCGACCTCCATCTCCTTGTCGTCCTCCTCGCCCTCGAACTTCAAACGATAGACATCCTTCTTCGACCCCATCACTTCGGCCCGGTAGAAGGTGGTGGTATCGGGATACCTTGCGAGAACCTGCTTGCCCGCGGTGTACGCGGTCAAGTGGCCGCTCATCTGCGGGATGGGAATGAGAGAGACGGCAGTCGTTTTAAAGACAGCACCTTGCTCACCATTTTCATTTGGCTCGGGATCTTGTACTTCATAACTGAAATGAAGTTGAGCCATCAATGTGCAGAGCCGTAAGCAAGAGAGATCCGACTTACCGCTTCTTTTGCCCCTCCCCCGTGATGGCCTTGATTATGCATTGGATCCCCTCGCCCTCGACGCCCTGTTTATTTTTATTGTGTTTAAAGACCACTTGAGATCCAACCTGCAGGACACCACTTCGCTCTGCGATGGTCCCCTTGGTCCCCTCCGACGGCGACTCTTCAATCTTGACCATGATGTTTTCCTGCCGACCCCCATCCCGGGGCTGAGGGGCGTTGGAGGAGACGCTCGAGCTGCGCGGCGCGGTTCCTTTCGAGCGAGCGGATTTATCCGCCCCAGAGGCACTGGGGGAATCGGTCACCGAGCCATCGACCTCGTTTCTTTTCTTGCGAGATTTATTAAACGACGCGGATCGATTGGGCGGTGCCTCGGCCTCGGATGCTTTGCGCAATGCCGTCAGCAGCTCTAGATTTTTGATTACATCGCACGGTTCGTCCTGCATGATTGAGCGTTCATCCTCGCTGAGCTTTTGACTCTGCCGTAGCCAGCTATCAAGTTGGTCGTGTTCGGCCAGGGTTGCTTCTGCTTGTAAGCGCAATGTCAGTATGTGTGACAAAGGGCCATTGGAGCGAATCCACGCGGTGGTGGCCTGGGTCGAAGCTTTGTGCTTTCGGGTATGGGGCCGAGGGAGCTAGTGCGGGGTCGCTCACTATTGCCATCGTTGGTGATCTTGTCAATCAAAGCTTTGATTTGAACGGACAATGAGGCCTGCTGATCAAACTTCTCCTTAGATTTTCGAATGTCCTGGCAGATCTTGGTCCAGAGCTCCAACTCCTCGTTATTGCCGAATCCATTGTCTCTGGGTCTGGGGCGGTTGCGGGACATTTTGGTCAATCAAAAGAAGTTCCGTGGATGGTTAAGGCGAAAGACGCGAGTTTATAGCGCGACACAAGAGTCAATAGGTCTGGATCGCAAAGGTGTTTCGATGTTGTTTCGATGTTGGAGATAAGGGCTCCGACATCCCGGGCGGTCGGGGTTGATACGCTAAGCTCCTTTGGGACATAGCTGCTCCGGTCTGTGCGTATAAAAGGGCTCTGCGTTAGCACCTATGCTATGGACTGTTCTTAACGGCTAGAGTTCCCGATTCAGCTTGAGCCGACTTATACAAAAAACAGGCTTGATAGGATGCGGAAGTGTGCACAAATAGAGAATGACGCTTAGGGCTTCTGCATTTATTTAAACATGGACCATTCTTGTTTTCCAGCCTTAGACACCCAGTGTATTAACTGCCCAGGTGGCTAGAATCGCTGAAATTACTAAAATTGCTCGTTTGTCATAGAAAAGTCTCGAGCCCTGTTACCCTCACCGAAGGCTTGGCGTGGCATTTCTAATACAACCCCCCTCAGCCCCTCCGCTTTTTCCCCAAACATCTTTTCAGAATGCAGGTGCCACTTCTCCGGCTACAGTGCGGTAAGTCTTCGGGACTTCGCTCGGAGAAATACCACTAATTCATCTGAAGGTGTCAACAGTTACGACTGGGGTAAGCTAATGTCGACGACGATGAGTTCCCCGCACTAAACCTCATAGGCAAGGTCGGCCAAGAGTCGGCAGCGGCCAGGTATGCCGCCACAACTGCCGGCCCCGATTTTACCATCGAAGCCGAAAAACCCTACGCCGAAGTAAGTGATTCCATAACAACACTATAAATGCTCGAACTCACCACCATTAGTTGTGGATGGGCACACACCCGTCTCTCCCTTCCAAAGATGTTGAAACCCAACGAACTCTTCTTGACATGGTCCAAGACAACCAGTCTTTGTTGTCGACCGAGATAAGTGAGCGATTTGGCGGTAAACTTCCATTCCTCTTCAAGGTGCTGTCCGTTCAGAAGGCGCTCAGTATTCAGGCCCATCCCAACAAGAAGCTTGCAGAGCAGCTTCATGCCCGGGACCCTAAGAACTACCCTGGTATGTGCATGTGTTGAAAACCACCGATATTCCAGAATCATATCTCACCAAATCCAGACGACAACCACAAGCCTGAGATGACTATTGCAATTACGCCATTTGAAGGACTGTGTGGCTTCCGTCCTCTCGCCGAGATCACTCATTTCCTCCAAGCCGTAGAGCCTCTGCGCACTCTCGTTGGTGATAGTGTTGCGAGCGAGTTTGAACAGTCTGTCAAGAGCAACGAAGACTCGGAGGACCCAACCGTCATCCAAAAGAACAAGGATGCTCTGCGCGCCCTCTTCACCACTTTGATGGAGTCTTCACCCGAAAAGGTGACCGCAGCGACCTCCGCTCTCATGTCCATTGCAGAGAGCAAGCCCGAAAGCTTTGGAATCCTTCCCGGCGAGGTTGAAACCAACCCCACAAACCCCACAGAGCTGGCAGCCCTCGCCAAGCGTTTGAACGGAGAGTTCCCGAACGATATTGGTCTGTTCGTCTTCTTCTTCCTCAACTTTGTGAAGTTGTCCTCTGGCGAGGCCATGTTCCTCAAGGCAGATGATATCCACGCATACATCTCCGGTGATATTATCGAGTGCATGGCTGCGTCCGATAACGTCGTGCGCGCGGGTTTCACCCCGAAGTTCAAGGACGTCGACACCCTCACACAGATGCTCACTTACTCATATGCACCAATCGAGGAGCAAAAGCTCCAGGCAACAGACTACCCCTACGCTGTTCTCAACGCAACTGCATACTCGAGCGCTTCGTCCGCCATGCTCTATGATCCTCCAATTGACGAGTTCAGCGTCGTGAAGAGCGACCTGAAGCGTACCGGTGCCAAGGTGACCTTCGATGGTATCTCTGGGCCTAGTATCATCATTTGCACCCAGGGCAAAGGCAAGATCACTGTGGGTAACAAGACCGAGGACGTGCGCGAAGGTTATGTCTTCTTCGTTGGTGCGACTGCTGAATGCGTGATTGAGAACGTTGGCAGCGGAGAGGGCGATGATGATGTGTTCACTACCTATAAGGCTTTCTGTGAATTGGCCCCGGCTGGTGAGGAATAATTTCACTTGAGCCTTGGGTATTGATTCTAATTTTTGTTAAGATGAACGAGCCCGCCCTGGAATTGGGGCGAACCTATGAGGTATAAGATCAAATTACAGCAGTTCAGTATGAACCCTCAACCAGGAAATGGCTGAAACAAACCACCTGGCAGGTGTCGGCTTTGTAAATGTCAAATGAAATTTGTCACTCCAAAATTGGAAAGCCACTAGTAACCTGGATATAGTGAGTACTCTAGAGTGTGGTCCACCAGTGTATCACATGCGAATGTAAAGTGGGTGATGGATCTTTCACCTTCCAATGTTCCCTACAAGAATCATATTCTTTCCTGTCTTCATGACAATGCTTCATTCATGGGAATCTTTCATAATCTTTCTTTTCGACATAACCTCTACCTCGGCCACCTTGTGAAACAAGGGGGGGTAAGTCAGTTGATCTTGCGAACCGAAATAAGGAGTCACATTGTCGAGTCTGTTTACCTATAGAACGCGGTGTTATAGCCCTGGTTTTGTCATGATCAGCGTTTTTTGGTCCATTTACGCGCAACGATTGCTTTTTAGCGCTGTGTTTCAAATAAGTCAATACTATCACATCCTCTAAGAAATAACTAGCAACTCCTCCCAAGGTTGGTCAACTGGCCGATTTTTCTGTCAATGACAAAGGATTAGATATCGGGCATGGAGATTGGGAAGGCTTGTTCAACATGATTCATAGCAACATGAGAAAAAGTCTCTCACACCTAACCAAATATACTCCGAGAAAGATGGAAGGATTGAATTATCGAAATGTCACTTGACTAATAGCACTCAGATCCATCACGACTCACGAGCCCCGAGAGCTGTGAGAGTGAGAAAGTCACCAAAAGATCCATTGATGAACTTCCCGACCAGGACGCAACCAGCTTCCAAATCTTCTTTCAGGAACTCGCAGTACCGATATTCTCTCCCACACTTCCTCTTCGTCGCATTCTTCCTCCCCTGTCTCTTCAAATTCCCATTCAGCCCTGTCATTCTCCTCTTCAACCACCAAAGGAAGCAGAGAGTCAAGCTCCGACCTTCTTTCTAACGGATGTCGTTTCCCCATCAAGAGCTTAAACCGGTCAACCAGGTCAGCCGTCCAAAATAGGTCGTCAGCTTCTTTCTCTTTCATGATTTGAGCATGGATCCAGTCGGTTGACTCGGCTCTTTGAATGCTGCAAAACGTACGGTACAGCCACGACAGAACACAGGGCTCTCTGTGATTCCCGGCACAGCTTTCTGCATGCTCCTTCGCCTTGGCATAAATATCTTGCAATCGACATACCCATCTCAACACTTCTTCGGTGTTAGGGAAACCGCCCGACAATTGGAAACGCAAGAGTCCCCTTGCGAATGCAAATGCCGATCCCAAGTGACTTGCAATCGCCTGTTTATTGGTCACCTCATCCGTTTCCTGGTAGTAAAGATCTGCCAATGCACCCGCGATCCGGAGATAAAAATCAGGTTGTCCGCCGACCTCCAGGGGTGGCACCAATCGATCCAAGGCTGTTTGCAACTGGAGGGCTCAGCCGATAGAGTCTCCTCGAGCATAATACAGCATGCCTCGAGAAGCCAAGCATCCGTTTGCTTCAGAGCTATCTGGTCCATAGGTTGCGATTGCTTCATCCTCCGCCTGAAACCAGAGGTGCTCGGCCAAATTGTACATTTTTGCCTCGCTGTAACACCATGCAAGCACCCAGAGCACTACATAGCGGAAATGTACTCGCTCAAAGTATGCGTACTTGAAAGGTCCATGGCCCTCAATCCAGTGGAACTTCTGCAACATCCGCTCGTACATATTGCCTTCGAAATAATTTCGATCTATGCCAAGGAATGCACAAAAGGTCTCCGGGGAAACGTGAGTACTGATATCTCGAAGTGAGGTAGGAGAAATATTCAACATGGCGTCAACGTGTTCGGGAATCGTCTCATTGATAAAGATCCGGCCGGCAGGATCTAGATCACCATTGATTCTTCTTGAGACCATGGAATCAATCGTTTCCAAAGCTAACGTGACTAACATGGAACGGTCGTCTTCCTCGAGTTTCATGCGAAGCCATTCGCGGACGACTGGGTGGATCGAAAACAGGTCAATTCCCATGGAGTTCTCTGATTTTTCGCTGACCTGTACTAACGAACAATGACAGAGCTGCTCCAACAGGTATCGAAATTTGGCATCATCGTAATTGTTCCCATCCATGCATAGAGGGGCCCATGGGAAAACATAAGGTGTGTCGATCTTGGTATAAATCGCTGCGATTATCAACTGCTTGGATAAAGCAGAACGCCCGAAGAGTGAAAGAAAACTCAGCAGCAAGAAAGCGCCGTTCTCCAATTCCTCCGCCGCACCCGAAAACTTGAGACTGAGCATATCACTCAAGCATTTGTCGAAAGTATCGCAAAGGCCTATAGAGACACAGTCATCCAAGCAGTGACCAGTCATGTCCGTGCTGCTGCTTTGGGATCCCCGCAGGAGGGATAACTCAGACCACATTTGAACTCTCTTATAGCACTCAAACTGGCTGAGGTCCGCGATATTACAGATTCGAATAAACTGACATGCTTGCGTTATCGCCCAGATGTGATGTCCGAAAGCATCCATGATTCGAAATGCTGCAAGCTCGTTTTCTTCTCTATCCCACTCCTCGTATTTCGAGAGGCCAGAAAAGAACATATCGAGCAAGAAATCTTCAGCCATTGGCTTCAGAGTCATGAAGTCAGCCGTAAAAGGTGAATCTGCACAGGCTGATAGGAAATCATCGTCCATGCAACGAGTCGTGATCAAAACTGCTCCATACCTTTGTTTGAACGATTCCAAAATCCCCATCGTCCAAGGTTTGCCTTCTGGAAAGTCAACCCCATCCAGGACCAACAACCAAGGCTTCCTCAGTGCATGAAGGGCAGACACACCACGCCTCATTCGCTTGTCCCGTTCTAAGGCAAGCTCTTCTTCGTTCGAGGTACGCTGCTCCTTTTCAACATTCAAGGTATTGCAGATATTCTCCCAAGACTGATGACACCTTGCCGGGTCAGTTGCGTCTATCCAAAGTACCGTTTTGAAAGTATTTGCCTCGGATACTTTGTCACAGTACGCCAAGGCAAGGTATGTTTTGCCTTCACCAGCCATGCCACGAATGACCGTAACCTGATTCGGGCGATCTCTCTTTCCCTGAATAAGGCTGTCAAGGATTTTGAGGTCCTTTTTACGTCCGGTTATCCCCAAAGCTTCGAATTCGGGAAAATCGATGCGCCCCTGGGGCGACATCTCGATGAACTGCATGTTGTCTGCGGAGGTACTCTCGTAAAGATGGAAACCAAATATTTGAGTGGGTTCAAGGTCGCTATCAAGAGCAACAGAGTCGAAGATGTAAGTGGGAATGATGAGAAATGACCGGAAGCTGGTTCTATCTTATACCAAATTCTTGTAACTTTGGGACTCGGGTTGGGGATATAGGACAGGGGAAAGTGCACAGAAGACTAGAAAGTATATCATGATAGGCGATATGCTGTTTGGCACATCATGTATCAACTTCTCGTTGGTGTAGAAAGTCCAGTTGATTTTGGGCTGAGACACCCAGGTGCCAAAAAAGTGATGCCAAAAAAGTGATTATCACAAGCCTATTGGCGCTAACTGAAACTTTGAGTCCGTCGAGGTTATCTGCCTTGGGCGATGGGCAGCTAAGAACATGGAATGAGCCCCAGCTATCCGTGGACCGTTGGTATCGGTTTAGTTCATGATTTGATTTCTTCGTGGGTGCCTTTTCTGAACAAGGAAGGGTGATGTTTGCAGCTTTGCCAAGTTATTATTCCTGAGAGCCATGGGCCTATCAATCAGGCTAGCTTCCACTACTGGAGCCTCATTTCGGGAGTCTACTTGTCTGTGATATCGTTCACTCTGTGGGGTATTCCCTGGATGTCCCTAATTTGACACGGGTTAGTGCAAAATTCTGCCCACAACCGCTTCGATTCACACAATATACTCCCAACCGGTGCTTTTCCGAGTAAATGAGAGCCAAAGATGAGATAAACCGCTGGCGCTTCACCCTTTTTGACTGCCAAATATGGACTTTTGGGGATCTTGGAAGCCCTTGAGATCCAAACCGTGGACACTCAAGCTCAGCTGAGCTGGATTGCACGGTACGTGTTTCGCGAAACGCACGTTTAGCCAACACATTAGCATAGCCTGGGAGGTGTCATGAATCGACGGGGTGCCCTGACTAGAACCTGTGATATTGACAGGGGTGAGTCAATAAAGCTGCGCTATCTGAGCCCCACTGACACGGCCAATTCAGAGCCACTGGATTTGCATCACTTTGACCATCTCTCCACACTACTGCTTGCCGCCATACACCTACCGCTGTCCTCCTCATCAGAGGCCAAAAGAGTACTCTATCTCCTGCTTGGAAAAATGATGGCTCGGATTTTTCCGCTCGATTTTCACCTGGGCAACAGCTACTGGCATCACGTGTCCCACTACACAGATCCGTCCACAGCCTGGAGGTGCCAATAGGGAGGACGGCCTCAAGCAGCCTCATCCCGAATTGTTATGATCGTCTGTCGAATAGTGGCCTCGGCTTCCCAGACTCGCCTATGTCGCCATTGACCAATGTGTGGATATTCAAAGAATGTAAGACGATACAACGTCGGGACCGAGGCCCCCTAGCTGCCCGGGTGCAGACCCACCGGCAAACTTGCGGGGAACCCGCAGCTGAGCTCAGCTGATCCTTCGCCCAGGTGCTAGCTGATATTTCTCGAGGTCGCGAAGGAAGTTCCTCTCGACATCCACTGACTTCAATCTTCAATCGAAAATGACGACCAGACAACTTCGTCCCGATTTGGGCTTCTGGGAGAAGGTCGACGTGCCTTTCGTGCACCTGTCGGTGTACGCCAGCATGCTGTACCATGTCGTCGCTGGCGTATTCCGTGGAAAAGCCAGTCCCAGGCGTTACGACCATTTCATCGCTACGAATGTGATTCGCAAGCTGGTGTCCCGCACTACGGATCGACAGAAGCAGTATGAGTAGCCAGCACCGTTGCCAGATGTTTACTGACGCGGTCTCCAGGTACATGAACGCGCCAACCCCGGATGCTTACACAACTGCTATGGCCAGCCATGGCGTCCAGCCCGAGAGAGTGGCTCTGCCCCATGGTGCGGAGGGCCTCTGGCTTGGAAACAAGAACGCCAAGAAAGTCGTGATCTACTACCACGGTGCGTGCTACTCCGTCCAGGTCCCGTGTAACGCGCAAAGTGCCATGATGCGGGAAAACCTAATTCCCGCAAACCCCCGTGTATGTACGGAACTAATGTATGAACAGGTGGTGGATTTGCTATGCCCGCGATCCCTGGCCACTTCAAGTTTTGGCTTGAGATGATCCGCGCTCTGAATGAGGGCGGCCATGATGTGGCTGTTTTCTTCTTGCATTATACTCTCACCCCACACGCGCGGTACCCAACCCAGCTCCGCCAGGCGGTTGAGGCCCTGCGGTACATTGTCAACGAGACGGGTCGCTCCCCGGCGGATGTCGTCATTGGCGGAGACTCGGCCGGCGGCAATCTCACGTCCGCTACTATACTGCACCTTTCGCACCCGCACCCGGAGATTGATCCATTGCCGCTGTCGGCTCCATTGGCAGGCTCTTTTGCCTATGCGCCGTGGACTAACTTTAGTAATGCGGGACCTTCTATGAAGGAGAATGCGTGGAAGGACATCATCACGCCCGAACTCCTGGATACCTGGTCGAGTGCCTACAAGGGCGACAAGCCCGCTGATAACTGGAACGAGCCATTCAACGCACCTGCTGAATGGTGGAAGGATGCGAAGACGGAGCACATTCTGGTCGTGGCTGGCGGGGACGAGATTCTACTCTCGTCTATCGAGCAGCTCGCGGAGAAGATCAAGTCTGTATTCCCCGCAACTACATTTATAATCGGGGAGGACGAGTCGCATGACTCGATTTACTTCGTGTCTGCAAATGAGTCAACCAAGACCGGCACTGAGTTGCGACAGTGGATCGCATCGCGTCTGTGATGTAGCAAACTACGCATCAGTGAAACCTTGAGATATATGGCGTCAATGCCTGACAATTCAAAAAGGTCGTATATTTTCATGAGCAAGCAGGAAAAACTTCCTTGACTTGGATTACATCGAACAAGATATATGGACGCAAACTTCGATTTTCTAGGATGAGGCCTTGGCAGAGAACTTGGCTGCCGAGGCATCGAAGAATTCACTCTTCTCCTGAATATCGGCGAGCAGAGAGTGTGCGGGCTGGACCTGCTGTAGACGGCTATAATGGAAGGCTGGTCAGTATGTATTCCATCGTTGGGATTGTCCAAGCCCGAGAGGGTGACATACGCTTCCAATTCCTCGGATGGCTTGCCGGCCAACACATTCAAGACAATGCTGTTGGCGATAAGCTCCACATCGGTAGGGTATTTCTCAAGGGCGGCGGTAATAGCAGCCTCGGCTTCGGGGAGACGGCCAAGGTGAATTTCGGCGACCGCCTGGCCAACGATCGATAAGGGTGCGGAGGTGCTGGGTGCGGAGGCCAGCTCCTCATAGACGTAGAATGCGGATTGGTACTTCTCGCCGCCCTGCAGATGAACAGAGGTTAGCGATCCCAGTTATGGTAACGATTCCTCAAGTTTTCAAGACCTACCACGCGCAGTCCAACCCACGATTCGGCAATGTTCACTAGCAGTGAGTCCTGAGCCCAGCGCTTAGCGGCCTGAACCTCCTTAAGCGCAAGGTCGGTTCGGTTCTGTTGGAGCTGGATCTGAACGATCAGGGAGACACTAGTAGGAATAAATTGTCAGCCGAAGAACTTTCCTTGACCCCATCCTGGACCACCCGCGACGAATGACTTACGCCTCAAGGTTACCCTGGTGCTTGGCGAGAACGGCGAGCGCCTCCTCGCTGAGACCTTGTGCCTGGAGCACCGTAGCACCCAGGACCTGAACAGTATTGTTGTCGGGGTAGTTTTCGGCGAGCTCCTGTGCCAATTGCAGAGCGGCGTCTGTCTTTCCGGAGGACTGGAGGGCCAGGGCCTTGACGGCCGACAGGTCGGGGCTGTCTTCTTCGATGGAGGGTTCGGCGAGGGCCTCGTCGTACTGGCCGAGGGCAATCTGGGCGCGGAGCTTGAGGACCTGAGCGGGGAGCTGGTTCTCGGGAGACAGCACAGAGGTCTCGAAGTCTAGTACATTCTGGTATTGGCCTGAGTGGAAGGCGCTGTGGATGTTAAGGAGCTCTGCGGGCATAGCTGGGTTAGTGCGCTGGGTGGGTCGTAGGGGTGATTGAGGAACTAACCGCCCTCTGCGGAAAATGGATCCATGCTGGCTGTAATGGTGAAATGTATTCGAGTGGAATGAGTGTTGTTGTCGTTGTCCAGTGGCCGCAGTTAATCACGGTGGCTTCAAGGCGGAGAGGCAACTCTGCCGAGATAACACGGGGCAAGTGGGCCGACCGCCTTGGATCTATACCTTCACTTCTACGGAGTTCAGATGATGACGGAATTGTTGTATCCAAGTAATCACAGCCGAAAAATGTGAATTACACGTGAGGTTTCTAGCTTCGAATTATCTCAAGTTCACATGATATACTGAATGTCGCAAATCGGCGCCATGGTCAATCGATACTGCTCTGGATGATGGCGAATGATTTGGCTCGAAGACTACATACGGAATAGTCTCATCAAAGCTGCAGGTTCGCTATGTCTTGCTTGGCGGTATCCTTCCATTCCTCTCTCCACCTCGTCAACGGCGGCCGTCCATAGACAATATCATCGTTGGCCCAACGGATCCTGCGCTTATCCAAGTCCTCGGTGACCTCATTATCAGGACATAGGACATAGAACACATTCTCTGCCATCTTCCGATCCATGAAATCAACAACCTGCTGAGAGGTCCAAGCACCATCCGGCTTCTCTTTGAAGAACTTCGTCTGGAAACCAGTATACGTCCAACCCGGAATGAGCAAATGGACACTAACATTTGGCGCGGCCGAAGCCAGATCAAAGGACAGGTGCTCAGCGATACTCCGCACGGCTGCCTTGGAGGCATTGTATGCGGGGTTGCTTGGTGGGTTGGTAATCCCTTGCTTTGAGCCTGTCATCACAATTGCACGTGGGCTGTCCTTTGCGGCTGTGACGCTTCCAAGAAATGATGCAAGTCCATTTGTATAACCGAGGGTGTTTATCGCGAATGTTTTCTCAAAGTAATTCGGATCTTCCCAATGGCTTGTTCCTTCTGCGGGCTTGAGACCCGCGCCGGCGTTCAACATCAAGAAGTCGATTCCGTCGGGGTGGGTGTCTTTCACTTGTTGGGCTAGGTCCTGCCAGGCAGGAATTGAGGATACGTCCATTACATGGGACGTTGTCTTGATAGATTTGGTCGCCGGGAACTGGTTGATCGTTTGAGCGAGGCTTGTCTCATTGTTGTCGACCAATATAAGGTTCATGCCGCGCGAATAGCATAGTTGGGCGGTTGTTTGCCCAATGCCAGAAGCAGCTCCGGTGATGAGAGCTGTTGCTCCGTGGCGAAAGACGGGGTGAATGCTCGAAGCCATAGTTGCTTGTGTGATAGCTTGTAGCAGCTTTGCAAGAGAGATGAAATCACAAAGAAGATTGTGATGCGGGGAAGTTGTAGGTGAAGTCGGAATTTAAGACCTCGGGAGAGGGGTATGCCCAGTCCATCACATTCCATCGTATCCGCTGAATCCGATGGATCCGCTGTGTATACTACTTCCAGAGCTAGTACTTTTCAGTTTCGAGTTCGATTGCGGGCGATGTGCAATGTAGTCTTCAGGCTTTTTCCGCATGAAACCACACCGGCGACACGCTTTGGTCCTATTTTCGGGAAAATCCGATCCTCGGCACCGCAAAGAGAGATATTAAATCGGGCAACTGATGATCGGAGCGGCAGACTGACGTGTAGCCTAGCTTGGCGTTTTCTAGCGTGCGGATGAGCACTACCCGCAACTAAGACTCCAGGGCTGCCACCCCGCGGCTCTAAGCAGCCCATAAAGCAACCTTGGAAAATACCTCCAGTTTAATCTCATGAGGTTCCACAACTCATTTGATTAAGTTAAGGTCCTCATAACGCTAAGTTGTGGTTATACCTTTCCAATGCTGGAATCACATTTACCTAGTACTTTCTCTCTCGCACTCTTTTGGCGTTGATATAACCAAGATGCGTGATAATGCGCCTCATTCTTTTGCTTGCTTTGGTGTGGCGCTGTAAGGTGCAACATCAATGGTTATCCGTAAGGCTTAGCTCAATGGGAACCTTGGAATGGCGCTTGGAATGCTAGAGTACAATCAATGCAAGGAATATATACAGTATCGATTTCTTACACGATGTACTTATGCCAGGTGCATATGTATACCCGCTCGACGGATCGAATCTAACTGTCAACATTCTCATTCCGCCTGGAATTCCATTCTCGGTCAAATCGGGTCAGTGATCTTTGTGCAGTTGGAACACAATCGAGTGCCTTGATAGAAGTTCTCCCAGGGCGGCTTAGCATGAAGCAAACTGCATCGGCAAGATCCTCAGACACCAAAGGCTCATAACCGTAGAAAAACTCATCCATGGCATCCTTGTCATATTTCACTCTCTGAAAGTGGAAATTGGTAGCAACACATCCTGGTCGCAGTACCAAAACCCGGATATCCGAGCCAGCTGTTTCCATTCGCAGGCTATTGGAAAATCCTTCGATGCAGGCCTTATTCGCATGATATACAGCCTCGCCATCAAATGGAGGACATTCCAAGCCAGTCACGGATGAGACGTTGATGATAGTTCCACGCTTTGCGGGCCACATGCTCCTTTTGAGAACGGAATGGGTTGTGTACATGACACCAGCAATGTTGGTACCATTCATTTGGGAGATGAGATCAATTGGGAGCTCCCAGAATCTACCCGGTGCACCCAGCGCCAGACCCGCCTATCTTGCAAGTCAGATCTACCCCTAAGGCTTTAATGAAATGGTATCCAAACTCACATTGTTTATCAAGACTTCGATATCTCCAAGCTCTTTTATGGTACTTTGAACTGCCGCATCGACTTCAATGTTGTTCTGAATGTCAACGGGGAAGACTCGAACCCGAACGGAGGGGCACTTCTGTTGGATTTTGACGCAGACATTCTCCAGTTTGTCCTTCGGCGTGTGATTTTAGCATGACTAGTGTCTCGTAGGGCGATATGGTTATCTTACTTTGCTTCTAGCCAAAAGTGCCAGGTTCATTCCATTTTCTGCCAAAGCGAGTGCAATCGCCTCACCTATGCCCATTGAGGAGCCGGTCTATCCTCTGGTTAATATGGTTTGTTTCATTGCAACTCGTACACGAGCACTCACTATGAGAGCGGTTTTCCCTTTGAATGAATCCATAATGAATCATAAGATACGAGTCGTCTCAGATCAGAAATATTCCACTGGATCTTTATAAATCTTGTGGGATAGTAGGGGTTGCTAACCATGACACAGCGGCGGGTAATGTGAATCCGCAGCGGAGCTCCAGGGCTGCTTGTAAGGGCCCATGGCCTCCAAGGCCTGCGCAAACCTAGGTAGGCTTATATTGCCAGAGTTTTTGGCGCACCTCATAAGCTGGTTCCATAACTCAGTTGGTTAGAGTGTGGTGCTAATAACGCCAAAGTCGAGGGTTCGACCCCCTCTGGAACCATGATCTATATTTTTGATCATTCAATTTTTTCTTTAGTCAGTTATCTTGGAACAAACCTTGGAATGTCCCGAGGTCTCCCCATCTGGAGACGACTGGACCAAAATCAAGGCTGAATGCAATTCTATAGACTGGTGCCCAATCCATACCCGAACAGCCTTTCCTCAGATCTCTGGATGTAAGACTCTTTTTCTGGCGAAGCTGTTCAATGTTTCGACCTATTTCAACGGTCACCTTAATTTCGGCTCGGTCATGCTACCTGGCAACACTTCTTCAATGGGATCCTGTTTAGTTATTATGGTATATGTGATATGTGAGTTAGCTTACGTGCTTGGTATAGACTAGGCCAAATTGCAAGATCGTTGACAGACTGAACGAAGCTTGGTTCGTACATGGAGAAGAGAAAGGGAGAGTAAAGACGACATCTGGATGAACCTTGAACCTTGGAAGAGAAGAAAACAGATCATATGACTCGACTCTCAACAACCTTGGAATCCAACCTTGGAAAACACCTGTCTGGTCGTGTAAAATGCGTAATCAGCCATGAAAGAGGCAACATCCTTGAGTTTCCAGCCAGATCAACTTTGCGACTCGCAAGTTGCCTGGATAAAGACCATGTACGGCATTACATTTGGCGCTGTAGCAGATAAATAAAGCTGTCCAGTGTTGTGAACACCTGGTCAGGTGACCGTGTTTTCCCACCTGGGCAGCCCTGGAGGTCTATAGCTTGCTCTCTCCCTCTCTTTGCTTTTCCCTTCTTGATCCATCAGTTCTTTCTGGTCTCCCTTCCATCAGTAGATGTCTCATCAAAAGCGTACATCATCATTTTGGATAATTCATCTACCGATCGATATTCCCCCGATTGAAGGAATAGCCCAACTTGCCTCCTGGCGGGCCAAAGGACTGACTGGGCCACAAGTGATTCTTTTCATTCAACATTTCACGTCTTCCGGGGTTCATCTTGTCATTACTTCGAGAGGTAGACAGAAAGGCACGGTATCATCACGATACAACAGGTTTGAAGATCAGTGGCTATCGCATCCCGAGCACCAATGCCCCCCCTCCCCCCTTATACTTCATTCAAACCTGGAACGAGTGTTCAGCCCACTTTATCAGAATTTGGGCCGAAGGGAGACTGGGTATGCCTAGTACAGTACAGAGTACGGAGTAGAAGTCCACAGGTGGCATACCATGTCCAGTACGGAGTACTTGCTGTATCATCACTGCCTTCCAAGGTTCCTTTCTCTCCCTTGCATCAGAAGGCAGATGCGAGTTGAGTGAATTGATCACTGGGGGAAAAAAAAAGTGACAGACATGGTTCCAGAGGGGGTCGAACCCTCGACTTTGGCGTTATTAGCACCACACTCTAACCAACTGAGTTATGGAACCGATGGCAAATTTCCTAGAAAAGGCGCTATATGAGCCAGATGAAGTTCGGGACCTTGGGAGCAAGGTTTTTTTTAGAAAGCGCCCGTGACAAGTGTTCCCGCCGCCAAGAAGGCTTCCAAGATTCTGAGCACGGCCTTTCCCAAGATCCATGGGCGTTTGGATTGGCGAGCATTGGCTGACCTTCCCGCAGCCTACCTAGGAGTATAGATTGCGGGAGGTGCTAGCCCTGGTGGTATCCCTCTTAAGATGGATCGTACTAGTACTACGACTGCTGGCAGACCGCCGGCATCCTGAGGAAGTACCAGTCTGATTATAATGCAACATTCTTTCTTTGCCTATACCTACGCTCCATACAGTTCCTAGATCGAGAAATGTATAGTATGGCCCCTATCTAGTCTTGGTGACAGATCGGTGCTTCAGATCGTGGTTTGTAGGCGGAGTACCAGAATACCCATCACCTCCTCTTCTCAGCCTGACCATCGTTCTCCTTGAATTCATATGCGGATTTAGTAGCACGTACTAGGTATAGAGCACACCAGAACAAACATATTTTTTGGGGGGTTGAGCTGGTATGCTACTTACCTAGGTAGGCAAGAGATATCCATAGATGATGCAAGACTGCCCGGGCCGCTTGTCACTGATAACGCTGAAGCTCAATGGTTTTTCATTCTCTTTTTGGGTTTGCCCAGTCAATGAGCCCACCTCCAAAGTAGGGGTTGATTTATATTACAATTTGGGTACCTGGTTTTGAAAATGACCGGGGGAGGGGGGCTCAGAGCTATGGGGAAAAGGGAATAGAATGATGAATCCTCGAGGATTGGGCAAAAAAATAAATAGTGGTTCCAGAGGGGGTCGAACCCTCGACTTTGGCGTTATTAGCACCACACTCTAACCAACTGAGTTATGGAACCCGTCTATAATGCACCCATCAAAAGCCACATTACACAAACTATGCCAGTGAGCAGGAAAATACAGAACATCCGTGGGTGCGACATAAGCACAGGCAAGGCTGTTAGCTCTCTACGGAGTGCTCCTTTCGGTCCCGTGGTCTGCTACTGGAATTACATTAACGCCTGTCATCATCACTAGCATTAGTAAAACCGTAAAGGGGTTGGCTTGGTGGACCATCCTTCCAAGGTTCCACTCGAGCCAAAAAGCCACTACATACAACACCAAATTTGCCGGTCGCACCTTGCGCACCACGGCAAGCCTTTCACAATCCTACTTAGGGGAGGTCAAGGTCTCCACTGGCAGAGCTAGGGCCAGCTGTCTGGCTGACCATCGTTTTGGCTCAGATAGCCATAAAAGCTTGAGCTAACTAATCACAGCACTGTCCCACAATTCAGTTGGTTCAATGTTGGGGTGTGATGCTGATAGCGTCAAACCTTGAAGTCGGAGGAGCTAGATCGCCAACTTGGGCATTACCTTCCGAATCACCATGGGAGGGGCAAATAAGAAAACCGAGGATTCGAGAGGCTGCACTCCATGAGGCATAGAAGTATCGTATTGCCCCAAAGCCGGGGGATACGCCCTTCCACTGCCTGGCGGATGGGCCGATCGCTGCATACTAAAACCTCACAGGCAGAAGAACAACTGCATAACAAATGTGGAAACCGGCGGGGGAAACCTTGAGAATACGTGATGCAGGCTGGCGATTTACTCTGGCGCCTCTTGCACAATGGAGTCCTGGCCCGGGCCCGAAGAAGGCTATAATATAATGACCTGTGACTCTATGTCTACTTCCTGCACAAAACTGAGCTGACGAAGGAACATATCTGGATCCACTGGTCCATCACTCGTATGATATAGAAGCAAGTGTCAAAAGCTTGAGAAAACAGTGTTGAAGTCATATGATACTTCCTTCTATACATAGTTTAGATCTTGCCTTTCTTTTTCCCCTCTCTCTTCTTGAGCAACCAATTCATGGCATATTTGCCCTTTCTTTCTTGCTTCTAGCTTATGAAACAGAAAGGGGTCCCCATGGCTCCAAGTCCCGAGCTTAATGGGTAGAATGATAAACTTTGGCCTTATCCACCTGTATATATAGTAATAAGGCTAACGGTCGACGACAGTTGATAGTACACCGGTCGGCGGTTTGGGTTACTTATAACCAGTACTTCTTATTATACTGCAACAACGATTCGGTAAATGAGCTATGGCGAGAAATCTCAGCAGGCTCTTGTTTCTAGGACAGTACAGTATAAAGGATGATGACAGAGCGAGTCTTAAGCCTCGTAACTAGATATTACCACAGAAGATACAACCGGACTTCCTTTAGAGTATTATGGAGCTAGGACATTGGGAAAGTGAGTATTATTCACGGACCGTACTAGCCCTGGAGGGTACTCGTGGGCCCATGGACCTTAATATATCAGAACAAGTACGAGGTCTGGTATCTAAAACCCACAAGGAAGGTAAAACCTTCCAATGTTAGATATAGGATACACCTACACACTGCCTTGGGCTCATCTTCACACAGGTAGAAGCCCCTGTCTCTAGAAAAGTCTTTTCCTCAATTACCCCTCTAAACCTCACTTACCACTACTATAACAAAATCTAATCTTAGTTGGTTGTCAGATGATTTGATAGTCTAATAGGTATAGTAAGCCCCATTCGACTTCTAGATCATAAAAGAGTATGCTATATCCGAAAGCTCACCTAGGAGAGAGAGAGGGTGCTATGGTTCGATTTCTTACACAGTATCTGGCTTGACATCTTCTCCTCACTACTGCCTCTCCATGGGTACCTAGTAGCTACCAAGTAAAACAAATTTGGGGATTTGATCCCCTCCAGAGCCTTCTTCTTCTTTTTGCTT